TCTGGGAAAAAGCCAGCGGTTTCGAAGAGTCTATGAAATTTAAAAAGCTTACAAATGCCCAGAGGTCTGGTTTGAATCAAATTCCAAACCGTCGCTTCACTCTGTGGTGGTCTCCGACTATCAACCGTGCAAACGTCTATGTCGGTTTCCAGGTTCAATTGGATCTTACTGGTATCTTCCTTCATGGCAAGATCCCGACCCTGAAGATCTCCCTGATTCAGATCTTCCGTGCCCACTTGTGGCAAAAGATTCACGAGTCCGTTGTTATGGATCTGTGCCAGGTCCTTGATCAGGAACTGGAACAGCTTGGTATTGAAGCGGTTCAGAAGGAGACTATCCATCCGCGTAAATCCTACAAGATGAACAGCTCTTGTGCGGATATTCTCCTTTTCGCGACTAACAAGTGGAACATCACTCGGCCTTCCCTGGTATTCGACACCAAGGATGTCTATGAGCCCAACACGACCAACAAGTTTTGGTTGGATGTTCAATTGAGATACGGTGACTACGATTCTCACGATATTGAACGATACGTACGTGCCAAATACCTCGACTACACCTCTGACAGCATGAGCATCTATCCTTCCAGCACTGGTCTGATGATCGGTGTCGATCTTGCATACAACCTCTTCTCGGCCTACGGACAATACTTCCCAGGTCTCAAGACTCTCATCCAGCAGGCTATGGCCAAGATCATGAAGGCCAACCCGGCGTTGTATGTCTTGCGTGAGCGTATCCGCAAGGGTCTGCAACTTTACGCCTCGGAGAGCAACCAGGAGTTCCTCAATTCCCAGAACTACTCTGAGCTCTTCAGTCCTCAGATTCAGTTGTTCATTGACGACACCAACGTCTATCGTGTCACCATTCATAAGACTTTTGAGGGTAACTTGACGACGAAGCCCATCAACGGTGCAATCTTCATCTTCAATCCTCGCACCGGACAACTATTCTTGAAGATTATTCACACTAGTGTCTGGGCAGGTCAGAAGCGTCTGGGTCAGTTGGCCAAATGGAAGACAGCCGAAGAAGTGGCAGCTCTTATTCGTTCTCTTCCAGTGGAAGAGCAACCGAAGCAGCTCATTGTCACTCGTAAGGGTCTTCTTGACCCTCTCGAGGTCCACTTGCTCGACTTCCCCAACATTTCCATCCGTGCCTCTGAGCTTCAGCTGCCCTTCCAGGCTGCCATGAAGGTTGAGAAGCTGGCTGACATGATTCTCCGCGCGACCGAGCCTCAGATGGTGCTCTTTAACCTGTATGACGAGTGGCTCAAATCCATCTCACCTTACACCGCCTTCTCTCGTCTGATTCTCATTCTCCGAGCCCTTCACGTCAACATTGACAAGGCCAAGATCATTCTTCGCCCCGACAAGACAGTCATTACCCAGGAGCATCATATCTGGCCCTCTCTCTCCGATGAGGATTGGATCAAGGTTGAAGTGCAATTGCGTGATTTGATCTTGAACGACTATGGAAAGAAGAACAATGTGAACGTGCAGAGCTTGACCAGCAGTGAAGTCCGTGATATCATCTTGGGTATGGAGATTAGCGCGCCTTCTCTGCAGCGGCAGCAGGCGGCGGAGATTGAGAAGCAGCAGGAGGAGCAAAAACAGCTCACTGCCGTGACTACCAAGACCCAAAACGCCCGTGGCGAGGACATCATTGTTACCACCACATCTCAGTATGAACAGCAATCTTTTGCATCCAAGACTGAATGGCGTACTCGTGCGATCGCGACGTCCAACCTCCGCACGCGGTCCAACAACATCTATGTCTCCTCGGATGACATCCGGGAAGACGGATACACCTACATCATGCCCAAGAACGTCCTCAAGCGATTCATCACCATTGCCGATCTTCGGGTGCAGGTCACCGGTTACATTTACGGTAGCTCGCCGCCGGACAACGACCAGGTCAAGGAGGTTCGCACTATTGTTATGATTCCTCAAGTTGGCAACACCCGGGACGTCCAACTCCCTCATCAACTGCCACAACATGACTACCTCCAGAATCTTGAGCCGCTCGGTGTGATCCATACGGTCTCAGGAAACGAGCCGCCCTATATGTCTGCAGCGGATGTCACGCATCATGCTCGACTCATGAACACACACCCCTCTTGGGATAAGAAGACCGTGACCATGACCGTCTCCTTCACCCCTGGATCCGTCTCGCTTGCCGCTTGGGGCCTGACGCCCCAAGGTTACAAGTGGGGTGCAGAGAACAAGGATACGTCCTCGGATCAGCCCCAGGGCTTCTCTACCAATATGGGTGAGAAGTGTCAGCTGTTGCTAAGTGACAAGATCCGCGGTTATTTCTTGGTGCCCGAAGACAACATTTGGAACTACAGCTTCATGGGTAGTTCCTTCGGTAGCGTGGAGAAGCGGCCTGTCTACGTCAAGATTGACACCCCGCTCAAGTTCTACGATGACCAACACCGTCCCCTTCACTTCCAGAACTTCGCCGAATTGGAAGACATTTGGGTGGATCGGTCTGACAACTTTGCGTAAAGCGTTGCAAAGTCTCTGTTTTTATTTCCCGGGCGTCTGATTTTCTTATTATTTCCCCTTGTCTTTCTATTTGGTTTGCTTGTATCACGACATCCTAATTCATGTATTGCAGCGACAACCTAGGGTAAAGGGAAAAGCAAGATGTATTGATTTTTGTACAGTACGAGTTTTTGGCGAATTCCCTGTTGTTTATGAATGAAATCTTTCTTATTGAACTTATTTCCTATGTACAACTAACTGTATACGAGGCTGCGGTTTGCTCTGCAATGCAGATTTAGTAGTTGGCATGGCAGCCACACATTGGTTCCTCCGAGGGTTGCCACGATGTGATCGTGCATTCCTAATTCGACCCTAATGTATGACCAATGGTCCCCTCCCTGTCTTATGTCTAAGCCTAACCTGTATCGTTTAAAATCCGCTTAAAATGAAGGAATCGGCCAATGCAGAGGCTAGTTACTTGCTCTATTTAAAGCGAGAATGAGAATTAAAGGATAAAGTTAAAGTGAAGTCTAAGTAAAACCAAAGTGAATCTTCAATGAATAAATAGTTCGCAAAGCCCCCTAACGCTATGTATTTTGGTTAAGGGGTTCCTATCGTAAGATATAAAAACCACCGTGTAGACAAAATCAGCAGAACTAAGCAGTTGATACATCTTGACTTCATGAATCTTAGTGAAGTAAAAATTACTACGCTTTGCTAATTAAGGTTAGACAAGTACAGGGGGGCACGTTTAAGAAGGCTCTTGTGATCCAAGCTTACTACAGCAGGCGCCTGGCCATGGAACAATATGCGCTGAGCCACTCGGCCCAACATCGAAGCTGAGTTTCTCCTTCGCCCAAAAATGCGAGAGAGCCATGTGCAAATCCCATTCAAATAAAATAAGTGCGTGGCTATTAAAATCTCCCGCCATTCACAGCCTGCATAAGCTCCTCTCTACATCCCGCTTCCACGCATTAGAAGGTTCAGAGTAATTGGCAACTTATTGACAGATGACGGCCCGCATGCAGATAGTAGAATTCAGTGGTCCATCCGGATCCTGGCTCTTCTCTGCGATTTGACCGAACCAAAATACGGGCTTGGTGTGGCGCAATAAATCGATGTGACTGACTCGCAAACTTCCCCTGTCCTCCAATAACATCTTGCCTATGCTCCGGATTCCCCATTGTTGGCTTTGAACCCTTGTTTCTTCTCTTCTGCCTCCTTCCAACCTGTCCCCTTTTGGAGGAGAGCTCAGGCCCAAACGCGACTCTTGTCAGGTTGATCACCATTGTTTCAACCCCTGTTCTCTGTTCTGCCCTCTGGATTTGCGCGGTCTTGGCCCCGAGACCCGGCGTACTGAGCAGATGGCTTCTCTTGGCTTACTTGACTAACCTATACCATGTCCATCTGCCGATGTCAAATTGCCCTTTTTACTCCCGACATTACGGCGCGCTGGTTGAGAAGATCACCCCGGCGAATGAGACGTTGCTTGATACCTCCGCATACCTCCGGTTCGAGGCTGACGGGCGTCATATGCCGTGTTTTTTTTGACTGCTCATGGCCCTAGCATACCCTGGTCGATAATTTGTGTCATGTTTGGCCCCCTGGATTTCGCCAACAAAACTTCTGGCAGTCCTGCCGCTTCCACAGGCAAAGTTTCGTAGACCCCTCGACGAATTGATGTTTGTGCGAAAATAGATCACTCCCATCGAAACCTTTCGACTGATGAAACCCAACCTGACGAATGCCTATCACAAAGGGATCGCCCCTGTTGAACATCTGGGACAGTTGCCTCTTGTGGTCTGGTCCACTGGAGATTGGTGAATTCAGCCGGTAACGCACGCTCCAGTTGACCACCGGTGCGGCTGGGGTTCTCTCTCTTGGTTAGGCTAGAGGATTCTGAGAAATGTCGTTTGAATTTAAAGACATGCCTTGTCCGGTTTTGATTCTAAAAGTTAGATATCAAAGTCCCTCATTCTCTTCTCCATCATGTTTTACGCCTGAACAACCTCTCAAGCCGTCAGCCCAGCAATTTGACAATCTCAAGCAGACCTATTCTGTCTGCGCCCAATCAGTTGTGGCTAGAGGGCATTTCCATCTCCTGTTCTGATTACATCCGCAGGCGCACGTCCGCTCTCCACCAATATCTTATGTGACAGCAGACTCTTGGCTACCAGCTCATTTCGCATCTCATTTCTCCGGGGTTGATCCCTGCTAAATACATACTCTTGGCCTATTCATCCAAGAGCATAGAGCCGAGGGGCTTTGTACTTCCTGCAATCCTGCCATTGTCGGCATTTACCTGCAAACAATACCGGATGCTACAAAGGATTCATGGAGGTATATAATCCATATGCTCCTGTGGAATCAATATCCGATAATGTTTACTACGATTCACGCCAACCACAACAACAAAGCCAGCCTACCGTCTCATACCCTCATCAAACGAAATCGTCATACTTGCCACCTCTGCCTCATTTCACTTCTGTTAACGACAATGCACACTTCCCGACGATTATGCTTCCCTACCCAAACCACCCCCAAGACACCCGAAATTTGGCGCAGTACGACAGTCGAGATTTGATGACATGGAATACTCGTATCTCGGGTGGCTTGCAGACGGAGATGTCACCCCCGATACCACAACTAACAGAAGAAAATTTAGAGCTTTTCCACCGGTCTAGGGACAGTGACTTTCTCCCTCCAATGAATAGCTCTCACAAACACAGAATGCCACATATACCTGCGCTACATGATGAGCTGGAGAATGTATTGCAAGCAACAAAAGGACCAGCAACCCACAGATGTCTGGTAGGAGAGGATGGATTCCCAAAGCCACGGCCAGAATGCGAATTCAAGCAAAAGTTCACACCGGATGATGATGAGCTCCTGAAGCACCTGAAACATGATAAAAAGGACCCTTATCGACTGGGTTCAAAGGACGATTCGTTGACTTGGAGACAAATTGCAGACTTTTTCCCTGGTCGAGCGCCAGGGACCTTACAAGTACATTACTGTAAGGAAGTCGGGGCGGCGAAGGCACCAGAATGGACTGAGGAATTGGTTTGTATTTTCATAACAAAGCTCTCCGAGTTAAGTGTTAATTAAAATGGTAGGACGACAGACTGAAAGATGCAATGGAAGAGTATGAAAAAGAGCGATGGCAGGTCATAGCCAAGAGGTTCAAGGGAAAGAACTACGCAGCGGCTTGTGAAGAAAGAGCACAATGGTTACAAGAATTATATCTACGAGGGGAGAGACCAGTGTACCCAAATAAAGATAAGGCAGAGGCCCAAGGACAGCAGCAAACGCGGCCACAAGAGTGGGAGGAAGATGAAGAGAGGCGAGATCAAGAGCAAGAGATGGAAGAGAGAGAACGAGACATAAGAGCGAAGAAGCGAAAGACGCAGGGAAAGAAGCGAAAGATGAAAGAGCAGGGCCAGGGGTTGCAAATGGGATAATATAGGGTCCGTTAATAGGGTCTGTATTCTAAGAGTGACAATGTTTCTATACTTCCCCAAGCCCTACCCGTGAAGCCCTAACTGGCCTAAAACGGCTAATATGCGCTTCTGATCTCTATGCTCACCTGAGTCAGCTCCGCCAATCAGCTAAGCTGACTCATCATTATCTGTGGCTCGATTGGACAGGTCGACTGACCAATCACAGGCGCTCGGGCCAAAGCGGCTTCAAACTCGCCCAACCTCAAACCTCCAAACTCCCTCTTTCCTGCCTGCCCCAAACGCCCGCGTCATCCACCCCATTTTCTCCAGGACAATGTTCCTCCAACGTACAGCCTCCGCCCTTGCGAGGCGCTCGCCTGCCCGCGCTTTCACCCTCGCCCAGCGCCCTTTCTCTTCCTCCATCGTTCGTTGTACGTGACTCCCATATGGCATGATCGGAGCATGCTTCAACCCCCGCGCATCTCGACGCAATTGGCCTCCAATTGACTTCTTATGTTCTATAACGACTTAACTACATTGGATTGCTCGACTACAAATGACTGACGCGATATACATACAGCCAACGAGAAGAAGTGGGCTCCTAAGCAGGAGGGCAAGATCCTGACCTTCGAAGGTGAGTGCTCAACTTAATCTTATGACAACCCATGGCCTATAAGCTGGTATATCTCGCTCGGAAACACTGTTTGACCGTTCAATGGACCCTCTGGTGTATAATTCAAGGTCATGGAACCTCGCATGTCGGTCGTGTGGATACTTTTTCCGAGTGACAGGCGAAGCTTACCATCATACGTCGAATTGGAAACCCAAAACACAATACTAACTACTGCTTCTTGCTGGCTTACAGAGATCAAGGTCGAGGATGACCTTCTCCCCCCGGGTGCCAAGTCCGGTACCATTCCTACCGACCTCGACCAGTCCACCGGTCTCGAGCGTCTGGAACTCATCGGAAAGATGCAGGGCATTGATATTTTCGACATGCGTCCTCTCGATGCTTCTCGCAAGGGTATGTCTCTCTACAATCCCATCGCAACTCTCGGATGGCGAAACTCCCACGGATTGCATGATCTTACATTCGGGGGTCACCGGCATACGCTAATCAAACCATCATCTTTATATAGGCACACTCGAGGACCCCATCATCGTCTCCGGTGCCGGTGATGAGCAGTACGCCGGTTGCACCGGTTTCCCCGTCGACTCCCACCAGGTTAACTGGCTGACCGTATGACGCCCTATCAACTTCATGCCTAAATAGGCTTTATCTTAACACCAGAGACTAACCATAACACCTTCAGGTCTCCCGTGAGCGTCCCATCGAGCGCTGCTTGGAGTGCGGCAACGTTGTCAAGCTGAACTACGTCGGACCCCAGGAGGACCCCCACTCCCGTATGTTTTCCCTGGACTTGCTATTTGCCTATATGGATCGGTATGCTAAATCAGTAATTAGACGACCACGACCACGGTCACCACCACCCCCCTCACGTCGAGCCCAAGACCTTTGCCGACTACGTCAAGCCTGAGTACTGGTACCGGTAAATGTTTAATACCGCTATTTCTTGCGTGGGGTTTACCCTTTTTGAATCTGGCATGGAAATTCCAATACAGTGTCAACATTATTGCGTGTGTCTCTCTCTGTTCTGTCTCCGTGACTTTTCTGTCTCTTTTGTAGAATAGTGCTCTAGTGGATGAAAATGAGAGTATTGTGGGGTTTATTACTTTTGATATGGATCATTGATCTTGTGGATTCTATTTTGTTTGTAGATTATGTGGGGGGTGGGATCTTTTATGGGCTTTTTTTTTGTAGATATTATACACTCGCTTCGAGGCTTCCGTGTAGACTGTTCAATACTTCATCAGTGGCACCGCGCACACACTTGTAAAAACTTTTGTAGGATACCATGCACCAAGGCAATATGGTTATAGAAAGCATTCCAATTACCCTGTGCTCATTCATTTCGTTGTAGCACGTATATTTCTATCAACGCAAATATCAACATCACTTTTGTATACTCTGGATATTACACCGAGATACAGACTGCAGCGATATGAAATAAAGCCTCCCGTATATAACAAAAGAGGATTAATCATTTGACCATGTCTCCATGGCATATCAACGACCCACGAAGTGGAGTTCGATGTACCGCAGAGGCGGGTAGACAAGGGCAGCCCAAGAGAAGCCAACATAGGTTCCCATCTGATAAGAAACAGGTTAGCATCAAACCCAAAGACAAAACAACGGATAGATAGAATATCACTCACATCAGCACCGTACTCGCCCACCAACTTGGCAATGGGCCCAATATACCAGACTTGAGCCATACACAAGACAGCCCCAACCCAACCAACAACGAAAGCAATGAAAGCAGCCACACCGATAGGCAGCTTAGACGGATCCCGCCAAACAGCCCAGTTATAACCCGTTCGAAGGCGGAAGATAAAGCGCTCTTCGAGGATAATAGCAATCCAAATCGCAACCCAGTACCCCATCAAAGCCAGGAAATTGGTAAAGATCTCAGAGAGGTGGCTACGGCCAACAAGAGCGCAGACAACATAGATGATGACAGCGATGGTGTTCCAGATCACGCGGGGAACCATCTCGGCATAGCGGCCAAGGATCTGGAAATCGATGCCGGCGGAGTAGGTGGGTGCCACAGTGTTGGCGATCAGGCCGAGGGCGCAGATTACGGAGCAGAACTTGCCGAAGCCGTGGAGGGGACCGAATCCTTCGACGATTAGGGCGCCTTGGCCTTTGTTGTAGGCCGTTGCATATTCTGGGTGGGTGTTGATGCCGGTTGCGAGGCCGATACCGCAGACTAGGGCCATTGTGAAGGAGAAGAGAAGGCCTCCTAAGGTAAGGCTGAAGATTTTCAGGCGTGAGGTGTTTTCAGGGTAGTAGACGAAGAAGTCGGCTGCTAGGGGACCGTAGGTGATTGCGGCACTTAGGCAGATGGAGAAAAATGATAGCCTGGGGTTTATGTTGTCAGACTTTGATTCAAATATATGTATTGAGGCTTCTGAACTTACCTGTTGCCTATCATGGTCCGGGAATCCTCTTGTGTGGGTGGAGTCGACAAGTCGAATTTCGTGGATGCGACTCCGAAAAGGATGCAGACTACGATGACTTGGGGCACAAATGCAAATCTGGTTGAGTCAGTGACTTGTTTGCAAGGTCAATATCAGTCTCCCAACGAACCTTTCATAGAAATGGAAGACTTGGATTCCAAACGTCGCCACGGCCCAACTGATGACAGCAATGATAACAATGCCTGCATTATCACAGTCAGCACAAGTATCTTGGATCGACCTTCACCAGCATACGTACCGACAGCCACCGACATGCCCCCTGGGGACACGGCAGACAAGATCTGACCACCAACGACGCAATCAATCAAACAATACCCAATCATCTGAACCAAATTAAGCAAGACAATGATCTTGCTGGGCCACCAGCCCATTGAGTACCGTCCAAAAGCCTACTAAGAATTAGTTCCCTCCGGATTGATGATTTGACAGTCCAATATGTGACACGCACCATAGTCCGAATGCCTGACACTGGTCCCCATGTCGCCATCCAAGAGGAGACCACGGAACCGATAAGAGCCCCAAACACAGCACAGAGCGCCGAGTCTCGGAAATTGAGACCATACACAGCAGGACCCAGCATCCCGAGTGTAATGTTATTGGGCGCAAGGTTGATCGACACCCAGAGCAGGAATGCCTGCAAATATGAAACCCACGAGTTGCGCTTCATGCGCTCATGCGCCGCAACACGCTCAATACCTCGTGCTTCCAGGTTATACTCGACGAGCTGGTGCTCGAAGGATCTGATCAGCGAGCCCAATCGCGATCCGACGGGGTTGTGGCGATTGGCCGTAGACTCTTCATCAGTCTCTGCATCCTGGCTAACGACGCCGGACTTCTTAGACTCGTATGTAGGTTCTTCCGTGTTGGAATGCACCGCTAGGGTGGGGATTTCTGACGCCATGCTGCGATACAGGTTAGTATCGGGTGATTTGGTGGGGGAGGCAAAAGCGCGCATGAGTCCTTTCGCTGGAATTATCCAGATCAAGTTCAACCGTATATTCTCAGAACGACTGTATGTCGAACACCGGTCTCCATGCAGATGGCGCATCTATATACCTTGATCTTCGGACAATACCACACTACTCGTCTTCATGATAACCGTGGTGGCCGGAGGGAGAAATTGTGTCACCTTCGAGTCACTGTGAATCCCGGTGGCGTTAGCAGACTCAGTCTGAGTAGATTGAGAATTTAGTTCACCTGGAGAGCAAATGAAGTGCCAAATCGCACGATTCAGAAAGTTGGTGACTCACGGGGAGTTGGGGAAAGACGGGGTCCATTGCCGAAGGCCGCGGGGAAGAAAAAAAAAAAAAAAGATTGGCGTTTACTTTTCCGCCTCCATTGATCTACATGTACTTGCAGAAGTCTAGGCCATATCTTGCCTTGCAATTTCCTAGTTACTGGGGAATCATATGGTATTGAGGAAAATAGCGCAGAAAGATCCGAAGCGCTTGACGAAAAAAAAAAAAAAAAAAAAAAGAAAGGGCAACGCCTTGACGCATAGAAAAAAACGAGACGCATTGCGCATGTTCATGGTTCATTGCGCAGATTGAAAACGAGGTCGAAAGGAAATCCAAATCACCAACTCCATCTGCCTTGTAAAACCAGTGGCCTCCGGCCATTGATGAAACTTGCATCGCTCTGGAATGGGAATACGGAAGAGAATGCCAACTTCGTAAAAAAGTTGCTAAGAAAACGAGATCATCACTTCATCAGAGGCGTCATAGTGGTCAGACGTTCTTGAAATGCTCTTTGGCATATTGTTCGCAGGCCTGCTAAGTGGTCAGTGTGAACGCGCAGTATCAGATTCCCTTCTATACGTACTTTGGCAGGCTTGCCGACTTTCTGACCGATTACCTTCCACTTGTTTGCCTCATACTCCTTGATTGCCTCACGAAGTTTCATAGACTGTGCAACGTCAGCGGGAGATACGGTGAGCATCAATGTACTCGGTATCATACCTCGTCTTCGGCGAATTCGGCGTAGTGCATGTCCTGGTGGAGGTATAAGTAAGACGCGTCATATTATGAGGGACAACTTATATCGCGTACCTTGTACCAGTGCTTCTTGACACTACCTTCGGTACGGGTTGGGAAAGTCTGCGATAGGCGAAAGTCAGTGGTCAGGAACTCATAACCTCAATCAGAAGAGACGCTCGCGCGCACCTTTGCGATCTCGGACCAGCTTCGGCCTGCGTCGCGCATAGTCTTCAACCGTTGCTCTTCCTCGGCAGTCCATGGCGTATTCGTTCGTCCCTTTTTCTTGGGTGTGGACTCAACCTGGGAAAAGGCGTTCGGGTCGCCCTCGATCGCGCCGCCCGCCGGATTCACGGGGGCAGCCATCATGGAAGATCCTGTCGCGGGAGAAGGCGGGCGCTTGCGCGACGTCCCGTGCGATTGTTGAGAAGGTATCGGCGCAGTAGGAATGGGAATACCTTCGAATGTCGGCACGCGATGAAAAGGGTGCATTTGTTGTTGAGTGAGCATGTGAGGCGGAGCGCTGGTGGTGGCCGACGTTTTGATTCGCTTGGAGGTCGGGGGTGAACTGGTGAGGTAGCGACGAGTCAGTAAAGTGAAGCGACCATACGTGAGTAGTGAGGCAGAAATGTGACGAAACGCGACCCAGTGCCAAATCCAGCCCAGTCTCCCTCCCACAGCTGGAGGCCGGACGGAGATCACAGACGAAGGGACTTACGACATGGTGAAAGACACACGCGGTTTTCTACCACACTGTGTCGATTCATCTGTACATACAAAAAGGCCGCGTAGGGGGGTTAGCAGGATCTGGTACTTGGCGCGCCTTGGTCGGAAAGCGTTACACTAAAGACGATGACACAGGCGCATCCCAGGTAGAACCAGATTGACAAAGGGGGACAGCGACAGGGCAAAGGTATTTTTCGCGACATGGGGAAGTTCCAGACCCCGATCGGAGTGTATAGGGAGGGAAGAGAGTCAAGGGAGGTTGGGCTCACAGGTCAAAGTCGCATGGTCGAAGTGTCGATTCGGGGACCTCGAATTCTTCCGAGTACGGGGAGAACATGAGGCTGGAGAAAAGAGAGCGGTTGACTTGAAGATAGAGCGAGAGACACGTCAGAAGAAAAGAAGAGAGAGGGAGAGGACAAGAAGGAGAGAGAGAGAGAGAGAGAGAGAAGACAAGGTTACAGAGAGAAGAGGAGAGAACTGGCAGACACAGTAGAGAGCGGGGATGGAGTCACCTCATATCACAACATTCACCAGACTGAATAGTTTAATAGTTTAATAGTTTAATAGTTAAATAGTTAAATAGTTAAATAGTTAAATAGTTTATTTTGATTTCAATTCTGGAATGTCAGTTTCTTCATTTACAATATCACTTTAATTTCTAGTTTGCTGAGTTGTTTATCCCCCTCGTGCTTCTACTTTTCTCTTACATTTTACATCTGACTCCTTCAGGTTCAAATATATAGCTTCTGCATTCGGAATCAACTTCAGTGTCGATTCAAATGCGCCTCCAACCCCTCCGGTGCATTTCACAGGTTCTTCACTGGCCTAGGAACCGATGCCCGGACAAGGGCCCTGTCACAAATCATGGCTAGTGCTCTGCTCCAATTCGGCCGGCGACAAGATGCAGAAGCAAAGATGGGCACGTCCGGCAGCTTCCATGAGACATTTGGGCCGAAGAGACCCGCGAGTGGCCTGTTCCAGAATCCGGTGACCCGGCGAGATCTCACAACACCGTGCGAGGATGACAGGGCACGCCCAATGCGAGTCAACGACACGCCCGAGGGCCTGATTATTGTAAAGTCATCCAATGGTCCGGGAGCTCATCCCGCAGTGCCAATATTCAGTAGAAGTGTCCGTCCAACCCGAGACTTGGCGGGCTAGACCAGCCACACGGTTTCGCCTGAAGCCACCAAGTCCCATTCCCCTCTCTTGACCCCATGCAAAGTCTTTGCCTAGTAAATGCATGCTCCGGGGCTGGGGAGGTCCCTGTCAGCAGTTTCCCTGCCTGGGTACGGTGCGGGATCAAATCAAGACGTGTATATAATCCAAAGATCCAACCTCTCAACATCTTGCCGGCATAATTTCTGTCACACACGTTACTACCCTGGTCAATGTCCAATCCGTGGCAATTGGCATTATTCAAGACAAGGCTGATAAGGACTGCTGATCTTCTTGTAATCGTCAATTGAGAGGAGAGAGGGTTTCGAGTTGCGATCACTGAAACTCTCCATTTGTCTAGCTTTTATGCATGCAAAAGATCAGGTGTGCTGAATTGCGCTTGATGCGGCATTATCCCAATGCAGACTTACAGTGCCAAGCGTACCCGGGGTTAATTATGACTTGCATCGCCTATTTGGACAAATAGAGAAGGGTTGGGCCGTTTTGAAGTTAACGCTATCAGCTACTATGGCCGGCGTGAGTCAACCCGACGACAGTGTATGATTTCCAACACATGGATATGTTCGTCTTGATATCGGATGCGCAGGTATATTAAAACAGCACTTTGTATTCCATTAGTCTCCCTGGATGTCTAACATATGTCACTCCATCAATCATGGAATAGTATCACTCTAGTACCGGGTGAAGGCACTCGCCCTTCTTTTCATATGCTAAAATATGGGTCAAATAACTACTGACGCGAGATTGTTAATCCTACAGCAACATCATCCAGATTGGGAATCTTACCGCGTCACCTGCATCACCTCGAGCATCTAGGCCTCGAACCGCGTCTGAGAAATTAGCCAATATATCAATTATAACTGGAATCCTGACTGGCTGGTGTCACTCTAGAAGCCTAAGAAGAGCCTCGGATTTTAGACAGCTCGAGGTTGGAAGTCGTGTGCCCCAAGCTATATAGTACTTGTTCCTTGACGCCCCCGCATCTTTGCCAGTCTTATCCAGCTGTGCTTTTTTAGTGGCTTGGCTAGTGCCTGCACCTGCAGTGCATGTTAGGTCAAAGAACGTGTCATAAATCTCTTGAATCAAAGCAGAGCTAAGCTATAATATAGATCCTAGCAAAAAGAGAAAAAGATATATATCCATATATATTTGGATTAAGCTCGAGGGTTTCCCCCACAAGCATACGTCTCAAGACAGCAATGAATAGCACATACCGAGAGATCAAGGCAGCAATATAGCCCACGCACCAAGCTTCTTTACTATGCATCTCTACATCTGGTGCGACGGTTGATCTACGCTCTGACGTCAAGCGTCACGTGAGAGCACGCGTGGCCTAAGCTCATGTGGAGCGCCGATAACGAACTCTCCAGGACTCAGCTCGAGTACCTTCACCCCCCGATTATACGACTCTGTGAGGCTTTCTGGACCACTTATACGCAGTGAATAGGTATAATCTACTCCATTTATCCAGCAGTTATCTACCCTCCCCAGCCAGATACTTGGCATCGACCTCAATGGTGGTAGCCTGACAGGTGTCCACACCAACCCCACGTCCCTTTCACACCGTGATCTTTCATCTACACACTCAAAAAACATGGGTTCTTGGAATGCGTTTCGTATCATTGGTGACCTGTTTCATCTGAGCTCGATATGTGTCCTGATATGGGCAATTCACAAGAATAAGAGTGCCGAAGGTCAGTCCACCCTTGATCGAATCCGATTTGAGATACTATGCAGAGATCACTGACACAAATTTCTCTTCTAGGAGTCTCACTTCTCACGCAACTCCTATATGGCATGGTTTTTGTCTTCCGTTATCTCGACCTTTTCTCATCCTACACATGGACAGAACTCGGAACATGGCACACTCTTTACAATGTTTCCTTTAAGCTCTTCTATCTGAGTACATCTTTCTATCTAGTATTCTTGATCTTCAAGGTCTACCCACGAACACGAGAGAGGGAGCGTGCCTGGAAGCTTGGCATGTGGTCCACAATTGGGTCCTTCGTACTTGCACCCATAGCGATCCTGATTCTCGAAAGAAATGGATACCCTAAAAACTGGTTTATGGAGGTGAGAAATCCTTGAACAAGAAAGCGAAAACGTGCTAAGTTGATCCGATAGACTTGCTGGGCTTTCTCTATCATCCTCGAGTCCGTGTGTGTATTGCCACAGCTCCTTCTACTCCGCCAAACTACTGTCCCGACGGTGATCGACTCATATTACCTTGTCACTTTGGGATCATATCGAGCCTTCTACATCCTCAACTGGATCGTGCGTGTGTCTACGGAGCGCCGCTTTGACGATTGGCTCGCAGTCGTGTTTGGCATTGTGCAGACCGCCTTTTATGTGGACTTCGCCTGGGTGTACTATTCGCGCCAGCGCGTCAAGCTCCGGAATGGTGGAGTTGTTGACTCCGAGGATTATGGAAACAGCTGGCTGGTGAACCGAGTGGTGAACTTCCGGGCGTCGCGACAATCGGCAGACGAAGAGCAACATCTTCGGGACGAGGAGGAGGGAGTGGACGGTCACTCGAATCACAATCGATGGGGCGCGCGCGGTATCTCCATTGCCGCTGACGATACCCTGGACCAGAATGGTCGCGCCAAGAGTCGTCGCCATGAGGACAGCCTGGACGGATTCTCCGGAGATGAGGACGAGGAAGCCGATGAGCGCCGTGCCAACACCTCCCATTAACGATGATTTACCACACTTATTACCGCTAAGATATAACTCAGCAAAGCCGTTGCTTCTGAAGCATAGCATAGCTCCAACTGGCCTGTAAATGGATGGACTGCACGGGAAGATCCGCCTTTCGAGGCTTACTGGCCAGGGGTTTGATATCCACATATCATTTCAAGATTTGTCTTTGCTATTTTGGGGGTTGTTTAGATAGTCTTAGAAATGAATAGCAGTGGCCCCAATATTGGGGGCTATCTGTGCCACACCGTTGCACGATGTGACCCCAGGATGATTTCATGTCACCAGCCCCTGTGGCCCCAAAGCTACTTCCAGCCCACTTCCCAGCTGGGTCAGCTGGGAAGGACTCCGTTATTGATCACATGACGGGGACGTAGACGTGCAGTACTTGAGCTCAGTATTTGGGGGCGATTACGACCTGTGCCAATTCAACACCCTGGGCTGCATGCTCATAGCGAGCTTGGCGTCTGACAGCTATGCATGATCTCACCTGAAGCTATCATGTATCCAACAGTGCCTATTGACAATTGCTGACATGGTGATGGCGAGTGGAAGGTCCAGACACGCCTGGCGCTTACAGTCGAATGTACCGAACACTCCTATGTGGGGATATGCTATGGAGACAGGAAACAGCCCCCCTGATTTGCCCAGAGCCAAACCAGATCCGACGATCTGCCATTGTTTTCATCATTGGGACCACGCAAAGAAAGTTCTTCTGCGCCTTCGGGAATAATGGGGATTCGGGTGTCTGCATGAGCGCTTAACCAGCGGTCATGAATTCTCCGTGGACAAAGCCACCAAGCGGCTCGCGGAGTTTTCAGCCTCGAACACCGGATTGATCCTTGACCAGTCCAGAGCCGCCCCCGAATAACGCCCTCTGCCCGGGAAGGATCATGATCTCTCATGTCTTCATGAGATGAAGAGTATGACTGTTTTGCATTCTGGGGGCTATTACTGGGGCTGCTCCGGACTGCCAAAATGCCAATAAGGCGAGATAGACAGTCAAGGCTGACAGTCATGCAGATTATCGAAAGAAAGAAAGAAACCGTGCTATGGGGCCATCATGTTTGGGGGCCAAATGCAATCTCAAATCACTACGGAATCTAACTACGTTAAGCGCTACGCTTTGTCTCTTTTGCGCCCAGAGCGGGATCGCCCACATGGACCCCCTACCCCCAGTTTTGTTTTTCCCTTGGACCATTCGAGTTAGTGGAGAGAAAAGATTTGAATTGTTTTCTTTTGCTGACCCGCTGCAGTGGGTCTGAAGTCATAGAATTACTTCAATTCCTTTTCCACTATGCAGAGTCTGAGCCCCTTCTGGGGTGTGGATGGGGGCGGAACCGCGCTGGATATCAACTCTTAGACTATCGGATCCGCAGCGCTTAAATATAGGCCCTCGTCGAGTCTCTGAGGGAGTTTCTCATGTCCAATGCGGTACAGCGCTCCTCGGCGGTACTGATACTGATTTTGGTGCTCTCTGAGCCTATAGTTAACACCTCCAAACTACAGTTCACATCCTGCCTCACAAGGCATCCCGGGGGCCGGCTGTGATATCTCTCAAAGCGGAGTATACCAGGCAGATTGGTGCATCTATCTCGCTCTAAGCACCCCTCTTTTCCTCGCGTGGATGAATCTTATAAAATCTGCGGCCGTCGACAGTTGGAAATGTGAATCTTCTCATCCCAAGAAACACATCCGGTTTCAAGCCTCTTTATATACACTTGCAACCTGTACTATATCCAACCATCTACTTCTTCCAGCCGCCGCAGTTCCACACTTTCCCCTGCGTTGGGTTTCGCCTCCTGTTTCACAATCTGTGGCTTCGGCGTCTATCTTCCATTCAGACAAGAGAGTCAACGGCGACATACTAGGTCTGTTTCACCTTCAAGGGCAACCAGTCAGGGTCATGTCTCGTCGTCATGAGATCCCTACCTCGGAAGAGCTGCGGGAATATTATGAAAATATTCCGGCTAATTGGCCCATAGACGCGGTATGCAGCCTGTCGAGACTGTGTAGACCGAAACCCAAGCTGACCATGCAATACTATAGTCTCCGTTCATGGGAGTCAATTCTCAATATTGCACAGAGCCTCTAGTACCACCAAGCGTTTTGACCCCAATCAGTCTGCCAGATAGCTCATTCCGACCAAGTCCAGCACTCAGCCACCACTCACAGGACTACCACACACAAGAATATCAATACAGCATCAATGAATCCATCTCAGCACCACAAGGCTTGGGGATCAGCGCCCCATTCCCCAGTGAATTCCCTCAAACCTCAGCACCAAATGCTAGCTACATGTACGCGCCAGACAGCACCATGATGAGCCAAACGCCAAATATGTCACCACAGGCTCCACCACCCAAGCGCGCGAGACGTACCTCTTCGCAGCAAACGCCCCGTGACCAGCCAATCAATATCGCCCCAAATCCAGAGGGCATGCGGCAAATGGAGCGCGAGCGCATGTATGGCCAACCCTCTCCACAGCTCCCGCCTCGGCCTCGTGCTCCTGGTCGCGGGCGTCGTGACCCCCAAGCCGAAGACGAAGATTCTTTTGTGGAGACGTTGCGAGACCAAGGCGTTGCTTGGAAGGTTATCCGCGAGATGTTCATGCAGCATTTCAATAAAGATGCCACCGAGGCGCGATTGCAAATGCGTCATCTCCGCCGGAAGCGAGAGCGGGTTGCGCGTTGGGACGAGTCAGATGTGAGTATGTGTTCCACTAAACATGACCTTGAATGCTACATGCTTGGGCATATCTTATTATGCATTGAATCATTCGTCTAATATATGTGTCAATTTAGATCCAGCTCCTTATTCAAGCACATGAGCTCTGGGAAAAAGACAAATACCGTGCCCTTTCAGACATGGTAAGATCTATCAGTTCCAACAAGATTCTAGACGCAGTGTTAACATGCCTCTGTTCCAGATCAAAGAAATGGGCGCAACGAGATTCTACTCCCCAAATGCATGCAAAGCTCAAATGCGACTACTCGAGACAAAACAACAACGTCGAGATCGGGCAAGTGCGACACCCTCAGCAATGTCCGATCCTATCCCTACTACTCCGACCACTCCTAAAATCTCTCGAAAAAGACGTCGGGCTCAGTCTGAGCCGGACTCTGAGGATGAAGAGGAGTATTTTTAGATCCTGGACCTTTCCTCCCTTTTTATTTCTATATCTTCTTTATTTGTCTTCTATGAGACTATTTGTTTTTGTTTTTGAACCCTTCTTTTTACACTCATGAATGTCACGATCAGCGCGGGATCTGACAGGCGTACATTTGCATGGCCCCCTTCACTGTGCCATTATTTACATTTATTATACAACATATCACTTCATCATACAATTGATATTATTTCGACCCATTTTTCTATTTTGATACTGTAGATATCAGGTTTGTTTGTTTCAGCCAAGGTTGAACCGGGGCCAGCACCTGCGTCATTTAGTGCGGTGATCATATCTGACGGGGGCTGCGAACGATTCTATAATTATCCATGAAATTGAAGCTTCTAACATCATGTTTCTAAATGCGTAGCTATATTTCATCTGAAACATACCATGGCATGGACAAGAGTATACTGGGGGCGAAGGGGCTGGGTAAACAGGAACAAGTAAATTGTGAACAATTGAATAAGGGGCGCCCTGTATGCCTTACTCCATAACCCACTCTCTTAATAAGTGATCCATTGGAAACTCCGAGATAAAAAAAGGTCCAAGTTTATGAACCACTGCTCACTTTTCACGCCGATACTTTGGCAAGCCAAGAAATTTGCGGGATAATATTCCAAATACCTCAAGCCCACCAAAGCAACTGATCATCTACACTAAATGAGTTCCTCCGGACTCCGCACCGTACCCCACTTCCTCTCGAGCAAGCCGAAAATGCCGAGAATGCAGGATGCAGATGGTGCTAATTTCCCAACGTTCTTTTAAACGTTGCGGCTCTTCACATCACGTGAGCCACGGTTCCGTGGTCGCGTCCGAATCGTTCCGGTATCGAAGAGTTAAGCATAACTTAATATCAGAGTATTCCGTACAACATTTCGCTTCAATGAATTTGTATTATCGCGAAGTCTGTGGCAGATCTTGCAGGGACCATGTGGAGAGCAGTGGATCTGTCATGGAGTCGAAGTTGGACTGATTGGATGCAATCGGATGATCTATCAAACCATACAACATGTACTCCATACGAGTAAGTTAAGTTGTCACTATTCTAGATGACGCCACTAATGAAGTATTTGTCAGGTTTGGCATGACATTCACACTCTTCGAAGCGAGAATGCCGTTTCAAGAATGGTTTTTTGCGCCACCATTGCCCCTCTTTTCTGACAGTTTCACCGATCTGACCGATCTGCCAAGTTGTTAAAGTACTATGGAAAGAGAGTATTTGGAATCCTAGTAAACAGAATAGCGCTTCAAGCATTCAATAGACTTTACCGCAAGTTACAAGAGTGTTAATGCTGGCAATATTGTGGATTGGCTCTTAGCGTATACATATACACCCGCTGTAGGAAATAAGACTAGGCTCGGTGTTGAAAAGCTCCATGAGACACCCAGAACAAAGGAGATCCACCAGGGTCCACAGTGATCTTCCGAGTATAAGGCAGCCTTGCTTGTAGGTTCAACCGACCAACCTTCGGTCCCAATGATTGATTAAGAGACCAAATGATTCAGAATACAAGGGCCTCTTCTTCGAAACCAACATCTGCCATACTTCCTGTCAACACTGTCAACTTGAAAAACAGGTAACCACCTGACGAGGCCAATACTATTGACAAACCAAACGACCTTTGCTTGAAACCGCTATGTATCTCCAACCAGCAAGATTTGGGGATAGTTGAACCTCATGAGTTCTTGGGTGGACCTATCAAACACGACACCTTAAGGTACGCTAATGCAGAATCCAACCTGGTTTGAAAGAAAGAAAGTCCTGACATTGGGTTGAACGGAATGAAGGCAGGAGCAAATTTCGGAAGTGTCTCACTGTGGACAGATCGTATTGTCTGGCCAACCGTATCGGCGAACAAGAAATTTTGTTGCTATATAACAGCAACTCACACTGAACTCTCGTCTTAGGTTGTAGTGATGATCATTTGTCTAACTGTGAATATCTCGAAACCAAGATAGAGTGGACACTTTCCAAAACAAACTTCTACGCTGTTGGTACTTGTCTATCAACCAGCATCAAGATCCATGTAAATGAGTGCGTGACGAGTACAAGCATGAAATAGACCAAGATGAGCAAGATGTTGACGCTGCACCAAATGAAGGATATGATGACATAGTGTACACATTGTCCTTTTATATGGAGCGTCATTTGCCAGATTATGTGTAGCGGGCACTCGATAATGAAGAAGCCGTGTTAGTCGGCCTGACAAATGCCCCCCTTGGGCACCCAGATAAGAATAGCAAGAAAAATCAAACATAGTTCTCCTGATCAGGGGATGGAGAGATACCTTGGGAATTCCGGAGACACAATAAAGAGCTTCGTAACTCAGCGCAGCTCATATCATGATCTTGATTCGACGGAACATCCTGGCGTCATATTGTGAGGGTAGATAGCGGCGCAACAAGTTAATCATGTGCATTTGTTGGAAACAAACATGCATATGACTCGCCCTGAGTCAGTGAGCGGTACACGTAAGACTATGCACCACGTGCGATCGGAACCCCGGAGGCGACCTAATAATTGAGAATTGTCTTAGGATTAGGTTGATAAATCGAGTGAAAATGGTATTTTTTTGTTCCATGTAGATAAAAAGTAACCAAAAGAGAAGAATCACGACCACAATGACGTGATCATGCTAGGGAGGTCAAGAATGTGCAGGTCTTAGATGTACAGCTTATCAACGAAGGGTGCATTGGTGGCGACTGAAACCTGTTGTATGAAAAATATGGCATATTTAACCACCGATCTCATAGACAGCCAGAGTGGGGGACAAACGACAATGCTCATGTTGAAGAAGACGCCTGGCGGCACCCAAAGGGCTGTGCGTCAACCAAGTCGGTCCGAATATATATATGAGGTATAAAGCACCAACCAACAGTAATCGACTCGGAGATAATCATGGAAAGCCCAAAAATAATCCCGAAGATAAGGGAATTTGCGGTATGGAGGGGCATGGCAAAACTTCGGCTATGAAACTGCACCGTAGGAACACACATGAGGGGAAGTGGATTTCATTCAGTAACCGTGGGATAGCAATGAGGTCAAGTGGGCAAGTATTCCGAATCGCACAGCCAATTGCCGACCCCGAAAGTAATCGTGTAGATATTGTGGGCGGGCTTGATGCGGAGATAGCTGGTCCGGTCGGCATTCGGGTCTGTGCCACGGTAAGCCCCAAGGTCAAAGATCCACTCTCAATCTCAATACACAAAAATGATTGGGCCAGTCGGCGGTTGTCCGAAGCTTGGTAAGCTTGTCTTTCCCCAGCCATAGTTTAGTTACGTTTAGTTCATTCATCTACAAGTCTGGGGCCCCTCGCTTTGGGGGTGGGGGCGTCTCAACGTTACATTGTGCTTGCAGTTTATTACCTGCTCCGCCCCTTGCGCGTGTTCGTGGGAGAATTGAAGCTTTTCAACTCTTTGGCCCAAACCCGTGCATCTTTCTTGGTAGAGGTCTATCCATCGAATTGTCATGGCAAGCAAGCTAAGAGGCAAGTCTTTGAGCCTCGTCATCGGTCTCATTGGTGCCGTTGGTTTCGTACTCCAGGGCTACGATCAGGCAGTTTGCAATGGGCTGTTGACGCTTGGTTCATTCATTGCTGTATTCCCTCAGATCGACACTGTCCATACTACGGGAAGTCAAAATTCACACAACTCTACTATTCAAGGTATGCAAGTCTTTGTTGCAAACGACAGTCTTGCTGACCATGAGAGGCACCACGGTCGCAATCTATGAAGTTGGATGTGCACTGGGCGCCGGTTCCTGTGCCTTTCTGGGCGACAGGCTCGGTCGCCGCAAGACCATCTTTCTGGCTGGTTGCATCGCTATAGTCGGTATAATTATCCAGTCAACTCCGTTCTCACTCGGTCAGCTCATTGCTGGTAGAGTTATTACTGGTAATGCTTCATCCCATCATTACTCGATCACCATGACCTAACTAAAAGGGAACATATAGGCCTCGGAGTAGGCGGATTCACAGCTACCATCCCAATGTATGTCTCCGAATCATCTGTCGCAGAAGCCCGTGGTAGGATGGTCTTGCTTGAAGGATGGTTCGCAATCGGTGGTATTGTCCTCGCAACATGGCTAGAATTCGGACTCTACTATGTGAGCGACAACTCTGTCAGCTGGCGTTTCCCCATCGCCTTCCAGGGTCTGTTTGCTATCATAGTCGTGGCATGCATCCTGCTTCTACCAGAGTCCCCACGCTGGCTTGCGCGCGCTGGAAGAATGGACGAGGCAGCTGAAGTGCTAGCCCGCATGGAAGACGTCTCGGTTGATTCCGAACATGTCTTGCAAGAGTTGGAGATTATCCGGCAGTCGCTTGTTATGGATGAGAATAACGAGTCAACGGGCTCCTCCTCGCCGTTCGCACTTACGGAAAATGGCCATCTACACAGGACGGTTATTGCTGTGGGTGTGAACATCCTGGCGCAGATGACCGGTGTCAACATCATTACTTTCTACTCCGATACTATTTTCGAGAATGATTTGGGATATTCGGGCACCATCGCTCGAATTATCACCGGGTGTCTCCAGATCTGGCAGTTCGTGGCGGCTGGTCTGGCCGTCCTACTCATTGACCGAGTTGGACGTCGTCCACTGTTTATCGCAGCCGCAGCCGGTATGACAGTTGCCCAGGCCTGTCTGGCCGGACTATCAAGCGATCTGAGCAACCACGCCGCTGCGAGTGCATCCCTCCTATTCTACTTTATTGCATTATTCTGCTTCCCCATTGGACTATTCCTTGTCCCATTCATGTACGCTGCTGAGATTGCACCTCTACGCACCCGTGCTAAGGTCACAGCTATGTCGGCTGCTGCAAACTGGCTGTTCAATTTTGTCCTTGCGGAAGTGAGTCCTGTTGGATTTGCCACTATTCATTGGCGGTACTATATTATTTATGCATGCATCAGTGCTTTCGCTTGTGTCAGCTTCTATCTCTTCTGCCCTGAGACTAAGGGACGCACATTAGAAGAGATTGACGAGATCTTTGTCCAGTCGAAGTCTATCTTCGATACTGTGAGAATTGCACAGGAGATGCCCTTCCAGTCGGAGTTGTTGGCTTATCCTGATGACACTGGGAAGGGTGGTGTTGGGGATGCACAGATTGAGCGAGCATGAACAGGAGATGACATGACTATCATGAATGATGTTGGATAACGGAGGCCGATAGACTATAAATTTGCCTTCTTTGGCCCTGTGGCTTGTTATATGTTATACCAAAGAAAGAAATGGTAGAAGGTATGTCATTTGGTCATGTCAATTTCTCGTGAAAAGCAGCTCGTAACTCTATATTCGTCAAACATCCGACTCCAAATGCTGGAATAATACGAACGCAGCGCGTGAAAGTGGACGAGGCAAGATACTGCTGTGACTGCTTGACTCTTTCCACAAAGGGCACATGATACTGCCTCGTATACATATCCAACGCAAGCAAATGCAATGGAGTAGCCACTAACTGTGTCAACACAGGCACAGTCAATTGGGTGATAACTGGCTTAGCATGAGGATGCGCCGCCAGGTTATCAGGGATCGCAGCCGAGAGCCACGGTGCCAGCGTAAACGACCCAAAGATAGTGACACCATCGCGCACCAGAAAGATAGCAGCGGCTGCCCGAGCGATGGACTTGTTCTGTCGGAGGGGCGTAGGATTGCCAGTCTTGGCATCGGGAGTCTTGCCGAAGCCATAGATCTGCGCAAATCGGATGTCCTTCCACAGCGCTAACGGCACGTTTGCCAGCATCGTCGTGGCAAACGTTATTGTCCCCGCTGCACTTATCTCCAGCTTGCGACTGACTGTATCGGTCACGTTGGCGACCGAGTAAGTGGCCGCGTAGAGAGCCCAGATATAGCCAAATGGGCGCTGGAAAACGAACAGGTGTGGTTGTTTGAGCGCTGCAATCGCATGTCGGCGGAGACCCTGAAGAATCGGCTGCTTGAATGCAGACTGCTCGACAATTGATCTAGGCGCGTGTTAGAAATTACCAGCGCGCTTGGAGTTGAGACTTGCCGGTCGATAAGTGCTACTGCGGGTGTCACGAGGGTCGCAGAGACTGTAGCCGCAGCCAAATCGCCCACCAGTTGGCCCAGATGTGTGCTACTCCAACGAACCTGATGTGATTGAATTTCCATAGTGGTTTGGGTTACCTAGTTACTCTCTCTTGCTTATCTACCTGGAAACATGCTGATAATGACTATTCAACCCACTCCGATATGGGGGACCGGCAACCCTTCCGACGTCGCGTACTTCCAGTCACAACTGTGCATTTTAGCTTAACCGGAGCATCATCGCTCGCTCGGACTGAAATACCAGTTGTGGGGTAACGGCCAAGCCCCCGATATTTTCATGAGGGGTTGGTCGACCTTTAAATTCATGAGCTCGTCTCGATTTCATGATTTTTCAAGTTCACTTTGCTGTTGACTCAATCATACAACATATTCGCCATGTCTACGGCTTCCCTCATGAGATTGCGCGCCACACGGCCGTCTGGCCTTCGTCTGCGCTCTGTTCCGGGGCTATCTATGCAGACACGTGCTAAAACCACCATGCCCTTCCGCCTGCCTGATGCCAGGAACGAGCCCAACGTAAGTGAACATCAACTATGAAGACAACTCCAAGCTGATCATAGTATAGCCTGAATACAGGACAGGATCCCCAGAGCGCGCAAAGGTTGAGGAGGCTTTGAAGCAGCTTCGCTCTCAGATGCCCGTGCGGAGTGAGCTCTTCTACGATGGAAAGTTCCAAGCCAGCTCTCAGTCTTGGGATCAGCCATTGCCCGCAGAACACGGAACTCCTTTCACAAACTACCCCCTCGCCACCAAAGAACAAACAAACGAAGCTATCAGCAAGGCCCTGGAAGCCAAGCAGAGCTGGCAGGACACTCCATTCGTTGACCGTGCCTCGATCTTCCTCAAGGCTGCTGAGTTGGTTTGCACCAAGTACCGATATGAGCTTATTGCGGCCACTATGCTTGGCCAGGGCAAGAACATCTGGCAGGGAGAGATTGATGCCGCTGCTGAATTGGCGGACTTCTTCCGCTTGAACTGCAACTGGGCCGGCGAGATTTTAGAGAAGCAGCCCACTCGTGGCACTGACGGCATGTGGAGGTGAGCTTGTACAAATCCTTGTATAGATACGAGGAACTTTTCACTGACTTGATGCAGTCGCGTGGAGTACCGTCCCCTGGAGGGCTTCGTCTACGCCGTCTCCCCCTTCAACTTCACAGCCATCGGCGGAAACCTGATTTGCGGACCTGCATTGATGGGTAATGTCGTTCTGTGGAAGCCCTCGCCATCCAACGTCTACGCCAGCTACTTGGTCTACAAGATTCTCCTGGAAGCCGGTCTTCCTCCCAACGTTATCCAGTTCGTCACTGGAGACCCAGAGGCCATCACCGACACTGTGCTTGAGCACCGTGACTTTGCCGGTCTGAACTTCATTGGATCTTCAGATGTCTTCCGCTCTCTGTACGGTCGGATCGGACAGGGTGTTGCCCAGAAGTCCTACCGTGAGTTCCCTCGCATGGTTGCCGAGACTAGCGGGAAGAACTTCCACCTTGTTCACCCCACGGCCGATATCCCCAGTGCCGTTAACCACACCATTCGTGGCTCCTTCGAATACCAGGGCCAGAAGTGCTCTGCTACATCCCGTGTCTATATTCCCGAGTCTCGGGCTGAGGAGTTCCTCACTGCTCTGAAGGCTGGTGTCAAGGAAATTACTATTGGAAACCCCGACAAGGACCTGTCTGCCTTCATGGGTCCCGTGATCCACCGTGCTTCTTTCGAGAAGATCAAGGGTATCATTGATGCCAGCAACAAGGACCCCTCGCTCAAGCTGATTGCCGGAGGCACCTATGATGGTTCCGTTGGCTACTACATCCACCCTACTGTCTACCAGGCTGATTCTCCCGACCACCGTCTCTTCAACGAGGAAATCTTCGGTCCTGTCCTCACCGTCTACGTCTACAAGGACGCTGAATGGGCCCAGACCCTGAAGGATGTTGACCGCAACGGAGGTGGCCTCGCCCTGACCGGTGCTGTCTTTGCCAAGGACCGCGTTGCCATCCGCCAGGCTGAGGATGCTCTCCGTTACTCTGCTGGAAACTTCTATATCAGTAAGCTTCACCATTTTCAAAGAAAACATGACCAAAGCTAATCATTCTATTCTTGTAGACTGCAAGACCACTGCGGCGCTTATTGGCCAGCAATCCTTTGGTGGTGCCCGCGCCAGTGGAACCAACGACAAGGCTGGTAGTGCTGATCCCCTCCGCCGCTTCGTCAGCCCCCGTTTGATTAAGGAGGAGTTCTTCCCTCAGGAGGGATTCATGTATCCCAGCAACAACTGAGGGGCTAGAATGCATTATGAACAGTTCTGTAGACGATTTAGTAAAATATGTACTCTCACAATTTAATCATGCGCTTGTTATGTCTACACCTATCATTATTGTCAAATTGAAAGAGATTAGTCTTTGCTTGTTAGTGGCTTCGACTGCTAAGATGTGCGTTGGACTACTTGTCAGATTATGCCTGGTAAAAAGGTAACGTTATACTATTGCTGCGTTATATGGCCAAGGCCTTAATTGGAGACGGGTATGGTAAAAAAAGACATTCTCGTGTCGATAAGCATTGGAATCGTTTCGTCCCAACAATGCTTGTGGATGGTCTAAGTTAAGTACGGAAGTATCCGATATCCTGACTTCGACTTCTCAGCCAATTTATAGATGTTGCATCCGCGCGCACTGCTAACCTTATTGATTATGCTACTCTCCCTGATTAGTACGACAAAAGAGGAGATAAATAAATAATGGTACACATGTCTCTATACCAACAATACAAGATTACTCCGGCACCGAACTAGGACCGCCAGACCGCAAGGCTAGCCGAAAGATAGCTCACCAGTCAACCCCACCAAGTCAGACCATGAGAACCAGATGACTTGTGCTAGACTGAGGAGTCAAACTGCCCTTATCGAAACCCGACATTGAAGCTTATCAAAAAAATCCACACCGGAAGACCTCCCGACGGCCACCTCTCCGCACTCCCCGCACTTTGTAGATAGTTCGGCCAGCCTACCGTATAGGCCAACACACGATAAATATAGATACTTATAACTGCAGACAAACCTGGCTGTTTACCCATCGTTGCAATAGCATCTAAATCAACATGGGAGTTTCCAAATCTGAGCCGGTCATCATCGTTGGCGGAGGAGCCTTCGGCCTCTCAACCGCTCTACATCTGACTCGCGATGGCTACACAAACGTGTCAGTCTACGAGAAAGACGATCATATTCCTCCTCGGTCCTCAGCTGCCAATGATCTGAACAAGATTGTTCGCGCGGAGTATGAGGATCCCTTCTATACCGATCTGACAATTGTTCGTTTTATACTCCGTCCATACTTGCATACTCTATATTCTCCGCGAACATATACTAACCAGTGTCTTGATTATGTATTATAGAAAGCGATTGCTGCGTGGAAAACTCCCCTCTTCGCCCCTTACTTCCACCAAACCGGCTTCCTCCACTGCGTATCCGGTGACGCGCCCCAAAAAGCCATCGAGACTCTGAACCGTTTCCGCGGTGCAGCAGAAGGAAATGCCCAGATCAAGCCGCACGTCGTCCCACTCAAAGGCGACAAAGACATCCGCGAAGCATGCTGGCAGCTCAACGGCCCATTGACCGGCTGGAACGGCTATCTCAACCGCTTCGACGGATACGCGCACTCAGGCAACGCCTTGGCAGCCGTATACCGCGCAGCCCAAGCAGCCGGGGTCCGCTTCTACCTTGGCGAACGCGGCGCAGTAGACGAGATCGTCTACGTGTCCACGCTGAAGGGCCGCAAGAGCTCAGGCATCCGCACAAAAGACGGCAAATTCCACCCGTCGTCGCTGGTAATTGTTGCAGCAGGCGGTGCTGTCGGACGCCTTGTTCCAGAGCTTGGAACGAACGTTGTTGCCAAATCGTGGTCTGTTGCACATGTCCACCTGACAGATGAGGAGACATCCATGTTGCGCAATATCCCTGTAACCTACGCTCGCGACCTTGGCTTCCTCTTCGAGCCTGATCCCGAGACGAACCTCTTGAAGATTTGTCCTATGGGAGGTGGGTATATTAATACAGACGCCAAGAGTGGAGTTTCGCATATGCCTTCGTCGTTGGAGGAGAGTGCGTTCATTCCGGAGCATGATGAGAAGCAGATGAGGAAGTTGCTTGCTCATACGCTCCCGGCGCTGAAGGATCGGCCGCTGGTTAAGCGGTCGCTTTGTTGGTTTGCTGATACTGATGATTCGGACTTTATTATTGATTATTTGCCCGAGACTTCGGATTCGGTGGTTGTTCTTTCGGGTGATTCTGGGCATGGGTTTAAGATGTTCCCTATCTTTGGGTCTTGGGTTAGGGGGTTGTTGGGTGCTGGACAGCAGCACATTAAGAGGTGGAAGTGGAAGCAGCCTAAGCCTGCTGGCGAGAAAGGGAATTGGGGCGGTGATGTGAGTTGGAGAATTGGGGAGTCGAAGGAGCTTGCTGAGATTCGCCCGGGTAGATCGTCTAAGCTTTAGATAGCTTTGCTAGAACTTTTTGATTTACAAGCCTTTTGGTTCTTTTTCATTCAATTCTTGATATTATAGGAATCTGTTCAATGAAATAGCAATACATTGGGCGCCAAGTACATCGGAGTCCATCACATTCGTTACACATGACAACGACAATCTACCAAATACTATGCTCAACCATGGCATTCGACACCCACTCGGTATCAAACGATTCAATAGAATCTGCAACAGCCATGATTTCAGCCGAAGTTAACATCGTCCCGAAATCACACTCTCCATCCAACACAGGATCCTGCCTGAGAAGAGCATTGTATTGAGTAGGCGGTGGCATTGATCCCGGAATGGATGTTGAAGACGGAGAAAGCGGATTGGGAAGAACATCATTCTGGTGGAAGAAGTTAGGCACCGTCAAAGGTCGAGATTGACCCCGAGAGATGCAACTCAAAGTCTCGTCCAGTCTTTGAAGCTCTGTCCGTCGGAAACTGGCAACTTGGTTTCCGTCTCCGATCATTTCGTCGAAGATTGCGTAGGCCTTTTCCAGCCAGCTGGGATGACTGTCTAGTGAGCGGGGGTCGATTGTCGGACCTAATAGAAGAATCACAGTTGATACAAAAAGGGATTCGAGGTCGAAGGGAAGGAAGGTTTCTGAACCAGGAAGTTAGTCTCAATGTGTTTGGGAGGATGTCTGGAAGATTTGCGTACCTAGAAGACCCTGGATTTGTAGACTGTGGAGGATACTGATGATGTGCTGAGCAGATTCAAGACACATTTGCATCAAGTTCTGAACATTGCGGGATGCGTTCAAGGAGGCTAGACAGGATTCTGGTGACTCGAATTGTATTTTGAGGAAGCAGAATAATAGAGGTCGGGTCGCGAGGATAATACACTTGACAAAGGTCAGCGGCCGTATTGTCGTTCTGAGAGAGGTACATACCTGATGATATAGAAGGTGTAAAGAGGCCGAAGTTCGGGAAACACCGCTAACTTCTCGGTCCAAATGTAACGGTACTGCTTCGCGGAGTTCATCAGCAAGGCTGGCGATATTCGCTAAGGCGGCTTTAGTGCTGAGTAGGAATGTTCGATTGATGCGGCCGTCAATAGCATATACTTCTGTTAAAGAGTTAGATTATATCCTTAGTAAGAGGGGCCGGTGAATCTTACTACTGTTGACCTCAGCGATAATCTGAGACAATTTGATATGCATACCAAGCGACACGGTCTCTGCTTGGTCTGAGAATGTAGGAAGCTGGGTTTGCACGTAGCGATCATTGATAGACTGAGGTAGACCCATAAGAGAGGTCATTTCCCTATCTAGAATGTACACTGTCCACCAGATCTTGCCACATCTCTGAACCGTGTCATGACCCAGATCTTCGACTGGCATTCTAGTGTGCATTCCCTGTGCCATGGCCATTCGCATAGCTTGACCAATCTAGAAATTTAGTTAGCCACGGGATACAACAATCTCTCTTGCCGGAGGTCTTACATAGTTGTGCGCCGATGTTCTGCAATCGATGCACTGGGAATATAACGCGATACAACAGAGGATTTCTGTTGCCACCATAGGATCACGGTATAGAGCACCGGGATCAGGGAGAAGCTGCAAAGCTTTGACAAAGTAGCCAACGCCAGGCGGCTTCTTACCTTGGGCCTTGGGTTGAACAAATCCTTTTCCAAAAGCCAAGATCACGAGGAAATGGATGTACCATAGGCTATTGGTCATGTTGGGACCATCCCCTGAGTAGAATTCCTCAAGCGAGGTCATAAAATCACCTTCTTCAAAAAGATGATACAATTGCCCACAGCGGAATTTCACAGCGTTGATCAGATACATGGTGTGGTCGCGAGTAGGAACAATAGGAACATCTGGGCCTGGGGTTGTTCGTAACCCGTCCCATGGGAGTTCATAAGTCATTTCGTCAAACAGTAATGCTTCTGGTGACAGTGCTTCCTGATAGGCATGTTGATGCGCCAGGCTAAGAATGCGCCGAGTAAATGACCAATTTGACGATGTTCCAAGATAGACTAGTGGGGTCAGAATTTTGCCTCGCAAAATTATAAGACAAAACGTACATGTTCGGCCATTCGCCGCAGACATAAAGGCAGGAGGGCCGCTTGAAAGTGGGTTTGTCAAGCTAGAATCTGCATCTTCGTAGTCTCGAGACTCATCATGATCCTCGGGAGTGATCCTATCCAGTGATGCCTCTTCGTGATCCTTTGCATCTATAATCAATCAGCCGAGGTCATTTCGCTCACGCATCACATAGCCGCACTGACCATTGGTCTGTGTATCAAAGTTGGAACTGAAAGGACTTCGTTGGCCCTTTTCCGATTGCTCTATAAGCGCAATCCTCTGCTGCAGCTCCATGATGTACCTACATCGATCATTAGCCGTTGAACTTGCAGACTTTGCATTAGACATACCCTTTTGTGACCAGGATCTTCTGATCTCGGTCATTGAAGATACATGATAGCTTGCGCTTGCTGCACCCGTCGCAGGGCAGCGATCCGGAGCATTTGATCTTTTGTCTCCGACACCGCACACAACTGACCAAATTAGCGACCGGAAGCTCGCTGAACTGGTTTCACTAACGCATTTGAGGATCGCTTTGCGACTCTTCCATCTCCCGCCATGTGTATCTATTGTCGTGAAGTTGATGAGATACAAGGGTTGACATGGTCAGAATGCGGGGGTGAACAAGGAAGTGGAACTATGATTGGGGCGGCCTACCAAACGAATCACAAAGTGGCAAAGAGGAACTTCTTATCGAACGCGAGTGGAGAAGTCACCGATGTCGGGCGCCCTTCCGGTTATCAGTTAACATTTGGTCATGTTCAGTATTTCTCTACAATCATTATCGTTGCCCGAGGAGATGGACATTTGTCTCCCAGAACTGTCGGCAATGGGTGTGACCCCAATGTTCTGTCCACCACTCGCCAAAACTATCTTGTACATCCAATTCATCCACCCGTAATACTCGCTCGTCTCTTTTGAGCGCACATAGTGCACAGGAATGGGAAGCTTTCAACGCTCCTTGGTCCGACCGAGCCACAATGACTTTGAGCGCACTGGAGTCCGGGACCGCGGGAATCGGTCGGTGGCCTGCGGCTTGTAGAACAGCACTGAAGACCGCCGCCCGTTCTCGCCAAAGACTAAGGACATTGACAGCATCTTGTTCTTCTTTGATGTTCTCATGTTTGTTCACGCTGTTGAGTTTCATGCCACCTGCTTTCCCGGAACGAGCAGGGCCGATTCGCATACTCTGGCTGAGAATTGTGTCCCGTTTCCAGCGGAGAGTTCGCCCTGCAATCACGCGGGCAGCTGATTCAAGCGCATTGTGGATATTTGATGCAGTCGCGGAAAGGTTGGTTGTGCCTGAAGGCGATGATCGTAGTTGAGCTTTGACCTGTGTAGCCTCCTTGTGTAGATCTTCAAACACATCTAAGAACAATTCGAGAAGTACAGATGGCGGTGGAATATTTGTTGGGCGAACGGTCGGTGACGATGCCGAGCTTCCAGAAAAGAAGCTTCGGGGAGCTGGACTCGTGACTGTTGACGAAGGAGTATTCGATTCGGGAGCTGGTGGTGCACTGGGTCCATCCGTGAAATCACCCCAACTATCAAAGGCGTCCTCATCCCAGGTTGATGCCGGGAGTTTGCTAGATTTGACAGGTGGTTTTGCCTTTTTTACAGAGACCTTTGGCGGAGGCTTGCTAGCGGGTGCGTCGGCGAACTCACCCCAGTCACCAAACGAGTCATCATCCCATGTCGATTGCGTCTGATCATTAGGTTGAGAAGGTTGCTTCTTTCGAGGAGTTTTTGTTTCCTGGTTCAGCGTTGGTGCGGTGTCGCATATTGATGCCCCGAAAGCGTCTCGCTGAGGCCATGAAGCTTGTGATCTTGGAAATGTAGCTACTGATGATGGTTGGGATGGAGCTGTTGGCCTCGGAACCTGCTGGGAAGTAGACTCTGGTCCCTCAAATTCACCCCAGTCGTCATCCGCATCACTTGCTGGAGCATCGAATGCTGCATCGAACAATAAATCACTGTTTTGATGCAGTGGTAAATCAAATTGCGGTTGAGAATGGGATCCCCAGGGGGTTTGACCTGCGGGATGGTTCCCAGCTGCCTTCGGGATAGGATCCGCAGCTCTGTGCTGCGAAGCACTTGCCGGTGCTCCGAAGAAATCGATATTCTCTTGGTTCAAGTCATCCAAGAATGAACTCTGTTTGTTCTGCTGGCCAGAAGAACCACTGGCTGGAGCAGGGGCCTGGCCAAATTCTGCTAGTAGATCGGCAGACATATCGGACGTGGTGTCATGAAGCGGCGAAAGGTGACATTTGAAATGCGGGCTGGTTCTGCACGTGCAAATTGACGGATCTTATATCGACGTCAACCGAGATATCCTTTCACGTTTCCTAAATGCTATGTAAAATCCTCCGGCTGAAACCCCAGTGAAGCTCGGAGGGTAATGTCGCAATGACGATAAGGCGGTCTACTTATCGGCCCCCCTCATCTTCTCTTGTCAACAACTTCGGCAATGCGAACCATTGAGGAGACACGGTATGAACCACTGCTTTTGCTATGAGTATATTATTACTGACCTTCGCAGAAAGAGATGGGACATCCTGTTCTCCGACAATGACACGCCCTCCGACCTACGAGCGACCTTGCGATCCGAACAGGGTAACCTATGCAACGATGGGCTGAGATCGGTTTGTTGGAAGGTTCTGTGACTCGAAATGACTGAGATTGGATACAAATTCTCATTAGAATATAGGCATTCCTGCTTTTCGACGGCCTGGATCAAAATGAATGGGCGGCCAAGCTCGACGAATCCCGCGACGCCTATCGCGCACTCCGAGACCACTTTTTGAAATACATAGAGCACCCGGACGACATAGATTCGAGCGTTGATCCGCTGGCGGATGATGCAGAGGTATGCTTTGCTCTGCTTCGTTCTGATTGTACCAATTAGTGTCTTATCTGATCAATCTTTGGAATGTTCAGTCTCCTTGGCAAACGCTCCGAAACGATGAGACACTGCGCGCCGAAATCCTACAAGACGTTGACCGATGTTTGCAAGAGAACTTTTTTTTCCAAGAGCCTGCTACGAAGTCCAAGTTGACCGATGCCCTATTTGTCTACTCCAAGCTCAATCCGGACGTGGGGTATAGACAAGGAATGCATGAGCTGCTTGCACCAATACTTTGGGCAGTAGACCGAGACTCAGTGAAGCTACAACCTGGAAAATCTGGTTCGACCAATGATAAGAACGAGGAATTGATGCTTCAGCTTCTTGACCCTCAATTCGTGGAGCACGATTCCTTTACGCTGTTCCTTTCTGTTATGCAGACAGCGCGTATCTACTACGAACATAGTGAGACACGATCTGCAAATGGCCAGGCGGAGGTGATTCCAATAGTCGATCGGTGCCAATATCTTCACAAAGAGGCATTGATGATCATTGATCACGAACTCGCGGAACATCTCGAAGCAGTCGATGTTCTACCACAAATTTTTTTGACGTAGGTTGCAGTGCCTTGAAATGTGTGATCTACATGCTGACCCTGTGCAAAGCCGCTGGATGCGTCTCCTGTTTGGACGTGAATTTCCCTTCGATGATGTCCTGCTGATGTGGGATCTCCTGTTTGCTCATGGACTACGGTCTGATCTCGTTGATTTCACATGCATATCTATGCTTCTTAGAATCCGCTGGCAATGTTGGTAGACCCGCAGTCACTCGTTGTTACCCGATCAAGCTAACATTTGCGATCTAGTGCTCGAGGCAGACTACTCGACTGCGTTGACATTATTACTCCGCTATCCTTCACCTCAGCCACATGAACCCCAGACCTTTGTGCACGACGCGTTGTACTTGGAGCAGAACCCTACCGCCGAGCGGGGCAACTTTATCATTTCGAAGTACTCGGGTAGACCACCCGAACCGAAGGGTCGCAGCCAATCTAACACACGAAGAAAGGCCTTCCTATGGGAAGACTTCAAGAGACGCAGTGAAAGCAGCTCACCGGCTCATTCCCCCGCACGAAACAACATTAAAAGTCTTGAATCAATTTTGCAGGATGTTTCACAGGGCATCCAACGCCGGACAGAGGCTTGGGGTGTGGCCAAGGCCGTTCGAGGTGCCGTGACTGAAGCGAGGAAAAATATGCAGACAATGCATTACGAGCCAAATTTGCGCGCCCCCTCTTCAAGACCCGGTACAGCCGGGTCAGGTTCTGAGGCTCAACCAACGGCCCTCACAATATCCGCGGCCACGGCTGCGCTGGAATCGAAGATTGATATTCTCGAAGAGAGGAATAAAATTTTGGCAACTACTTTACGCAATGCACTCAGTGATCTTCACTCACAGCTGGCCAATGTCAAAGACATCGATCCCGGAACAAACGATTGCCTGAAGCAAGCTCTGGCCCAAGCCGTGAGCGTCCAGGTTTGCCTCCAAGATCCATCTGTCCCGGTAGAGTCCACCGAGCATCCGCCTCGCGTAGACGGTAAAGCAATCAGCCAGATTGGGCTTCAAAAGACGAGCAGTCCAACAATTAGCGAAAGAAAGCGCGATCTCCAAATCGAGGGTCCATCGCGAACGCCAACTTCCGCTTACACGAATACGACCGGGCCGACTGCCGAAAGTGGAACCTCTAAGCCTGTTCGCGTCACGACAAATCGGATGAACACTGACAAGCAAGCTGAAGGCGTGCGGGCAACAGCCTCGCGATCAAATGTGCGCCCGTCCCTGACAGATGCAGGGTTCTCATGGATGCTTGATGGCGGCCGGAACCTATCGGGGTTCGTTAGCTCCACGTCGCCGCCGCCGGAGCAGACACGGCAGCAGGACCAAGCCCAAGCCCGCAGACCCAGCACCTTGTTCGGATCTGGCGGAGATGAAATTTCAGGGACGAATGCCGAACATGGTGAATTGGCACTACACAGCCTTCGGGGCTCTCGGGATCCCCTGTCAGGGGATGGGCCATTATGATCGCCTCGATTATGGCCTCTATCACTGGTTGCGTACACTATCCGGTGATATATGGGAACCCATGGGGCCCACTTGTTATCGCCCAGGCTACATAGTTATTTCACAATAGGACTCGGACACCTAAAGGAGTCAAGCATGGTCCCACATCAGGCGCTCGGATCTATCGCAAGCCACTTTGCATCATCGTCTGCAGAACAACTTTAGAGATAGATACTTGGAAACAGGCTGGCACCTCTTTGAAGCGGGGTAACCTTTGCCTGAGCGTCTATACGGTGGAAAACAACGACCATCGGCCTCTAGCAAAAGATCCATTTCAAATCTCCAATTCCACAGCTCAACTTATATGTATGAAGCCAACTTGATTCCGAACTTTCATGATCTCGCTCCACGCACTGGAACTTTAAGATATAATTAGTACCCACGAGTGTCACACTAAAAGTATTTAGAAGAGTTTATTGCTTAACTCTCCTTAGATCTATAGGACTTTGATGTCATGATTGCTATTTTCTGCCATGTGCACATGTGTTCTTAGGTATCAAAGTAGTAGCTTGGTATTTTGGCGTCCTATTCCCGGGTTGACTTACCTCTATAGACCAAGATTCTTCATAGATCTCTAAGAACATACACACAACAAGGCTATAATGCCACGTGGGAGAAAAGGTGTCGATCAGCCGACTTTTTACAGTAGAATTAATAAGAAAGAAAGCCAGAGTTATAGAAGTCAAAGGCGACATTACATCACGGAAGGGGACCCAGTCCTTTGGCATTTTCCCTTGGGCTCCCCACCTCACTAATCCCCCGCTGCGCTTTTCTTTTCTCCTTTCCCCCCTACTACTTCTACACTTTCTCTTCTTTGCGTGCTCAGCCGCGACGCCACATATGTCGCCTGAGTCCTTACGAGGCAGCTGTCCCCTCGACCGCCGCAGCGAATGACCGTCCACAACTCCACACACCTATACATGTCGCATAACCTCTCTTTCACGAGTGCTCGCCTCGATTGAGCCTCATCCCTTCCTTTCCACCTGACCTCTTTTACTAAAAAGGGGCCAGAAATAATTAAATAACCAAAAAGAGAATGGGTTCTGCTTATATCCCTGATGGTAAGTCAGTTGCACATGCTTTTGCTGTTGACCTTGCCTCTGTTTCACATTCCATGGGCCTCGGGAACCAGTGGGGGAGATCGAGGAAACAAGCGAAACTACAGTTCCCGGATCGAGATCAGATGTGCTGGAGCGCCCGGGCGAAAGCAAACGCTAAGGTTGTGTTCCAACCGGATTCACTCTCAACACGAGTCACGTCTCCGGTGCATCTGACCACGGAGATCAACCGTCCGGATCACTAGATCATTCCAGGGCCCGTGGAATGGAAACTTCGGCACGCGCCGATTGAGTTGGTCGTGAATGCTGATCAGTCATAGGCGAGCCCAGTCCTCTTTCGTCGCCCTTAGGACCCCTCTCAGAGTCGCCCGAGTCCGAGTCCGGATTCCAAAATCTTTCCTTACAGACAGAGCTGAGGAACTCCAGGGATAATAGTGTTTCTTCGGGATATGACCCTATCTCAAGGTCGGCAAGAGTTCTTCCACTTCCGCAACTCCCTCACTGACCTTGCGACATTACAGCAGATCTCCGTTGTTTGAAAGCGAGCATGGACTCGGTCCGTCTGGACTGGATCGTATACGCCAGCATCAACCCTCGCGTGTCTTGACCCTCCCAAACCTCTCTACGTCGTCACTAGCCCCGATGGCGGCTCAACGCCCCGCTGCGTCGCCCCGCTCGCGCTCGTCGTCTCGAGTTAACCCGGGACGCTTGTCCGCGACCCAAAGCTTCACGGATTTGGAGGATCTTCACCGGTTTCCCTTGGAGTCGTTACACTCCTTCTCCTTTGCACAACAATCGGAGGAATTCCTTCACAGTCGCCAAAATATCCTCAAAAGATCCATTGATTTCATGCGCGACCGCATGGGGTGGGCTGGCACCAATCCTGCCATCGCCAACGCACAAGCCAATGTCAGCGGAGACACGGAAATCCAAGGTATGATGGACCTTTTGACCCGCGCGAATATGCTTGAAACCCAGGAGCACCAAAGCCAAGCCCGAGGACCCATTACCGGCCCTGCAGATATCAATGGCGACAACATCTTTGAGAAGGCCTTTTCGGACGGCGACTCTTCTACTTCTCCAATCAGCACCCGGGATATGGCACAGGAATCTGCCGCGGGGTCACATCCATCGGACAGCTCCCAGTTTCTGAGTCCTGTCCCCAGTGATCGTATCTCGAACCAAAGGAGGAACTTGACCTCCGCCCCAACGTCCAGGCGCGTAAGCTTAAAACGTACATACACGGATCTCTGCTCAGCCTCGCTCAAGAGCAAGCTGATGGAAACTCTAGCTCAACCTTACACCTCCTCCGCGGACCCTTTCGCCTCCCTTAGTTCCTCCACCGCTGGATTGGGGTTCCCTTTCCCGGCTCTCCACACCCACAGCAGCAAATGGACTCCCGTATCCCAGGCCGTCTTTCGAACTGAAGCCCAAGCACCATGGACCATCCTGGCAGCTAATGATCTCTCCTGTCTGATTTTCGGTGTGCTTCAATCTGAAGTTCGTCGTCTCAGTATCCTGGAGGTCGTACAGAAGGAACACAGGGACTGGCTCGAAAGCAAACTTCGGGATCCCAGCACTGACGCCGCAGCCCGTATGCCGCTTCAGCCCGAACGCGCCAATATCAATGCCGTCAACCCGAAGTTTAGAGGTCTTGGGAACGGGGTGACAGCCCAACTACTTAGCAAACCATCTTCACGGGAAAAGTCGCGAAGAGCCCAAACCGATGACGGGTATGGCTCAAGCACGAGAAATGCCCGAAATGCAAACCACCCGGCCACTAAGTCACGCGGCGTTTTGTTGTGCGGTGATGTTGTTCCGATCCAAAAACGAAACGGGACGCGGGGTTCCGCTAGCGTCTGGGTGATGGAGAAGCGTGGTGGCCTGATCTGGGTTCTAGAAGAAATTACAGAGAACGCTGCCTCTGTCCAGTGCGACGATTCATGGAACGTTGTGGATGTCAAAGGTGACACTGACAAAATCTGGGGCTCATCTGTTGTCCACAAGGGGCAACCAATCACCGACCTTCTCCCGTGTTTGCCAGCTGACTCTCTACAAACCTCTTTTGACAAGGGAGTGGCCAAAATCGCGGGGCTGAAACACTTTGCCGCGCGCACCGCGGCTGGCGTTTGTATCCCTGTGGCGGTCGGCAAGGGAGGAGATCGAACTCTCCAAGTTTCGAGTTTCCCCCACGTCGCTGGAATGATGGTCTTGTCGTCCTCGTCATTGAATGTTATCAGCTCTAACTCCGTCTTTTCATCTGTCTTGTTCGGTCAAGAGCGACCGGAAGGACTCCACTTTACTGATTTGGTCCCGGATTTCGACGAGATCCTGGACGTCCTAACTGAGGAGGACAATGTGCCATTGGTTGATGGTATTGTGATTCCTGAACACAGCTTCCGGCGGGCACGGACGCTCTCTATCCTTCGCGATGGGAAAGCAAATGCAGCCTCGGTATTCACAGAGCCAAGTGGTCTTCTCGCTAAGCACAGAGACGGTTCGACGATTGTTGTGGATATCCAGTTGCGTGTGGTCAAAAGCGGAACCTTCTTCTCAAAGGAGAAGGCCGAGAAAGAGAAAGAGAAAGAGAAAGAGAAGGAGAAGGAGAAAGCCAGCGACCGAAACAGTGACTCGGACGATAGTGACGATACAATTGCAGTCACAGAGTTGGTTTATGCATTGTGGATTACCTACTCAAGGCAGCTCCATGCTGCCGGACCCGCCGCCGGCCTGTCACCATCATCGGTACCCACCTCCAAGCCGACTTCTCCAACCCATGATCCCGGCTCGGATAGGCCCTCAGAGTCCAGCTCTCCCACGCAGACCCCTGAAACTCGTAGTACCTCAGTTGAGGTGCAAGCTCCGACCTCGACCCTCAGCCAGCAACTCAGCGAGGCTGCATCACAACCTCTTACCGACCGCCCTGTACAACCTGTTCCCGAGATCAACGCGAAGAACGAGCTTCCAGCGAAACGATCCATCAGTGACTACGTGATCCTTGAGGAAATGGGACAGGGTGCCTACGGGCAGGTCAAATTGGCACGTCTGAAGAAGCAGCCTGCCAAGAAAATGGTCCTCAAGTATGTCACCAAGAAACGAATCTTGGTGGACACATGGACTCGTGATCGCAAGCTCGGAACTGTTCCTCTGGAGATTCATGTTCTGGATTTCCTACGACGCGATGGGCTGAAGCACCCTAATATTGTGGAGATGGAAGGTTTCTTTGAAGATGATATCAATTACTATATTGAAATGACTCCGCACGGACTTCCCGGGATGGATCTCTTCGATTATATCGAGCTCAAGGCCAACATGGAGGAATCAGAGTGCCGCAACATCTTCAAACAGGTTGTGAGCGCGATCAACCACCTACACACCAAATCGTTGGTGGTCCATCGCGACATCAAGGACGAGAATGTGGTTCTCGATGGCGAAGGACGGATCAAGTTGATTGATTTCGGTAGCGCGGCCTACATTAAGAACGGACCGTTTGATGTCTTTGTCGGAACGATTGGTAAGCCTTTATTCTGTGGACTGGGCAGGGGTAAGATGCTGACTGCATGAACTAGACTACGCCGCCCCCGAAGTTCTCCAGGGCAGGTCGTACCGAGGCAAGGAACAGGATATATGGGCCCTGGGCATTCTCCTCTACACCATTGTCTATAAGGAGAATCCCTTTTACAACGTCGACGAAATCCTCGACCACCCACTCCGCATCCCCTTTCTTCCTTTCTCGGAAGCATGCATTGACCTCATCCGGACAATGCTCGATCGCGACGTCGACAACCGCCTCACTATCACTGAAGTGCTTGAACATCCCTGGATGGTGGAAACCTGATCTCTTTCTTACCCTTGACTTCTTGAAAAAAAAAAAAAAAACACGATACCCCACAAAGTTGATTTCATTTTGATGGCAGGATTTTGCGGGCTGGGGGTTGGGTATCTATTGGTGGAGCGGACAACTGGGGTGGACTAGGAACATGAACATGAGCATGGCGTGATGTCCGTACTTTTTCTTGGGCCTGTTCTGCATTAGTGGCATACTATTATACCTTTGCATACGATATGACCTAGAGACCAATCTATATAACTTAACGGCTTCACCGAGAAATCTGGGCGAAATTGCGGGGGAGAAAGTCTCGGAGCCACTCGAGACAGTGGCTCATTTCCTTGGCAGTGGAGGGGTGGAGCATACATTTGAGCATACAGGGACAATATATGTCCAGTGGCTCTTATCAATTGCGCTATACAGTAATTTCAAGGTTTGACCTGTGCCAAGTGGTTGAGTGGGTGATGGCTTAGTCCCATGCACATGTGGCATCTGTTACACTGCAAGGCTCAGGAAAAAGAAACAGACAGTGGGTCTGGACATGGATACACTCACTCGCCTCTCGGGCCCATATCCCCCGCAGTGGCGCCCAGCGAAAGAGTGCGAAGGAGGCGAGAAGGTGAATCTGCCTCTCAGGAACAATCTCGCCGCGGACTTTCCCTGGCTCGGACTTGGAGTCACGTTAGCATTTAATTTCGGTATTTTCTTTCTGTCGTAGGCGTCGTCAGCCGATGGTTGGCTTTGGGTCTCACCTCAGATGGGTCTGTGCCACTAAGGTATCAGAAGATCAGAAGACGTAGAGACAGATAAAGTACAGAAGAAAGAATGTGCGATAGGTCTAGCTAGAGTGATAAAGAAAGTAGATATGCCGGAGCCTGATAAGTGGTACATCGGCAGTACATCATTCGCTGTGTGGATTCTGGGCGTATGCCAAGTTTTGTCGATGTATCGCATTCCCTACTTGCTCAGGTGCATTCCACTCCCTCTTCTTTTTTTCTTCTTATCTTACCTTTCCCCCTCTACACCCCCTCTGCCTCCTCTTTCGCTCTACTTTGAACAGTTCAAACGTCAACTCGGCACCAGTGCCGTAAAGAAGGCCTGTTCCACGGTTCTGTTGGCCGTGGACCCCCGAGAACAATAACGGTCAACGTGGTTTCCCCCCACCGGCCCACCGCATTGCTATTTATTGCGTCTCTTTCAGACTGCTCTCGGAATCTGGCATCGTCGTGTTTCAAATTCACTATGCAGGTCTAGGCGACCACGGTGCAGTACTGCGCGCACTCCGACGCTCTATACCTTCCGATTGCTTCCCCCGTCGATAATCGACTTCGTCGAACCTGCCATACTCCGTATCGCACCGACACCCTCCGGAAGACGTGAGAGAACACAGGCGGGCAAGAAAAGCGTATCTACATCTCAAACAAACGCATCGAAATGGCCGCTCAGCTATCCGACGAGATCATGCCCGAGAGAATCTCTTCGGCGAACCCGACAGCATGCGGGCAGATCCCATTAGAACAAGCACCCAAGTTGAAGGGTCGCCAGAAGTTCCTGCAGAATCTCCAGCGGATGTCGTCCAGCCCGGCATTGACAAGACGTGCGCGCTCGACATCCACTTCTGGTCTCCGGCGAGAGCATAAGGCTTCCCTATCTTGTGTTTCGTTATCTTCCACCGCATACTCGCCCTGTCTGCCAAATGGGAGTTCCTCACAGCTCTATGGAGGTCTCAATCCTCGCCCTGCTACACCCGGTTACTCGACTCCTGCTGAGTTCCCGGGCTCGAATCTTCGTCCGCGTCTTGTTGATACAGATGGGCCCAGTAGCCCTTTACCCCGCACCGTACCTTTGCCCTCAGATGTGAGGCCGGCCTCACGAGGTTCGCCGCGAACGGGTACACCGGTGGGGACTAGGATGGAGGAGATCGTTTTCCCGGATCCAGAGGAGCCGGTGAAGACATTCGATTTCTGGGGTGATATGCCGCGGGAGCTCAAAATGGAGGTCTTTCAGCATTTGACACCGCAGGAGATTGTTCGCTGCTCTGCTGTTTCCAAGGCTTGGAATGAGATGTGCTATGATGGGCAGCTATGGTCTAAGGTTGATACCACGGAGTACTATTCCAAAATTCCTAGTGATGTTTTGGTGAAACTTATCACTTCTGGTGGTCCGTTCGTTCGAGACCTCAATCTGAGAGGTTGCATTCAGATGCGTGATAAGTGGTCCTCTGACGGTGAGCGCATATCGGATTTGTGCCGGAATGTTGTCAACTTTTCGTTGGAGGGCTGCCGTATCGACAAGCCGTCTATCTACTCTTTCTTGCTCCGCAACCCTCGCTTGGAAAACATCAATGTTTCGGGATTGTCGAGTATTACAAACTCGGCTATGAAAGTCATTGCGCGGTCCTGTCCGCAACTTGAGACATTGAATGTCTCATGGTGCAATAACGTTGATAGTTCTGGTCTTCTTCGGATTGTCCAGTCTTGTGAGCGGTTGAAGGATCTCAAAGCTAGCGAGATCCGGGGCTTCAGCAACGAAAAGTTTACATTGGCTCTGTTCGAGCGCAATTCCTTGGAACGCTTGATCATGAGCCGCACCGACCTGACTGATGAGAGTCTGAAGATCCTGGTTCACGGCAAGAATCCCAATATGGACCTCCTTACCGACCGCCCTGTTGTTCCTCCTCGACGATTCCGCCACCTAGACCTGCATCAATGTGCTGAGGTAACTGATGCTGGGTTGAAGAGTTTAGCTCACAATGTTCCGGATTTGGAGGGATTGCAGGTTTCTCAATGCTCTGAGTTGACTGACAGCTCGATCATCGACATCATCCAGACTACACCTAAGCTGTCCCATCTGGAAATGGAAGACTTGGAGAACTTGACCAACAGTGTCCTCGTGGAGCTCGCTAAATCCTCATGTGCCCAGCACCTAGAGCATTTGAACATCAGCTACTGCGAGAGCCTCAGTGATACGGGCATGCTGCAAGTCATGAAGAGCTGTCCAAAGCTCCGATCTGTCGAGATGGACAACACCAGAGTCTCTGATCTAACCCTAATGGAAGCCAGCTTCCGCATCCGCAAACGCGGATACAGCGACGATCTCCCGGAAGTCGGACTACGACTAGTGATCTTCGACTGTGCAAACGTCACCTGGGCAGGCGTCAAAGAAGTGCTCTCCAGCAACGCCTATACCCCCCGCGCGTCACGCAAACCCACATCAACAGTTGTGACAGTGACACAGACATCAGACGCAGGCTCTTCCCCCATGACCAGCACATTCGTTACCCCAAGCTCCACCCCTCCCCCTTCATCAACATCCCCCAACGAGATCATCCAACTCAAATGCTTCTACGGATGGCAGATGACCGTCGATGAACACACGAAGCGTGTCCTCCGTGGTGATCTGACTGCTGCTTCCCGGCTGGACCGGAAGTGGGCTGATTACATGATGGCCACGGAGGAAGCCGGCGCTGCTGGTGCCGGTGCTCGCCGACGTCGGCGCCGTGCTCGTGAGGCTGAACGCCTTTACAATGCCGATGATGATGAGAATGATTATTACGGCGTTGGTGCTATCACTGCTCTTGGTGGTAGACGTCGCCGAGCTCAAAGTGGTGGCGGTTGCACTGTTATGTGAGGACCTCTCCTACCACTCATTTTTCGAGTCGGGCGCAAGACGCTACTCGACTCTGCTGGCGCAGGACCGCTAGTGGGATGGATGGACTTGATCCGTTTATCTCTGAGCAATGTCATGCTCGATTTTCCTACGAACTATGAATTACGCATACTATGTCTCCAATCCCCGACTTTCGAATCTCTTATCTCTTGATATCTACATCCATCTATCCATCACTCTAAGCCCTTTTGCTCTTTTTTTTTTCTTTACTCTCTTTGTCCTTTCGTTTCTTTCTTAGGGCGCAAGTCCAAGAATGGCATTCTCATTGCGTGACTGCAAGCCTTTGATATTTGTGATCAGCTTGAGTTCAGTTTTCTTTCAGCTCTAGCGCATCTAGAGGGGTCACTGGCGTTTTGGACCTGTATGGTTCATCGGGCCTCTTTGGGTGGTTTTACATTAGCTTTACTTTGACCTTCACAAGGTTGTTTTATGAGAACACTTTCTCGGTACAATTTTCTCTTTTTATAGATTACCTAGGATGGTAACGTGGATTTACTCGAGTCTGTGTGCTACGTGGACTTGAGTGGAGCAGCCAAGTAGGAGGATAAGAAAGATATTATCTATGCTTGACTTCGATGTTCTCCAGCTCTGCTACTTTCTTCATATTCGTTGGCTTTGTTTACACTACTTGTTCTGTCTACTCTACCTGATTCATCTATTCTGACTGTTTTATCCGCTTTACCTGCTCTGATATCAGACCTGTTCTATCTACTCTAGCAGCTTGGAACTCACTGCCGGCTTCATCTGCACCACCCGATTCATCTTCATCATTTGATTCAAATCAACTTACACTGCTTGTCTAATCTCCTCTTTCTCTCATTTACATCACCATAATTTCGTTATTTACCGCTCACTAACTTCGTGCAAGCGAATTCCCTCATCTTTGCCAATTACGTTGAGGTTGACGACATCCACCGCACCCTCTCGTCTGTTACAAGATCTTCTGCATTAGTTGACCATTCATCTGCTTCCCCCAGTGAGTAGCTTCGCTTTCGCTGATTGTGTTGATATTACCGCCTCCTCACTCGCGCCCTCTTTTCCATTCAAACACCTTCTACTTTACTTGCTATTTCACAAAGTGAGTACATTTAACATTCATAAATTGCGGTTTAGTTGATCGACATTGCACTCGGATCGTCCTTCTCATTTTTCCCATTGCCTCGTCTTGTATACCTACCTTCCTACTTCCTCGTTCAAGTGACGGTTTTTACTTTCGCTATTTGTATCGCCATCGCCAACCTTTCTTGCTTCTTCTCATATGCTCCTCGTATACTCACGCCTTTGGCCTTTTGCACCTCGTCTTCGTTACTCGCTGATAATCTTGCCTTAGATACTCATATTAACCGTGTGACTAGCTCCATCTTCATCAGTTGTGCCACCGGTAATGCATTTCTCGTTTCTCCTTTTTAACTGCATTCTGTCCACTACTTTATCTACCTTCTAACGAGCTGCATCCAAGTCTAGCTTTCCTCAGGCTACTTCCATCGCCAACGTCACATTGCTCCATTTCCTTCATTCCTCCATTACTCGCTTCTCCTTCTTTTCGCATCTCGTTTTCGTTATACGCTAATGCTTGTACCCTAGGTGCATAATTTATTCAAGTGAATAGTTTCACCTCCGAGTACGTTATCGACATCGGAATTTTATATATCTCCTTTCTCAGCTACCTCATATCCGATGATTTACCTACCTCACTCACCTCCCTACTCACTACATCCGGGTGACCAACACTATCTTCACTTCTGATATCGTCACCCTTGCGTTCTTGTCTAACCTCCGACACTCCTCCATTTCTCACACCTGCAAAGTCCCAGGCGTCGTCTTCATTACTCTATGATACTGTGCTTAGATCTTGATCTATTCAAGAGACTAGCCTCATCTTCGTCAAATAAGTCCCTGGCCTTGCATGCCTCACCTCTTCTGATCTACATTACACCATCTTCACTATTTCACCTACCATACCATTTTACTCACCTCCTCTAATTGACCAGCTTCACAATCACTACGTGTATCGCCATCGTCATTTCATTTCCTCCGGTCTTCCATCATTCATGCCCTCTTCTGTCTCACGTCGTCTTCGTTACTCGCTGGTATTCTTGCCCTAGTTGCTTGAACCCTCAAAGTGACCAATTGCTCCTTCGTTACTCATCTTCATTTGACCGTTTCCCCCTCTCTTTCCAATCATGCCGAAAGATCGAAAAAAGGACGCCCCAGGATTCCCGAAGTCCATTCCGGGTACACCAAAGATGAAACGGGATGCCAAGATGGCATGTGAACCATCAGTGGAGGCAATACAGCAATTTCTCGAAAAGCAAATGGACTTTCAAAACGACTGTTTCGACATGCTGAGAGATCACAACTCCCACAACCCTGACATCGAATGGCAAATCCAGGACGGAATCGGCGCTAACGCAATTCTCCCAAGAGAAAAGGCTCGGCTGAAGTTAGTCAAAATACCGTCCTTCACTGAAACCGGCACAACCCAATTCCCACCACACAACACACGCCTCTGCGATGAATTAGTCTATCTGGCAACCAAGTCACTAAAATTCCAGGACCGTGCCCGTTGGTACCCATATGACCTCAACAAAAGCGGCGACATTAACCCAAACCGCGTGCCGTCAGGCGCGGCGCCCATAATCTGGGCCCATGGCCTTCCATTCTTCCCAGTCTATAAAGGCTACTACATCCTCTGCGGTCGTGAACATGCAACCTGTATCGGCTGGCTGATCAACGAATACAATACGAGCGTCACAAAAGCCCATCCAATCTGGTCTGTTGGCGCGGTGGTTGCACCTGAATCTGCAGCACGGGCTTTCCACAAGATCGACCGCCAGATGAGCCTCCACAAGCCGTTTGGACAGGATGCCGAAGCTTGCTATCGGAGTGCGGCTACCGCTCGTGACATCCTCTCGGCTGATCATCACCACTGCGCGATAGTCCCTCATCTCAATCTTTCCCTCCAGGTTTACCCGTTGTGGGCTTTCCACGGGTACAATGTCCGCTGTGGCCCTCCGGACGCTTATGGCGAAGCCACGACTGTTCAGAAAGCGTTCTTCGATAGCAAGGGGTTGGGGGCAAAATATCTTTCCTTGATTCGTCCCTATTCAAACATCTATTCTGACAAACCCGAGGACTCGGCTGAGTTGAACGATACCAGTAGCTCTGAGAAGCTCGATGACTCTGTTAATATCGCAGACACGAAGGCTCCTGTTCCAATGGTTGAGGGCAATGACACGGTGCTTTCTCTGCCTGCTGAAACCCATCCCCGCAAGGGACCCGCTGATTTCATGCATAGTATCGAGACACAGGATACTGTTCCAATTGATGAGGAGCATGGCACATTGCTCGTCTTGCCCGTTGAAGCCTTCCATACTGATACATCAATGGCGGAGACAAACCTAGAAATGGAACTGGAAATCAAACCCCCGCCCATCAATCCCATTGCTCAGATCACTGAGAACTCCGCGGAACAGATTGCCATCTTGCATTCTGCACCCTTGTTTGGACTCGAATTACCTCCTGGGCTTGAACTTTCTTTTGGTCTTGAGTCATCTTCTGAACCTGCACTGTCTCCTATACTTGAACCGTCTCTTGGGGTTGAATTATTTCCTGGGATTGACTCATCTCCTACAGATGATGAGGTTGCTGTTTAGACATATCGTGCTTTACTAATGCAAAAGAGAGGGAGTGTGGAATCGCGGTATTGCTACGGGGGAAATGGGGACGAATTTTGCTTTTGATACTTCTTTGCAGTCTTCATTTTCTTGAAGGTTTTTTTTTTTTTTTTTTTTTTTTCGACTTTTCTGTTTTCGCTGCATTGTCATTGCTTTGCTCATCTCCGTGACAATTTGCTAGCTTGTTGGGTTGCGAAAACAATGAGAACTATATCATTTCGCGTAACTTTTTTTCTTTTCTGGCGTAGTTTGAGTCTATCGGATGATACTTCTTTGCCCCAGTAAGTAAATTGATTTTCAAGTAGTAACAAAACACAGTCAGAGAACAGTCGTTACACGACTTGCCCATATAAAGATAACATGCTGCAACAACCACAATACAAGTCATAAATATGTCCACAGGGCCGTAAAGCATCAGACAGGCTTTATACAAAACACCCCGAAGCAAATCTACTACTTAATATACGTTTTGGGAATTGGCCGCTCATTTTTGATCTTATTTTGGCCGATTTCGAGTGCCTTGGGGTTGATCATCAAGATCATTTAGAGGTGGGGGTTGTGAAAGGGCCTATGGCCACTCTTGTATAACCGAGAGGATCTCGAGCACGGCAAACAGTGAATAGAAAAAGAATTTCGAAGACACGGGGACCGAAAAGCTGGAGTTTGGATATAAAGTTTGGACTGTTTCTGGTTCAATTGCGCTGAATTGCAGTAGAAATGCTAAGATGGATATCAAGATGAATATCAAGATGAATAAGATATGAACTAATTTTGTATCGCGATTTCGCTGGTTACTCGAAGAAACCACCGTCGCTGTCATCTTGCTCCTCCGCGTGAACTTCTTGGGGCGCCTCGCGCTTGGAAGAACGTTCACTGTGCATCGGCTTCTCCCTTTTGCTCTTCTTATCATCCTTGGGCAGGTGCTTCTCCTTCTGTAAGACACCCTTGGATTCTTTCCGCTGACCATTCTTTTTGCTCTTCTCCTGGCTGGCATCTGGGGCAGACGCGGTCGCGATTTTCTCTCCGTTGAAGTTGATATTCAATTTTCCTTCGCGCAGAAGATCCAGTGTCTTTTCTTCCATGCACTTGGCAACAACAGACCAAAGCGGGGGCTTAGTAGACCTGACGTCGGTCTGCGGCCTTTTGGATTCTGTCTCCGACTCTGGTGCATCCGATTTTCCATCTGACTTGGGATAGATTGAGAGGTATTTTTCGGTGAGAGGGTAGTAGATCGTGTAGTTGAGGTTCACACGGGCAGTGTGGATTTTTTCAGCAAGGCGAGCTTTTTGTTTCGTGTCCAAATCTTGTTCCTTTTCGCGGCGCAGGTAACGATTGAGTTCTTTGGTGGCAGTTTTGCGGTCTATTCAAAAAAAGGAAAGCACGTTAGCAAGGGATTGACTAAGATTGAATCTGTCTTCACATACCAAGGAAGCGGACAAAGTGGTATTTTTTGATCATCTGCGATCGTTCTCTGCGCGCCGTTTCGTCCGCGAGATCGTGTTCGTATCCGGAGAGCGCACGCTCTTGCAGGATGCGTGCATCAGCAGGCAAATCCACTTTGTTGAGAAGTCGCTTCACGTCCCGGATTCGCTTTTTGAGGTCATTGACCGAGGGGTACTCCTTCTCGGGCTTTGGCGCAAACTTGTCCTTGAACTTCCGGGTCACCTTGGGCTTGGCGCCATCGCCGTAGTCCTCGAACTGGACCTCATCGATCTTTTGCTGCTTCTTGCGAGGAGCAGCATCTTCAGACCCATCACGGGTCTTCCTTTTAGCTGGATCATGGGGGTTAGGCATTGCGTGTTGTGCTGCGAAGGAAAAAGACGAAGCTGAGTTGATAAGAAAAAAAGATATCGGCCTATTGTCGGCCCGTCCCCACGATCGCCAGCCAATGAGCTCCATACCATCCCTCTCTTTGATTTACATCTGCTCTTGTTGCTCGCTCGGTCTCTGCGATTTATTCATTTCCTTATGCAGCTTTGCCTTTGGAAGCTGAATTGTTAGGACCAGCATGGAGTCTGCCATTCGCTGGTCCCCGACCTCGTCGGCTACCGATCAACGCTTCCTGTCCGTCGACGTCACGGGGAAGTCGTTTCGTCTATGCAGAGTGACCGGGTTCGATGGCAAGAATCTTCGCCATGAACTGCTCTCTACCCTATCCAATGTCCCTGGTTTTCGTGCATTTGACTGGTCTGTCTCCAATGAGAACCTGATCGCCGTGGGCCAGTCGTCCGGAGAAGCCACTATCCTACGCCTCGACCGTGATAGCAAGGAGTCGCTTTCCTTCCCAGTCCGCAACCAGCGATACTGCAATGCAGTCGCATTTAGTGCGCATGGACTGGTTGCATCTGGTCTTGATCGCGTGCGCAACGACTTTTGCTTGAACATCTGGGATGTCAATCAGCGACTCAGTCCGGCCGGTGGGAGCAAAGGATTCACTGAACCACTTAGAAAGCTTGCTAGCTCTGAGCCCATTACAAGTATTAAGTTTTTTAGAGATCAACCTGATACCCTTGTGACTGGTGTCAAAGGACAGTTTGTGAGGATTTACGATCTTAGAGGTTTGTTCTCGCGGCCTTCATTCACATGTTACACAGTTGCTAATGCATAAGATAGAGGGACTTGGAGCTCCATCAATCCAATTTCCCACACGATGTGTTCACAATCTGGCCATTGATTGGCTGGATGAGAATTATATCGCATCTTGCGTGCCTTCCAATGAAAGCACCATTTGCGTGTGGGATCGTCGCGTTGGCGCCCGGCTGGCCTCGCCATCTTTGGGGTCTTCGGCTACTGCGCCAGACTCAGGCCCAGCAACAGCTGCGCTTCATTTCAAAAATGTGTTCCATCCGAAGACTTCCATCTGGAGCTTGCGCTTCTCCAAAACCAACCGAGGCAGTTTAGCTGCACTTTCCAGCACCGGACATTTCAAGCACTATGAAATTGCCAAAGACTATCTGCTGGAGGAATACCGCTCTTCTATAGATGACACTCTCGGCCAGGGCTATTCCAGGAACTACCCAGAATCAGTATACACCAAGCGTGTGCGGGACGTTTGTGTTCCATTCGATCATCCCAACCGCGGCTGCCAGGAGAAGGACCGGGTTGTGTCCTTTGATTTCATGAACCTAAGTCTCTCTGCTCAACCAAGTGCTATCGCACTCAATGGCCATGGGCAGCCTCAGATCATAACTCCACAATTACCTTGTGCGCCGGTTGATATGTCGCCGCAAAGTGTGCTGGCTTGCGGGATATCATCGCGCGACTCGGAAGTGAGATCAATCCATCCTCTCTCTGAGCATATTTCACCAATCTCAGAGCTGGTTGAAAATATCCGATCGCGCGTCTGCTCAAGCTCACAGGGGCAGGAAGCAAAACCAAATGGTCAACTCTTTGCGCCAAAAGTCGCAGAGCCAGATCCTGTCCCGAGCCGGGAAAGTCGAGAGCGTGCTATGGCTTTGGGGGCTTTGGGTGTTACGCTAACTGCAAAGGAAGCGCTCACTCTGAATGCCGTAAATCAGTCGAGGTGTAGGGAGGGCTACCTTTTTGATGAGTCTCGTAACCGAAAGATTGTCTCAGACGATCCTGCTCTGCAAGGCCTTTGGACTTGGATTGAACGTGAGTTATTTGGTTCATTTGAAAGTCAAATACATGCTAATGCATATATTAGGTGCTCGATCTGACTCCTCAGGGACATCAATGGTTGTCAATGGCTTGGATTTGAACTACCTAGGTGTGAGCAACGTTTGGACCAACAATATAGGTTCGTTTTGGCTCCGGGTTTGAACCATCGTTTGATACTGACTGAGAATAGGTCAAGGCTTGGAGAAACGTTGCATCAGCACTAATCCCGATGACCCGAAGAGTGTTGCGGCAGCAATAACATCTTTAGCCGAGAAACTGGATCTTCCCGAAACCAAGGGTTGTGACACTGACTTCCCTGCTCATCGCCGATTATGTCTTCGTCTATGTGGTGCAGCCCAGAACTACCGCAAATTAGAGGAGTCAGTCAAGAAACTATCTGGTGAAGGCCAACATACCAAGGCGGCTGCGCTGGCTGTATTCCAAGACGAGCCGAAACTGGCTTATCTTGGGCTACGAAGCAACCAGCCTACTCAAGCTCATAAATTGCTGGCAATGGCAATTGCCGGTGCTGCCAAAGGAGACAACGGCACAGACTGGGAAGAGACCTGTGCAGAAATCGCTACAGAGCTCATTGATCCTTATGCTCGAGCAATTCTTGCTCTTGTGAGCAAAGGCGACTGGAATGCCGTCATCAAGGAGACCACGCTTCCTTTGAGATATCGTGTAGAGGTCGCGTTACGCTGGCTTCCAGATGACGAGCTAACTGAATATCTGAAAACTGCCACAGACGAGGCCATGTGGCAGGGTGACGTCGAAGGCATTGTTCTCACAGGATTGGGCCATCTCGCCATGGGCCTGTTCCAGTCATACATTGGAAAATTCAACGATGTTCAAACCCCGGTGTTAGCAATGAGCCACACTGTGCCGCGGCTTATCGGCAACGACAAGCAAATCGTCCAGTTTGAGGCATGGCGTGAAACCTACCGACGCCAAATCAACTCGTGGAAAATGCAACTCGAGCGAGCTCGATTCGATGTGGGATCCCGCCGATTTGCTGTGACCGTGGACGGGCAAAAGCTCATGCCCACGCCACCACAACAGGTCAGCCTGACCTGCAATTACTGTACCAGCCCTCTCACCCAACACGATGCTTCATCCCAAGTCTCTCCAACAACCAAAAGCGAGACTGTTCACCCTACTGTGGGCAACCCACTCGCGCCTGCAACTATGGCTGGAACTGTGTGCCCGCGCTGTGGTAGGCATATGCCCCGATGTGGAGTCTGTACCTTATGGCTAGGCTCACCAGATCCGATGTCTCGCGCCAGCATCGCTGCTGATGCAGACGTAGCCTCCCGCAAGGCCACTGGTGCTGAATTGATGAAGCGATTTGTGGTCTTCTGTATCCATTGCAATCATGGATTCCATGCACATCATGCCAGCGACTGGTTCAAGCGGCACAAGGTCTGTCCGGTTGCAGAGTGTAGCTGCATTTGCGATCGATGATAGCTATGGCTTCGCACCTGAACCAAAGACTAGATGTGGCTTGTTCCTTTTCTGCAATTGTATATACCCATTGCTTCTTTGATCTTAATAAGGAAGTAAGCACGTTTGTTATTGTATACATCTGATGATGTCAATGTGAATATCCCCCACTTTAAATTTCCGATACTAATTCAAAGTAAGACACCGATATATGTCTCGTCTATATATTAATGTAATACTGAATCGATATTGTGGTTTGTGACTCATTTTCTATGAGTCCGACCTACTTGAGACTCAAATACTAGAGCCGCATCCCAGATCTGCCCCACTTCAAATTATTCCCGACTTTTTGCTTCTCCCCGCACACCCCTCATCGTCTTCACATCATGTCAGAGAAAGGGAAAAGACCTCGTGGCCGTGGCCAGGGCCAAGGCCAAAGTCGTGATGTGCAGGTTTCTAAAGCTTTGAGCCTCTTGCTCCGCCATGCCGCCGAGAAGGAAGGCTTGAAGATGAATGAACAAGGCTACGCCAGCGTAACAGACGTGGTATGCCTACAACCCTGCGAATCATCACAGTGGAACATACTCACCATCAGCCAGCTACAATGGAGGAAACTCAAATCCCTCAAAGTTACCTTCCCCGAGATCTTACATGCCGTCGACTCATCCGACAAAAAGCGGTTCGCACTCCTCCACATCCCATCTGCGCAGCCCACCGAATCTACCACCCAAGCAACAACGGTGCCAGTGACAGGACCAGATGCCGAACATGAGGCTGTCGCCACTGCAAGCGGCGACCAGCCCTCGACCATGGTCCTGGAGTCTGCGCCTGCCACGAGCGATGATCAGCAAACCGCTACAGACAAAGCTTTGACTATAGCAGTGAATGACAACGACCCGTCGCACTTCTTAATTCGCGCAACGCAAGGCCACAGCATCAAGACCGTCGAGGCTGCATCCTTCCTCGAACCACTCTCCTTGGACGATGAATCGAAACTACCCGATACTGTCGTCCACGGCACATTCTGGTCGACCTGGCCCGTAATTCTTCAATCCGGCGGTCTACGCTGCATGGGCCGGAATCACATTCATTTCGCGACTGGCCCATCGTTGGAAGTCGTCTTGGCCCAGGACAAGGATGCACTGCCGGCCCAGCCAGCAAGCGGCGAGGCGCAAGTCATCTCTGGCATGCGACGCGACGCGCAAGTCTTGATCTATGTCGACATCCGGAAGGCACTAGCTGCCGGTATTCCTTTCTGGCGAAGTGAGAATGGTGTTATTCTCAGTGAGGGGATCCCTGTACCGAAGGAGGATGAGAAAGGTGAAGTAGCCAAGTTCGTTTCGCTTGGCTTCTTTGATGTTGTTGTGGAGCGTAAGGCCGGTTTGGGTAAGCTTTGGGAACGCGGGCAGGTCCTGCAGGAGCTTCCGGGGCATCTTGCTAATAAGGGCAATCCGAAGGGAAACTTGAAGGGTCGACGATGAGCTGCATATTTATAGAAATATATATACAAAAGTAGTTTACAACCGCGGAGACTAGCTTAGCCTTCTACATATCAATCAGAAAAGACATTAGCCTCAATTTCCCTTTCCCCGTATACATCTCATTGTTTCTATACTCCAAAGTTTGTCAATCCGCATCCGACTGCGGGGAGATCGGAAGTGAATCTGCCAGCCGATCCGAAGCGCAACCGACCGTCACTCGTTCAACCTTCACATCCGACGCCCCCTAGACCCAATCATGCCACCAGCGCCGTGGATTTGCGGGGTCATCCTCGAATAAGCGTCATGGTTATGGTCAGACCTGGGGCCGAGCTATCCACCTCTTCCGGGACGAGGCAATTGGTCCACGGCGGCCAAACTCCCGTCGGATCAAGGCGCATATATAATATGGGGTTGCAAATCAGCTAAAAGTCGAATGCTATTTTGTTTCTGACGCTCTTCTTTCCCTGTAAACTTTCTCTCCTTCCACGAACTCGATTCTGCCTCATCCTCACCCTCACCACTTACCACCACATCACCAACGCGCAAACATGGCGACGCACCGCTTCGACCCCACCTTCACTGATAGGGTCATCGAGTCGATGGGCCCAAAGACCTCACCGCGCATGCGCCAGCTTATGACCGGGCTGATCCGCCACATGCACGACTATGCGCGCGAGGAGGAACTCACCGTCGACGAGTGGATGGCGGGCGTGAAGATGCTCAATTGGGCTGGACAAATGAGCGACGACAAGCGCAACGAAGGTCAACTGGTGTGCGACGTCTTCGGACTTGAATCGTAAGCCGAACATCTACCCGCGATCGCGCGCAACGAAAGGAAGGAAAAAAGCGCGGGGTTGCTAACATATCTCTCTTTGTGCAACAGTCTCGTCGACGAAATCACCTTCAAGCTCGCCGAGGAAGCTAAAGATGCGCCCACCGCCACAGCCATCCTGGGTCCCTTCTTCCGCGCTGATACACCCTGGCGCCAGAATGGCGAGGATATCGTCAAGTCTAAGCCTGCTGATGCTGAGATGGCCTTTATGCAGGGTCGTGTGATGGACTTCCAGACTAAGAAGCCGCTTGTTGGTGCCGCTGTCGAAGTGTGGCAGGCTTCCACGAATGGATTGTATGAGCAGCAGGATCCCGAGCAGGTTGAATTCAACCTGCGCGGCAAGTTCAAGACTGATGAGGAGGGTCGCTACTGGTTCTACTGCCTGCGCCCGACACCTTACCCTGTTCCTAATGATGGTCCTGCTGGCAAGTTGCTTGAGCTGATGGATCGTCACCCCTTCCGTCCTGCTCATATTCATATTCTTGTAAGTTTTGGACCCTGTCGTGTGGTGTTATCTTTGCAGAGATGCTAATGTATGCTTTAGGCTACTTGTGAAGGCTACCGTCCCCTCACTACCCAGATCTTCGATCGCAAGGATAAGTACCTGGACAATGACTCTGTCTTTGCTGTGAAGGACTCCCTCGTTGTGGACTTTGTGCCACGCAAGGATGATCCCGAGGCTGGGCTTGAGCTTAACTATGATGTTAAGCTGGTCAAGGATGGGACTACCAACAGCGTATAAGCGAGGCAAAACATCATAGTGGCATTTTCTGATTTCATGTTAATAACGATAGCGTTCTCTGCACATATTGGATCTAAGAACTTTACATAATATCATTTCTACTGAATAATTGAACTGAAGTAAATTTATATCGTTTTGACGTGGATAGGATTTCCTCTTCAAACCTCACGTTCTGAAGTAGACCAGGATTCTCACGCACAAGATTACAAAGCAGACCCTATTCTATACCAGTCTTGTATTAAATTCTACATAACAACAATCTAAGTCCTAGCAACACCCGCAAACTTAGCAATCAACCCTCCAACCTCATCAGCAGCCTCAATACAATGCCAATGTCCCACCCCCTTAAGAACCTCCAAAAACTTCTTCTCACTCGAAACATGATCAAAGATATACTGACACCCCTCCATAGAAGCAGACTTATCCTCCTCGCCCGCAATAAGCAAGAAAGGCGCCTTAACAGCAGCATAATCAGCCGGCTTCGCACTAGCAATAGCCCGACAAAGCGCCGCATAGCCCTTAGGATCCTGACCGGAGATCAGTTCCCGAATAAAAGCCTTGTGGAGGGGCGTGCTGCGCGAGCCTACAGCTCCGAAGGGGATTGTGTTTGCCATTGATTCCATCCCAGCTAATAGGAACAAAAGATATTAGTATCCCCGGGCTGGTTAAGTATAATGATAGACTAAAGATGAGATTGAAAAGGAAAAAAAAACTCACATTCGAGAACTGTCTCCGACCTCTTACTCATGACGGTCACGAGCATATCCGACGGATGCGTGGGTCCAATGGCCACAACGCCCTGCATACGATCCGGATACCGCGCGCCAAGCTCAATTACCACGAGACCACCCATGGAATGGCCGACGGCCACGGCCTTGCGTACTCTCAAGGCATCCAGGACGCCAATGACATCTTCTGCTATGTGTGGGATTGAGACGTCATCATTTGTGTAGGGAGAGCGGGCAGAGCCGTATGTGTCGATTGTGATGCAGCGGTGGGAGTCTGTTAGATGTGGAATTACGGGGTAGTAGTAGTTTTGCGAGGAGCCGAGGCCGTGGATGAAGATGAAGGTTAGGCCTGTTGGGGTTGGAGGACCTGCGGGGTGGGAGTCGGCATAGTTGAGGCGGTGGCTGTTTGCTTGGACGAAGGGCATTGTGGTGGATTGGATTGGTTATTGGGGTAAAGGGAAGAGAAGGAGAGAGTGTATGAGGGGGTAATGGGGGTATTTGAGGATAGAGGAAGATGTGGAAGGGCAGATCTATACAAGTGATAAGTGTAACGTCATTCCCGAGCAACTATGGTATGGCCATACAGCTAAATTCACCCAGAAACGATCCGTCGGAATTCAACAGTTCGGCAAAACTAAGTAGTGCAGGTCACTCTTCGTAACTCCCGATTTTACATATCCGAACTGGCTCCCGACCGTCGGACCGCAGCCGATCGTCTTTCCCAGTGCCAAGCTTTTCAGCGGAAATATTCCAAAGCTTCCATGTCCATGTGTGCATTGTAGTCGTATCTAATTGTATTCCCCAAGAAGGTGTCCATGCGACTCAAGGAAATCAGCATTATCGTCCCGGAAGGATTCCGAAGCCACTAAAGTAGGCATTCTGCGCGGTTCTTCTGCTTGTGTGGATGCAGATTGCTTGGGCGTAGAATGATCGATCGTTCCGTCGTTAATCGTCTGTGTAATGATAGCTGCTTCGGCTTCAAGGAAATCCGAGGCATCAAACTGAAATGAATCTCCAAAAGAGGAATCTAGTGCGGGCACCGGCGGAGCCTGGTAAAAGGAATCAGGCTTGGGTATGGATGGGGGTTTCGTTTCGTCATTAAAAGGTGGCGTTACAGCAGTGACTTCGACTTCTTTCAAAACATCTTCGTCGTCAAATGCCGAGCAGTCGGAGAACTCATCGTCATCCTTGGTCAGATTGGGATCCTCTTCTGTGTCGCCTTCAGAGTCCCCCGAGACGCCTGCATCTCGGATCTCAGAGATATCAGGACCTTGAAGTTCAGACAGATCATTCTCCAATTCTTCATCCAAGTCATCAAGTGCATCTGAATCAGCTTCCGTATCTCCAGCAGCACTGTCAGGCTCCGTATCCCCTCCATCACTACCCACTTCCGTCTCCGTTTCCGTAGTTGAAGTTTCAAGTCTGGGCGGTGTGGGTGATGATTTCTTAGCTCCAAGGAACATCGAAAGAAGCGGCTGGCTAGACGGAACGCGGAGGTTTGGATCAGGAATGCCGCGACGCTTTCGCTCCTCACGAGTGCGCGCCTCTTGCTCGGCTTTTCGTTTCTTATTGGCGATGCGTTTCTTTTCCTTGTCGCGCAGCTGCCTTGCCTTTTTCTCCCGCTCCTCCTCGCGATCTATCCGTTCGACCTGGGACGCGGTAAATTTGAATCGTTGGTTACTGCGCTGGTACCGGCGTCGCACTGTCTTGGATTTCTCCAAAATGACGCGCCGCGGCTCATCCGGCATAGTGTGGGCAACCGTCACAGCGACTGCCTGCTGTCTGTTCGGTCATGGGGGGTTGGGGGCTGAAGTTGAAGATGTTGTCGACGGTCTGGTGTTCGCGGTTGCGGTTGGCGGTCCTACGTTGTGCCGACCGGTCAACAAATTACCTATTTGAGCGCTTTCAACCCTTTTCATCGACTGTCTGTTTATGTTGGTAAAAGTACTCTTATTCAACTTAATTCTATGCAGTTTAAACTGGGTATGGATATTGGCTTGTGACGCCATCTAGATCTTGCAGTCGCGGACAGGATCCCAGCATACAGGGGCATAGGAGTCGAGCGTCAGACTGGCCATGTCCTCATCGGACAGGCTGAAGTCGAAGACCTGCGAGTTCTCCAGGATGCGAGACTCGGTAACTGACTTGGGCAGAGGAACGTATCCCTAATACACAGGTTAATCATCTACTCCAACATAACGGGGGATACCGCATACCTTTTGCACGCTCCAGCGAACGAGAATCTGAGCAGCGCTCTTACCGTGCTTCTGGACGAGGTTCTGCAGAACAGGCTCCTTCATGCGGGTGGCCTGCACAAGAGGAGAGTATGCCTCGACAACAATGTTACGCTTCTGCAGCCATTGGGCAATGTCTTCACGAGGGCACCACGGGTGAATCTCGTACTGGCCGACGGTGATTTGGCCACCTCCTCCGTTCTTGATGTACTCCTCCAACTCCTCGAGTTGAGGGATACCGAAGTTAGACACACCGAGCGAGCGGATGTGGCCTGCCTTCTGGGCCTCGACGAGTGCGCGCCATGTGCCGAGGCGCTCTTCTTTGCCGCCGTAGGGAGCATGGATAAGCATCCTATACAAGGTGGTATTAGTCTGTTGTTCTGGGTCGTCTGAAGAGGGCATTAAGATCCATACAGGTCAATATAGCCGAGGTTGGCATCAGCAATGCTTGCCTCAATTGCCTTCTTTGACTTCTCGTATCCCATGCAGTTCGCGGGCACCTTGCTGGTGTAGAAGATCTTCGAGCGCTCGAGTCCGGAGTTGCGGATAGCATTGGCACTTTCGGCCTCGTTCTCGTAGTACTTGGCGCTGTCGACCTACGTGATAATGGTTAATTGGGTATGCTTTGGTATGTGAAGTTAAGTGGTCCCTACATGGCGGTATCCGAGCTGGATTGCCTTAATGGTCACGTTCTCAGTAACATCAGGGGGCCTATACGAATGTGAGTCAGTCTCTGCGGCGAATATGTTACGCGTTGGCAATCGTACGTTTGGTAGACCTGCAAAAATCATATTAATAATCCAATTGCGACTTCCAAGGTGCTCAAAAGAAGGTGTACTCACTCCGAACCCCACGACGGGGATCTCGTAGCCCGAAACAAGCTTGTAGGTAGACTGAAGTGAAAGCGCCATTGTAGATGTTCAAGGTTGAAGAAGTGAAAGGGGTCAAAATGAGGACCGAACAACTTTAAATGATCAGCTCTCATATCCCGAGCCACCTCGGTCTCGTAATTTCCGTTCAGTCTTCGGGGCTTCTAGCGGTTGGCATGGCAAGTGGAGACCATTGGAGGGGACCCAAATAGGTTGATCAATGGCTGATCAATGCGACGTGGGGCATTGTGTGAGTGATTTGGATAGACACTTAGTCTATCGCCAGTAGAGGAAAGTGGTCAGTTCTGATTTTTTGGACTCGCGTCAATTGATTGACATTTAATGGTTAACAAGATAATACAAACAGCAGTTTTATAGACGTTGCCGACGAGCTTGCCCCAATCTGATATGATTAGGGCTTCAATGATAAGAGCAGATGACATCATATCTTAAAAATGTCCCAATGTTGACTAACATATATCACGGTGTCTAGCAGGTGTTTCATATAGCATTGAATAAATACAACAAGCGAAAGTCTTGAATAGGCTCAGCAAAAGCATAACATGTTCGCAGGATGGCCGCTAGCTTGCAGGGCGGTCGGCAGAGGCAGTATCAAGTGGTGGGGTTGAATAATCGAAGTTCAATTCAGTCGACGCTTCGATTTTGCATAGACTTCTGGAGATCTACCTTCTTTTGGTCATTGGAGAGCTTGATAAGCTTCCCTGTATCATTGAAAAGCCGCATTATCTATCCAAGGAACGGCTTCTTGCACCATTATATGACGACATCTCAACAAGAAGATTGTCAACATATCTTTCGTCGCATTCTACCTACCAACTCTCCACAGACAGATACATACTCGGATCGCCAAAATGCGCTGTATCAAGAATAGAATTGAGCACAAGGGCTCCGGCGAAGTCACGCTGTGTCCAGATGAACCCGAAGACATGGTAAATTAGTCTCGAACTTCAACCTCAACCAGAACTCCGCAACCGGCTAACACACCTTTTTGATAGTGGCATGCATACAACCTGATTCGACCAGGTGATATTCTCCGTGCTAGTACCATCCGAAAAGTCACAACGGAACAAGATGCCACGGGATCAACACGCTCTCAGCGGGTCCATCTCAATCTCGTGATTCGCGTGAAGAATCTCGACTTCGATCCGCAGAGCTCCCAACTACATGTTTCGGGGCAGATTATGAACGAAACACAACATACGAAGATTGGCCAATACCATACCCTCGATTTAGAATTGAATCGCAATTTCACGTTAGAGAAGGAGGCCGGATCAGATGGAGAGGGTTCTGGCTGGGACAGCATTGCCATTGAGTCGCTCAAGGATGCCGTGGATGAAGGCGGCAAACGACGCGCAGAGGCTATTGCGGTGGTTATGCAAGAGGGTCTGGCACATATTTGCTTTATTGGGCAATTCCAGACGATAATGAAGCAAAAGGTTGAGATGTCTGTGCCGCGGAAACGGCAGGGTGGAGGTGATCACGATAAGGTGGGTAGTCTATATTACCATTTGGACTCCAATGAGATACTAATATTTCATACAGGGAATGAACAAATTCTTCAAAGTTACACTCGAAACCCTCCTTCGCCAAATGGAGTTCAACACCAGCGTCACTTCAGGCGCCAACAACGAGGCTGTACGTCCTGTTCTACTTGCATCACCGGGTTTCGTCGCATCAGGCTTCCAGAAATACATCCAAGCCGAGGCAACAACAACGACACCCGGCCTGAAAAGACTCCTACCAAGCCTTGTGGTTGTGCATTCTGCTTCGGGATATACGAACTCGCTATCAGAGGTTTTACAGTCGCCCGCAGTCAAGTCACTGCTGGCCGACACAAAGTACGCTCGTGAAACTAAGTTGATGGACGATTTCCTGGAACAACTGCGCAAGGAAACCAACAAAGCCACTTACGGTCCCCGCGAAGTCGAAAACGCAGTCGATCAAGGTGCTGTTGGCCGCGGTGGTGGTGTGCTTATTGTTTCAAATCGCTTGTTCCGGTCACAAGATATCACAGAGCGTAAGCGCTGGGTTACGCTTGTGGATCGTGTGCGGGATGTTGAGGGCGGCGATGTGCGCATTCTCAGCTCGGATCATGAAAGTGGAAAGCGTCTTGAGGGACTGGGTGGTATTGCTGCTCTTTTGACTTTCCCTATTCTTGACGAGGATCTAGAGTCTGATGCAGAATAGTCATTAGCTATTTAATACATTTCAAAAATAAATCTATGAATCATATACCACTGTTATCTACCCATCTGTAACGCATTTCCTCTATTAGTATGAAATGTATTTGTTTTTATGTATCTCTGTCTGTGGTATAATAGCAAAAGACCCGCTTCGATTGACAACATATCCCATGGTTAATTTGACCATCTGCTGTTTGATACCGATGACCGAAATGTTGACTATAAGCCGAGATTGATCCAACGTCGCCAAGCAAGTCTGGATTTTGTTCTGTCTGCCTATTCTGAAGCCCTAGCTGCCTCATCGGCACAATCTACCCACTACATCTAGCATGCAGAACCCGTTCGGCTGCAGCTTATTACTGCAGGGAAAATGTTTCAGAAGCTATCTAGCCTCTTACACCGCCACTACATGTGGCCTCATCTGAATGTGTCTATACATGATGCCGGTCGGTACGAAGAGTATGAGACATTATCTCAATCTTTGATCTCACGTTTCTATGTTTTGACTTGCAGCATCCTTTTAGGCACCTATGTCTCTAAAATTCAATCTTAATACCGGAAACAAAACGTAAGATACTAGAAAATGCGAGGGGTAGCTCAAAATTTCTTTACACACTTCATTGGAAGTTTGCAAATTTTCGGTATGAAAACAGAACAAATCGCATAATAGTGCTATGTATTCCAATGAAAGACAACTAAACAAACAATCTCATATCCAGTAGTCAAATCCGCATCCAAGAAAAATACAATGGCAGTCTTCATACCCACCGAAAGAGAAGTGACTACCAGCGATCGAATTGCACAACCTTCCCTTCCTCTCCAACCAAGGTACGGAGTCTAGTAGACTGCCCCGGCTTGTTGTAGCGGTAGATGATACACATGAATTTCTGAATTCCATGATTGGGGTCATGGGTGAAAATACCGTTTTCAATGCGAAACTGACCTTGGTTGTGTATAGCACCGAGGAACTTAGGCACAACACCAAACTGGTCAGGAGTGCCTTGATCGTAGAATACCATGCCGCCATATGTGACAACAAGAATTTGAGCCACTTCACCATTGATCTCCTCGAGAACCTTGGGTCTCATGCGATTCAACTCGTCGTGGGCCGATTGAAGCTCCGAACGATGGGCATTGTCGCGTTGTGCTTTCTGATTCTCAGACTCTGTCTTAAGTGCATCGACCTCTGCCCGATGAGCGTTGTCATGCTGGGACTTTTGAGCTTCAGCCTCTGCTTTGATAGCCGTAAGCTCGGCGCGATGGGCATTCTCGCGCTCTGCCTTCTGGGCTTCAACCTCGGCTTTGAAAGCTTCAAGGTCCTTCTTGGCCTGATCCAGTTGGTCCTGGTGGGTTTTGCCCTGCTCAGCCTGCACTGACTCATTCTTGGAGCTGCTCTCCTGTTGCTGGGTCATGAGCTTTGAATTCTCTTCCCTTGCAGCCTATAAAGCAAAGAAATGGTAAGCATTTATACACGAAGGGCCATATTGAATAACGTCATACATTAAGCTCCTGCTCCAGCAGCAGCTTGCTTGCTTCAAGATCTTCCTCGTTCTTGGTTTTCACTGGTGGTGCTGTAGTCTAATTGTGGCTCATTGTCAGCACTGCAAACCCCGTACCTCAGACCGTGTGACGTCTTACCGGGACCAGCAACTTGAAGATGTTAGGGCTCAGATAGCGCCAATTGCGGTTTGGATCAGTAGCGATTTGCGGGTTAACAGTCACTTCATTCACCTGGGGTTCTTTGTTAGCAGCGACTTGGTATTGTAACTCGAGAGGAAACCTATCATACCTCGCGGACGATCTTAATCATCTCAAATCTGCAGTCTCTACGCGCTTTGTCGAGATCGAACAAATCCCCCCGATAGGGGACTACCTCGTTGGGGGGCAATGGCTTCTCCACAGTAACGCCTTTGTATGCTTCGCGGTTAGCTTCAATCGTTTTCACAACTCCATTGTACTGGGTGAGTCGCTCTTTGTAGTCTGCATCAAAACTCTCGGCATATGCCTTCATACCAGGCACAACCTCTCTAGGCCTGGCGCTGGCGTTTCTGCTGTTGACATCACTGATGGCTGTGGTACTTTATTAGACTAAAAATCAGATATGGGTGCATGGAACGTGAACTCACTTTGATGGATGTCCTTCCAGAGAGTTTTGTATTCCTAGCAACACATTAGTATGTTGATTGAATGAAGCATCGCAGTAAAGCGTACCGCATAGGCATCCAATAGTCCTCCAGTGTAAATTCCAGCATTCTCATAGTCCAGAGGGGATCCAAGAGTAGTTTGCTCGTGATAGCTGCGCAAGGCAGTGTACTTAGTCAAAATGGCACTATTGAGGTTAGTCGAAAGTCAATAGGAAAATCTGCTTTGGACATACAAAGTTCTCTGGGGGCCTGTCCTGATCGTTAGCAAAGTTATCACAAGTTTATCACGAGGATCAACTCACAGGAAGCCACATTGTCGGGGAACTCCATGGCCACTTGCATTAAGTTCTTGACATCCCATTCCACGATTCCATCGGACTTGATATCACCACCACCAGACCAGTTAACGCTAATCTGTGTGCTATAATGCTCTTCTTTTGTTTCATCTGACTTGCCTCCACCACCACTTCCTTCCACTTTGACTGCACCTCTAGCAAGAGACGCCTCGATCTTCATTTCACCCTCCATACGCTTGAGAGCTGACTTCTCTTCCTTGGTTTTGGTGACCAGAGCATGGAATACCCCGCCTTCGATGAAGCCTGAAATGAAGCAGTCTCCATAGAGCTCGGTGAACTTCCCTTCTGGCGCATGGGGCAAGGGACAGAACTCAACCACATCATCTGCGATCCGACGTTCGTTGGTCACTTTGACCGTGATGTCGTACTTGACATCGGCCTTGGCGAAGCCAGAATTGTTGACATAACTCGCCTCGGCACCTGCTCCACCACCAATTGCATCACAAGTTATTTGCAGCGCACCTGATAGACAGATCAGACTTGGACATCAACAGGGAATACATGCCAGATTGAAGTGGGCTCACGCACCTTTGATGTTCAGCTTCTCAGTAACTTCGCTGATGTTGTCCACAAACCCGGCCTCCCAACTGACCACCTGGCTGACTTCCTTCTGGCCATCTACCATCTTTGAGCGGCGGACAAGCTCGCCTTTTTGGTTCTCCATGTAGCCATCATCCTTATTGCCAGAAGTCACCTGTGGGACCTGTGTATGCAGGTCTTTCTCTGTTGCTTTGACTCCACCAGCCTTGCGAACCACGTCGTTGAGGCACAGCTGCTGGGTATAGCTGTTGAAGCTATTCCAAAAAACGACGGTTAGAGACTCTCTATGTCCAAGTTGGTGTCTGACTTACCCCATGCCTATACGCATGGCTTCATTGTAAGGGGCTAACATGAGAGCCATGGTAATTGATATGCAATAGGAATGGACAATATGTAAGAACTGAGAAATGTTGTGATTGAATTACTGACGGTGATATGAGGAACAAACATATGAGTTATATACTCAACCACTGCAGGAAGACCCACCAACACCACTCAAGCAACATTGCTTGCTCCAGTCCGTCCAGACTCAGCTGTCTAGGTGACGAGCGAGAACATGCTCGCGAGAAACATCCATGTTTGTGGATTGCTCGCTCGATCTGGAAAGACATGCATCAAGAAGAGATGAGGAGCCTGCCGCAGCTGCACGAAGCGAGAAACATGCGGCGAAGCCGGTCGCCTGTACTTTCCCCAAATCAGCATCACCAGCATGTTTGAGATAGTGAATGTGGAGGCACTATTGGGTGATGCAACCCGTCACGGACGCTCCTCTTTCACGAGCCTATATTCAGGCACCTGGACTAGATTTGCCTCCACCATGATAAGAGGAGTGTAAAAGATTCTCTCAACTATCTCGCACATTAGAATTACAATTTGTTGGCTCTACACGTCAAAAACTGCCACAGCCATGGGTTTACTTGAAGATTTCCCGAAGGATCCATTTACGCCCAGCTTGCCTTATGCGGCGGCCGCGCAGCTTCCAGTCACCATGCCCTGGGGTGGAGACATTCTCCGACTGGGTACACCCCTGATAATTGGAAGTCGGCCAGAGGAGACAAAGTTCCTCGAAGATCGAAGTGCCTTTGCCCCTGAATCACTGCGCAAAAGCTCCCTTGTCTTTCAAAGCTCCTGCCAGGGTACAGTGACCAGATCAAGCACCAGCTCCGCAGCAGAAAGTCACGAGCACACCTCATTTTCGCTTCAGGCGCAAGTCGGCGGGTCTGTGATCGGCGTGTCCGGACGCGCAAACTACGAAGCTCGAGTGGCGACCAACCGGCATGTAAGTTCTCCACTCTGCTGCAGAAATGGTCTGAAGAAGCGAATTGACTGACTTGGCGAACACCCTGACAGGCCCAAAACGCTAGCTTCCGTGCAGAATACCAGGCTGGGCGCATTGGCTTTGACGAACCCCCGCATCTTTCAGCCGACGCCCTTGCTTTGCTCCATAATCGCGCCGACCCGAATGCGTTCCGAGCCAAGTATGGGGATTACTATGTTGGGGCTTATCTACTTGGTGGCGCTAACTCGCAGCTGCTCTCATGCACCGCCATGGGTGCCTCGTCCTCCAAAGATATGAGTGCTCAAGTTACGGGGAAATTCCTAGGGTTCAAGAAGACAAAGAACTTTGAAGAACATGAGCAAGCAGAGGTCGCAATGGGGCAATATGAACTGGTCGCATATGATTCCCTCAATGCCTGGGAGTGCAATCAAAAAGGGGGTAACGAGCAGGCAAATCTAGAGCTCGTGGCTCAAGCGAACTATGATCGATGCAGCACCCTTGTCAATCGCGTGGCTGCCAAGGTGGAGGCGCTGCAGCTGCAGCATGGCTCACGCGTACCCTGGGATAGCTGCGAGGCTATTTGTCGCGATCATTTGGTGGTCCAGGTCTTGTTGCTTCCGTATGCCAAAGTGAAGGAGTATGCGTCGGCTGTTTTGTCCGTAGCAGAGCTTCCCCAGCTGAGCTGAAACGATGTCAGACATTGTTTCGTGAATGGGACATGTATTTTGTGACTATTGGTTTTCTCGGGAGGAATTGACAGAATTGAATCTCATCGTCTGGTTTTAATTTTTCTAAACAAATTTTGCTCTTGGAGCCGACGGAGTGTCCGGTCTCTTCGTCACGAAGTAGATCTTTGCTTCCTGAGAATTGCTATATAAATATGAGAGTTCGGTCCAAATTTGTATTTATTCAATCTGCAGCTCTCTCTTCTTGACTCAATTGTGCTCTATCTACATAAACTCAACTCAAGATGGCTACCATCCTTGCTCCATACAACACTGCCATGCGCCTGGGCACGGGTGAGAACATCATCACCTAACTATTTCACCTTTGAAGAGGCATTGACCTTTTCTAGGCTTCAACTCTTTCACTCAGCAGCTCTGCATCGACAATGCTGTCGTTCGCGATGAAAATGCAGCAGTCGCCTTGGAGATCGAGCTGAAGGAGAGGGATATTCCCCAGGAGGTTACATACAAAACGTCTATTGTTGACAAGGTCACTGATGTAACCAGTGCGATGAATGTGTGTTTTCTCTACCCATACTCCTCCTTAATCCCATACTTACTCTGAGAAGATCAGCGCGGCATTCCTCATCAAGTATGACAACTTCGATGCCAAGGGCAAGGGCTCCTTCCTGAACACATCCAAGGTCAAGGAGAGCGATGTCAGTTTTATGATCTCCGTAAAGGTCGTCAACCAGGTCATCCAAGATCACTCTTTGACTCAATTCAACCCTATCTCGGGACTTAAGGGCCAGAACTTCACCGAGGTCTATGGTGACTCTTTCATTTCTGGTATGGCAATATTCAATACTTCATCTAGTATATACCTTGCTGATAAACTTTTCAGGCTTCCAATACGGCGGTGAATTTACTGCTGTCATCTCCGTGAAGGCCAAGGAGAAGGAAGATTCCGAGGATATCAAGGCCAGGTCAGGACACCCTCAATACCGGCCCACTTGTATCCGGCATGAGACTAACACAACCCACTAGGGCTCGCATCCTCTTCACCAAGGATAAGGGCAGCCTTGACATCAACGGCAAGTTTAGCAAGGAGAGTGAGAGCTTCTTTACAGAGAACGAAACCACCATTTCAGTCACCTACACCGGAGGTGGTCAGCACCTGAAAGAGCGTAAGAGCAACCTACATTTTACCCAACTAATCTCATCTGTACTTACACAAACTATAGGTGACGATGACTGGACCTTCGAAACCATGAAGGCCGCAGCCCTTAGATTCCCCTACCTCGTAGCAGCAACACCCATGCGAACCCACGCAATCTTAACCAAGTACTCATCTCTACGCAGCTACTACGCCGGCAGCGTACCAACTAGCCTCCCCAGCTTCGAGCACGCCGGAGTCTACACAGCCCTCCTACAGGAAGCCTATCTCGATTACAAGACTGTGGCCAAGAACCTTCAGGTCCTTGCATACGATGTGTCCGCCGGTACCCAAACCCTCAAGGTCTCGCCAGCGGAAAGTGAAAAGAGCACCGGCATCGATGTCACAGACAAGGATTCTACCAGTGGCAGTGACGATGACAGCATGGTTCCTGTTGCTAAGCCGGTTTCTGGATCTATCAAGGATAATTACTCATTGCCTCCTTTGATTGTCAAGCGGCCGTATCATCCCTCGTTGCAGGGTGTCGAAGCTGCTCGGGCTATGGTCCGCTTGATGCTTAACCGGATTGTTCAGGAGGTTGATCTTATTGCTAAGATGCCTGAGCTTGCTTCGAGGGAGGATCGGCCGTTGCCTTATATGAGTCCTTTCTTGTTTAAGGAGTTCTTGCCGGTACGTTATTCTCGGCCTCCATTTAGTAACGTATAGAAGGCTAACAGAGTTTGAACATAGGTCGGTGAATTGGTTACCAAGACTGTTCCAGTTCCAGATGCTACTGGCCCTATCGAAGAGGTTCCTTCGATCAAGCAGCAGATTTCCGGTGGGAGAATCTTTGCCTAAAGGGTGAATTTCTGGGACTTTCGTCGAGCAATGGCTTGAGTCTCGTTGTATTTATCACTTGTATCTTGCATCACATGCAGTTCTCAATTTACTATGCTTTTTCTTACTTACTTTTTCTCTGGGACCACAATGGCATTTGAATAATCGTAACTTCTTTATTCAATAATTTAATCATCAATCCTTTATATACTACGACGAAAGAGAAAACATAGACTTGAATCTCCGGAAAGTCTCCGACTTCAAAGCCTGGTACTCACTATCCGTCCGCAAAACAGCGTCACGGTTCTCAATTGCCCGGCGAAGAAGATATGCCAGACATTCACCAAGACCACCCCAAGTGGAACACTTGTAAACCTCGGGTGTTCCATCACCATCCTTCATCTGAAGCAAGGAGAAGCTAACCTCGTCTGACATGCCATGGAGCTGCGCAAAACGCACAGGGATAGTAGGTAGACCTGTGGTGACGCGCTGCTTGTGGAGCTCGTGGGCAGTTATCACACTCTCCTTATTATGACTTGCCAGAAAGAGGTTGACTGAAGGGAAAGCGCGGCTTCCCTTGTCACCAAACTCTCCAATATTCTTCATCAATGCCCCCTGGGCAATTGTGTTATAAGCGTTATCCGTTTTCTCTTTTGTGTCGTGGATCAGAGAGCGTTCGTCAGAAGCCATGTATGCGCCTCTCACGACCTTGAGGCCGAGAGTGAACCCTTCTTCCTGAGCTGAGGCAAGATCCTTGGCGAGTCTGTCAGGTGTGCTCTTCAGGTAGGCTTGGTAGGTGTTATATACGGAGGCATAGCCGTCACGGTTGTATTTGCGCATGAGATCCAGAGTGATACGGTGAATACCCCTTTGGAAATATTGAGATTCGGCGTCGACGAGGATACGGACGTTCTTCGCTTTGCACTTGGTACAGATTTCGTGCAGAGCGTCAATCATTTGTTGTGGTGGCAAGTCTCCGGCAGAGAAGGCTTTGGTGACCTTGGTTCCGGCGCCGGTCAGTCTATGAAAAGTCAGTCATCTTTGCATACAAAGGGGGGACTTGAGCATACTTTACAGCGAGATAATCTTCTTCGTCCAACATATCAACTGTCTTGACTGTTCCTTCCCGCCAAGATTCAATGCTAGGGCATTGCTCAACCGCAGCATTGATAGAGATATCTCCATGCTCACTTTTCATAGCCGTAATCCCCAACCCATGTTGGGAATTTGTCTTATGATCAAATACAGTCTCTTTGGCGTATGTCATGATCACGCCGCGGAAGCCCATATCTTTCAATTCTGTCATTGTGGAGTTGACTTCAGCGCCATTCTCCCCCGCACAGAATTGATCGTAGAACGTCTTCTTCAGAATTCTATGCAAGAGAGGATTCCGATCCACATCAAAAAGCCAAATCTGGTTGGGCTTGGAGAGGAAGGACATGACAGAAAGGGCAGGGATGAGGATGTATCTCTTGGATGATACTGTAGAAACCAGCAAAGATCTGAGCAATACACGGGCTGGCAAAGCGGAAAGAGGAGAGGAGGAAGCACTAGAAACAGCCTTAGAGGGATTGTGTGCGGCTTGTGCTTGTGCCTGCAAGGTCGAAGTCAACCGCACTTGCATCGACACATTGTTCGTTGGTAGGGTACATCTTGTAAGAGCCGTGAGAGGCTTTCCAGGAAGCAAGGCACCCATTTCTGGTGAATAAAGTCGTGAAGCTGAGATAGTCCTCGTGCCAGATCTAGAGACTGAGCCAGCTTCTTTATCCTTTTGATGTATACCCCTCGCACCGTATCAGGTAGCATCTCGGGCAGGCGTCCGATGTCTTTGATAACAGACATACTCCAGCATGCGGGGTTGATAATCGTTTGCACTGGACATGCGCTTCACAAAAATAGTAGTTGAACCCAGATGCCCGCTTTCAATCTGATTTTCTATTGGTGTTCCAGAGAATTCCATCGTGAGCTGCACGGGAGAGTCGCCGGTGGCGGGGTTGTGCTATCAACGGTTTGGCTACCGATAACATTTGGGTCGAAATGAATAATGATTGGCATAGTTGTGTGTGTGGGGAGGCGGTTATCACTCTATGTTATCGATGTTCTTGAGATGCGTGGAAAAGCAGGTGAGTACGTGTGTCCAAGATCTTTGGTGTTGATTTCGACAACATTTGACATAGCACGAAGTCGGTATCACTTACCTGTCTCGAGACGATTGTTCAATGAGAAAGAAGTATACAAGGTACTCTCACAAAGGCTGATAGCCTGTCTCTGTAGCAAGCAGATTTCTTGACGGGTACCTTCAACACAGGTCTATGATCGCACCAAGCCACAGCTTCTCATCAATCCAGCCAGAAGTATCAACCCATCATCATATTTGACTTGTTTGTCAAATTCCAATTATGTCAACAAGCTTGATGTTCAGTTCCCATGAGTCACCAAATGCCCAGAATTCCCCTGCCCGAGGGGTTCTCTGCAAGTCGGATGAAATCGGGAGGATTAGGGTTTCAAGACGTGAACTTCTCCTTACAGCCATAGCTTCAGTATTACAGTTGGCGCTAATATCAATCTTACACTGTATATCCGAGAACAGCTTCTCAACAGGAGTCAACAAGATGAGTGTTGAGTCATGGTCTACGATGTGCATCGTAGGAAGCAGAACTCCTGCAGGATAAAAGGGCGCATTCCCTGGTCCAATTCCAGATGGAAACATTGTATAGATCTCTTTTATACTTCAATCTCTTTAGATTGCATTGTGTTCTTTGAATTCCTTCATAGCCATGAGCCTCCAAACTGGTATGGCGCGCCTTTCTTTTGCGCCTACTCCTCCTCGATACCATTCATTGCAAGTCGCATGTCCTGTCCGATGTATCAGACAAAGTCGATCCAGAGGAATTGGTGGATCAGCTCTGATATCTATCAAGCGGCATCATGCAACAGACACACAAGCCAGTCAGAAGTCATCATGGACTCACCCCATGTAAGTCCAATCCAAAGACCAACCAAGCATATCACCGTCTCACCTACCGTTCCCAACAGATATTCAAAAGAACAAATCCTCGCCGTCCGCACCGCTCACCGTAAAGCCGAAACCTGGCAAGATAAAACAGCCCTCACGAGCGTACGTTTCTTACGTTGGGGCATGGACCTAGTATCAGGCTACCGTTCCCAACCAACAACCAGCAACGCTCTATTCAAGAGTAGCGTCATGACAGAAGAGAAATGGATCAGAAGATTCATCTTCCTGGAAAGCGTCGCCGGCGTCCCAGGCATGGTAGCAGGAATGCTCCGCCATTTGAAAAGCATTCGAAGAATGAGAAGAGACAATGGATGGTAAGTCTCCCTTCCTATCCCATCAAATCCAACATCCCAACAACATCTAACAAAAATTAGGATCGAAACCCTCCTCGAAGAAGCCTACAACGAAAGAATGCACCTCCTAACCTTTCTAAAACTCGCCTCACCCGGACCATTGATGCGCCTAATGGTCCTAGGTGCACAATGCACCTTCTTCAGCGGCTTCTCACTGGCATACCTAATCTCACCACAAATCTGCCACCGATTTGTCGGCTACCTAGAAGAAGAAGCAGTGATAACCTACACCAAAGCAATCCAGGACCTGGAAGACGGCCATTTACCCGCTTGGGAAGAACTACATGCCCCTGCTATGGCTATTAAGTATTGGTCTATGCCTGAGGGGCAACAGTGTATGCGGTCGCTTCTTTTGTATGTACGTGCTGATGAGGCGAAGCATCGAGATGTGAATCACACGCTTGGAAACTTGGATCAGGATGTTGATCCTAATCCTTATTCGGCGAAGTTTCGGGTTCCTGTTAGTGTTAGGGCTGTTGAGAGGGCTAAGAGTGAGATCGAGAGTGAGAGTGAGAGGGATGTTGGGGGGTTTGGGGAGCTTGGAGAGTTGAGGGCTGGAGAGAGTCGGAAGGAGGCATGACAGATCACGCCTGTACTGTATCCCTTTCTGTTGATATGAAGTTCTTTTACAGGACTTGGTGGTTAGATTTGATTAGATCTAGAATGCTTTGTTATTGGTTGTTCAATGATGATTTGCTACTAAGCTCGGGCTAAGAGGTTATTCCATATAAGGCATTGATTCACCGGCATAGATTAGACGCTAGCCCCCTCATTACTGGATATATACTCTGCGGGTTCATGTTCTACTTTAGGAGAAGGAACCCTATAGGTGCATGTCACCCCTCGTGAAGACTGGCGGGTTGGCTGCCGTTGCTCGGGAAGGGTCCCGGGAGGCGCTGAACCATACAACATTGGCTGTATAATCGATAAGCTATGCTGGGGTTGGAGGTTACTGACATTTGCCTTTTGATAATGAAAAAAAGCCAGGCGACCTAATAGCGGTGTACTCTGTATACCTGGAATTGCTTGGCACACCAGATATGGCTGGGCCATGTAGTCAGTATCAGTGGGTATGAGCTATCTACAAGATTCGTTTACGAAGACCTGCATCTCGAGAGTCACTTCAGATCATCATTGTTCTAGGCTACTGTTTTGGTGGAAATATTTGAGTTAATTATGTTCGAAAATCCCCAAGTAACTCCATTAGTAGAAAGTAGAGAAAAGAGTAGATACATGCGGAAGAAGACCATAATAGATAATAAGACAGTATTGTATCAAAGATGATTCCAAGGGTGAGAATAGAATCCCAGCTTGACTAGAATCTATTGCAAAGCCCGAAACGATGTGTCTGGTTAATTCCGTGAGGTGTCCCTTGTGAAAAGGGTCCGATTAGGCCGCAATGAAGTGGCCTAGATGCCCCGTTCCTCCTATTTGTCCAATTGTGTCCATCGAATCTGCAATCTGAGATCGGCCTCGGCGCAATTTCTGTCGCCAGAGTCTCCCATGTGCGGGGCGGTCAAGCCATTCCGGTTCTAGACTGCGCCAAGCTCAGCTGGGCATCCATACCGGGGCCGTCGGGTCCAGGAGATGGTGCATGGTTTGATTCTGTTGTTGCAGAGCTTTCTGTGATTAACCAATTGAAAAGTGGTGTCAGTTGTCACGCTGCTGCTGGGCTGAAGTCGTGGCTGTGTGCATTTCCGGTCAACGATCGGGGTCGAGACCATGACAGTGATGTTGGCATATATCGCAAGAGCTGAGATCAATTTCAAAGTGTTGATAATTGTCAGGCCTAATAGCTTTGTGCTGATACGGCGGCGGGCTGTGATTCGTTAGCACTTGGTCAAAAACGAGGTGCATCTGGGGAAGCATCGGCTGGTTGCACGATGCAGCGTCGATCCCTTGGAAGGGGATGCAAAAAGCAAGGGGTATCTTACAGGGCTGTTCAGGATGCTGTTGCGCTCCTTACGACCCTTCTTAATATGGTTCTTCAAGGCGGTCGAGTCCAGCGGTTTGAGAAGTTCGAAACTGCAAAGCAATTCACCTGAGACAGACATGATCGCGCCCCAATTATCGAATTCACCGCAGTACTAAATAAAGTCAGTTGGGTTCTTGAAATACACATGAGGAAGCTTACATTAGGTGCTGAGAAGACGGTCACCAGGATGCGATCCTGGTAGAACTCGTAGCCATCCTCAACAACCATGTGTGCACGACAAACCAGGTCGAAGTCATGGCGTTGCAAGAAGTTCATGATCACCTTCTTTCCGAAGCAGTAGCTGACACCTCGTTCATTGGGCTCCCAATCTTCTTCCATGTCCGCTGGGTCACTCCATAGGAGATCATTCAACAGACCATAGTCGGGCACATCGGTGGGACGAGCGATACCCCGGATATCATCCATGTGGGAGAGACTAGGCGAGAGACCACCGTGAACACAGAAAATCTTGCCGGCGACAATCGCAGCGATGGGGAGGGTGTTGAAGGTATCGATAAAGGTCTTCCAGACCTTGATGTTGCAACGACGCTTACACTCGTCGTAAAATCCATAAACTCGTGTGACGTTGGCGCACTCGTGGTTTCCGCGCAGCAGGAAAAAGTTCTCGGGATACTTGAGCTTATAGCACATCAGCAAGAGAATCGTCTCTAGACTCTGCTTGCCGCGGTCGACATAGTCACCCAGGAAGAGGTAGTTTGAGGCAGGTGGGAAACCACACATCTCGAACAGCCGAATGAGATCGGTGTATTGACCGTGCACATCACCGACAATCTTCACAGGAGCAGAAAGCTCCAACAAAGCAGGCTGAGATAGGAAAAGCTCACGCGCGGCCGTGCAAATGGCGGTAATTTCTGCGTTCTTCAAACACACAGTCTTCGTAACCTTGGCAGAATACCCAGCATCCAGAAGTCGCGTGATCATGTCGTCCAAATCAATAGATTTCAAAGCGCCCATGCCCATTCCAGGGGAGCCAGATGTCTCCAGAGGCGCATTCATAATGAAGTCCAGAATAGGGTTCAGCTGGTTCTCGCGCTTCATCAGGATGGATTCACCAACAGCTGGAGCGGCGCCGGTCGGGGGACCACCAGAAGGAGGACCTTCGGACACATGGTCCACCTCACCGCTCTGCTGCATCGCATTCACATCCTTGTGTCCTTTCTGCAAACTGGCAGAAAGCGAAGGAGATGGTGGGGGTTGGGGAGAACCGGGTCGGGAGGCGTCTTCGGAGCCAGGCGTCTGGGGAAGACCGGCATTGGAGCTAGGACGGCTGCCGCCTGATTTGGCCGACTTGATTGAGCCAACATCAGACTTGTCGGTCTGACTTTCGGTTCGAGAAAGGGCGGTGGTAGAACCACGAGGGCTGTCAGAGCTCCGAGTCCCTGGGATTTTCGATCGGATCGAGCCGCGGAAAGAGCGAAGGGATTCCTTCGTATCGGATTTCGAGAAGGAAGGATAAGACTGCAAAGGGTCGCCTGAAGCGTTGCCCTTGGAATGTGACTGGCCCATGATGGCTCGGCTTGGATGACTGCCAAGCTTGAGTTGAAAGGATCGCACAAACGAAGGATATTCAAAGTGCTATGCCGAGAAAGCCCCTTTTGTGTTGGAATGTCTTGGCCCGAGCTCCTTCTTTGGTATATTAAGCACGGATATCCTGCCCAACGGTCCGAGGTGGGATCTGCGAGTAGTAATTTTGACAACCCCCAAGCCAAGTCGGAGGGATGCGGGTAGAGGAAAGGTGTAGATGCGATCAGCGTGGCAAGTGGAACGACGAAATGATCCGGCCTAGTCAAAGATGAAGATCTAACAAGCGATTCGACTTGTGGTGGCTGCAGACAGGAGGTGTCAAAAGGTGGAAAAGCTCACAGGTAAGTGGAGGGCGGGAGCTCCGAAGCGGCAGCCTATGAAGCTCTGCTGTACAGTGGGTTAGCCTCTTTCACAGGCAATGCAAGCGTGATATTAACAGGGCTGAACTCCACCAAGACCCAGTTGGCATGTGGAGGTTTGGAGAGATAAAAAAAGCAAGGGGAGGAGGTGGTGGATTTGCGGGTAGAGGAATGCGTCATTATGTACGGGGTTTGGACGGGAGTAATTATCCACATAACCGCAGGCGGTAACCCCACGAGGTTGTACTTACTGGGTAAGTGGGAGCACACAAAAGGGATCTCCCAAGAAGATGTGACAAGGGAAGAAGCTAAAGTGAGCAGAGAGAGGGGAAGACTCCGCCACCGCTAACGAAAGTCGATCTGCTATGTTTTTGGCCACGGCGGTCTCGATTCGGTGATCTCGGAGGATCTCTCGGTCCGGGCTATACAACAAAGAGAGTCTGGACTTGGATATTTATAATTTTAGACTGTGTATTACACTTAGATATAGAACCAGATGTAAGAATCTAAGGGGCAAATCTAACTTTTCCTCCAGCTTCACAATTTCAAGAATAGCCGAAATTGTGGTACTTTTGACTATAACTTATTTGTGCGCCCTGTCTTGTCTTTGATCTCATGATGGAATTTGTCTTGTTCATTCTATTAGACAAACACATTCTCATTAGCGCGCAGTAAGCGACTGTGCTCCGTTTCTACTGCGTACATGCATTGAAATTTGAATTTGGACCATCTGAAAAGACCAGTGCAAATGAACTTGAAGAACCAGTCTCAAAGGCTTTTCCGAACCTACCCGGCCATTGACAAAGACATCCATCTAGAGCTTGGACCCCGCAATGCCTCCTATCAGAAGGGGCAGAGATTAAGGTGCAGCACCACTGACTCAACGACTCGAATCCACGTTCTGGAGCAAGATAGACACATCACAAGGAAAAAGTGTTGCTGCGTCCCTGTTGGCGCTTTGCGTATATATTGTATCGGCCAAAGTCCGTTTCAAAGATACACACCCCACCCCTGGCCTGCTCGCAGCGGAATCGGACACGAGCCACAGATAGTCTTGGTTCTGCACGAAAAGAACACTCACTGCGTGCCAAGGTATCTCTGTGGCGGGACACCGCTTTTTGCCCCTCCATCCCTACTCATCCAGAGTACCCGCCAATCGCTCCGTGATATCGAGCAGCGGACCTACTGGCCAAGTCAAGTGCGATGCAGCTGCAGTGTTCCCCGTGCCACGTTCATAGAGCAGTGAGCGCCAGGGCCCGTAAGGCAAACCTCCTTGGCAGCCCCACACCCAACCTCGTGCTAGCGAAACAAGGACCGGGGAGAAAAGCGTAGGGCATGGACAGGGGACAGGGCTCCGAGTGCGGCGTAGTGGGCGCTTGAATGTGATAGATCGTGACCACCGTGCTTGGTCTTAGGTGATAGGGCCAGGTTTGTCATTCGAGGGAGGAGTATAAAACAGCCCCCAAAACAGGAATGTGACGGTCTGGTGGATACGAGTTTTTGTTGGAGCCTAGAGGTCTACTCCAGCTCGATTTTCGTGATATGACGCCCCGGTATCACAATAAGGCCTATAAGTCGGCTCGTCATGTTCACCCTGACAGTTGTGCTCTTTGCTTCTGATCCTTCCGTATATTCATTCTCGCTTACGGCGGCTTGTACCGCTGATGTAGTTGGCATGCGGTACTCGAAGGAATTGGCGAGAATGATGTTGCGGTCCTGTTGAGATTCGGTCAGTCCAGCTCAGAGGGTCGGTCCTGTAGGACCCCACCAACGACCACTTACTGCATCGGTACACTTGAAGAGCCCGACGAACATCCGAGTGTCAGTCGTGTGAATCCGCAGTGAACGACCTAATAGCCTCTCCAAGTATTGAGTACCTTGGCTGTTGTCCATGGTTGGCGGGGTGCTCGTGTCAGCTGCAGAGTTCTAATGCACCAGGTGAAGTCCGAGTGTCAAGCTGAGGAGTAGTCAACTCAGAAAAGGAGGTGGATAGAAATTTGATAGACGGTCAAATGGTTCTCATGGCAGGTCCGGGGTTCCTCCGGGTGATGGTTCAATTAGGGAAACGACGCAGGTGGGCGAACAACCGTTTGTGGAGCCTGAGGCCAAAAGCTCTGACCAAGCACATGTATAAATCCGAGTTAGGACTGATAATTTGGTAAAGTAGCTCTCTCTAAGTTCCTCGGTCCACTTTTTGTATATTCTTGCGCAGTTAGTCAATCTCTACCCATCATTGCCGGTTTGCTTCGGTGCTATTGTCAGTATATGCCTGCCTTTCGCAATGTAAAGCTCATATAACCCAAATCAGGTTTAGATATTGGCTAATTCTATTCACTGAAAGCTATAGCCCATGATCTTTCAATTAATCCCGCATATTTATCAACGCCAAGGACACAAAACACCTGTTGTGTCAAAAATGATTATATCAAGGCTGATTGTAGCCTAAAACACCTTGCCCGAATAACCCAATAGGTATCACGAAAGAGTGAGAGGCAAAAGCAAGTCTCTCCGCATATTAACACCAGCTATGATGGTCACGAAGTCTCGTGATCATACCCAAGCCATGCCTCCAGCCCAGTTCCTGGATAACTGACCGGAACTATCACTTCCACTGCCGCTATTCACATCCATGTCCATATCCATATCCACGTCAGCACCCATTTGATTGAATCCGGGACTGTTGCTATCACTTGTGCTCGAGCTGTCCGCCGAGGTCATCTGCTCAAACGCCCGGCGTCGGAGAATGTCCTCCTGTGCAAGCGCTGTCTCATTTGCGCGAGGCGCAAGCGCTTGACGGGATGGTCGGAAGGGTGATGATTGCTGGGGTGTTGGTTGAAAGAACCTGTGTAATGTTTGCTGTCGCGGGTCGACCTCCACGGGTGCTTCGAGAGCAGCTTCCGATTCCATTGTATCCATTTCAACCGTCGATGCAGGCACTTGTTGCTTCTGAGCGGAAAAGATCCAGCGTAATGTGTTTTCTGTAGTCTGTAAGCAACGCTGAAGGACAATGCGATCAAGGGGTGTCTCGTGGCTAATTGGGGCCAGAAAGAAACACGTACGGTAAATAACTTGGTCGCTTGGACGGTCGTCTCTGAAACGCTTGCGTGTCCGGCTGTGAAGGTGATTGTTTCCATCAATCACCATGCCCCATTCGCTGGGGGCCGCAATTGATGGGCTGGATGGGACAGCTGCAAAATCAGCCTTGCGCTTGAGGGACATTATTGCGGGTGAGAGGATAAGCTGGAGAAATTGCGTGTCCAGAGTCTGAGGGAGTGAGATTGAGAGGAAGAGGAAGGCTGCACTCTGAGAATGCAATTGGCCAAGCGCGTCAATTACGGGATTCGCGTTGCATTCTAGTCACGCTAGTCCTAAACGGGTAATATAGCTAGTGTTCCATTAACATGTTGGGTTGATGCTCATTTCTACATGAAATGCTGGATTTCATAGTGGATATTGATTATGGTCGTTGTCGATAATTATCGTAGCTAGTTTAAGACTACCATGAACCTCCTGTCTAAACCACCACGCGGCATCCCTAGTACCTAATCATTCCTCTGGTATCCAGGACTACAATTCAAGATTCAATATCAGACATAGCATACATTTGGAAGAATCGAGGTTTTGTACAAATTTAAACCGGCCAATTTCTTAAAGTTTTGCATATAATATATTGATGTCAAGCATCTTTGTCTTAAATTATATGATTTGGAGCACTATCTGGTTAATTCAAATAAAAACCTTCTTGGCCACCAATACTGGCTCTCGTTCAGGAATCTAGGTGCCTTCATCTTCATATTGAAGCTTGTTGGGGGATCCCCACCATGACGCTCCCCGCTTCTTTATCTCCCCGAGCTTCACCTCATCAACACCCATCCTATTGACTAACATGTCTTCCCGACGCGCATCTCACTCTGGGTCATGGTATACAGACAATGGCCGTGCCTTGGCCCGACAGCTGGATGGCTGGTTGGGACTGGTGCCGGATACAATGGACAAGGTCGGTTCGCTGCCAACCGCGGGGGCTAGAGTGATCATCGCACCGTATGAGACCCTCATTTAGGGTGAGCTCAAAACAATTCTAACCAACTAGACATGCGGGATATTCATACTCAGGGCCCTGTGCTGCCTACGCATACAAGGCCCTGGACCTCTCGAAAGCGTGAGCTTATCATCCCATCATCTCACCATCCCACCAACATCCGATACTAATGAAACAGGAAACGGATCTTCATCCTAGGACCATCGCACCATGTTGCACTGTCAACACTGGCTCTCCCAACCTTGACTTCTTATCGTACCCCTCTATCCGATGAACCCCTCCCACTAGACACCGAACTGATCACCCAGCTGTTCGCAACACAAGCAACCAGACCCAACGGGTCAAAGGTTAGCTTCACAACCATGACAAAGTCCGTCGACGAGGACGAGCACAGTATCGAGATGCATCTCCCATACGTCCACCGCTTGCTCCAGCTTCAATACCCAGATGCCCCAACCTCAGAATACCCCCCTTTGGTCCCAATCATGGTGGGTAATACCTCGGCTGCAACAGAACAAGCATTTGGTAATCTTCTCGCTCCCTACCTGGCCGACCCATCCAACGCCTTTGTCATAAGCTCAGACTTCTGCCACTGGGGTCTTCGCTTCCGCTACACATACTACGTCCCACAGGCTCCCAAGCGTGGGCCGTCACTCCCTGTGTCTAGCGACCAGCTTCCACAGCCAGGATCGGATGCCAACAGCGTCAGCGATAGAATTGAGATGGTTTCTGCTGGTCATCATCTGCGCCAGCGGGATCGAATTCCGAGTCGTGAGCCTGCCATTCATGAAGGCATCTCGGCATTCGACATGGCGACTATGGCTGCTATCACCACCGGGTCTGCCAAGAATTTCCTGGACGTGATTGATCGCACCGGTAATACGGTATGTGGGCGTCATCCGATTGGCATCATCATGGCTGCTCTGGAAAATGTCACAGCTAGTCGACCGGCAGACAAGCAAGGGCGTTTCTACTTCTTGCGTTACGAGCGAAGCTCGGATGTTGAAGATGTGAGTGACAGCTCGGTTAGCTATGTTTCTGCCTTTGCAGTGCTGTAGGCTAGCTCATGCCTTTCTGGCTCAATGAGTTTATCCAACCTGCTTTTCTTAGATAACAATGGTATCGAGTTTAACGAATGATCATGAAATAACGCAAGTATCTTACAGACTCACGTTCACCATGCTCCCAGTAGACTATTGGCTCTCCGAGTGCAACTGTGATGGTCGCGTGCCTACTTCGAGGATGGACACATTTGTTTAGTGTGATACAATGTAGCACTCGCTCCTGAATCGCCGCATTCACCGGCTTGACACCTGCCCAGGTGGGCATATGCTAGGACATGTTCAGTAGGAGCTTTCTCCGGGTTCCCCAGATTGCGGTTAGGCCAGGACTCGGTAGATATCCGCTACTTCCAGCTGCTGAAATACCATGCAGCACATGTGTACACCCTCGGAATCTAGCAGGTCCATGCGATTCCAACAGCGGAATGAGGCATAAAGCACGAGATCACCACAACGCTGTCCGAACAACATTGCATTATTGTCCTCGGGGAAGTACATGTAGAAATAGAAGCATCAATTATTCAATCAGTGTGAGTAAGACATGCTTTTAATTCCTTTAAATTATTCACAAAACAGGATTCAGGTGAAACTTGAATTTCTTCGTCCTTAAAAACGCCACGCCAATCGGACACATTTGACACGAGAAACACTGTGCACATCTATGCTCTATCAGAATCTGATTGCTCTTTTGTTTAACTCATTTCCACGTGTAAGTCGTAATCTACCTGCAGGGTCGGATGCTTAGCCCCCTGAGACACCTTCGACTGATTAGTTTAGAGATCTAGATCTCAACCGTCTGCAGCCTTGTACACTTTCCGGTAGATGCAAATCGCAAAAGCAAATCGCAAACTAGACTGGAAAAGACTAGACCAGACCGACTAGATCTATCGACAGTAAAAAGTTCCGATCAGCCCCTTCCTATCTATCAAACATAAAACACACCCGTCCCTGAAATTAGCCGCCGACGAAAGGAGGCGTCGCCCAACCAATCCCATCGGCCCATCCCACCAGGTACAAGTCTTTGCCATAAGAACCCTTGCATTGAAATGTGCCCGTGCATGTTCAGATCCACAGGGGGGCACAATGTCCAAATCTCGTCTCTTGATACACATCCACATTCCCGGATTGTAAGCGCCGACGTTCCCCGTCTGACAGGGTGACACTGTAGCAGTCGAGGTCCAATCCTTCAAGGTTGACAGGAAGGGTAAGCAGCGCCTTGCAGGGCCATCGGAGCATTGTGGATTGTGCATTTGTGGTTTGTAGGCGCATATGAAGGGTGGATGATCAGGGACATTGTGGCGTGAATGGAGGGGCCAGGGCTGATTGTCAAAGACTCTGGAAGTCTATATATCGAGATTCCCATTTCGCCCCTGGTATCTTCTTTTGCATGAGCTCTGGTTTTAGTTCACAGTCTTGAGATCTTGTTCTCGTTCACTCCTTTACCTTACGTAACCAATCCTTGGCTGGACCTTGGGTTTATTTATTTCGCCGAGATGTTTCGTTTTATCTTTCTGGCCCTCGTAGGGCTGATTCCTTTCATTACTGCTTCGCCTACTCCTGTGGAGTTTAACAAAATGTCGATTCGCGATGAGGATGCCAATCACGGGAACAGACTGGTTTTCTGTCATTTCATGGTGAGACACGTTTGTTTTGGTTTTTCTTGTCTGGCACCACTGACAGCTTCTAGATGGGCGTTGTGAGCAACCGCCAAAATGCCAGTGACTATGATGCCGACATGAAACGCGCCAAAGAGGCCGGCATTGATGCCTTCGCCTTGAATATCGGCACTGATTCTTACACCGATACCCAGCTGAACTTTGCCTATCAATCTGCCGCCGACAATGGGATGAAGGTGTTTATCTCCTTTGATTTTAACTGGTACCACGTCGGCCAGGGAAGCGAGGTCGGCAATAAGATTAAAGAGTTTTCAAACCACCCTGCGCAGCTTATGGTTGATGGCAAGGTTTTCGTGTCGTCTTTCACCGGCGATGGTGTCGATTGTGGTGCGATGAGAGCTGCAGCTGGCTGTAATGTCTTTTTCGCGCCAAACTTCCACCCTGGACAGGGTGATTTCAATGATGTGGATTCTGCCCTGAACTGGATGGCATGGGGGAGTGATGGATACAACAAGGCTCCGACTGCTGAGCGGACGGTGTCAGTTATGGATGGTGATGCCGCGTACCACTCGGCGCTTGCTGGGAAGCCTTACATTGCTCGTGAGTGACTATCAAGGTCTTACCTTGGACCTTGCTGACTGAATAGCCGTCTCGCCCTGGTTCTCGACGCATTTCGGCGACGAAGTCTCCTACAGCAAGAATTGGGTCTTCCCCTCGGACCTCCTCTGGTACAACCGATGGAGAGAGATCCTCGCGACCAAGCCCCGTTTCGTGGAGATCATCACCTGGAACGACTACGGCGAGTCGCACTACATCGGGCCCCTCTCATCGCCTCACACAGACGACGGCTCCTCAAAATGGGTAATGGACATGTAAGCACGCAAGCCCCAAGCCATCCAAACAACCAACTCACAAGAAACACAGGCCACACAATGGCTGGCTCGACATGGCCAAACCCTTCATCGCCGCCTACAAAGCAGGCTCGGAATTACCCATAGATTTCCTTGAAGAAGAAAAAATAATCTACTGGTACCGCCCATCCCCCAAATCAACCAACTGCGACGCAACAGACACAACGATGCAAAACGCCAACAACGCCAGCGGCAACTTCTTCCGCGGCCGCCCAGAGGGCGCAGATACAATGCAAGACGCCGTCTTCGTAGTCACGCAGCTGAAAGAACCCGCCTCGGTAGAGGTGACGTCGGGCATGAACACCCAGACCTTTCAGGCACCGGCAGGGGTCCGGGCTTGGACGGTGCCGATGGGCGTGGGCGCGCAGTCGTTCCGTGTGATGCGGGACGGACAGACCGTCGAGGATCTGTCTGGGACTAGTCTACGCGATATTAAAGACGAGTGTCCTTGTGGCATTTACAACTTCAATGCTTATGTTGGGACGTTGCCTGCTGATGCGGAGATGGATCGGCTAGCGCCGGATGGGATGGCGCTTTTGCAGCAGGGATTAAAGGTTTCTTGTCCGACTAATACACTGGGGAATGCTGTTTCTGGTGGTGACTCTCCTGTTCGTTCTCGTAGTCCGAGTCCGAGTGGGTGTTGTACGTGCTAGGCATGTATGGTTTGTGCAGGATGCAGACCTGGTGAAGGGGAAGATTGTATAGATCGAGTCTAGAGTTTAGCCGAATGGAACCGATTCATTTTCTTGTCTCTTTTCTTATCTGAGCTTGGCTTAGTCTATTCATTAGGGAGCTTGAATGTTATCTTTTCACCGACTCTTGCTTTGTTACCCCTTGACCGTTTCGAATTGTCGGGAACTTGTGCAGTCCTTGTGTAATTCTGCCCGGTCTGATCAGCAGGTCATTCCAATGCTATTATATTAAGGGCCTTCCTTCTAGTCTCAGAGCTAGCTTCGGCTTCATCTTCAACAATGGCCCGTATGAAAGGGGTCTTTTCTTGGGAAGATGTTCTGGCTCAACGGTATCAGAGTAAGATAAGCCGATCTCCTCTATCTCATCTCCAATCTCCAACACTTCCCTTGTTTACCGCGATTTCATACCTCACCTCCCTCAGTCTACAAACTTTGCTTTTACTATCTTGTTGAATCTAACAACCTCGTCAGGCAACAAACCCCCTCCCCTCCCCCGCAAACGCCCCCAAATCCAATGTCCCCAACCCCAGCCCCAAAGCCGGCTATTGGCACGGCTATCGCCGGAACTACGTCTCATGATCTGGGAATACGTCCTGGGAGGTCAACGCATACATATCATCCAAAGGAGCCAGCAACGACTAGGGCACGTGCTCTGTCCAGTTCCACTTGAGACCTCGTCAGCCTCAACTTCGCCATCACCATCATCTTCAAGATCCGCCTCGCCGTCGTCGGCATCGGGATCCTCATCGGCAAACCACCACAGCCGCCGAAACACAGAGTTATTCTGCGAAATCTGTCATGGAGGCGGTATCCCCCAACCAGCAAAAGAAGGCGATCTAGCACGCCGAAAGAAAAGTATGCTGTTGGGTTTAGCGTTGAGTTGTCGATTGACGTATGTTTACACTCCCATACTCCCAAGCTCCCAAAGTCACGACCATACCCATCCATACCCACTATTTCCAACCTAACCTAACAATTTTCCCCCCATCAGCTACAAAGAATCAATCCAAAAACTATACACAACTTCAACCCTAGAGTTCAGCAATCCCTGGACAGCATCCTACATGCAACCCACAATCCCAACCGAATCATGGTCCTCCATCCGGTACGTCGAACTGCGCTGGTCTTTTCCGGGCCATTGGCTTCCTAGTAAAGATCCCGTACGGGCGATCTATGTTTCTGCAGGACGGGCGCAGTGGATTGAGACTTGTGTCGCTTTGCGCGCGTTGGCTGGGTTGAGGGCGTTTGTACTTGTTCTGGGACGGACCTGGTTCGCAGAGGAATTGGGGGTTCTTGGGGTATTTTTAGAGCCGCTTTTTGGGTTGGGTGTTAGGGGGAGGAATCAGGAGCTGGTGGTGGATGGGGAGGGGGATATGTTTTCTGATTGTCCTTGGAGCGATGATGGGGAGGATTGGTGTGGGAGTTTGGGGGGTTCGTCTCGTGCTTCTATTCCTTCTGTTTCGGGGGGTGTGGGTGAGCACTGTGAGGCGGCAGTTTCTCCTACCTCCTCCCTCTTTTCTTGCCCATCCTCATGTTCCTCTTCCGCATCTCTGGCCTCCCTACCCAAGAGCTATACCCCCGATATAACACCTAACACATATATAGCAGACATGGGTAAGTGGGAACTCCGTCTGGAAAACCAGAGTTACTACACAAACGAATTAGTCAAGATCGAAGAAGATCTACAGGCAAGAGGGATCAACTGCAGGATTACAACGGTGTGAAAGAACGTGTTGATAACATGATGAGCTCGAGTATGCATATCAATGGCGTGATTCAGATATTGGCCGAAATGTCCAGTTATGAATGACAGTAAATTTGATTCTGATTTAGTATTGACAGTCCGATAATTGATCCGATTAAAATACCGTACTCCGTACTGATGAACACATCCATCCCTATCTCTTGGCGATCAACGTTCTAGAACAGATGGTACGTGTACAAGAATATAGTATGTGTCAACCCAAGACTGGTTTTTAGGACCATTTGGCATAATACTGGGAAGTGAACAAGTAAGACACTGGTGCAGATCGGCGTGTTGATCACTACGGAGTCCGCAAGACGCGTTTGGATGAGGTGTACTGCATACGCACTCGGATACGAAGTTATCTCCAAATGCACATGTACAGCAATATATATGTATATATATACACATACAGACCACGTAGAAAATGTGAATTAATAAGAAAGACGCTCTAAATCGGATACACAAAGCAGAGTTACAATTGACATTCCAACCCCCTTACCCTTAGCCTAGCCCTAAACAAAGTCAAAAGTCAAAGACCCTAATGTGAGACCCTGGACCCACGCGCTATATATGGAAATACGTGTACAGTCACACGGTTTAACCTACGGACCGTGCCTTGAGCTTGGGGAATGATTGGGACTTGGATGTTTGATGATATATTATGATATCATGTTCGGAGATTATCTATCTTTTTCATTCCATCTGGATCAAGGGTTGTTATGTGGGATGTCGCCAGGGGCAAAAATCAAAACCTGTCGGCCGGCTCCACCGGCACAGGGGCGCTAAATGTAGCGCGGGGAAGATCGCACATCATAATCAAACCAGTGCAGTATTGCTATGGTATTGGATACAAGGATTGGATGAGTCTAGTGTTGTGAAAGTGTGGTATTGAATAGGGGCATTCCCTGTGGATAAAGAAGTAGATGTAAAGTAGAAGCAGCAGAAAACAGAAGGACCCAAGGAAGTGGTCAGGTATAAGAAGAAAAGAGAAAAGAAATAGAAAGATTGAGCTAGCAATCCAGCCAGGATATGCAGACATGCAAGTGTAAAACATCGTGAGAGAACTGGGTGCGTGAATCGTACATGTGCAGCCCCCAAAAAATATTAGAAAGATAGATAGGAAAGAAACATTTGAACGTCACCATAGGCGCCGTGCAGAACAATGCCCAAGCCAGAATGATGCGAAATATCCCAAAAGCCCAGATTAAGTGCTCCAGATGTGGTATCTCAACAGGTAAGGAAATGATGTCTCGTGTCGAGTGGTAGAGATTGTGTGATCGGTGATCGGAGACAGCATAGTGGTCAACATTGTCAGCCATGGATGGGCAGGTAGACCTGCTCCGAGTCCGCGGTCGCAGATGCTTCAATGTAAGCATAGCGCGATGTGTGCTAGCGAGGCCAGCCGCGTGGGCTGTCGCGGAATGCGACCGCAGTGGCCTTGGTCAATGTGGTCACTATGCCGAGGGATGAAAGTCGATGCGTCCGTTAGTCCTCCATGTCAGAAGGCTGCATATCCAGGTCGCTCGATCGTTCGATGAGGTGGTGTTGAAGAAATCCCTTCAAACCAAAGGTGAGATTGCCAGATACCGGCTATAGTTTACCGTCCTTCGGGGGAACGGTCGGGGCCCGAGTTACCGTGGCCTCGGGCGGCGAGCCATTCGGTCGATGCGCCCTGGCGAGCACCGGGGTGCTTTTGGTCCTCCGGGCGACCGACGAGATGGCGAGGAAGCATGTTGTTGATTTCTGCTGCCAGAGCAGAGGCCATGTAGCATCGAAGCTCCTTCTCCTCGCGCTCATCCTCCTTCTGTAGACGGCGTTGGTCGGTGGCTTTCAGACCTTCACGGCGCTTTCGTCGGATTTCGTGGATGGACCAGAGGACCACCTCTTCGGGGGCACGGGTACGGGGGCTTCCATGGCGAGAGAAGCTGCGAACGTAGCGGCGAGTGACATCGGTCGCACCATCGATAGAGAAAGCGACACAGTAAGAGATTTTGCGTTGCCATCCTAATGCACAATTAGTATCAAGTATTGGGAGTAAAAGACAAATAACGAACCTTCAGTGTACAGGCGAGGCTGGTCCCAGGCACCTTCACAGGCATCAACATGGACCCAGCGTCGCTGATGTTCCGAGTACACTTCAGTCCAGACATAGTCCTCCGAGTTCCAAACCCAACGGACACGGGCGCCGACCGCACGACAGAACATGCTGAAGCAATTGGCCCATTCACCAACACGGCCCCGTCGAGACTGTAGCAATTGCCAAACATCGGAGTAGCGGGGGAATCGTTCGTGAGCGCCACAGCTGTTATCGGAGCATCGGTACAGCTCGACGCGGGATGCGCCCCGGGCGGTTTCGTCGGGGGTGGGTGGCGTCATGCCTTGAGCGATAGTCGGCATGTGGCACTTGGAGCACGGGGGGTTGTTCACAAATTGGAAAAAGGATCCCTTGAACCACCTGGATAGCTGTTAGCAAGGGCGCAGAGTCTAGACCGGGGAGAATTCCAGCATACCTCAACAATGCTCGAATCACACAATCTTGATAGCCCCATTCCGGTTTCCCGCCCACGCTGGCGGCCTGGGCTTGCATGATCTGGGATTCCTCTTCGGCTTCGGAGTACAGACGGTCGAGTGGAATGACGCACAGAGCCTCGTCGAGAAGGCCTGGATTTTCGTATTTGGTTGGTGTGACGGATAACCCCTTGAGTAGGTTGAAGAACTTGAGTGAAGCGGGATCCTGAGGCGGCGATGGGAAGACGGGGAGGCCACGCAGGGCGGAGTTTGCCGGCTTTGGTGAAGCAGTCGTAGCACCAGGTGATGGAGGTGGAGGTGGCGCCCGTGAGGGAGGTGGCGGAATCGATGAGCTGGACAAGTTGGAAGGCGCTGGTGACTGAGTGCGCGATCGAGGCAGTGATTGTTCCTGGAGGCGGTTGAAACGCTTGGTACGCATCAACTGTTCGAATTCGTGGGTAAGGGTTGTGGCATCATATTCCTTCGCAGTCGGCTGTGCCGACCTGTGTCTGCCGTCCGCCATGGTCGAAAGGGATCCGGCAGACTTCAGTGAGTGATGCAATCCAGGGTGAGTCGACGATGGGCGAAAGGGTCAATTTGACCCAGAGCGGCAGTGAGGTGGATGAAGAAGGAAGAAAGAGAACAGTAAAGAAGGGACTGCCACCGAGGTTGACGTATGAAAATCCAAGTCAGGAGGAAAGAGAGAGAGCATACGCAGTATTACGAGCGTCGTCAGCGTCTCGCCCCAATCACGGGCCCCGCGGCCAAGCCGCGTGTGCGAAACGGAAAGCCAAGAAAAGACCCTTTTTCTTGTAATTTTCTTTCCTTTCCACTCTCTTACACCCTTCCACTGTCTTTTTCCTCTTCCACTCCCTTTCCACTCTCTTACGTATAATACTTGGCAATATTCTGTAATTGCAAGTAGTAAAAATCTATATATTATTTCATATAGTGAATTATGTCGTATATTTCTTCTTGACTATATCACTCAACTATATCAACGTAATACACAGTATACGCGCGGCCATGGACGAAAATCGCACTTTGCACACACTTTGCCCACCCAAAGGCTGGAGACGCGCAAGCGTCCGTCTTGGCATTTCGCAAGATCGGGCTAGAGCCTCCACCGCCCTAAGCCTGATGAGGTGGTGCTGACTGTATTTGGCACTATGAAGGGGGCTTGGCACTGTAACATGGATCTAACTTAGTGTCAGTTAAGCTATAGGTGTTGGTATATTGTAACTTTCGAATATGTTCACGTTACTACCTTATATCTGTGTTTTTTTTTACGGGCTAGGGCTAGCTATAAATATGGACCTGCCACGCATACCCGCTATTCCCAATCACAACTTCCTGTTTGTTTCTCCCGAAGACCCTGAAAACTAGTGGAGTCATGTTGCTCTCAGGGTCATCTCCTATCGAGTTAGGCAGAAATTATACACTTCTCTGATTTCCATGGTTCATAGTCGATCTATATCCCGTCTCCAGAATTGTCGGAATATCGCGACACACACGCGTATTAATCTGTCTCATGACCAGACGTGTCAACCATAGTCAATTGGAGACGCTATGATCTATACTTAGCACTCTTAGCTCAATATTAATAATCAGGTACGGGCGATGGACCAGTATCTGCCCAAAGTGTACTCCGCACTCTAGGGTTACAACGCGGCATGTAACAAACACTCAGCCCTGAAATTTCGGGAAATTACCCTGTTCACTTCTATCTGGGGAAACCGATCAGCCGCCGGTGTTTCATAGTCTGAGCCGCGTTTGAGAACGAAGTAATGTGGCTGTGCGAAATAGGCAGCAAACATACCAGGACTATAAGGGAAGGGTTGTCACGTATCAATTTGAGATTCCAAAGTTATTCATGTATACATGTACATAATAACATGTGTAGGTATCTACCCCTTTAACCCACACCCATTACGGTACATGCTTAGCTCGGATGGCGCAACCACACCTCAACGGGTCCACTCAATGCCCATGCTCACTGACTGCAACGATTCGTATGTGCGATGCAAGGAACCCGTGGCACGGTATCGTCTTCCGCGAGGGGGAAAGAAAGAAAAAGAGCACCTACTGAGCCGAGCAACGAACCAATTCGCGTTGGACAAATCCCGCCAAGAGCCAAGACCCGCGTCATCGGAAAGTCAAACTAAGACACTGCTTATCCTGTATAGGACATAACTAAGCTTGACTCCCCGCCAAGAGGGTGTATACGACTTCATCACTTGGCTTTGGCTTCAATCTCGCCATGTACATTCTGCGCGTCCACCGTCTATCCTTGCCAGAGACTGGTACCGTGTGGCGACGTCGACGCTCGTGCCGTCCCGAGCCAAGGAGGACACGCACGCGCCGGAGATCATGCTGCGCTGACATCTTCCAGAGCTTGGCCTTGCGTTGACATCGATCGACGTTGACGTTGAATTCTATGTGTTCTTTCCTGACACCGACAGTATGAGATAATAGCGTCGCTGGGTGGATCGCTGCGTCGTGATTTGATCCACTCCGGCTCCTGCACTGTCGCAAGCTCCTTTCATAAGGCTTGAGAATTCTTCCGCGCGCTATCGCTTTTGGCCGTTATTGCTCGTTGCGTCGCCTCTATCTGGTGGCTTGGGCCGACGCTATCGTCGGAGCGACGTACTCGAATCATCGTTGGTCCGAGTGTGCGCGGCTCTGGTGATGTTTGCTGCACTAATATTCTTGCACTAATCCCGAGTGACGTATTCTTCCGAAAGAGATGAGTCTTGCGCTAAGTTTGTCGGACTCTGCTAATCGTTTTCCGGGGGCTGGTCATTTACCTGTCTTCCTTTGGGCCGAAATTAACCCTGGAAGTCAGCCATGATATGTTATCCTGGTTGTAGATGCCATCGTCTTATTTGATCACTTATCTTCTGGTTGTTGGTTAGTACACAGTCTATTTTCTTATAGTCACATTCAGCTTGTAGCATCTTGCAGGCAGTGAAGCATCACGCAGGACCTCCATGCAGTTCTTTGTAGAATCTACTGTCGTGGTCTCACCAGACTAGGAAGTCTTGAACTCAGTCAGAACCACCATACTTCTATCACTCTATCATAATATTCCGACAGGTTGGTTTAAAGAACCACAAACTGCTACAAACTTGACCCGTCACTCGTCACTCGTCACGCGTATTATAGTTGGCTTCTTACTGCATTTTTAAGCCTCCAGACTGATGTATGTTGTCATGTGTTCCCCAGCAACCCCCACAAATATCGATCTATATAGCCGAACATGGAAATTGATGGTGTTGTCCCCGGAATACATTTGAAATCCATGGAAGACCAGGGCGGTTGCATCGAGTCGCACCTTCCCATCACGCTCATAATGGATCTTCCACTTCATGATTGCCAGCCTCGCAGGTTTGACAATCGATCACAGACCACTATTTTGTACAGTTTGTACATATCGCTTCAATGACAATGTTTATTGCGTCGATGTGAGTTGATCCCCGGTACTTGCATAACAAGACTGACCTTATATGCTCATTGCTTTCAGGTTCCTCCCCTGGACCATCGAATTCAAAGCCACACCTGCTGCAGACAAACGAGATGAATCAGATAGCCATGCTGCATTCGATGGCCCTGCCCCCATCTACAACTAGCCTCGATCTATAGCATCGGGGCTTCCGGGATCGCCAATCGTGGAATTCTCAGCCCCCCAAATGGAAACAACAATCCCTCTGACTCTCAATTGATTCACCAATGCCTCACACCTCGGAGGTCAAAAAAATACTTGGGCATTGGGTTCATCGGACGATGAATGGGATGACCCGAATCAGCCTCCTGGAGTCCGGGCGGACCGTACTCGGAGAATAAACCAGCCTAAATCCACAGCGACTGGAGTTTCATCATCGTTAGTGGCAGGAGCACCCTATCTGCAGGCAAATGAGGCACTTTTTGAACCCCAAAATGGATCAGTGGACGCTCAAACGCTTGAGGAACAAGAGAATGATTGGGGAATGCTCTCCACCGACGAATGGAAGATCAAGGACTCCGAGCAAGAAAATTGCGGTCTTCACAACGCTATTCATGTTGGCATCCGAGAGAATACAACTGAAAATATGTTCTGGGTAGAGACCCTCGGCATGCCTACCGATTCAGTGATAGAGCCAACTCGGGCACACATCGCCAGGAACATGCAAATGATACACGATTGCTTGACGGTTTTTGTGGACGACAAAACTTTTGAGGGCCACTTCAATAAATTTTGTCGCTCGGTAATCTGGCCAGCTCTTCATTACCAGATGCAAGCGGGTCCTCGACACGTTGATTACACCTGGGACCAATATGTCAAGACCAATGAAGCATTTGCTGATGAAAATATCCGGAGATACAGAAAAGGAGACAATATTTGGGTTTCTGATTATTACCTTCTACTTCTCCCGCAGATTTTGAGATCAGGTTTGCCCCGGGCTGATATTGGCTTTTTCCTGACCACGACATTTCCTTCGTACGAAGTTTCCCGATGTTTGTTTTCATGCAAAGATTTGCTGCATGGAATTTTAGGTGCTGACCTTGTTTCGTTCCAGGCAGAGGAGTACCAAGAACACATTGTCCAATGTTGCTACCGGCTATTGGGGCTGGAATTGGTAAAAAGCGGGCTCCGGGTTAAACATCGTCATGTCAGTGTCTGGTATGAGCCTCTGCAAATTGACTCGGCTTATCTCCAGCGTGTTCGTCAAACGAGCGAGGTCAAAGCCTGTATGAACATCATTGTCAAAACATACAACGGGAAGCGCCTCATTGCAGCGCGCGATCGCTTGGATGCACCAGGAGGTGTCAAACATAAGCTTCTGGCTTCCTACAAACTCCTGAAAATTTATCTCCAATGGAGAAATAATATAGATTGTTCTGATCCAAGTCATCTCTGCGGCGCCTGAAGTCCCAGAATTAGCGACAGAAACATCGGAAATTGCGATGAAGATCAATGCAAGATTCTCGACTGTCACCCATCAGCCCTCGGTCTTACTTCAAGGAGACATCAAATACTCTCAGTTCATCGCCCTGTTGAGCGTTGCAGATGTCTTCATGTCAACTTCCCAACGAGAGGGATTAGACCTAACTTGCCATGAATATTTCCACTGTCAAGGTCGACCGTATTCGGGGGCCAGCTATGGATCAATGATCGTGAGTGAGTTTGCGGAAACTGGGCCGTTGGGTATTGACTATCCATGTAACCCATGGGACTACAAGCGTTGTGCCAGAACTCTCAATCAAGCACCCGAAGAAACATTGAGGAGACGAAGAGCGAGGTGGCGGAGACAAAAGAAAGGACTGGATTCTATGAAACACGGATGGATGGACTGGCTGCAATTCAGGCTCGGCATAGCCTGCAAGGCTCGATACCCTCCGCAATTTGACGCTTCCCCATTGATATTTCGCGCTGTGGCACATCTCTACAACTCCGCAAACTCACGCCTGTTTCTCCTCGAGGATGGTGCCCTCTTTGGCGAAGGCCCTGGGGACATGACCACGGTTACCTTGGATCTCATATCAGCTCTTGCCTTAAACCCCAGGAACATCGTCTACATAACCAGCAGGCGGAGCAGATGCGACACGTCATCGCACCCCTTCCTAGCAATGTCGAATACATTCTCGAGTGCGGTTTTTTTAGTCACATTGGTTTCCTCAACCGATTTTCTTTTCTTCAGAACCCAAAGAAACACATGGAGGGCTGGATGGAATCTGGCAAGTGATGTGTAACTATCGAAACCGAGTGGAAGTCAGTTTCCTTGAACAAAGAGACTCTTCTATCGTCTTCCACTACGACGGTGCATTTGATTACCGAGCCGCAATTCGCTTTGCCAACGATCTAGCCTTCCAAGCCAAGGTTTTGCGAGGCAGCGAGTCTTACAAGATCATCCACAAAAATGACGCCGTACACGCCGAGCCCGATATGAACATCTGGATGGATCATGCGGCAGAGTACGTTTTGAACGCAGTTCCGGAATCTGCTCATCCAGACTATGTCTTTGTCGCCGGCGGTGTCTGCGGCCACAATGCTCTGTTTCGCTGGGCAGATGGCAAACAGCGCGAAACCAATCTACCAACTCAGCGCAAGATCAGTGGGTTCCGGCGCTCGAAGGGTTCTTTTTCGTTTATCTACACCGTTGGTATGGGCTTGTATTCTGAGGATGCGAAGTACAAGTTGCCTCTCGGAAGATCACTTTTGAATATCTTGGGCTTTTTGGCTCGTGCTCCGGCCCCTTATACCTTCGCAATGAGTTTGTATATTTGGGGCTTGGTTTGGTTGAGTTATTCTTAGTGATATCGTTACGGTTGTGGTTGGTGTTTTTGGATGGGTCCTCTTCCGATTTTTAATGATTAGAAGAACTATTTGGCGCTTTGTGACTATCGAATTTTGACTTGAATGCATCCTTTCATCCAATATCAAGATCTTTCATGAAGTGGACAATAAGAGCCTCGGTGCAATGAGACGTAGTTATGCTGTAACAGAACGGTAAGTCATGAACATGCGTAAACCTCCTTTACTGCTAAAATCAAATTATATGTGCCATCCTAAGGTACAGTATCCACTTACACTGCAATGAAATTCATAGAGAAATTGGATCCTCATAAGAGGGTCTTATATTCCCAAGTCTGGGACGTGGAGCTAGTATCAGCGCAAAGGCTACAAGCTACGTCCATGAGCCGAATGGGATTATTCCCGATGTATCTCTACTGATCGTCCATCTTCTAGACACGATACCCCACAATTCATGAATTTATGGGTCTACTAGTCTGTTAGGGCAAATCGGGCCCACTCATTCACACATGCATACAAAGTCAAAGCAGCCCAAAGTTATATTCTAAAGCATATGATGCATAACTAAGAATCTAGCAAAGGAGCTTGAACAATAGAAACCATATGCTGCAGCGGAGATACCATGGATTATCATCGTGTAGTTCAATTCAGCAAAGGCGCCACCACAACGAGAGGAGACAGTACCTTGATGAAAAACCAAGGAGAAAAAGCATCAATCGTAGAACGGCAGAAAGGGTAAATGAGACGTCCATCTAGAATAAAATAAGGACATGAGATAGTGGAAATGTTTAGAATGAAAAGGGATTTTCTCATCAATGGCAATGACAATGAGCATGAGAGCAAATGAAGAAATGTTATTGCGCCGATACAAGAACAGGGTGAAGAACCAGGTGCGGGAGAAAGAAGAATGTTGCGAAAAACCAGTGCGAATACAATTGGAAGAGGACGAGGAGGATATAACATGAGATATTATGAGAAAAACCATGAATCGTGAGCCATGGCCAAAGCAACAAAAGCTGATGAAGACTGACTTTCCATGCCGAACTTGAGAAGGGAATCGTGAGACAGTAGCGTAGAAGATAGAGACCGAATTGGCATCGTCAGAAAAGTCCGGGTTTCATTCAAGGTTTTCCTGCCTGCGAATCCGTACCGGACGAAACTAAAGTTGGAGCAACTCGGCGCTTCTTTTGCGGTTGTGTCGCCGTATTTGATGTATCCTTCTCTTCTTTTTCTGACTCGCTAGCTGTTCTTGCATCGCGTTTACCTAGCACAGTACCACCGGCGGTGGCCCCGCCTTGGGTGCTTGATGGCGTTTGCGGCGGTGTTGTTAGTGGAAGTGTTGGTGGCTGCGCAGAATGCGCCGCTGTCACAAGTGGAACGGAGCCGAGAATGGGAGTAGGGTTATTGACAACACCAGTTGGAGGCGGTTGTGACGACTGGGTAGCGATTGAATTGGCCGAGTTCGATCGTGCCGGGCTAGCTGGGGGTGGTGCAGCTGCCGAGTTTGTCGATGCATGAGCCTTAGCTGGAGATGGCGCATGCGTCGGGGTTGGCAGAGGAGTGATATTCGATGAAGCGGTCCCCGGTGTCGCGCTATTTTGGGAAGTGGAGTTGGGCCCTGTTGGGCCAGTGTATATTTGCCCGAGCTCCCCGGGGGCAAACGAGAGTGTGGAACAGAATCCGTCCGAAGAACTCATTAGCAGCGTTAGGCCATCGGTAGACCTACGGTATGTTAGAAAATTCGATAAATTAGAAGATAAAACAACTTACCATGACAAGTCCGTAAAAGTGGCGAAATGCAGGTTGCTGACAACAGTCAAGGGGGTTTGTTGTTGCGTATCATACACCAAAATTGCATCTTGGGTGGCCACGGCATACACAATGCGGTACGGTAGCGCGAAGACTGGGACCGAGTTCTGGCCTGCGTCATCTTCAGCGGTCTTTGGAGAGGGTTGAGCTTTCGATGATTCGGCCGGCGTGGAAGATGGGGGATCCATCAGGGGCTCGCTGGTCAACGATTGACCTGATGTGACCACGGGATCTGGTAAAGATGGGAACATGTCCTCGCCGGACGACGTATCGAGGGTGAGAATTTTGGCCGGCTGAATACCTTCCTTTAAGGTATAGAAGATCGGAGAGCATCTGACCGCAACTGAGGGCTTCTTGTGTCCTGGAAGATGAGAGATTGGGGGCTTATTAAACCCTGCCCGTGTGTAGACGTAAACGGTGTTGATGATCTCGTCTGTTGTCTTTGCAGAATCCGTAGCTGAGACATGTGAAGTCTTGAATTGTCCAGCTGGGGTGAACAACAGGCTTCCGTCGGGGGCAAACGTTAGCCGCCTGAAGAAGGAGGTGAACGTCTCGTTGGCATAAATACTGGTGTTCTTTACTCCCAGTCCGCTTAGACCGCCAAGCCCCCCAACAAGGCTCGGAGAAGAGGTCTCCATTGGTTTCACGGCGGGCAATGGTAGAGATGGGGCAGGAGACGCGGATCGCCGGATAGAGGGAGAGGAGCCAAACGAGGACCGCCGGCTGTGCGATACTGGAGGAGGATCCATGGGAAGATTAGAGGCCATTGGGGTTCCCGGGGTCGAGGGAGCAGGCGATGCAATCGCAAGGGAGTTCGCGTTGGGTTGCTGAGGCCGGCTAGTCACATCTGGAGGCGCAGGGCTGCTGGAGGAGATGCGCTTGGCTGGCAGATCCATCTTGAGAATCTTCCCGTGTGGTGTCAATGTGAACTGACCATCCTTGGTCTTCAAGGAATAGATATGAACTGATCTGTCGGACGACTGAGTCGCAACAAATTCATTCAGCGGATCCCAGGCTACACCTTGGACGTAGTGTGAATGCTCTGCGATCTGTCGGACCATTTGCCCTATGGAATTGAGCTGTCAGCTTATCCGGCCGGATACGACTTGCATAGAGATAACCAACCAGTTTGAGCATTGTAAATTCGGGCGATGTTGTCCATGCTACCTGTAATGATGAAAACACCATCGGGGGACCATGCCAGATCGTAGATCTCGGCGCCGGACGAGCGACACATGTGCTTCACACGCCATGTCTCCTTGTCATCCGAGCGGTCCTCGCCCAACCCAGCTTGCGTCTGCAGCTCTGACGGTACCCACAACAGGACATTTCCATCGTCTCCGGCGGATGCCAGCATCTCACCTGCCAACAGTCAGATATGCAGTCCTGTGCTTTCCTGTGGAAGGACGTACCTTTTGGGCTGAACCGAACCACATTGACGGCCTGTGTGTGCTTTAACAATGTACTTAGATAAGTCACTTTTCGGTCCTCTCCGGTAGATTCGACCTTCCAGAGCTGAAGATATGTTAGATCACGGTCCTCGGAGAAGGGCGAAGGAGGCGGCATCATACTCGGACGTTGTTGTCACTAGAAGACGCGACAGTTAGTCAAGGGAACCATAAAAGAGATCGCAGAGAAAACATACTTGCCAGCAGTAGCTAGACGGCCCTTTCCATTGGGGTCATAATGCACCGAATAGATAGGGGCATTGTCATTATGCCATGAAACGAGCAACGGGGTGGCCTTCATGGCGGACAACGCAGCTCAACACGCTATATTGACCACCACTGATGCGAATGAAGGATGTTACTTCAAGGGAGACCTCGAGTCCAGCAGATGCTGCCTAGTGATAGCTCGTTTCGTGAGGGCAAGGTTGGTCAAAGGGGGTCCACAGTGTGATGAAGGAAGGAGAGGAATGGAGTAAAGTGATGGAAGAGAGAAGAAAGAAAAGGCAAAGTGAGAAGGAGAGAGTCAAAGTGAGGAAGTCGTGATTCCGCGATGATGCTTCGAGTTGCTTGCGCGGGAACGCGACCGTCGATTAGATATGCCGAGCGTCTGACTTGCCCGCTTCTCTACTTCTTTACTTCTTCATTTCAGTTGGTACTTCACTTCTTTGACATTTATATTGTATTTCAATCCCCAACGCCTTCAAATTGTTACATAGAATACATTGTTTACGACACCCAGTTACCAATTGTCTCTCCAAACCAACTGACTGCCTTCTCCCGTCGCTTGTTTCGTGCAGTATCCTGGGTCTTCATGAAGGGTCCGGCCTCCTCCACGTACAACTTCTGCTGCTCCAATTGCGCATAGTGCGCCCTAATTTCCAGCTCTCGTTCATGGGGAGTGAGCTTTTGTAGTGGTTTTGAGGGCTTGAATCCTGCTGGGATGGGCTCGCCTCCGGGGATCTCCAGGCCTGGCTTCTTCTCGGCTGGTGGCTGCTTCTCTGGGTTGAACAGGGATTCCATGGGAGGTGGCTCAACACCGGCAGCCTTGGCTTCCTCGATTCGCTTTTCATAGTCTAACATCTGATGGTAGAGCTTGTCGGCGTGCATCTGGATGCGCTCTTCTTTTTCGGCGTCATGAGTGAAGGAGGATGCGTAACCAAGAGCCTGGAGGAATTTCTGTTCCAATTCATGTTAGTATGTATATAGTTGTAGATTGCATATATCAACTCACGGTCTGCGTTGTGAAGCATCGGGAGAAAGTGCCATTCTCCGCCGAACACAAAGTCAATCGGGCCTCAATTTGCTTCCGCCAGTTGCCGGTCTGGAAGCAATAGGTCAAGGCTTCATGCTCCAATGCGCAGTTCTCCATTGCTGCCCGCTGCACCGTGTCGCCGCGCTCCTTGTGCTTTTCGATCACTTTCTCCGCCCCGCGGACTCCGTTGCTCTCATCGAGAGCCCGCCGGGGGCTTGTAGGTTTTCCAGAGGTCGGCATAACGACCATCTTGGTAAAGAGAAGCCGCGGGGACCTTGGGTGTCGCGGAATCAGAGGGTTGGGATGTTTGCGTAGGCGTCGGAGTCGGCGGGTTCACGCCGGCAGGGACATATTTGTCGGGCTGCTCCTGCTCGAGGTAATCACGAAGGCCCGGTTCAAGCTTGTTGACCGGGTCAGATTTGCTGTCGCCCCAGAACCAACCCATTTGGACTTGCGAAATGTGACCGTTGAGAGTTGCGGAGAAATCGGCACAAAAATGGATCGACCCCCGATCGCCTTGGCTCCGACCGCAATTGGCGTTCTACTCCTCAACCAACAACACGACGCGTCTTTCTCGACGCCGTTCCTCCACCATGGAACCTAGTAGGTCATTTCTATCTATATACATTGGAATGATCGCTAACCATTGACAGCGCGAGAGGAGCGGCAGCAAATGCGGCAGCGTGGAGCTGGGTACGCGCCTTACTTCTACCCCGCGAAACAACATAGCTAACTTGGGACAGGACGCGCAAAGCAAAGGAAGTCAATTTCGGATTCTCCTTCGGTGGTCTTGCATCTGAACCATCAGCGACCGCGCCGTTTCCTATCGTACCTGAGCCTCGACCACAAACGCAACCCGCGACGACACCACCATTACCCAAGGTATCAACCCAGGGCGAGAAGGAGAATGCGCGTACACCAGGAAGCGCGCGTAACAGACTTCCCGAGCGACCTTCGACATACGACATACCATCAGACGATGGACCTGAACAAACGCGAAGCAACAAACGGAGGAAGATCAGTAAGTTTGGCGCGAGACATCATCTACGCTCAAGCGTGTGCTAATGCTTTTCAAGATCCAATCGAAGGGGTACAGGATACTCCAACTCGGCGAAACAGGGCGCAACCCACGAATAGCGACTCCCAAGCCGCTGATAACAGCGCAGGTGGCACAGAGAGGCAACCCAGCAATGCATCTCCAAGTACCGACGTGACTACACAAGCAAAGCCCACAACAGAACCTCAGCCTCAAATATCACCTATTCCGGAGCCCTCTGTTGACGATCAGCGCCCAGTGACCGAGCCCTCAAGTGCTAATAGGGTGGAACCGGTGATCCCAGCCGATAAGGAGCAGCCTGCTCAGAATGATACATCAGCCAATGGCGCCACACAGGCCGTAGTGGCAGAAGGCACTCAAAAGCAAACTGCACCACCCAAAGCATCCTCATCTAAGGCTCAATCTGGGCCCATGCAGCCAGACAAAATGAAGACACCACGTGAAAGACGACACAGGAGTCAATCACCAATAAACTCTTCGAAACAGGCTCAAGGAGACAGCAGAAATAAACGAGGCACTACAGAACCTGCTTCTCCGGTGGTACACTTTGCAGAGAAATCTACAACAAATCTCCCAAGCAACGTATCAACGGAGCCTGCCGGGGCCACTGATATTGCTGATAATGGTGCTGAGGCAGCTGAAAATATCCCAGAAACCACGGGAATTGCATCAGAACAAGACACGCCAGTATTTACCGAGCCTCTCCAGACGACAAAGAAGGCGCGAGGCCGGCCGCGCAAGTCCACTGTGTCTCAATTACCAGAAACTACGACTAATACAGAACAAGAACATGCGCCTGAAACACAAGCTGAACCGACAGCAGTACAGGCTGAGACATCATCAAAATCAAAACTGCGCCGTGGAAGGCCGTCTCTCAATGGCAAGACAAAGGTTGTTGAGTTCGAGAGAGTCTCAAGTGAGTCTCCTCCAGCACAGGCTGAGGCATCTACACAGCCCAAACGGCCCCGGGGCAGACCATCTCTCATTGGGAAGACCAGAGTTGCTGGTGGCAACAGGGCTTCGCCTGAGCTCGTGCCAGATGCTGTGGAGGTGGAAAATCCAATCTCCAAACCGCAACGCGGCAGACCTAAGAAGGCCAACCGTGAAGCTGAGCCCGAGCCTGAAGCTGAGGCAGAACAACCAGAAGCGGATGAGCCTGTAGAAACTGCAGTTCCCAAGCCACAACGCGGCAGACCTAGCAAGAAAGGAAAACGCCCGGCGGAGCCTGAGCCTGAGCCAGCCGACCCTGAACCCACCACAGAAGACCAACCAAGTCCTGAGACTGTACCCACATCCAAACCACGCGGCAGGCCTGCAAAGAAGGCGAAGCGTCCAGTTGAGCATGGGGCAGATTCAGAAGCTGATGCAGAGCAAGAGCAACCCACAGCTGAGCCTACCGAGCAACCTCGCCGAAAGACTCGTGAGCCTCGAGGAGAGAGCTTCCCTGTCACTGTTCATCGTCTCGCCAATGCCGTTGCTCTGGGCGGTAGGGTCGCTGCCGCAACTGATTCTGGAGACGAACAAGACTCCGCCGATGAGCTATCATCACGCCAGCGAACCAAGGTTCCTAACCGCGGTGGTGTCAATCCTGCCGACGTATTGGGCCAGATCTGCCGTGAATCTCTCGAGAAGACCCTCAACACGCTCAAAGATGGCATTGCCAATGAGGCGAATGTTACACGACGAGCAGAGTGGACACGCAAGAAAAAAGTCGTCGAGGCCTTCGGGTTGGAACTCGAGAATCGTCTTATGGATCTAAGCGAGATGCTGGATAGTAACTTTGTTCTCGGCGTGCAATTGAAGAAAGCCAAGAAGGAAATGATGGAGCTACGCAGTCATCTCTACCGAGTCAAAAAGGAACGAGAGCATGTGGCTTTGCAGATGGACGCAGTGCGCGGCAAACACATTGACGAGGAGAAAGCCAAATTGGTAAGTACCATTTCTCAGTTCTAGTTCGATGGAGTACCCTACTAACAATCCCAGTCACGAACCACCATCAACAACTCCCTTCACAGCCTCGAACTCGCCCTCGAGCGTAACAAGAGCCGCACCGCAGCCGTCGAAACCACTTCTGCAGATCTCGAATTCATGCTCCGCACCGTCGCCGACGTGAGTGCGCGAGCCCCAGGAGCCCAAGGCGGACTCCTGAGCCAAATACGGGCGTTTAATGCACAGCTCGAAGCTACTGCAAGCCGCCTCGAGCGATGATATTGGATTTAATGTTTTTCTGTTATGATACCAGTGTACAATGGGGGCATAGTCCTGGCTGGGCCAGAGTTGTATCGAATATGAGAGAATAAGCTGGGATCCCGAGTCTCCAATCCCGAGGCCCACTCGGTAGATGATTAAGTATTATTAATTATGCCGAAGTCGCCCAGTAGCAAATCAGAAGTGTCAATTGCAGGTTTCGGGCACTTGATATCCAGTTTTTGCCGCCACAACTGAAACAACTCTGCTTGTAAATCCGATGCTTGATAATCTACGTGCGGGAACTCCACAGAAATAGAAATTGTATATAAAAGCCCCTATGCTCTTTTCCCTCAGCGCCCAAGTCCAAATCACTCAATTTCTCACCTATACATAATCACACAACCCCTAAGTCCAATCAAAATGACCAAACTCCTCACCCCCATCCGCGTCGGCCGCGTCGAGCTCTCAAACCGCATCGCCATGGCGCCAATGACGCGCTTCCGCGCCGACGACAACCACATCCCCCTCCCATTCATGAAGGAATACTACGCACAACGCGCCTCGGTCCCAGGAACCCTCCTGATCACAGAGGCAACTTTCATCAGCCCCCGGGCCGGCGGATACCCCAACGTCCCTGGAATCTACAACGACGCCCAAATCGCAGCCTGGAAAGAAATTACCGACGCAGTGCACGCCAAGGGTAGCCACATCTACGTGCAACTGTGGGCGCTCGGCCGTGTCGCCAACCCAGAAGTCCTAAAATCCGAAGGTGACTTCGAACTCGTTTCTAGCAGTGCCACGCCGGCCGCTGAGGGGTCTCCTACGCCTCGCGCGCTTGAGGAGGCTGAGATCGGCGGCTGGGTTGGGGATTATGCTCAGGCTGCGAAGAATGCTGTTGCCGCTGGATTTGATGGTGTTGAGATTCATGCTGCTAATGGGTATCTGATTGATCAGTTCAATCAGGATACTTGTAATGTGCGGAGTGATGGGTATGGAGGCAGTGTTGAGGCTAGGGGACGCTTTGCTGTTGAGGTTACCAAGGCGGTGGTTGATGCTGTTGGTGCGGACCGGACTGGTATTCGGTTTAGTCCTTGGAGTACGTTCCAGGGCATGCGCATGGAGGATCCGAAGCCGCAATTTGAGTATCTTGCTACGCAGATGGCTGCGTTGAAGCTTGCTTATGTTCATGTTGTTGAGTCGCGGATTGCTGGTAATGCTGATGTTGAGTCGACGGATCAGTTGGATTTCTTTATCGAGGCTTATGCTGATGCTTCGCCGGTCATTGTTGCCGGTGGGTATAAGGCTGATTCGGCGGCTCAGGCTGTTGATGCCAAGTATAAGGATCATGATGTTATTATTGGCTTTGGTCGGCCTTTTATTACCAACCCTGATCTGGCGTTCCGGATTAAGGAGGGCATTTCGTTTGTGCCTCATGATCGGACGAACTTTTATGTTCCCAAGGATCCTAAGGGATACATTGACTATGAGTTCAGTGAGGAGTTCAAGAAGACCGTCGGAGTTCAGGCCTGATTGATTAGCGATATAGAACTTGATGTATATAACAAGACTAGAAACTGCATATAATGGCATATATGGACTGCATATGACTCCACGGCTCTGGGCGCAAACTTAGAGCGCATACTAGACAACAGTTAGCATAATCTGAACCCAACCAATCCAATACACACTCACCCTAAACCCCGTATTCTCACGATCCGTCAAATCCCAAAACTCAACCTCACCCCTTCCCTCGCCAGCCTTCTCCCTCCGAGAATTCTCCCAAACATAATACCCCCGAAGCCCCAAAGTGAACACAATAGCAACGGCAAGCGTAGCAACAATAGCAATCTTAGCCGGCACATAATCCGGCTCATCCTCAGTGCGGAAAGTAAGCGGCCCCAGAATATTCCCCAAACAAAACGCCATTAACAAAACAGCATTCATAGAAACCTTTTTCGTATGGCCGGCCACATTAGCCCCCGCAAGCGAATACATAATCGGCAACGCAGACCCAGTACACTGCGTCAAATAATTACCAGCCAGCTGCGCAGACTGATTCGACCGCGGCGCAAAAGCAAGTAAACACCCTCCAAGCAACCCAGCAGAAAGAGAAGCAACAACACACAAACAGCGCTGGTTATAGCGACCCGCCGCCCAGGATACAGCCAAAATACTCACAATGCTCACGGCGCCGTTAGGAAGATTCAGCAATTCCGTCTGTTTGGTCGTATATCCGAAATTCTTGATAATAAGCGAAGTAAACGAACTCATCGCTGCATTGGGTACGTCCATCGCAGTGACGATAATAGCAATAAGATATGTCTGCGGATCAGCGAAGATCTCAACAAACTGGCTGCGCTTGAAGTGTTTGTTTTCGATTCCGGTTTGGTTTTCACGGAGCCGTTCGATTGCCAGGAGTTTTTCGCTGTGACCTAGGCGCGATGTCATTGGGTTGTCTGGGAGGAAGATTGTTATGCTTATTCCCACGGCTATGGTTATTAGGCCGAAGATTAGGAACATAATTTGCCATGGTTTGAAGGCGTTTGAGGTGTAGAAGAGGAGGCCGTAGGCTACTAGTGCGCCCATTATGGAGGCGGTTCCGGTGCCCAGGTACCAGATTCCCATTCTTTTGGGTTGTTCTGTGGTTTGTTAGCTGGGTCTTGTGTATGGAGTGATGGGGGTGTTTTACCGTCTCGTTTGTACCACATCGACGTGATGAGGATCAATCTGGAGTATTGTGAGAATGGGTCTGGAGGAGGACGGGATACTGTAGGACTCACGCTGGTGCAATGGCACTCTCAAAGCAACCAAGTAGAACCCGGAGAACCATCAACCCAGGGAAATTCTTCGCAGTGCAGTTCAAAGTCGTCATGAGGCCCCATAATGCAACTATCCACGAGTCAGTAAACACGTATCACATATCACACGTGGACCCTGAGCCAAACTCACCGTTCAACCCCAAATACTTAGCAGTCGGCAACCGCTGCATCAAAAACCCAGTAGGCAACTCGAAAAATAAGTACGTCACATAGAACGCAAGCGTCAGATTCGAGAATTGATCAGTATGCATATTGGTATCACTGAGCAAGCCCATGACTGACGCATAGTTGACTGTAAGAGAGAGAAAAGCCGAGGGGTTAGGTACGACATACATCCATACATCCCGTCGTAAGAGGCCAGACATCAACATGGGAACTAGGAACCGGGACACCTACTGAGCACCTTATCCAAATACTGCAGATTATAAGCCGCCCACATCAACGGCATGATCATCCAATCGATTTTGCGCACGAGTGCTTTCTCATCGACTTCTGATATTTCCGCTGAATCTTCTGAACGGAGGAAGTCGAGGGCTGCGTCGGCATTACCGGTTGATATTAGGTTGTTTTTGGTTTCTAGGTCCATGTCTGTTGGTATTGGTTGTTTCCCAGGTTCTGGATTCATTGTTCTGGTAGATGTGGTTGGGATGGTATTGGGCTGGGACGAGATGGGCTTTGTTTGCTATAGATTTCAATCACTTTGATATTGGGACTGTAGATGCCAACTGCAACTAGACAGAAATGAATTGATATAAATATACCCAACATCTTATCTCCTCTCCTCTCTCTCGACTGACAGTCAATCCAAGCACACAGTACCCCCTCTAACCCTCAGACCAAAAGCAGGGACCAAAAGCCAAACCAGTACCTCCAGCGAGATAACACCGCTCCTACCTTCCTGAAGAAGCGCATCGGCAGGGACAAAGCAGTGCATTGTGCGGAGAATCCGCGGTCTAAGCCGCCGATTGATAACAAATATCGAATCTCGACGCGAGACTGTCGCGGTGGTTGGCTGGCTGGCGAGGGAATGTCGGGAATCCAGCGCAACTGTCACATCGCTACTAGCGGATTGCGCCGCGCGCAGCTTAGATAACTGCCATGGGCATTTTGACAGGCTCGCCTTTTGCACAGTAGGCTTTAAAAGGAAGGTGATCGCTGAGATAAGTGTCTTGGAGTTGTAGACCCCGCACGCGGAAGGGTCGGCAGTTGGGGTCTATTCTGATGCTGGCGATAGGAAGTAATTAGCTGAATTGAGCTGGTAGAATATTTAGTGAGTTGATTAGTGAGCTGTTCAGTGAGCTGGTGAGTGAGTTGGTCAATGAGTTGGGTGGGAGGTCTTGGGGAAGTGTTGGGACTTGATAAGGTGTTGGGGTTGCCAGGTGAAGACTTGGGGTCCGAGGACAGTCGGCAGTGAGCAAGTAGATACTATAGTCGATCAGATAAGCTGGATGAAAAATGAAGAGAACCAGAAATACCTCGGAAAAGTGGCTCAGCCATCAAGGTAGTTGACCGCTCTTCGATACCCTTCGATACAACATCATAGGCATGAACCTCTTTTTGAGACCTCCAACCGATCCGCACTCCGCACATACTCCATTCATGTACATGTAGCTTATCCCCAAAAACAAACATGACTCGAATAGGCGAGTTGCATGGATCTAAATCGGAACATTATTCGGACAACTTTCGGCCAAAGTACAGTCAAGTCCCCAGTAGCCATGTGTATCCCCACAATCTCCATCTCACATCATGAGATCCTCACGTGGCGTTGGGGTTTGTCCGACTTGGCAGAGAGTACGGGGCCCATTCCTGGGCGTTGGTTCCTGGGCATCTGGGCATCGTAACTGGGCGTTCAATTCGATCCGAAGGCCTTCCGCTCCGCCGAGCCGAATTGAACAATTTTCGGCTATACAACACGATGGGACGGGTCCAGTGTGAACCACGGGTTCCAATCCAATTCTTTCGTTTCCAAGACCTTGTCTTGGGGTAATTGACGCCGCTGGAACGGGATCTCAGATTGCTATATTGTGGTTGGATATGCAAGAACGATCAGATGAGCAACTGTGGGGAAACTGGGATGTTCATGGGATGTTGAATGGTTGAACCTTCCCAGGTTTGCGTGTGCAGGATCGACTGTCGCATGACGATGCATGACGCTACTCCCAAGGCTGAGAGAGCTCTCCCCGCATTGCTGTTTTGAGCATGGGTAGTGAAGTAGAGTTGGGAACTCGAGTTTGGATACGCCATGTGGCTACTAGGACAACGCTTGATCTGTGCTTTGACATGGCGGTCAACAGTGTTGATTCTTGCTTTTTTTGAGTTCGCGAACTGCCAATAGTGCCACTTTTGATAGAGCTGAGTTTTGCGCTTAAGCGGTGAACACTCAATTCAGTTCAGTTCAGTTCAGTTCAGTTCTAGTGTACTCTGTACAGAGTACAGTCATCGGCTCAAATGTTCTTTGTACTTATTATGCGGTAACATCAACGTGGCCAGGCCCTCGCAACGGTGTGTATGTCTCACCAGCGAATATCAGCCTAAAGTCAAAAGTCCACACCATTTTCACGGGCAGGGCTAAAGCCAATCTCAAGCCTTTGTGGTGGTTGTTTATTGTTCTTGGCACGCCACAAATCAATGTATAAGGGGAGCAACCACCACTAGTGACTAGCGGCATGCCAGAGATTTCACCAGTCCACAATGCCCTCGCCTCGGTGAAAGAGAGGGTGTACGAGGCAAGTGGAGCTACCTATACTACCCTGTTACCTACGTCTGCAGAACAGACGATAGCCTGCACAGGGGGATCTTGCATAATGACCGAGATGCATTAGTGTCGGAGTGATCCTCCCGTGTTTCTCCTGGCCCCCAACCCCCCTGGATGGAGCAGAGTTTCTCACCGTAGACAGGGGAACTGTAGGCCACGACATTCCAGTTAACCCGAGACAGTATCCGTCCGAAGCTGAACGGGGAAATCTCTGACGCGGGCCGAATCCGAAGTCAACGGGAGCTCAATGGAGCACAGTGAGACGTCGACAGGTTCCACTTCTCTCACGTTTGTCACTCCATCGAACCACTATGTGGAGATGAAGCTTGACCTTGCAGGTCTAGCTTGGAAAAAGAAAGATGGTATCAAATGAATATGAAAAATCACGCACGGCGTGGCCGATCGACTCTCAACGGCGGAACAGGATCATCCTAGAATAAACATGGAACCATGATACAGTGTGGGCTGGAATAGCGATCGGTAATCTAAACTCAGTCTACCATATCCCGTCTTTCCGAAACGTCCAGCAACATACTCAAACCCGGAGTTAGATGAGGATTGTCCGTGTCAACGTTAAGTCAACATAGAGATATCCGCGCCGGGCTCAAAAAAGGGGCAAAAGGAGACCTTAAACAGACTAGACCCGACCCACGATGGTCGTACCCACGCCCGAATACAGTAGGGAAGAGAGAGAAAAAATGGGGAAACATGCATAGACAGACAGCGAATCACGTCCATCCCTGTTCTAATGTGTATGGGACGGGTAGGGACAGGTGTTGGGGGGGGCTTATGGCTTGATGAATTCATTGGTGCGTAATCCCGCCCGAAAACAGCTAACAGCTTTGTGGTATGATATTCAGGTATTTGGTCCAAGTCATTGTTTGGTTTCTGGAGAAATGGAAGTCTTGGACCGAGGTCGTGACGCAGTTGACCCGGTTATGCCGGGATTTGCCCCCGAAGCTTGGGAGGGTGAGTATGGATCGTCAGTTTCTCTCTCTCTCTCTCTCTCTCTCTCCACAGAGCTGCATATGCGAGTTGCTAAGCAGGTGCCCTTTGCTTCTCGGGCTAGGGGAGGTTCGTGGAAGACGATCACGATTTTCGTTCGAGTACTCCGAGAGTAATTTCCATGCAGGCTATTATGCATGGGCTTGAGACCCTTGACCCACTGATTAGACGCGGCTGACCGGAGGCAAAGAGAAAAGTAGCCGGGAAATTATAACTGGAAGACCATTGGAACACTGCCACGACCCAATCCAGAATAATTAATAATGTTCAATGGAAAGGGAGGTGTATGAACGAGCTATACCGTAGAATATGGATTCCCCGGATCCCCGCCCTTTCCCCAGTCGACTTGGTATTTCCTTTCATCCATTCTTCCGTGCCGTCCCCTGCATACCTCTGCTGGCAGTTGCTGGCATGGCTGATGTCTCGAGTCCACGGCAGAGTCTAGAGTAGTCTCGTGAAACTCCCCCCGGTCTACTCGTATACATAAAGTGGCACTTGTCCCCTAGCTCCGTTCAGTTTCCACTTTTTCATTAACCTCGCGGATGCACATCACTGCTTCAACAAATCAATAAAATAAAATAATATTTAAAAAAAAAGAAGTAAGTTCTCTGGTTCCACATCGTTCCGTTCGTCCCTTCTCTCTGGCTATATTAGCTTCCGTGTCATCCATTTCTCCAACTCCAACTTTGTTCTTCATCTCAAACCAGCAGTGCTGTTCAAGAGTTGAATCCTTTCCCCTTGACCCCAATAATAACTGTGTTATCAATTGGCGGTGCTTTTTACGTCCAGCTAGCTGGTCTTCCTTTTTACGATCTTCCCTTTTAACGAACATAATCAGATCTTATATCTTGCATCATGTCTGCGACTGAAGCATCAAACAACCCCGGTCTGGATAAGGACCTCGGTGGCGCTCCCCAGACCCAGAACGGCTCGGGCGCTCCTATACAGCCTCAGATGTCCGCCGAGGAGCACCAGGTGGCTCGCGCCGCCGCCCGCTTCGGATACGGACCTCTGGCTCACGTTAACACCGCCGAGGCTTCCCTCCCGGCTTTTGGTGGAGAGTTCCAGCCTGGTCTGTACAAGTCGGTTGAGGGTCGCAAGTTCGGTAACCCTGCTCCTCTGGGCCTCTGCGCTTTCGCCTTGACTACTTTCGTGCTGAGCTGTATCAACATCGGTGCTAGGGACATTAGCAAGCCCAACATCGTTGTTGGTCTTGCCTTCGGATATGGTGGTCTTGTTCAGTTGCTTGCTGGCATGTGGTATGTATCGTTACCCAATGAAGATGCAGAGAACTGAATGCTGATTTGTACCAGGGAAATGGCCGTTGGCAACACCTTCGGTGCTACTGCCCTCTCCTCTTACGGTGGTTTCTGGTTGGCCTTTGCTATCGTCTTGACCCCCGGTGGGTTCGAGATCGAAGAAGAGCTCGGTGCAACCTCCAGCGATCCCTCCAACTTCTATAACTCCATGGGTCTGTTCCTGATGGTACGTCGCCCCACACTTCACGCATCATTGGAGTCAATGCTAACCAACGATATAGGGCTGGTTCATCTTCACAACCATCATGCTCTTCTGCACCCTCAAATCAACCGTCGCCTTCTTCCTGCTCTTCTTCTTCCTGGACCTGACCTTCCTCCTCCTCGGTATCTCCTACCTGCAGACCGATTCTTCCGGAGGCGTCAACACCCCCGTCCAGAAAGCAGGCGGTCTCTTCGGTCTCCTGGCTGCCTTTGCCGCCTGGTACAACGCCCTCGCCGGTATCGCCGATACCAGTAACAGCTTCTTCATCATCCCCGTTGCCCACTTCCCCTGGTCGGCTACTGGCCGTACCCGTCGCACCAAGTCTGAGCGCGAGATTGCTTAGATTATGTCGCGATCGGAATGTGGGAGTGGAGAGGTGTCGCTGCCATCTAGGTCTTTTGGCACTTGTAATGTTTCTGATACCCAGCGCTGTATGTACCCGTCACAGGCGAATATCTTGGTTCCCTTTTGACTCGATTGGATATGTGAATGGTCGGTTATCGACGCGTTCGCTCGTTGCTTGATGATTGGTTCAGTCGCATGTTCGTCCGGTCGGGGCTTCGTGCTTTTCGTCTTGTGACTTTGTGACTGTTTGCCTTCTTGGCTTGAGATGATCAATACGGAATGTCTCTTCCTCGGCGGCAGTTGCAAAAGTGTCTGGTCGCGTTGGCTCTTTGTAGCGATGTGACTGGTTAATTGTTTGGTCGGTGGTTCCTCGTGCGAGCGTACTGTTTTTGTATAGGCTTGGCTTGGACTCCGGCTTTTTTTTCCTTGCTGTATTTAGTCTCCTTACCTGCGAGTTTTAACTCTGTAATTAATTCCATGTTTTATGACAACGTGTCGATATGTTCTTCGTCTGTCTTCGTGTAGTGTTGTCTCGAGGTTTGAACTGGGTAAGGTAGGGTCTTACCTTGTTCCGAGGTCATGTGTTGTGTAGGTAGGTGTTGACGCGACTTGCAGTCGGCATCGAAGGGTCCCTGGCCGCTCGTGACTGTGACTGGTACCTGTTGCGGGTTGTAAACAGCAGGGTAAGTCAATGCAAAGAGCTGGATGAGCCTTGCATCTGCAAAGTTATACTGTCAGCAATCGACCACCATGAACAAAACCAAGGATATCCTTGTATAAACTGTGAGCTGTAACCTTGAGACTGCCGTTAGACAGTTAACCGTGCTATCAGCCATAGTCAGAATCCATAGCTTCAACAAAGCCAAGCAAAGCAGTAGTAGTCAGTCAGCATAAGGATAAAGACAAGGTTAAAAGCCAAAAGCCAAGAGACATCAGTATAGGGGGAAGGGGGCAAGACAAAATTTATACACAGTACGGAGTATATATCCCCAAACCCCAATAATTTTCCAAGTCTCAGGAGCCAGGCCGTCTAATATATTCGGCTTTCCGTGCCCAGGGGGAAGGTGGAGAAGCCGAGTCTTTGTTCGGTATTTTCTCGGCTGGGACTTGGCTGATGTTTGATGTCATGGATTATTGATACATCCCCATGTTGCAACTGTTCCTGTTTTTTTGGTGTTGTTTATATCATAGATATAGAATATAGCAAGTATTGTTCATCCCTCTCGAAAAATTGTCCATTGCTAAATACAATACTATAGAAAAGTCTTCACTGTACTCTGGACACTGTAGTCCTCATATCAGACAATTACCGAGCAAAGACCGATACTCCACCGGGTGGAACTCGGTTTTGTCTCGGCATCCTATTAAACCAGTAAAGAGAGCTAGAGGACTGTTCAGAGACGGTGATTGTTCGGTCATCGGGATGCCGAGCCTGTCAGGGTGGACTGACAGAACCTGTCAGGTTTACATCTGCCGGGTTGCCCGGGTTGAATCGGGAAGGTGAGGTATATTCGGGGTCTGGGGCTTGGCTGGTATTTCTAGGGCATTGGTGTGCATGTATAGTAATCTGTAGTGTTGCTCTTCTTCTGTCCAGTTATCCATACTGCGGTATGGAATGTTTTCGTTATTTGCTTAGGCTATGCCATGTGCTATAGACAAATATAGATATAGATATATATCTATATCACAATAGGACACGGGATTATAAGTACCAACGTCCAGAGATTGGCACACGGACTGTATGATGTATTCCATTCCAAGTCGAGTAACTCAAGCCGGCTCCACCTGACCCTGGACCAAAACCTCATCCCAAACCTGCCTCAGCATAGACAAATGCACACGATCGACATAGAAAAAGCCCAACAAGAGCGCCCTAGCCTCCTGCCACGTCGAAATCCCCTGCAACCGCACCGCAGCAGCCAACTCCGAAACGAAAAAGACCCGCTCGGCAGGTAAAGTCGCACTGCAGACGGCACCCATGAAAAGCTGCCAGATAAGCAGATCCCGACAAAGTGCAAACAATCCCATGGGGATGGTAGCAGCGAGAGCAGCGCGCAGCGCGAGAATTGGTTTGGGCAGGAGTTGCGCGACCATGGGGTAGAAGCTCCAGATGGCGCTGTTGTGGAAGAGGAGGCAGGCGAGACGGGTGCAGCCCTCGATTGAGTTGTCGCCTTTTACTTGGCCCGTTGGTGTGTAGCGGTCTGTGTGGAGCATGTATTCCACGTAGAGGACTTCTGTGTTGAAGTAGTCTTCGGTTTCTTCGTTGAATTCTTTGTAGCCTGTTTTTCCTTTTATCCATTCTGCGTACCAGGATAGTTCTAGGAGGTCGTATGTTATCTGCGGCATGGCTTCGCCGAATATGCCAGGGATTTTGAGAAGTGGGAAGAGGCGCGTTGCTAGGAGGGCTACGTCGTCGTTTGGGGGAATTAGGGAGAAATGGGCTGGGCGGGTGTACCGCACGAAGGGGAAGATTGGTTTGGCGTGGGCCATGCAGGCGACGCGGATGTCGGTCCTGTTGCTGTTAGATGTGTTGGTGGTATGGAGTGCTTGTGGATTCACCATGAGATTTGGAACCGGACGTCCGAGGGGACATCGTCAAAGTTCTTTCGCAGTGCGATCATCTGTCGCAGTCCTGCTAGATGGATTTTGAGATAATCAGGGTTCCCCGATGCGATCTAATCATGATGAGTCTGATATTCACCACCCCATCTCGGAGACACTCACTTCAATCGTCAACAGGGTTGAAACGGCAGCAATCAGAACATCACTAGATGCCTTGACAGGGTCGGATAAGCCCTCGTTAACCAATCGAATCGTCTCACCCCGATGGTGGAAGGTATCAATAACCAACTGGCTCCTCTTCTGATTCGGGTCTCGAATAGGCAACTCGCCAGCACGCATAGCATCATTAGACGTCGCCATACAGATCGTCGCATGGAGAATAGCCGGATCCCGCTGGATCAGAGACGCCCAATGCGCCTGCAGCTTAGGCTTATACCGCATCTGCAATGGATGCGCTTCTTGCGTGAGATCCCATAAGACTATATCCGAGTCAGTATACTCCATCCAACCCAACCCAAGAGAAGAAAAGGAACAACCTACAAACCCTCAAATGCCTCATCATCCGATCTGTCAATTGCGTATGTCCAGTATTAAACGGATCATTAGCACCCTGCCCAACTCGCGACCATATAGACGGATAAGCAGCCGCCCCGCCATACCCTCCATCCCACGACGCCGACGACCCCGAGACTACAGGATAACCAGCAGACGACGCAACAAGCGCATTACTCCTGCCAACCTGCTCCAGCTCCGTCTCGTCAGAGATATGACTCCCAGAAAGACTAGCGGAAGAACTGATCGATGCGCGCGCAGGTCCAACTCCAACCCTAACTCCAGAGCCAGAGCCAGGTCCGGCCGAGGCAAGCGCGCCAGCGGGTGTCTGGTATGGCGTCTGCCTCCATTTATCTTTATTGTATTGCTTCGTGCTTTCCATGCGCTTTTTGCGGTTATGCTCGGACATCACATGTGACCGGATGCTCTTGAGCGTTTCTTCTTTTGTGCCTTCTGCTGCTGTCTGGGGATCGCTGTTGACCCAGAATAGGGTTGACTTCCCTGAGGCGTTTGTGTTTGCCTTGCGGGGTTTGCGGACCTTGGCGGGGGCATTGCGGGTTGCTTTGGGGGGTTGTGCTGGAACTGGAGCTGGAGGTTGTGCTGGAGGTTGTGTTGGAGCTGGCGCGTAGGCTTGAGCTGGGGCGGCATTTGGAGCTGGAATTGGAGCTGGAACTGGCACTGGAGGGACTTCATGGTAGGGCGGGATGGGATCGACGGGAGCGTCCGGAGGGGCATGGGCATCACTCGGCCACCGAGACAGCACCGGTAAGTTCTGGAACTTTTCTTCCATTTCTGAGGAGGAAAGAAATGAGCTCCCAAGAGCCCCGGGGGACTGGGGTAGTTATGGAGGAAAGAGGAAATTGGATTCTTCAATTATCAATCCCCAGGCGAATCACCGTTCCCGCTAAAGTGTTAGTGGGATGCGAGGTTGCGCCCGAGTCACATCCTTTGTAGCCCTGAAGGAGTACCTTTGGGGGCTTGGGGGGGCCCTCCGACGGCTTCGCAGCTTAGTTCCAGACAAGCTATTGAGGGGAATCGAGTGAGCTGGTGATCCACTGGGTTTCTTGGCTTTATCCACTGGGTTTGGTACTTTTGGTGGCGCTTTTTTACGTATATTCACTGGTATGTACAATGCCCCAATTGGTCTATCTTAGGTATTCTCCTACATGCAGTATCTTGGTGTCTTGGTATATTGGTATGGTAGAAGTCTAATACCTTTTCTACATTGAAGTATCTAATTATAGAATGATCTTCCTTTTGGCCCCAAGATCACTGACGAAAAGGCTTTTCAGCCCGTAAGCACTACTTGAACGATTGGTGCGGGCATTTACACTGCCGCTGGACTGCCGAGAAGCTGAAGAATGTGAGATGACAATGGCATGTTTCAGAATACATTCATGTTTACATGTAGATATGTACAAAGCTGGGGTTAACCAAGTCGGATTATCCGGCTATACTCCGGTGGTAGCTCCACAGAGACTAACTACATTGTGCATACTCCGAGCTACAAGTGGAGAAAGAGAATGGAAGATGAGATGCAGCGAATAAGATAGTTAAGGAAAAATAGATCTAGTATTCCAGTTAGGTCATGCCGGGTCGCGGAAAGATCGGCATCGTCTCCATCTGTTCTAGTCCGCCCATCGTGCCACTTTGTCCACTGGCTTGCCAGCCTTGTCCGGTTTGCTGGTTGATGAACTGACTCTGTCGAAAGGGATTTGTGCTACCAGTGGGATTCGGCTGCAGAGGTGCGGCCGGAGGCATGCTTGGTGGGGCGGGAGAATTGCGAGCAAATGGATTGGTTCCGGTTCGCTGGGGTTGAATGGGCTGCGCTTGTGGGAGCGGTGGCGCTTGCTGGGATTGCGCATTCTGGAATGGCTCCGAGGTGTTATATTGCTGGTTGGCCGTTGATAACCGCCGAGCGAATGGATTTGTGTTCTGTCGGCTTAGAGGACGAGCAACTGGTTGAGCGCCCGTGGAAGCATTCAGCATCATTGACTGACGGAACGGATTGGTACCGGTAGTCTGAGGCTGCAAAGGCTGAGGAGATTGCTGTTGCTGTTGCTGTTGCTGTTGGAACGAAGCAACACCCTCCTGAGGGATGGGAGCCAACTGTGACTGGTATCCATATTGTTGTGGCTGCGCTGTGTATCCACCGAATCCAGCACCCGTTGGCATAGCCTGAAGCGGCTGCTGTTGTGGCTGTTGTTGTTGTTGTTGCTGCTGGCCAAAGGGATTATTGGCACCTTGTGCCTGGTAAAGGGCTCCGTATTGGGCTGGCTGGCCAAAACCGGTCGCCTGGGATTGTTGAGGCTGTTGAGGCTGTTGAGGCTGTTGCTGGCTGTATCCAGACATCTGAGGCTGCTGCTGTTGGAAACCAGTCTGCTGAGGATAGAATGGTTGCTGTTGTTGGAACCCTGTCTGCTGGTACTGCATATTGGGCTGGCCAGTCGGCTGGCCCATTGGCTGTTGGTTCTGTTCAATTGAATCAAAGAAGTCAATCAAATCCACCGGCGCTGGCTTGGCTTGTTCAGGTTGCCTGGCTTGGGTTGGCGTCGGTGCGCTTGGTACGGGCTTCGGGGCATCATTACTCGCGCTCATGGATGGTGGGATAGGAACGCCCTTCTTGGCCAAGTACTCCCGTCGGCGAACATCGAAATCAGGGTCGTTGAGATCATCCTCGAGAAGTCGAGTGAGGTCCGTAGAGGCATGCTTGAGCTTGGGGATTTCCAGACGGGTGGCAGATTGGAAATGTCTTGCAACTCCTAGGAATTGCACAACTTCCTCCGTTTGTTTTGTGAACGTCTTGTAAATTTCCAAGGCGCGTAGACTGTCTGGTCGTGACATCTCAAAGTAATGTTCTGTATTGGGTTAGATTCAATAATCACTTGTGGAAGGTAGAGAGAGGTCTTACCCAAGACATTAATGGTCCCCTCGTTCATGACCGAGTACAGGGTAAGTAGATCCAGTGTAAGGAGGCGGAAAGCCGTCAAACTGATCTCGTTCTCGGGTTCATCTGTCAACAGCTGTACAATCGGTCAGTCACTGCGCAATAACAAGGCTCGGTATCACCCACGTCACACCGCAATAGCGCGCGGATCTGCTTCTGTACAATCTCCGTCTCTCTCAAAAGACCTTTCTCCACGCCAGTTCTTTTCAGCTTTCCCGGTCCGCTTCGTACATGATCGGTTTTCGAGGCGTCAAATGCCTTCGCGCGTGTAATTAGATATTCGGCATAACGTCGAATATTATGTCCCTGCGATTGGGCTGGCAATATTGTCAGAACCAGTATTCTCGTAAGTCAAACCGGTCAGCTTACCTTCCGAGAAATTGCTGGGCGCGATCTTCCTCGGGTTATCAGACAGGTATCCCAACGCAGCATCCTGTTGACCTTCTCGGATCATAAGATGAAGAACGATAAGCGCTTTGAACACAATGGTCCATGCTGAGTCTCGAAGTCGCAGCTGGAGTGTTCGGAATACTTCTGCGACACCTGCCTCACCGGTATGAGTTGCCACAAGGATCTGTTCAATGTATTTGGATTTGGGAGCCGCGAGCTATTGACACGATAAATTAGTAACTGTCGCGCGCAAATACAAACAGGATAAATAATTCGACTCACCTTGAGCTTCGTGGCCCCTTTGACTGACTTCTCAAAGCCTCCGGCCATGCTGCCTAGAAAAGTCGCGAATCGGTGCCCAACCCGGGGATGAAGGGAAGTGCAGTTTGTCAAACGACAGGGAAGAGACCGAAGATCCCGCTTCGGTTATCAATGCCCTCGTTGTGCCCAGATATTTCCTATTTCATTACCTACCTCGCTCATGACGTGGCTCATTGAGCCATTCTGGGAGCTCGGGGGTAATTGGGATTCTGGGAGAGAAGAGGTGAGAGGGGGAGTCGGAACGGCCGGTTCGGGAATTGGCGAGTATGGAGGATGACAGGGTGAATATGAGTTGAGAAACAAAGGAATCAGGATAGGCGACAATTCCAGGGTGAGGAGGGAGTTCCTGGGGGGGCGGAGTGTCCATGTTCCTGTCGCCCAATTGGGACTAGTGCAAATCAGCACGAGGATCAACATCGGCAGTTTGACTTTGATATCAGATACATCTACACACGACCTGGAATAAACACACACAACAATGTGTGGGCTCTACTGTCTTTTTGTTTGATCTAGACATGACAGATGCCAACGCCTGCCATCTTTGAGATTTGAGATTCTATATTCTTCAGTTATATATTTATACAACCGTTTTAGGTCAAGTCCACCTCCATATTCTCTTTCCAACAGCAATGTACCAGATAATTGCCGAAGACAGTGCCGTAGGTCATATAGCAATGGATATACATTGATAAGATGATCACGACAACATCAGATATAAAAAACCAAGACGAATACCCGAAATGGGCTTGGTCTCTACCAGAGACTTGATCTCACTGGGCTCTCACTTCTCTCCTGTGACTCTGACCGAGGGATGCTTTTACTTGGTAGTTTTGAAATCCGGATGGAGGTACATATGGACAGCAATAATGCCTGGATTTGTGCTTCGAGAGTACTCAGTTGATATCTCAACAGCCCTACCAGGCCACAACCAGCCTGCCACTCCTAAAGCTGATTCGATCAATTGAGAAACATGGCGGAGTCGAACCCTCTAACTTCTCTAGCCACACCTTCACTTCTGAAATATAAATTGTCTTCCCACCTCATCCGAAGACTAACTTTCTCTTTCTCCCCATCCTCCCCCCTCATTCATCTCTCGATGTCTCATACCTTCAAGAGCTCTTGAGGTCTCCGCCTTTGCTTTCTTTTCTCCTCGATTCTCTCATCCTCATCTGTTGATTCCCCCAGACGTCATATCCGAGAAACACGAAGACACTCACCAGTCATCACTCCGGCAAGTACACTTTCTCATCTTCAACGGAAGCTTCTGTTCCTGGTTACCAGTGGCAAGTGATGTTGTTTATTACTTGAATATCCTATCTGACTCGAGATCCTTCCTCTAACCAGTTACCTGTCCCTCCGGCCTCTGCTCTTGCCCTTCCTCTTGTTCTCACTTCTCCGACGTTCATCCAGAGACAACTGCTAGGAAATAGGGTGCATCTTTCATCTTGAGATCTTTTCGTGTGATTCGAAAGCCATCTAACAATTTCTCCACAGCTTCTACTCATCCAAAAATGGAGGCACCACAAGGGCCTCGCCGTCCAACCCTGCGATGGGAGGTTCGCATGCGTCAAGTGCTGTGCTGCCTCTACCGATTTTTCGTCTGTGACAAGAAACAGGTTATGGAGATATTCTCCTACTTATTCCGAGGGCATCTCCAAGAGCGTGGAATCCGTGGATTCGTCCCTTATGCAACTCTCCACACCCAGTGGAGCTGGATGCAGAATAGTGGCGATCCTGTTTGGTATCATGTGCACATAGCCACGGAGTTCAAAATGAATGCTGAATGGAGTGGTATCATACACGAAATCAAAGCTGCGGCTGAGATCCTCCGACTACGTCTCCAGGAAAGGACACAGGATATTGGTACATCCCGTTGGAGATCCTCAAGGCCGCAGGCAGCATGGGAGACGGATTTTCATGCCTCTGTGCTTCTGGAATCGGCAAGTCAACGGGAATGAATATATTAACTGTTGCTGACCATATTCCTGTCAGCAAAATGTGCCCCAGACATTGATGAATCTGTCTCCCCCTAATCTTGAAGAGCTACACGAAGCAAAACCAGACGATAACCAGCACATTACTGTCAACAGCGATCCGAATAACGAGTCAGCAAATGTCAATAATAAAATTTCTTTTGCCTGGCATGAGAAGGAAGGTGAACTCGGATCCAGCGGCCTAAAGTTCTATGAGTATCATGGACAGCCGAAGACCAACTGCACCACCGAAACGATTGATTGTGTTGATTCAGGTCCCAAAAAACCCTCTCAAGTCCTAGCTGATGATCCTCAATGCCGCGGTCTTTTTGAAAATTCGGAAAGCCCCCATCCGCTCCCAATTGGTGAACTTCAAGACCGCGATCAAAGCCTCGAATGCCCTGATCAAAAACGGACGAGGGGCCTCAGCATCGACAAACCCCCGCCACTACTTTACCGTTGGTGGAACATTGACTCGCAAGGAGTAAACTCGAAGCACGAGTTTGTTGCTGGCCTTTTCTGCAACAGGCCGACTTTCAACCCAGAAGATATCACAGACACCGAATTTTTGGCCTTCTTTCGTGGCCATGTAACAAAACAAGAGGTTGCCACGCCATTTATTTCAACATTCGCTTTTCCTCTAGCACCATTTCACCGTGCTTTGGTCAACCAAAAGGGCGCTATGGTGTCGATTATTGAAAGTTCGAAGATACCATCTAAAATCTTCGACGCCGGTCCTCTCGCTGTTAAAACTCGGACGTTCACTGGTTGCTGGAGAGGTTACGCGGAGTATGAGGTCTGGGGACACATTCCGGCTCAAGCAATTGTTGAGACGCTGGACATTAACTCAGTGGAGTTGATTGCACAGCTCCATCGGGATATCAATCGGCTATTACAACCTCTTCTGATCCGAAGTTTCAGACGTTGCAATCAAGACTTGCGTGATATTCTAGCTATCAGACACAAGGGAAGGTCGTCCTTCAAGTGCGGTCTTACACTTCGGAAACTTCTTCTCCTTCTACGAATTCCCCCAGCCCATTGGGCAGATTTGGCACCGAAATTTGCCCACTGCTGGGGTTGGAAATATGCTGCAGAAAAGAGAGAGTTCCTAGAGGGCGTTATGTCTCAAAATCCTGTTTCACAAGAAGAGGTATCTGACTCCGAGAGTGAATGGGTGATGCCAACTCCACAGGCAACACCCAAGAAGGGGTCAAAGAAGAGCAAATCAATCGAACTGGACGAGGAAGACTGGGAGCCCCTGGAATATGAGGAATTTCAAAAGGTCTGCTCTAGTCTGCGACCAATGCCAGAAACTTCCCAGAAGTCTCCCCGAGGCCCATTCTTCTACCGGGGGTCAACCACCCCAGACAAGGATTGGATACCCCTGGAGGAAGAACAAGATACAGAGGGGCAATCTGAATCTGATGGGAAAGCCAATGATGCCTCTGAAACACACTCTGTCTCCATGGAAGAGCGGAGTGACACAACAGAGGAGACCTTTTTGGCCGAAACGATTGACAGTATGTCTGTTACTTACGAGAGTGACAGGTTAATTGAAGACCATATGGCATTAGCCTGGGAAGCTGAATCTATACCAGAAGCCACGCAGACTGGGAGGCCCCAGGATCACAACGCTGATCATCCCGTTGTGCATAGCTTCTTTGTCGATCTCCACGACAGAGACACAGACATGGATATGAATGGCGTTGTCAGTAACGAGGAGGACGACCCCAGTGCCCAGAATGCGCTCGATCAAGAATGGCCTTCGGAAGACGATTGCCCAGAAATGAAAATCTTGAACCGTGTTCGATTCCGGTGATGCTTGCCCTTTGCTTGGACGAGTCAGAAACGCTTCTCTGAACCCCATGAGAAAACCGAGAGCAGAACCCGGAGAGAATGAAGATGAGACTGAAGTTGGTGTGTACGATTAGATAGTTTTTGTCATTAATGGAAATGGTATTATCTGAATGGCATACAGAAGCCATTTCTTTCAAGTAAAACTGAAAAGACGAAAGGGCATGACTGGACAGGCCAGCAAACCACCGTAAGGAGATGGAAACAAAACTTAAGACGAGTTGAAAATTCCCGTCAGATCTACGTGACTAGAAGACACATACTGAGCAACCGTAGTAGCTTAGAAGAGTGGGAATAACCCAGAATGCGCATTGAGATAGACTCTGTCAAGATTGACATATATGGTCAGTCTTTTTTTTTGACCAGAGCTGTTGTACAGTTTCCATCGCAAGAAGATTGAAGAAATATTTTTGCTTTTTGCGTGGATACACTCATTCTTCAGCGAGGTATCTGGGACATGGAAACTCGTAAACTATCCCAATCCCCACCCGAGGATTTCCTGTATCCAAATCATACCGCTTCCTTCGCCGTTATGTCTTCGAGAACCCAATTATCCAACACTTAGAACTTGGCGAAAGACTTGACAGCCTTGCCAGTGCGGGGCAACACCTTCAACACGTTGAAGCGGACCTGCAAAAATCGAGTCAGTTATCAATTCGGAAAGAAAGAGTACATCGTCATATTCCAGGCGTGATGATAGAACCGCATTGCAGTTTCGCACACATTGCTGGAGGTGGCGATAACGGAAGAAAAATTTGACGTACGGTCTTGGACAGAGGACGGCACTGGCCGACGGTAACCCAGTCACCCTCCTCAACACGGAAAGCGGGGGAGACGTGAGCAGACAGGTTCTTGTGGCGCTTCTCGTAACGGTTGTACTTGGGGACGTAGTGAAGGTATTCACGGCGGATGACGATGGTACGGTGCATCTTGGTGGAGACGACCTGGAGAATGGTTAGCGACTATATCGTGTGCCGAGAAGTGAGATAAAATTACCTTGCCGGTCAGGATACGGCCACGGATGGAGATCTGGCCGACGAAGGGGCACTTCTTGTCTATTCAAATGTTAGATTTGTTTTCGATTTGATATTTCGAGATTGCAGATCGATGGCATATCCAGGTCTTTTCAAGATGCGAATGTTGACTGGAGTTTCGCACGCAAACAGAGATTGCAAATGTTCCTGAACTTTTCCTCAACCATATATCTCCATGTTCCGTGCGATCATTAATTCGTCATCTCCCATCTTGAAAAGACCCTTCCATGCGTAGATTCTGGCAGTTTCGAATTCAAGTCGTGCATACCGATGTAGGAGCCCTCAATGGCGGTCTTGGGGGTACGGAAACCGAGACCGACATCCTTGTACCAGCGGCGACCGGAGGTGGACTTCTTGCTGGAGGCCTTGCTCTTAGCGTTGAGGAAGATGTGAGGCTGCTTCTGGAAAGCGCGCTCGGACTGGACGGTCAACTCGGTGGCCATTGTTGCGGTGTTGTCTCGACGAGGAAGCGGTGTCGAGGGGAAAAAAGGTCGGGTTGGCGGCTGTCGAAGATGAGGAAGATTCGTTGACCCGCGGATTCTTTGGTAATTCGTAGTGTGCGCCACTAGTCCTGATTGGGCCTAGCGCACTTCGGGTTAGGGCTTTGCGCCTTTGTTTACATCACGTGATTGCGGAGCAACGCGCTCGGGGCAATCATGATAGCATCTGAATGTTGACGTTGGATACGTATCTCCGACCATGCGCAGTTGATCTCTGGTGTCGAGTCCTGCATCGCCAACTATGTCTACTCGAGCCGACTCCGCGGCCACGCGACCGCGACCGCGATCTCGCCAGTCCATCGCTCATGTTCCGCGGTCTAAGATGACGTCTCTGGACAAAGAGAATGCGACGGCCGAGTTTGGCGCAGCGCAGCCATTTGCAGGCAGTACACGGTCCGCACCAAAGGATAAGAAGTCCCGAAGCAAGAGTTTGGGACCCGGTGGACTTGATGCCTTGAAGAATTCCAACGGCAATCGTCGACAGGTAGCTTTGAAGCCTCTCAATGCACATAGTACTTAATATCTGACTGGATCGTATAGTCCACGGCTTCTATCCCCCTCAAATCAATTCTCAAGCCTACAGTACCTGTCTCACCAGTTCGGAACATCCCATCATTCGAGGAGACACGTCGGCGCACCCCAGCCCGCAATCAGCAACCAAGTCAGGATGGCGCAATGGACGGCGACCGCCAGGGGAAAGAAGGACTGTTGATCGACTTTGAAACAACACCAGGCCCTCTGGCAGCGGATAACGACGACACATCAAACCCATTTGACACATTCAATGCGACCTCTGCTATCCGTGAAGAGATGGCCGCCACCAAGGAACGCGACGAGAAAGAGCGCAAAGATCGTGAACGACAGAATATTTTGGAAAAGCGGGAAGCACGGCGTAAATCGATGGGTTCGTGTTTGTTGCACTTCATGGGAGAAGTGTGCTAACAAAGATCTATACAGCAAACCGGCGAGTATCGTTTGCTCCTGAAGCGACCTTGCATACCTGGAATGTGGTGGAAATCCCCGACGACTCAACTTCATCCTCTGCTGCGAACTCAACCAGACGTGCCTCTGCCGCCACTAACACCCTGAACCAACCTGCACCCTCTCCCGCCCGAGACTCTCCGTCTTCACCAGAGTCTGAATTTGGATTCTCCCCTCTTCGCACAGAGGACCTAGACCAAATCAGAGGTGGCAAATTATCTAACGCAAACCACGATCTCTCTTCTAGTCCTTTCAGTGGAAGCTCAGTCGGGAGCGACGATACTGGAGCACAAAGTATGGCAGGTGAAGATGAGGACGATGGCGAGTCATTAGGATCAGATGATGGATTCGATGGCGAGAGCACTGCAATGAGCATGGATGATATGACAGCTCGCTCGGGTATGACCGCCCAGTCAGATGCAACTTCCAGCTCCAGCTCCAGTGCCAGACTCAACGAAGCACTGCGCCAAGCAGCCAAAGAAGCAGGGACCGAGGCAGTTGACGAGACCGGAGAAGTGTCCATGGAAATTGTGGATCAAGAGATCACAGGTGCTTTCCAACCCTGGATTAAAAAGGGCCAGAGACAAAGTTTCGACTGGGAAGATATCAGCGCACGACACGATCAAGAAAACATGGATCCATCGAAGACCGCTGCCAGCAGAACCTCACCCGAATCCGATGATCATATCGACGAAGATGAGGAAATGAGCATGGACGTGACGAACGCATTGGGACGCATCCTTGGAAAACCCCTTGCCCGTCGCCAAAACACTCGTCGCAAGTCTACGGCAGAGGAGTCCAACTATGATGATCAAACAATGGAAATGACCAATGTCGTTGGGGGCATCATGCCGGAGGATATGTCTTCGAGGATCTCTGAGGTTGATGACGATGAAGGAATGACCATGGAGCTCACCTCGGGAGTTGGAAAAATCCTCGGAAACGAGCCTTCATTGACTCCCAAGTCTGATCGTATGAACGATGACCAAGACAACGAATCGGAGGATGACATGGACATGGAAATGACTGGTGCCATTGGTGGCATCCTGCAATCAGGACAGCAAGCCAACGATAAAGTCTATGCAAAGCTCATGATGGAGCTTGAGACCGACTCCGGACAGTTGAACAGTTCTCCTTTCCAGGAAAGTGTTCGCCAATCTCCTACCAAGTCTCCAGCCAAATCACCTCTCCGCTATCAAGTTGCGGCCGTTGCATCTGAGAGTGGAAGCCCTAGTCTGGCAAGTGTTAGGGCTAGACCTTCACGACGCAGTTCTGCTGCATCTACTACCCCACGGTCTGCCACTCATCAAACATCCCCTGCCAATAAACCCTCAACTCCCCCTAAACAATCCACCCCCCAGACCAAGCCTAGCACCCCAAGCAAGACCCCTCCATCCAGCGCCGTGACATTTAGAAGTGCCTCGCCGAAGAAGCTTTTCCAGCCTGAGCTTCAGCGATCCGCAGATAAGCGCAAGTCTTTGCGCCAAAGCCTCTTTGAACATAATGCGGCGACAGGAGAGTCAACCCCACTCTTCAAATTGCAGCCCCGCGAGGCTCGCCGTTCCTCCGGACTCGGAATTGACAAAGAAGGTCTTGGATCACCGCGCGTCGCCGCCATACTCGACAAGCGCCAGTCATTGGGAGACAGTACACCTCAATTCGTTCCACAAGAGCAGGCCCGATCTGGAGTTCGCTTCGAGGATCCACTGCAAATGCAAGCAGAGGAAGAACGTGATCGAGAGGAGGAGGAGCTTAGAGAAGACGGCCATCTCCCGATGCCTCCTTCCGAGGGTCGAGATGTGACCTCAAGCCTGAAGGACATGATCGAAAGCCTGACTCCAAAGAAGGTAAAGATTGGCAGCCGTAAGAGTCTTCACGTGGGCGCTGCCCGCGGAATCTTAGGCAAACGTCCTGCCGAGCTGGACTTGGATGAAGATGAAGATGAGAACTCACCCAAGCGACTGCGCGGCCACAATGTCAGTCCAGTCAAAGGCATCAAGTTGCCAGCACCATCAGCTAGGGAGGGCAGTGTTCAGCAATCACCCGTTCGCAGAGCCGTTAGCTCATCTCCTTTGAAGGACAGCACTACGCCTTCCCAGGAACCACGCAGCGTCTCCAAGACATCGACTACTCCTCTTAAGCAAGGAATTGATAACCTCCATATTGATTCTGACGCTCAGCAGCCTGAAGAAGAGGATGTTCCTGTTGAGGAGCCTGAAACGGAGCCTATCCAGCTTCAAGATTTCTTGAACATGACTAACATCCACTTCATGGAGCTTACTACGACAAAGAGACGGCACACGACTGCACCTAGCAGTGCTACGAAGAAGCTGACCCGGGCATCTGGAGACAACCTGCCCAGACCACGCTCAGTAACATTTGATGATTGTGTGGCAGCTGGGTTCTGTACAGTGCCTATGCTTGAACTGTACCAGCACGTAAGTAATTATCCACATACTCCTGCCCTCATACTTACTATGTTCTAGTCATGTCGAGAATTGAAGTCTTATATCTCCGAAGGTCGACAAGTAATTCGCTCCATTGAGGCTGAGACATATGCGGAAAACCCAGCTCTCTTCCGGGAGTATGTGACTGCCCCTCCAGACATCCGTGTGATAATGGATAATCAATTCCGAAATGTCAAGACCCATGCTCGTCTTCTAAGCAAGGCTACGTGGTACGAATGGCGAATGAAGCTGCTCGAGGGTCTGAAAGAGGGCCTCAATCGACACGTTGAGGAAATGAAAGCAGACGATGACATGTTAACCCAACGAGAGGAGCTGCTCAACAGCAATGTGCCGCCTTTGCTAGAGAAGCATGCTGCCCTCGAAAAGGAGGCGACCAACTTGCAAGAGTTGGTAGATGAAGTGGAGAATTGTGACCAAGACGAGCTCCGCAGCACGCGCAGCAAGCTGTCCGAGGTGGACATTGAAATTGCAGCCAAGAAGCGCCAACTTGAGGAGCTGCAAGCTGAGGTCCAGGAGAAGACCACTATCATTGAAGCTGGATCTGAATTACGAGATGAGTTCCTGGCTCAGATTCAGGAGGCAGAGCGCGTGAAAGAGGAGTGCCGTGGCTGGAGTGCCCGGGAGATAAATGAACTTAAGGGTAAGTCTTTCAACATTGATACCCTGGCTCACAGCCCGACTGACTGGTCAAATAGCTTCCGTTCAAAGGATTGAACGTCAAACCGGCTGGTCAATCGTCTCCGTAACCACCCCATCGGAAGAGCAGACAGGCCCAGTATTGAAAATGGCCTACCGTGAGCAGCTCCAACTCGAGTTCTCTCCTGGAGCATTCATCTCCAAGCCAAACACCCAAGATGAGAAGAAGAACCTCCCACTGGAACTGACCCCTCAAAAGAGCGCAAAAATTTCCCCTATCGCGTCTTTGGTTCTCCAGTCGCTTCAACGCCATCTATCCACCATCCAACAATCAATCATCACCCCCAAGCAACTTTTATTCTTCATCTCAAGCGCATGGGACCGCACAGTGGGACTAGAGAACGAAGCACGCATGCTCGAATTCTGCGGCGTAACCCGCCTAACACTCTCCAAGCCAACCGATGGCTCCCTCTCCTTGCGTGCACGCTGCACACTCCTAGGCAATGGAACCGCCTCCACTCCCGGCCGCACGAGTGCCATCCCAAAGAACAACAGCACCAAGAGAATCGACGTGGACTTCACCGTCCGTACCCGTGTTGACCAGCCCGATGCTAGTATTGGCTCTATGAACTTTGACATTGACGTCCTAGCGACTAAAGTCTACGGGTTTGGAACGGGCAACAAGTCTGGTCTACCAGACAAGGAACTCCAAAACATTCTCGGGAAGGGCCTCGGTCAGAAGGATAGTGATATACAACTTGGCAATGGCGTGTGGTGCAAGGCTGTCCGTAACCTGACGGGATCTGTTTTCTGACATTATTCCTTTTTAATGATTTTTGCGGGTATTTCAATGGCGTTAGCATGAGAAGGGCAGGCGCAATTATTCCCCCCGGGTTAGTGGTATGGGATTATTTTATGGGCTTTGGAATGGCGTTTACAGTGTTATATTCTAAGTTATATCTCATATCTCACTCATATTCAGGATACTTTTTGTTCTCTAGATGTCAAGGCTAGTTAGTGTATTTATCTGATCTCTATCTTGAGGCCAGAAGTCCGGATTCGAAGTACAATGTCGGCTCTAACATAGGATAACCCGAAATAGACACAGTAACATCCAATCTATTATACCACATCAAGTGGCATTCTATATCAACATTTGAAATGAATCTGAAGACCAAGATGGCTATACAAGAGAAGAGAGAAAGCACCTCGCTAACAACATCAAAACGTAAACAAAACCAACTCGACAACAACCTAAAACAATCCCAAAAATCCATTCGGCCCAATCGAATCCTCAGCCTGTCCCTGCCCCGATGCAGATCCCTGCCCTTGCCCCTGACCCTCAGGAACAAACCCATACCCAAGCCCCTGAGCATCATACCCTCCACTCCCATCCATGGCCATCAGCCCATCAACAGCAGGCGCACCATGAACATAAGACTCAGCCGATAAAATCGACATAGAGGGATCTAACCCACCACCACCAGCTCCAGCAATCTGCCCACCAACAGGGAACCCATACTCGGCTGGGAAAAGACCGGCAAAGAATGTTCCGCTGTGATCCCAATCCCCAGTCATGGGAACCTGGAAGAATTCCGGAATAGCGGAGTTCGTCGTTCCGGTTGGTGTACTGCTAGCGAAGGAGGAGGGGGAATTGGTATCTAGGTTTGTGAGGGTTGGACCTAGACCTTGACCTGGCTGTGATGGTGCTGTAGAGAAATCTTGCGAGAGTTGCCAGGATGGGATTGGCATTGGGGGGTTTGTGTATGCGCTGTCTCCGGCTTCGTAGAGGAATGTTCGATCTAGATATTCCGTTGTGTAGAGATTCGTGTTTGTGTTTGTGTTTGGGGTCTGGGTTTGGTTTTGTTGAAATTGAGATTGGGATTGGGATTGAGGAGTTCTCGTATCTGGACTCAATGGGACAACATAGCCGGAAGAGTTAACCGGTGGTAAGCCCTCGAGCGTTTCTGGGATACTGATATTCACATTCATTCTGTTTTCGTCCGTTGTTGAGAGACCCAGGTGTGTTGTATCGGAAGTCATGGAATTGCGGAGAGTAGTAGGCCGTCGACGTTTATGATGAGAAGTCGAGCTCGTGCGTTTCTTCGTTGTCGAAGTGGGCTCCTCCTTTTCTCTTTTCTCATCTTTCTCAACCGCTACTCGCGCGATGCGTTCGAGAGTAGCGCTCATGCGGGCCATGAAGCCTGCGTAATTTGATGCACCGTCGCCTGGGACGAGGGTTGCAAAGAATGTCGAGGCCATTGTTAGGGATTGGAGATCCGCGCGGACTTTTGGGTGTCGCAGGTCTCGGAGGATACTTGAGAATATTGTTGCGGCGCCTAGGAAGACGTAGTAGAGGAGGGACCTGGTTATTGAAGTCAGTAGTGGTTTGGTATAGAATGAGGTCGATATGGCATACCAAGTCCAGGCAATGTCTCCCCATGGCATATTATTAATGAGCTTTAAGGTATCGCGGGCAGCTTGTGCGCCAATGGATGCGGATTTGGAAGCACGTCTTATGCTGAGGGCCTCGAGTTCTTTTGACTCCTTGGATGTCTCTTTCGATGTTATTATGTAGTGAAGAAATAGAGGTATTCGATGGATCATGATCAAAGCATTGTAGTAGACGAAGTGAATACCGGCGGAGGCGAATCCTAACAGGAAGTCGGGTGCACCAGGTTTTAGCTTCGGCTCTGTAGTGACTGGATATTCACCTCTCCAGTTTTCAAGCTCTTTATGTAGCTCTTTGACTGTTTTGTAGATCTCCAGAGGAGGTCTCAATAATGCTTTGGCGGAGTATAGTCGACTGTAGATGCGGCCCTTGATAATTGACATTCGACAGAGCTGGCGGAAGAATGGGATGTTGCTTGCGCTTTCTTTGTCGCTTTCCAGCTCTTCTGGAAGAGGAACATCGAAATCGTCTGGATGTTGGGATGGAGCATTTCCAATTCTTAAGCAGGTACTGGAGACGATCTTAGCATAAGTAATGAGAATATTCAGCATCTTTCTCCTACCTTTGATCGACCACAAATGCAACCCAAAAGACACGCCGTCTTTCTTCCTGTTCAGCTGGACTGAGATCTGGTCTGGCAATATCACGATGTAATCCCATTCGTTGACCAGATCGCATAGCAGCAGTGATCAGCGGCAAAGCTGACTGTGTACCGCAATTTCCACGAAGGAAGAACGCCTTCGAAGCATTAGAGATAGGCAAATCAGGATTGGTCCACAGGTATACATACCATACTGAGCAAAGCCTGAACACTGAGCAAATCCGTGCGCTTCAAAGCCAATTCCGTGAAAACCGACATGGCATTCTTGAAATACCCACGAGCCTTCTCTCTGTCTTTTTCAGGCTTGGAGCTATTCGAAAATCGGTACTCATAAGCCAGACAAATGACCATATTAATGGCAGCCCAGCGAGCAGCGTCATCACAAGTCTGCTGGGTATATTGCCATTCAACCATTTTCATAAACTTGGACTCGAGGTAGATAGGAAACAGACAATTGGCAGTCTGAAAGAAATCTTTCATAAGAGAAAATACCTCCGATCTGGAGGGTAGAGGTTTGAAGACCTGCGAGGCAAACAGATCCTGAAAGACATCGGGTCGCCATTGATTCCACGGATTATCGTGGATGGAGTCTGGCGAAACTATTCGCAAGAAACTAACGTCGCCTGTTTTGCTTTTGATCCATTCGATGCCTGCCCGAGAGAGAATTGATAATGAGCAAGATTTGCCTGTTAAAGAGTTAGTCCTGGGTACTTTGGTTTTCTGTAAATAACAATATCTCACCAAAATACCGCGAATCATCTCTTTCATCTGCTCGGAAGATAGAAGTAACCTCTAAACCAGCACCTTTCCGACAAAGAGAACTCGGAGTCGGACTCGGAGCAGAGCATATATCCTGACTAGGAAGTTCATCATCCTCATCCTCAGAGAAATCATCATGACTCATATCCCCATCCTGCAAGATCCCAGCAGTCTTCAAGAGCGCCTCAACCCTGACAATACGCTCTTTCAAAGACTGCACATACTCATCACTAAGCCACACCAGTCAGCAAACTATGATACATCCACCCCAAAAAAGACCAAAAATGAAAGAAATACCTCTCCAAATCCTCCCCCATCTCAGGGAAGACACAGCGCGTACTCCTCCGCCGACACTGCAAACAAGCCCCAGACCCCTCAATCTCACATTTCGTCTTCTTCCGATGACACATCAGACAAGCCTAAACACGCAAAGAAGCCCTTAGAAAAGATACAACAAAGAAAGCCCAAACCCGCAATCAACCGGGCAATCAAAAGCAATTCATTGAATCCAACCAAAACAGAAAAAACAAGAACGAACTCACCCTAGAATTCGAAAACTGCTCCTTCATCTTCTCGTCCATTAACATCTCCGTCCCAGACCTAGACCCAGACATGGACATAGCCATGGCGTTCATTGCACTGGACATTGGTCTGGTGGGTGGCACTGGCACTGGCACTGGTGCATGGGCCGCCACTTGACGTTCATCGAAGTGCGCTCATATGCCAAGACTGGGTGAAATCCGCTTCCAGGGTCCGATAAAGCGGGAGATCGGGAAATCTGATAGATTCCTTCCTTCCTTCCTTTCTTTCTCTTTTTCTTCTGGACTTCTGGGCTGATGATTGGGTGGCGTGTTTGCCTGGGCAAGGTGAAAAGGCTGAATAATCCAGTCGGAAATCGGAGTTGCCGTTCCCCGTGTCCGTTTGATGTTCGGAGGTCGGAGTTTAGAATTCATTGTACAGAGTAGGGTTGAGGGTATTGTGTATGGTATATGATAGATAGGGTCAATAGTGACATTAGATATATTGATGGCATGGGATTTAATTCGACTAGTAGTGAGTTATGCTTATGCTCTTATGTTTTGTGATCCGGGCAGGCGCAATGCTCTGATATAAGCACGTTGTTGGTCGATAGTCCCCTAGCTCGAGTCAATTACCCTTCCCAGGGTTCTCAAAGGGAGTGATAAGCTTAATCCTATCCGAGCGTATCTAAATCGTAGGCTAAGACCTCCTTCTATACCGCTGTTATCACCCGGATATCGGGACCAGTCAGGATCCCGCTGACAAATGATCCCCGCAGATAATAAATGAATACAAGGACAGACGTGGTGTCCTACAGACTGAATCTGGGCCGTTGACTCAATTCACTCACCATGAGACCTACCGTAGGCATCGTCTCCATCGGTGAGATGGGCCTGGGCATGGCCCGACTCCTCAAAGCGCATGACTACCATGTGATGACCGTGGCCCAAGGACGAAGGTGAAGAGCACAGAGACAAACAGCGAGATGGACTAACAGCACCAGTGAGCACACCCTCGCGCGAATCAACTCGGCGGGCATCGAGATCCTCCCCTCGGACGAAGACCTAGTAATCCAAGCCGACTACATCCTCTCAATAGTACCGCCGAAAAACACCATGGCGACGGCGCAACGCATAGCCAAAGCGTATGCATACACCTCGCCACAGAACCAGACCAAAGAAGCGGCTCGGGAAGGCAGCCGACTGAAACGAAACGAACTATACTACCTCGAGCTGAACGCCGTTCCGGCGCGCATGGCCGCGGAGATGGCAAGCCTATTCGACGCCAAAGAAAATTCCGATCTCAAGATCTCGGACAAGTCGGACATTTCCGACCAGTCAGGCAAGTCCGGCTGCCACTTTCTCGATGGCGGCATCATAGGCGGGCCGCCGCAAAGCACGCAAGATGGGTGGACAAGGCCTAGCGTGGTGCTTTCGGGCGCTGTGGATATGCATCTGGCCCCTGCGTTCGAAGCACTGGCAGAAGTCTTGAATCTCCAGTTGGTCTCGGCGCAGCTTGGAGCGGCGAAAACGCTCAAGCTCTCCTTTAGTGCGCTGACCAAAGGCCTAACTGCCCTGTCGATTATGTCATTCTCCACGGTGCACAAGGTGTCGATGCTGCCACAGCTCTTGGCGTTGTTGGAGGAACAGTCTCCGCGAACGGCGGCTCTGGCGACTCATGGTGTTATTGGGATGAGTCCTAAGGCATATCGGTGGGAGGATGAGATGCGTGGGATTGGGGAGATGTTGGAGCGTGTGGGTGGGTGGGATGTCGGCGGGTCGGCTTATGGAGGGATTGCGGCGGTGTATCGGACTATTGCGGAGGATACAATACTAGGGCAGGAACGAGTTGAACATCGTGTCCGCGGTGTGACGGTTGACGATGCCGCTCGGATCATTGCTTCACGGGCCAGTATGTCATAGGGGGGATGATCTGTCGGGGAGTCCAGTGTAGAAATGCCAAGCCACTCGGGGTTGGTAACGGGTCCGCGTCATCTTGTAAACCGGTGGAGCTGCGAACGAGAAGAGAGTGGAGAGAGCATGGGGAGAGAGCCCCTATTGACGAATATAGCTTCATTTCTACATGTCTTCTACACCTGTCCACTCTGCTCTACTTACTCTAGTCTATATAAGATTCTATACTATTCACCCTATTCCTGATCACCATACACTCTACCTCGGCCAAAGCGGTGAATCTCCAGCGAACCACAGGCCGCGATCACGACATTTCTCCATTCTATCAGATCATCGACTAGGGCCATCGTGCCTTCCCCTTTCCGTTTCACTTCGTCTATGATTCGTGGCTGCAACACTTTGTCCCGCATAGCATGAGGTTGAATTAAGTGATTGTGGCCGAGAACTTTCATCTCCGAAGCATTTCCCAGCTCTTTGCTCTTACCTGATGGGACTGGGGCTACGTACTACTCGGCCCCGGATTTATTATTATTTCCTTGTTACAAGTCCTCTGATTGCCTCACTTCCCGTCCCCTCTTAATCCTCAAGGTCAAAGGCATTCTATTTTCCTTCTGACTTCTCCTCCCCTCATCTTTCAACATGCCGGGGGAACCAAGTGGCTTTGACAAGGTGGACAACTTCAATTTCTTGATGTCGCGCCACGATCCCGCAGCCAAGACTCGTCACTATTCTTTTGATGCTGATACTGGGCTGGTCCCGTTTGGCAATGTGAGCATGGATTACGATCAGACCGAGGGCATGGGCGGCCTCTCCGTCAGCTCCTACGATAGTATAGACGATGACCGCAGTTCTCTCGATCTCCGGGGGTATCCCTATCACGGTACGTTCAAGCTTTGACTTGCCAAACGTTGCAGTTGTTACGCCATATGCAATGGCTGAAATTTGAACTTGGCTTGACCTCTCATTTCTCATGTCCTTTCTGCATGTCTGTCCAATGTATTGGGCTACCGAACAGTCGGTCCAGCTGTTCCTTTGCTCTTTCTACCATTTCCCCATTCACTCTGGACCCCATGCAATATACCACAGGGCAGGGTCTGGAGAGATCACCGTCGGTGTTCCTCAATAGCGAGCACGCAATCCCGCAAGCATATGACCATCACTCTGACCTGTCTTAACTGTTCAATCGTTTTTCCCTCCACTTATACATCATGCATACCCTCAATGGGGCTTCCTTGGGGACACCTGCTTACTCCCTCTACAGCTCCCGGCGAGAAAAACATCAACTACGGCCTCCCTGAGCATATGATGCCCTACTCAGCGCATTCCATCTACCCCCCAGTGCCATTTGCGCCCGACGAACTGGGCCATGCACCGGGGGCTCTCACTCCATCGGACGTCTCATCGTCCATCTCCCCGCCCAACGGCCAGATGGGCAACACCAAGTACAGCACCTCTATCTCCGGGGACCGTATCGCCGCCGCCCTCGACCAAGAAGAGGGCGTCCGTGGTGCAGCAGAAGAGGACCGCCGCCGCCGCAATACTGCCGCCAGTGCTCGCTTCCGCATGAAAAAGAAGCAGCGCGAACAGGTCCTCGAACGGACCGTCCGCGAAACCACCGAGAAGAACGCTTCTCTCGAGGCTCGTGTCGCCCAGCTCGAGATGGAAAATCGTTGGTTGAAGAACCTCCTCACGGAGAAACACGATGCCGGCTCCCGCCCGCCTCCACCCAAGGATAGCTCGGCTCTCGATCAACCTCCTATCAACTCCAGGCAAAAACATATCCAGCCCAAAAAGAAGGGTGTCGGCACGGAGGAGTGAGCACTAAATTGAAGTTGTGCTTTATTCTATCGTTTTGCCTTGTGTATCATCTCAGCCGCGGACCTCCAGACGTCCGCCGAATCAGCATTTCCATTTCCATTCCTGTTTTCCTGTCCGTTCTACTCATTTTGCTATGTTGTCTGCTGTCCTCCATCTCACCTACCATCTTCAGCTAGGCTACAAAGGTGACGATGGAAAGGACTGAGCGAAAGCAGACTAAATGACGATGTCACGACCCTTCTCTTCTTTCGTTTTGCCAGCGCGTGGTCATCCCGACCGTGGCTTTGTCGACTCCTAGGGATGGTCTTTGCTCCGCACTTTCAGATCTGCCATTTTCCTTTGATCCACTCCCTCCTCTCCATCCTCAGGGCTCATACTATTATCTCCTGCCCGTTCTACCTCCTCTACTCTACCTACTATACTACACTCTACTCTCTACTCTTTCCACCTTTCATACTCCATCAGATCGTGTGTGTGCAGCGAAGGCTTGCTTTATTTTGCATTTCGCTTTGTCCCTTTTTCTACTGGAAAGGGCGGATGAGTTGGCGGGTGGTGTTGGGGACCCGACTCGGGGAAGTCGAATATTCATGCTATTTGACTATTATTTCTTGTTTTCGGTTTTGGATTACTATAACGTTCCCTTTGATTTGACTTGCTCTGCTATCTGATATTGATATATGTTATATGGGATTTGGTTTTACAGTACTCGCTTTACCTCTTGCTTGGATTTATACAGCTATACAATACAGCTACACCTTACTATCGCTTTTATTCTCTTTTGATATATGGAATTGGGACCTGAGGATTGAGCTGGATTGTCGTTTTCCAGAAGTATACCGTATAGTGTAGTGTGACGAACTGGATCGACGTCACATAAACACGCAAGGCCGCCTCCCTGTGACGTGCTCCATCTCGACGAATTGCCTCATGTAGGAAAGCTGTCACTGGTCGACGTTGAGGATGATCGGTGGACTATCTTGGCCTGGGGTAAGGGTCTTTCTCCACAGTGCACTGTTCAATTCACACGGATATTGCCACATATGATGCATGCACATGTACATTTACAGTACAGCTACATATACTACATTAAATCAAGAGTGAAAGCATATATCAATCTAAGAAATCCATTAAAACACCATTTAATTACCCAGAATCAAATTAACATATCATAACGGGATCCCAACCAAACAAAAATCCAAAAAAAAAAACAAGAACAAGAACAATCCAACGTAAGATGGTATTACATTGATTAGAGGAAGGGAAAGGAAAAGAGCACACGGCAAAAACAGACATGAAACCCCTTGAAAATCCGATTCTCGGGTGAACAGACACAGGAACCAAGTTTCCTGGACCTGACCCACATCCCAGCACGATCCTCGCATTTAGATCTGTGGAAAGGCCCTTGGAAAGGCCCTTGGAAAGACCCTTGGAAAGACCCTTGGAAAGGAGAGAGAATTATATCATGCGGACAAAGGTCCATTGCGTGATTTTGGTTCCTCTGCCTTGCGGAAATCCATGAATTAAACCCGGGAAAGCACAAAATCGTATATCGAACGAGGCGGAATTTTTGACAGAGAAGTGGAAGGAGAGAATGAGAGAATCAGAGTAAAGGAGAGACAGAGAAAGACAGGGTGAAGTACTCCCTCCCCTTCATTTAGGAGAAGAGAGACCTCTTCCTACCTTGGTTTCTCGATTAATCCCTTAAGCAGCGATGGGCTCGCGCTCGTCCTCACGGCCACGGGCCTCACCGTCAATGGTGCTGACGCCATCCTCGCCATCCTCATAACTGGGGTGCTGGTCAGCAGGGAGCCAAGAGTCGCGGTCTCCAGTCAAAGGCTGGTCCTGCGAAGAGAGGTCGACGCCCTCGCGGTTCTTGTCGAGGTTGCTGCGGTGGCGCTGGGAAAGAGTGCGCGAGCGCGTGGACAGGCTGGATTTGACGACAGCCTTGGAGCTGACCCAGTTGCTGAGGGCGTCCTCGCAGTCTTGGATGATGGCCTTGCTGGCGTCGTACCCATCGTAGGCGTGGCGGGTCTCGCCGGGGGTGACGGGGGTGTCGTCGATCAAGTCCAGGAGATGCTTTCCGTAGCCGGCGACGATGGCGACCTTCTCGCAGTGCTCGCGGAGGGCATCGAACTGGTACTGGAAGGCGGCCTTGACCTTCTCGCGGGTGATGTTGGACAGCTGGGCCTCGGCGACGAGGGACTCGGCTTCGGCGCGGACAAGCTCCTGCTCCAGGACGACGATGCGAGGGGAGTTGGGGTCCTTGTACTTCAGCTTGGCGATCTCGTCCGTGATCTTTTGTTTGCCTGGGGATGTGTTAGTTGTGGTTGGGGTGGGTACGTGGGGCTCTTACGGTCTCGGCTGGGCTGTACGGATGCCTCGATGTTACGGATGCTCTTGATGGTGACTCGGTATTGGTCGTAGCGGTCGACGAACATGTCCTCCAGTTCGCCGATCTCGTAGATCAGCACTCCGAGCTTGTCCGTGACATCCGACACATCCTCATCGCAGGCTTCACCCCAGATGGAGAGTTGTTGCTACAGCGACTGATTAGCTTCCAAGTTTCATGTTGTTGGGCGATTTCCTCAGAAACAGAACATACAGCGACCTCCATGCGCTCCCGGGCGACGAGCTCCATGCTGCGCATGACGTTCTTCTCCATCTTGACGAGCTGCGACAGCTTCTTGGCGAGGTCGGGGCCGAAGGCACCAGCGGCGTTCTTACGGAAGGCATGTCCTGCAACCTGTCAGCGAACTAATTTCCTTTATAGCGATTGGCGTTGTGTCGACTGGTGATCGCGATCTCGCTGGCCACGTTGGGCCGGGGTCGAGGAATGAGGATCGGTGCCCGATTAGGCAGCCTCGAACTCCCACCCTCGAAATCGCCATCGACAATCGTATCGCATGGCACTCACCGATGCCGCCTTTCCCTAGCCATCTGCCGGTCTTGGTTGTGGACACTGGTGGTGGTGGGCTCTCGATCTGCGACGCGGTCGGGACGCGCGACTGGCGCATGGAATAGGTACGATGCATGGTGATAGATAGGGGTGAGAGAAGAGAGGAGAAGAGGATTCAAGGTTCCTGAGAGAAATCAATGAGAAAAAGAGTTTTCCAGTGCCTTGCGCAGTAGTGACGTGTGGTAAGAAGAGGGGGTGGATGAGAGTAGGAGTCAACACGTACTTGAAGCGGGATGCGACGGAAGATATGAACTGCAACCGGATCGACACAGGGGAAAAAAATAGCTTGACAGCTGTGGGTTCGTGGGTTTTCTGCAGGAAGAAGTTCTCCTGAGGGGGAGCTTTTCGGTGACGTCGACAATTCTGCCCAGCAACGAGAAGCAAGGCAAATTCAACTGGAGACCGGGATTGGCGGATCTCAGCCTCTCAAAGGTTAAAGGCACACTAGAGACACGACTATTAACAATTTGGCAGCCAAGAGCCAATCGTGTTCGATCGAGTCAAGTTGCATTTTTCAGTTTCTCACGATCGCCGACGTCATCGATTTGCTGATGTCACCCTCGTGACTCGTACCTGCGCAAACTCTGTCATTGGGCTGTTTGTGGCGTTGCATGAGCATCATTGACTATTCCTTACATTATAACATTCTACAGTCTGCATGTATTGCCCTGGCCTGAGGTGCCTGTCCAACTGCTTAGGTGGAGCTGGAGCTTGAGCTTGAAGCTTGGTACGCTAATCAGCCACAAACCCCTTCGTCGGGACTACAGCAAGATTTCTATCTTCTTTTCTAGGGCTAAAGTGCTATAATAGTCGTGGCCCAACTAGCCACGACTAGTCGTTCTATTTCTCATAAGAAGATTTTTATCCAAAGGTGTAGAGCACCGTACAGCAATGTAACACCTGCCTCTGCAGTCCCACAGTTCCACTGATCGCTATGATCGCTATGATCGCCTGGAACGCCTGTTCGTGGGGAACCATGTGGCCCAGTCATATTTCGAACCAGTCTAGAAGCCATCAGCATACCAGTCTACATCAATGCATACAACTCTTGAATTTGATCACAGGAACTGCTGTGGATATCGACTGAAAAAGAGGCTGAGAAGCAAAATACAGTAAGATAATAATTATACAGTGTGGCTTGATTTATCTTTGTTACGAAGAATGTTTCTATTGAAGTAGTCCCAGCTTATGACTTTGCACGAGTCTTTCGCTTCTTACTCGTTCCAGTATTGGCCTGGGCGGCTGATGCTCCCCGTTTGGTCTTCTTTGGCGAACCAGAACCGGAGGCTTCTTCACTATTGTCTTCTGTGGCTGGTGGTTGGTCAGGCGAGACCTGACCACGTTGAGCCTCTTGCCGCAGTCGACCAAACGCCTTTTCCATGCGGCTGGGCCCGCCTCGAACACGAGGCGCAAAGGCACCTACACCCTGTGGGCCTGTCATGAATTGTGTGATGTTGGACTGTGTGCCCTCCTGGTCTCGACGATTCATATCGCGAATGACCGGGACGAGAACCTCATCCGTACGCTCTTGGCTCCAACCGATGGTTGACATGAGGAAGTGTCTCAGACCGTTCAAGTCGGGGACACCCCATTGGAATTGTGAGGGGTCGGCGTCAACCTCAGGTTCCAGATAGGCCGTGTCAACTCGAGTATCAGGGAATGAGGGCGGCAGGAAAATCTTGGATGCCTTCTTCCGGAACTTCTTCCGGAAAGCGAGATGGACGTCGTCAGATTTATTTGCGCCCATTTGCACTTCTGTCCACCAATCGCGGAATTCTTCGAGGTTCGAGAACTCAGTGATGATCTCCAGGGCTGTGACAGGACCAATGCCAGGGATTCCCTCGGTGTAATCACTGCCTAACAGATGAGCAAAGCTGATGAGCTTCCGTCGATGAAGGGCATATTCCTTTTCAAAGTCTGATGCTAGGTAGCACTCCACGAATTTGCTTTGATTAAACATGTTCTTGTAGACTCGCGTTCCACCGAAAAGGAAGATATCACTATCATCTGTGACAATGCCATCAACAAGGCCTAGTGAGACCAATTCAGCGCACTGCGCCTCAGCTTCCATCGGGGCAGTGATGTAGGGCAACCCAAAGAGAGTCAACAGCTGCTGACATTCATTGATCATGATGGTCGTTACCTCATCAGCGTCACGACGTTCATTTCTCTGTTGGTTTCGTAGCTGTTTCAGTTCTTGCTCGTAATCAAAGGCATCTTGGATAGGCACTGCGTTATTTAGAGTATGGGTGAACCGAGCATGTTCTTCACCTTCGGCTGCAAGCTGTTTGAAAAGATCTTCGTCTTCTGGGTCGCTATAATCGCCTTGATCTTGACCAAACGCTTGTGGTTGCTCGGCATCGTCGAAAAGCTGGGGCTGAGGTTCGGGCTCGTGGGACACGACAGTGATCTCAGGACCATTCGTAGGGGGCTGAGGAATCACATCCTCGAATTCAGGCGATGGAGAGTGTTCACTACGGGGCGAGATCTCTGTGGACATTGCTTCAGGTATGGGCCAAGGTTCATGTTCTTGTTCTTCGGTGGTCTCACGTGGCATCTCAACATCTTTCGTATCAATTTGGGTTGGTTCATTGGACGGCTTGTCGTCAACATCACGGTAAAGCTGTTCAATTTGCTCATCAGAAATTGGCTCGAGCTTTTTGTCTTCAAGGTCGAGTTTCCTCTCCGAGCCCTCTAGAACAACAATTTCCTTGGTGTCGGACATTTGATCGACATCAATGATCTCTGGCGAGCGACGGTTTGAAAGAAACATATGATCTGGTGCCGCCGATTTCTCTTCTTCTTTCGGGTCTTCAATTGGATCAACGATAAATTCTTGGTTCGTGCGCTCGCCAACGAACCAAGGAGGGAGCGGGTCTGCCTGTTTAGGCTTTTTCGTGGAATCCTTCACGAAGCCACCTGCGTTCTCATCGGCCTCACTAGCTTTGCCATGATCCTTTGCTGCTTTAGTGAGCTTGATAGACTCAAATGGGAGAGGCCCGCCGAATGGATTAGACGACTGCGGAGCCTTTTTTGTGACCTTGGTTTTGGCGACAGCAGCCGCAAAGTCCATTCCATCGTCGCTCTCGGAGTCGGGGTCTGGCATCATCATATCATGAGAAGGAGCTGCCTCTGCAGGTCGATTGATAAATATTTCCGGCACGGTTTCATCATGGTCTATATTCGGTTGCAACGAAAGGGCAATGGCTTGTTCAAGACCATCATCTTCTTTGCCGTTGAAATAGTCATCGGTGTCGTTGTTTTGCTGCTGGGCACCAATATTTCCGTCTGTTTCGACAAACAGCGAGTCATCATCGACAGCTTGAATTTGACGATCGGTTGCCGGCCGTCGCTGTGCAGTCTGTCGCGATTGTGCTATAGCTCTTTGCATGTCAAAATTTTCGTCATCTTGAAGTTGAAGTGACTGATCAAATACACCATCTTGAAGGAAAGGAAGCTTAGGGAGTCGATTCAGACCCTCAATTGGCACATCCTCGAAGTCTTCGTCCTCCGACACCTCATCCTCATCCGACAATATTTCAGGCCGATCGAGATCGATGGGTTTCTCTTCGTCGCCCTCTTTATTTCCAACAACACCAAGCACCCAGCCACCCTCGTGGTCGCGATCCTTAACAAGCACATATTCTCTACCGCGTTCTCCTGCAATTCGTTGCCCAGAGTTATAGAATGCTTCTTCTCCGTTCATACCGTTTATGTTCATTAATCGTTGGGTAAGATCATTGCGCTCCGCGACGCGGTCGATCTGGAATCTTGAGAATGCCATGCGATCAGGAAACATGGTATCTAGCTGCTCTTTGGAGTAGCCCATACGCAGGCGACTTCTTAGTCTTGCTGCGTTTAAGATGTTGTATCGATCAGTCGCGGGCAAACTGAGAAAGAATGAACTGTCGAAGTCGATCTTGGAGAAATCATAGAGATTGATATCTTGACCCTGATGGAAATGTCTGGCATATTCCTCCAGCTCTTCTTGTGACATGATGCGCGGGTCATTTGGTGCGCCCATATCCTGGAACGAAACGTCCAGGTTTGGTAAGTGGTAGGCATCTTTTTTCTTGAAACGTCGAGTTTGTTGTCTTTCTTTCTCAGTCATGAATGCCTCATCTGCATAGACCGGAGCCTCCGTCACCTCTTCCTCTTCTTGTCTCTGGTTCTTATTGCGCCGGCGAGTCTCTTCTTCCTCCGCACTGCGTTGCATTTGTACCGCGAGCAATTTTCCTGCGGTCTTCACCGCATCTTCTCTGTGGCCTTCGCGTCTTTTCTTTCGACCCGCGATTGTCTGTCTCTTCATGATCGGCGCCCCGCCATCGAAGACGAAGACAGGTTGGATGCCGAAATACAAGAGCTTACATATCCGACGAAAAAACCCGACAATGTGGGAGTTCCGGAGCGCATTTCCTTCTTTGTCTCGCACTGCTTTTAAGAACTGGTAGATCCAGATTGACGCGTCGACCGCAAGTCGTCTCTTGTTGAGCGTCTCGAGTTTGATAGGACGAGCGCAGGGCTGCACAACCGTCCAAAGGCCGGTGACACCCATCGCAGGTCAGAAAGATGTGATATCATGAATCGGTGGGAGGGTAGGGCTGCATTATACGCCGAATCCACAGATAGTGAGCCGCGTGCTCACAAGTGGAATGCAAAACAGGACTCGACCAGTGACGTCCGCAGGTGAGAGTCAAGCGTCATTTAACACCTCAGGCAGAAACACAGTCGCGAGATCACGTGTACAATATCACCATATCTGGCTAGCGTGTAATATTAGGTAATCTCATTGGAGATCGAAAAAGTAGTGGGCTTTTTTGGTTTGGTGGGATGTACTCTTGATCGGAGATAACAATTGAGACTGTCTGTGGTGAATTGCTCCTCTACCTCATGTGTGTAGAGGTAGACAAAAATGTCCCTCTCTCTCCAGGTAAGTGCTGCTGTGGTATATGTGCATGCTATCCCGCTGACTCGAACCTATAGCATATTGATACTTGCGTTCCGGTGGCAGCATTAAAGGCGTTTGGCTGGAACGATAGAAGATTCGTCTTTGAAGGCCAAGGCCTTTACTTCCGTGTTATTGACGATGCCACTGGTGTTGTCTCTGCGCAAATTCAGGCTTTCAAAAGAAACAATGTCCATGGATTTATTACTCTAAACCAACGGTCAACCGACCATGGCACAGGTCACATTCAAATGATCGTTTGGGGTGGGCGCTCAGTACGAGCCATTGATTTGTTCATGGGACCTGGTACTGAAGTTTCCTTGTCAACCTCCAGTGCCGAGTTCTATGCCCCGGACTGGATCATGAGCGGATGTGCCTCTGCTGAGAATGGTCACCATGGAGCGTTCATGATTACTGCAAATAATGCCATCATTGGGTTGGAGCTACGTAACAGAGAGGACTCGAAAAGGGAGACAATCATCTCCATACACCAGCTGGCGACGAGTGTAAAGTCAATCCTTTACTCTGCCCATGTGATTGCGCTCTCCCCTTTTCACGTCCTCATGGCGTCCGGAACTGTATTTGGAGAAATTATCGTTTGGTCTTGTTTCTTGAATGGCAGTGGAATAAGCCAGGTCAATGCCGTTGCTTCCATCCACCATTTCTTCACAGGACACGACGGCTCGATCTTTGATGTTCGAATCTCTCCCCAAATTGTATCCTTGAACGCAGGGCAGTCTGGTCGACTTTTAGCCAGTTGCAGTGATGACAGGACCGTGAGAATCTGGGATATCTCAGATTGCGAGCGGAAAACCGCACAGGATCCTTCCGCATATTCTACAGACGGGTATGATCTGCGAAGCACAGGCTTTGGTCTTGTTGAAGAAGGCGAGAAAGGCGTTGGATCCGAATCCTGCGTCGTTCAGGCATTCGGACACATAGCCCGCATTTGGGGAGTCCATTTCAGATCCATTCAACACGATGATCAAACTGGAGTGGGGCTCGTATCTCGTGGTGAAGATTCTACATGCATTATGTGGGATCTGACCTGGCAATCAATATCCGGCGGATCAACGCAATATAATCTCAACCAAACTTCCTCGTTGCATCCCCATTATGGCAAACATATCTGGTCCTTAGATCTCTGCAGGCTTGGTTCTGAAACCATTGTTTACACTGGAGGTGCCGATGGTGCGTTGAAAAGCTTCTCCATCGAAGAAAACGACGATCGATTCCAGGACATTCACACTTTTCCCGTTGACCAACCTTCTTCGTTGCAAAAGAGGCCCCACAAAAGTCAGGGATTGAAAGCATCTGCCTTTGTCTCTCACGACTGCCTGCTTGGGTGTTCTGCACAAGGTCAAGTCCAACTTGGATATTTGAACGGCATGGAGACAAACATTACTTGGAAGGAGTTATGCATCCAGCCTGAGCTGGCTTCTTGGGTGTTGATGACTAGTGAGCCTCGCAAAGGCCTAGCATTAATCAGCAATGCCCGAGGACTAATTCGATTGTACAACCACAGCACAAAATCGATTGTTGAAATCACAGAACTTGGCACACGGCCTCTCAATATGTTCTTCCTTGAAGCCCAGGCACCGGAAACAGAAACCTCAGACCCATTCAAGGGCTTTACGTTCTTGGTCTGTTATACGGCAGAGGAGAAGATTACGCTTGTCACAGTCTCCGATAGGAACAGCAATTGTCCAAATGTCCAAACATCTACGATCGGCGTACCGCCTTCATTCGTGGCGGCCAGTGCAGCTCTAGTCTTTAATGGTCAATACTTGGCTGTCGGCTCCAAGGGCGGCGGACTTGGCATATTTGAAACATTCAATGCTGACATAGGTTCGTGGCCAGTGTTTTTTGATCGACGTGTTCATGGCAAGGATTTTGTCAATCACCTGAGCCTAATTTCATCTGTTGCTGGAGCGAACGGTTCAAGGGTTGAATACTTATTAAGCTGCGGTCGTGATGGCACATATTGCGTTCACGAACTCGAGCTGCGCGAAGACAGAGAACAGGCAGTCTCAATGCAAACAGTGCATCGCACCGCATCTCTGGTTGGAGGTAATATCGAAGGGGGCTATTTCGACAAAACGACCGGCCATTTCATGTTGTATGGCTTCAGATCTCAAGACTTCGTCCTCCGCAACGAGTCTAAGTTGACAGATGTTGTGACGGTTGCTTCTGGTGGTTTCCGTCGAGCCTGGGCTTTCCACCCAGGAACCAAGGATAGTGATGCTTTGTTCACATGGAGAGACCAGGGTGCATTGCAGACCACCCGTATACGCCATGACGCCCGCTGCTTGTTGAGAGCTGGGGCTCATGGACGAGAACTTAAATCAGTCGACGTTTGCAACCCCATCGGGGGGAGGTCAGCCTCTGCTTGCCACAGGCGCAGAGGACACTACCGTTCGTCTCTTCAAATCGGCCCCTTCAACGACTGCTACTTCAAGGACTGCCTTTGAGTGCCTGCGTGTCTTGGATACACACAGATCTGGTATTCAGCAAGTGACCTGGTCCAAGGATGGAAGATACTTGTTTACCAGTGCTGCATATGAGGAGTTCTTTGTCTGGAGAATTAGGGAAGTTCCCTCGTTCGGAATCGCCACAAAGTTAATTGCGGCCAGCCCCAAAGAGGATGCAGACTCAGATCTCCGGATTCCTAGTTTCGATATACTAGAAGTAGAAGATTACGATGGGAAACAGAGCTTCATTGTGTGCCTTGCTCTAGCGAACTCCACTCTCAAGGTATGCCAATCATATCTCCTCAACTTGTTGTTGCATAAATGCTAACGTCGTGATAGATCTTCCACTTCTCGCCATCTAATGAGGGCAGCTTCACCCTTCTGGCTTCTGGGCGATACACGACGAACTGTTTGACCCAAGCACACTTCTTGGTGAAAGACTCGTCCGTGAGCCTTATCACTGCAGCCACTGATGGCCACTTCACGTTCTGGGATTTGACCAGCACCCTCGAGCCATTCTACACGATCACTCAGTCAAGCTTGAAGGCCAAAAAGCCGCTCGATGGCTTCTCTTTCTCACCGGAAAGCATCACATGCGAGAGCCGATATCAGATTCATTCCAACAGCATCAAGGCGCTGGAACTAGTTCCAATTTCCGAAACGAACACTGTTATCGTGGCTGGAGGCGATGACAACTCAATCTCTGTCTCTCTTCTCACGACGCCGTCTGGTTCAGGCGTTAGTGCGCAGGTTACCACGGTGTCCATTCCCGACGCGCACGCAGCAGCAGTGACCGCAGTAAAGGTGCTTAGCCAGCATGTGTCTCGGGATGTTGCCTCCAACATCCAATCTGCAAAGATTACTGTCGCATCCTCTGGAAACGATCACCGAGTCAAGGTTTGGGCGATCACCGTGGACCCCACACAGCTTGGCACGCAGGGGATCACACTCGAATTCTTACTGGACAGATACAGCTCTGTGGCCGATATATCGTCATTGGGGCTTATTCATGGATCTGGACGTGACCCCTCTGCTGAATCTGATGTTTCTGCTTTGAAAGAGAATCAAGCGAAGCTGGTGGTAGGCGGGGTTGGCATGGAGATGTTTGGTGTCAAGTTGTAACGAACTCGACTTGCATTATGACGACGTGATGTTTGATGTACATAAACTTCAATGGCACATATTAAAGCTGATAATCCGAGAGAATAAAAAACAAGGACGTTGACGTATCCCCTAGCTGCATAATATCGACTAGCCCGTGTCTAAAGAGGCAAGGTCGTCCCCGCAAAAACAACCGGATGAATGGGCAGCATTGCATTCGCTTTCCAATCTTTTCGCGAGGTCTACTCTTCATGTTCTGCAGAATTGTCCCCTTGCTAGTGCCGACCCCGCAGTCCAAAGCATTTCATGCAATCCAACTGGCTAACTCTGGCGATGGGGCCGTGATTCGGAGCGACACCGATCGAGACTTGAGGAAAATTAGAGACCGGCCACATCATTGCCAGGGTCTGCATGTTACAATTGAAATTTGAGTGAAGTCCCAAAAGAAAACGGGAACAATGATTGAGTACATAAGGGAAGAGCTATGGAGCAAAGTACACTGGACCTCGCCATATTTTCTTTCTTTTCTAGTACACAGATCACTTATTCAACCTCATGAAGCATCTTTCTAGTATAATAGCGGGTGTCGGCATAGTTGCCGCAGGGCCTTTGCAGCATCGAGCCACACAGACTTATTTCTTTACCTTGTAAGAGATCAAGGGCATTCTGCACCTGAGGAAAGAAGCTGACTGGAGAGTATAGTGGAGATTCCTATACCCAAAGCAACTTTGATGTCAATGGCACACAGCCCTCTTCTTCAAATCCCATGGGGAATCCAAATATAGGTAGTTCATGTTCACTAGAATCAACCTCGGCTCCAGTGCTCGTCTAATATTTTGCAGGGACCGGCACATCAAGCGGTGGGCTCAATTGGGTTGAATATTTGACCACAGTTGACAACGCCTCGCTGGTACTCAGCTACAATCTCGCTATTGGAGGAGCGACAATCGACAATCGAATCGTCAGTGCCCCGTACACGGATATGACAACGCAGCTTGGTTACTTTGAAGCTTCGTACAGTCAGAGACCAGCATCTGCGCCGTGGTCTGCTAGTGATACAGTCTTTGGATTTTGGATTGGAATCAATGAGTATGATACCCAAGCGTCTATCACTGTCCATACTAACATGAATCTGCAGCATTGGCTCGGCCTATTCAAGCAATGACGCCAGCGTCTTGGTTCCCAAACTCATGGCGCAGTACGAATCTCTCGTTGGAGAAATATACGCGAACGGTGGTCGGAAGTTCTTGTTCCTCAATGTTCCTCCCACCAGCCGAAGCCCGCTGTTCCTTGATCAGGGGACGGACGTGGTGAACGCTCATGCTGCGTGGGTGACGGCGTACAACAAAGGCCTCCAATCGATGATCAAGAGCTTCAAGTCAAATCACAGTGGCGTGAGTTTGTTCACTTCTACAGAAATACTTTCCAGACCTAACCAACGGCAGACCACCACCGTCCTTTACGATACCTGGAGCTTCATGACAAAGGTCCTTGACAGTCCTCAGAAGTATGGATACCCGAATGCCACCTGCATCAATGAAGATGGCACTTCTTGTGTCTGGTACAATAACTACCACCCGGGCTACAAGTATCACCAGCTGCAAGCGGCGGATATGAAACAATACCTCAAGACTTTCGGTGCGTGGTAGACGAGTAGTGGATCCGTGAGAAGTATTAGAAGGCCATGGACAATCACTGATGTCAAGTTTCAAATTGACATAAGCTGTGATGTTTCATGCAGAGCGATCATTTCTTCTTCGAGTATCAGGTATTCCAATTGGGCTGGTCCCAGTTTCAGCTACAGTCAATCAATTACCGACAGTGTCCACGTCCTTTATCCCCACATTGGTTTCTACAGTATGGTATATTCTCCCGCCTAGTATTAGATCTCTTATTCAAATGTAAATAAACTACGAGTGATGGTGTCGAGTCTATTGTTGTAATGCCCGTGCACGTCAGACTATAACGTCGATCTATGCCTCAAACGCCACGGGCTTGCTGGGCATTCGTTCACACCAACAAAACAATTCAGCCAAAAGCCACCTATGCCTGACGAAAGCTTGATGGAGTGGGGTATATGGGGTGGGAGTCGTTTCCTGTACACTGATGTTCTGTCCGGTTTGAAGACACGGCACATACTTGGCTCCGTTTCGCAATTGTAGAGAGCCAAGAAGATCACCAGGGCCAGACCTGGAATCTATCGTCTCTCTTTGGTGGGGAATTTCGGCTACTCGACGCTGCAATGTCAAACGTTTCTTTATACTCCACTCCCTAGTTGTCAACCCCGACTTGGTCTCGGAAATTAGAGAAATCTGGTTACTCCGTGTCCTTTCTGACATTAGCATTGTGTAGTCTAGCTCATCAATGATTAAACGACCTAGAAGCTCTGGATATGACTATAAAGCGCCCCGTTCTCGGTGTTTAGACGTAGCAGCTGGTCTGGTTTTACCTACTCTCTCTTTCAATCTTTAACGTCCCTTGCTCTCGCTATCCTTTCTTTAGCTTTTTGAGAAATCGATTTGCTATCAATCTCTGTATCAATATGAAGTTCACCAGCATTGCTCTCCTCGCTGCCGCGGCTGGATCCGCGGCTGCAGCCCCAACCAAGAGCCATGCAAAGCGAGCTTCGCCATTCAAATGTTTGACCATCTGAGCCTAGCGATCTCTTAGAATGCTGCTCGCTAATACTACTGAACAGGGTTTGGAGCAAGCGAGTCCGGTGCCGAATTTGGAGAGGGAAACCTTCCCGGTGTCTATGTGTGTTGACTCTGGATGGGACTACGCAGATCTCAACTGACAAAGAACACAGGGAACTGACTACATCTTCCCCGACACCAATGCTATCCAAACATTGAAAGGAAAGGGCATGAACATCTTCCGGGTGCCTTTCTTGATGGAGCGTTTGGTGCCAGACTCCCTGGCTGGGTCGTTCGACAGTGCCTATCTGGCCAATCTGACTTCGGTGGGTTATCCCATATCGCGAACGCATAGTAAAGAGGCCATTGAATGCTAAACACTTACAGGTCGTCAAATCTATCACCGATTCGGGAGCCCATGCCGTCCTTGATCCGCACAACTATGGCAGATAGTAAGTGACCTTTAGATACCACTACCCCCAGCAAGTTGAAGCTAATGAGAATGTTATAGCAACGGCAACATCATCTCAAGCACCGACAACTTCAAGACCTTCTGGCAAAATGTCGCCGGCGAGTTCGCATCGAATGACCTAGTCATCTTCGACACAAGTTCGTACCCCCTACTGTCCCCCAAGTGTGTGGTTTCCCAGGCGACTAACCCATCCATAGACAACGAATACCACGACATGGATCAAACCCTAGTGTTAAACCTAAACCAAGCCGCCATAAATGGCATCCGCGCCGCAGGAGCAACAAGCCAATACATCTTTGTGGAAGGAAACAGCTATACAGGCGCCTGGACCTGGACCGACGTGAACGATAACCTCAAGGACCTGACCGATCCCCAAGACAAAATTGTCTATGAGATGCACCAGTACCTCGACTCCGATGGATCGGGAACAAGCGAGACCTGCGTGTCGACTACCATTGGAAAGGAGCGCGTGACTGATGCCACGCAGTGGTTGAAGGATAACAATAAGGTCGGCGTTCTTGGTGAATTTGCTGGAGGTGTGAATGATCAGTGTAAGACTGCTGTTACTGGTATGCTTGATTATATGGGTGAGAACTCTGGTGTTTGGATGGGTGCTTTGTGGTGGGCTGCTGGGCCTTGGTGGGGGGATTATATCTTTAGTTTGGAGCCTACTAGTGGAACGGCTTATACTGGGATGATGTCGACTTTGGAGCCGTATTTGGTCTGAGATCTGATGGTCGTGGTGGTTTTGGTCAATGCGAGGGCTAGTATGATTACATGTTCTTTTTGGGGCTCCATCGTTGTTTGATAGCTGGCAATGTCACTACTCTAGTACCCGGGGTTTTTTTGACTGATGTAGCCCTGCTCCCTAAAATCGAAGAAAGTCATCGATCGGTACTCGTGGAATCCATTCTAGGGGACCGAGAACATGCTAAAAGGAGACTAGAAATAGAACGGTAGATCCCTCGTATGGAAATGATTCGATTTCCATAAAAATTCTAAATTGTTAGCATGAGCTGGAGAAATTATATTGTCTTTGCTTGAAGAATTGCCTGCAAATTATGCTCTAGATAGATCCTAGAGGTTGGTAGCTGATTCAGTTAGTCACTCTGTTGAACATTTCAAGGCATCAGCCTTTCAAGTCTCTTGCTTCATTTTGGGGCATCCCAGCATAGAGCTAGCTGCATGTGATGATGCCGATCATTATGGAATAACCTCAGAAAACAATGAATTTTCCGATGCTGAGCTGCTCCGTGAAGGCTTGCTTGATGATCCTTTCAGCCGAACATGATGACAGATCATGTTTTTTGCAGGGGTTACCAACCAATTCGAGGACTGCGTTAAAAAGTTAGTAGCTGAAGTACGCACAAGTCAGATCATTTGACACTGCCAATAATAAGGCCAGAAGTCACATTTGCCAACTTGAACGTTTTCAGTATACGAGAGGAGGCTTTTCTTTTGCCCAGGTGGGTTTGTTTTCTAACAAAGCCTGTCGGGTGTGTAGATTCATTGTTGCGCACAAGGCAACTAGTATTGTCTCTTGGTTATTCGAAGCCGCCGGGACAATATCATTGAGGTCTTCCCAGCCTCCCCAAACTCTGCGCCAAATTTGCACGTTAGAAGTTAAAAAAAAACACATATCGCCGTAATTATTTTGACAGTTCGATTTCCCAATCTTCGAGCAGCCGTGATACTTCCTTGAATGAAACTGGTTTGGTAAGGAAGACATCTACTCCTGAATCCAAGGCTTCAGACTCATCACGCAAGCTGCTGAGTCCAGTGAACGCGATGATCTTGGCCGAAACGTTGTCGCCTCGTTCTCTTTCGATCGCACGTATGGTACGAGTCGCTTCAAACCCGTTCATTATTGGCATGGACATGTCCATAAATATGAGGTCGTACCCCAGCTGCGTTTTTTCGACCAAGTCCACGGCCTCTCGGCCATTTTGTGCTGTATCGACAGCCGTGAGATTCCATTTCTTCATGAAAGTTCGGATAAGGCGAAGGTTGATATCATTGTCATCGACTAGCAATACCCGGGGTTTCCCTTGGGTTCTAGACGAGGGATTAAGAGAATTTGAGCCCCGTGGCGAGGGTGTGGAGGAAGAGGAAGGTGTGTGAGCGCTAGACGCGCCGCTTCCAGGTGTGAGACAAGAACTGTCCGTACCTGGAGATTGGCCAGAAACATTACGTTCCGCAGGATCCATATAGCTGCGGGAACTGGTCTTGAAATTGGATGATTCAGCTGCGGGTAATTGTAAACTTTCGGATGACGATAATTTAGAATCCCCAGTCGATGGATTCGGACCTGAGGGCCTGGGTCGTTCCGGTATCACAAATTCTTGTTTGTAAGGGGGTGAGAACGGTGCAGTCTTCGGCTTTGAATTAAGGCAATTCAAGATCCCTCTGGCAAGTTTCTGTGGGCCACAGGGTCGACGAAGCATCACCAGAGAATCAGCGAGGTGCGACCAGTGTATCCTGGTATCACTAGAGCTGCCTGTCTCATTTCGGAAAACAAGGATGCTTGGCAACGCGGTATGCAAACACTGGAATTGTTCTGCAGACAAATCACTTTCGTTGGCGAGTAGAACATCAATAGGTTCATTGACAGACCAAGGCACCAGCTTCAGGCCAAACCAGTCAGTAAGATACTGGGCAACCGAAGACCAGAAATGATGTTCACCAAGACAGGAAGCGTCTACCCCCCAAATCGCGGCGCGTTTCCCAGTCATGTCCAATTGACGCAGTTGTGAAGGTGCTGTAAGTGTCTGTCGTTCCAATTTCTGTATTTGAGGCGTCGATGACAGGCTCTTTTCTCCCACTGGACGCTCAAGAGGGATTGTCACCTTAACAATAGTGCCTTCACCTTCTCGGCTTTTGATTCTGATGTTTCCATGGAGTGTTCTCACAATGCCGCGAACAATTGATAGACCGAGACCAGTGCCTACCGAGAGCGTGTCCTCTTGTGCAAATGGGGTGTATAGACGTGTTCGTAGGTACTCATCCGAGATGCCTTTACCCGTGTCTGAAACCGTCAACGTAACCATGTCCTCAAGGCCCTGACGTCGAGAACGACCCTTTGAATTCTCAGTCGCCTGGATTGAGACAGACACCAAGCCTTTTTTGGTATATTTCAAAGCATTCCCAAGAAGATTCATGACAATACGCCTTAGCGAGCCGGGCTGGACATTGTAAAACCAGTCATTATCGCTGATATCAAGGATAACTTCCACATTTGGATTGAAGTCAGTCTTGTTGGATGGCGTGGAAGACAAAATTGGCGATTCGCCAATGGGATGATCGATTGGCATAGTTGACCTTTGAATATGAGAATGCCCCAAGCACACGCTATCCACAACATCTTCTGTCAAAATGGCAATGTTTGTTGACACGGGTGGATCCAGCCGGGCCGAGACTTCATCTGGAGCTTTCGGTCTCCATGGATCTTTTTTGCGTTTGTATCTCTTCTTCTGCCTTTCCAGCGATAATAATTTGCTGAAATCCAAAACTTGGTTCATGGTATCCAAGAGAGTCCGGCCGCATGCATTTACCGTTTCGAGAAGAGATTCTTGGAACTCGTCCAAATGAGTACCCCCCAGAAACTCGGCAGCTGCTAAGACGCCATGTAATGGACTGCGCAGTTCGTGAGAGATGCTGCTTATAAAATCTCCCTTTTGGCGGTCTGCAACAACTGATTCAACGCGACTGTATTCAGTCATAATGGAAGAAGCGAAGCCAAACATCGAACTTAGATCGACAGCCCGACTGAAGACTCGTGTCGACTGAGGAGTCCACGAGAAACACCCTGCAAACCACTGTAATTTATTGGCGTTCCATAATGGAACAAACATGACCTGACTCGCATCAGGGAAGAAGGCTCTCAGTTTGCTGGCTTCCAAAGCCCTGGAGGTTTGATTATATCTGCGGGATGCGCCGACAGATTGCTCTTCATCCGATGTAGACAGACTCCCGTCGCGGTGAAATGACCAGAGTCTACCTTTGGGGTAGCGACGAGAAAGTTGATTGAGAAAGACATTATCGAGTTTGACGGCTGGGTAAGATACCTCAGAGGCCGTCTGGTATGAAAAGGGATCCTCTCTGGTTGACAACGCAAGAACAGGACCAGGTGTCTCGATATCAGCGGGATGCGAGGGGCTGCGGGCGGGACTGTCTGATGAGTCATCGCTGGTCTCTAAAAGCATTACACCCCCGGCACCGTCCAGGTCAAGGCTTTGCCGTAAAAGGTTCGCAGCTCGTTGGAATAACCAGTCTGTGTTACTCGAGACCATCGAACCGCCATCGCCCTGTCGCGAGCTATATGATGATGGCGACGGGCTAGCTGAAATTCTAGCCCCCAAGTCTTCGGTAGAGAATAGGCCAGAAGTTCGTGCGTCGCCATCTTGAATGGGCACATCATTGTTCTCGGCTTGTGCCGCGCGAAGACTGGAATCGCTATGTTGAGAGCTCGCAGATCGGCTCGCCCTAGAATGAGGCGATGTATGTGAGGACGGACTGTAGTTTGAGATGTTCGGGCGAGCAAGGGGAGCATCATCGGCAAAGCTGGAATTGCCGTCCACGAATAGACGGAGACCCTGTGATAACCGGGAGGCACGGCGCCCTTCAACAGCCTGGCGGCTGACCTGTAAATAGTCCATGACCATTGCTCCCACTGTCCCTAGTATATCCTTGTCCGTATCAGACAGCCCTTCACGGGGTTCAGGATCCAGAATAAACAAGCAGCCCAGGTTGATGTTGCTCTCGCTGGTCAAGGGTGTTCCGGCAAAGAAACGGGAGTGTGGTTCGTCTTGTACGAAAGGCAAATCGCTGAAACGCTCCTCGCGTTGAAGGTCGTTGATGATAAGAAAAGGATACGTTCCATCTTCTTGCTCTTGCGGTAGTATGTTGACTGTTTCCTGTTGGAAAAGATGGATCAGAATTGCGAAGGCGGTAAATAGCAACGTTCATAGGCCGTCTCGTACCTGACAAATGTTCCAAGTGTTTGTCAATGTGGATGTTCCAGCAAAGAGGTTGTCTCCTTTGCTACCAAATAATGTCGAGCTTCCCACGTTGGTCGTTTTTGTGGCTTCGGCCAAGACGAATTGAGAGTCGCGATTCAAAATACTAGAATGGATAAGTCAGGTGGAGAAATTGCTAGGCAAAGGAAAAAACTAACGTAATAAATGCACGTTGTGCATTCAGGCGTAGAGCTGCGAGCTGTGCAAGAGAAGTCAAAGTCGTATTCGGGCTGTACAGAAGGCTAGCATCAATCGAGGAAGTTTCAGAGATCTCGTCATCCAAGACAGAAGTAGCAGAATTTGAAGCTGTTGATAGACCGAGTGTAGAGGTCAAATGCTCGCCGGGGGGCCATGTCGCATTTAGCGCTGCTGGGTTTGCTGGTTGGAAGTAACGATAGGTCTCGCGGGTTTGACGGTCTGATTTGTGGTCGAACAGAGCCTGCTCTGTAAGTTTACTCATGGTTAGCAGGCCATGAATATGTGTTATGTATCAAACTGAAGGGATATTTGCGAGCGGGGCACGCGGTTCGACAGGTCCAGTGACCTGGAAGCAATGACGTAGCCAGAAGTCAAAGTACCTTCCTCGATCCCATCAAGTTAAACATTTCCCCACTACCCCACAATCTACATTTCAATTTCAACTCCTTGTCGATTTTGAACATCTTATATTTGAAGATTGGGGGGCGTAGAGCATGAAATCAAATTGTAAAGTGAGAGCAAGACTTGGATAGCAGATTTCAACTTGATAAGCCTATGACCAACTATCATTGCGAAGAATAAGTCTTAGATGACATGGGAATAAGAGTTTATTTATTATAGTATAAACGAGAGGGGTTGACGGGATGCTATATTATCCTTTGAAGAGTCGCCTTGGATTTCAGTCATTCTATGAAGTTGTCCCTAGATATATATCAGACCTAGTGGACCATCTTATAGGCAATGGTTTGCTTGACCCTGGATAAAAATGGACACATGCACTTTACCACTCAAGATAACATTTTGTTTACGATTTTGATAGATATCTATTCTTTCTTTCTTTTGCCCGTCCTCGAGATTTGTGCGCTGTGATTAATCCCAATATAAGAAAACCGAGGTTTGCTACTTGGCCAACATATTAATTTCAATCCCTGAAGTGAGAATGAGTATATATTAGGTGGTGTTTGTTAAACGAATAGCCTCAGCTCTTCAATATTCTTTCTGGATATCTTTTTGCTATTTTGTGGTTTATACTTTCCACCATTTGATAATCCGCTATGCCGGAAATGAGATGGCATATGATAGTGCCCAAAAGTAGCTATTTGAAGCCATCGGACAATTTACAGATGCATGTGCAAGGATCGAAAATATTTTCAATGAGATATAGAGAGTGTCTACTCTGTAGAATAAATTGAGTAGAGCGCAGCGATTTTCCCTGAAGAGTAGGCCTCCGGCATATCAATCTTGGCAGCAACGATCAGACACGCCCCAAGTGTCAGCCGATGGCGGCAAAAATTGGCGATCTGCGTATGTGCGTGGCTTTGAAAAACCGAACAGCTATAACCATGGCAGTGTAGAGGTTCGTAGGGCTCCCCAGAAAAGGTGATCTTCAAAAATAAATAAAGTTTAAGACACAGTGGGTTCCAAAAATCGGAAAAAAGCGTGCGTGGTATGTGCAGTAGGCTTTGGGACACGGCATGGTGCCAAGATTTAAACGAAGAAGCCTAAGAGACTAGAGTGGGCTTACGCAGCGACGAGGCGTAGGGGAAAAAAAATAATCAAGGGATCCACAAGGCTGTTCAGGGTAGAAAAGGGTGACGAGGCTCGAGTTGCGGAGTCTCCTGTTTTGGCCACTTGGAATGATGATCCTACGTCAATCCATGGGTCATTTCGATAGTTCGAATTGGGTCAGGTACAAATATTGGCGGGTATATTGATATACGTTGTGAAAGTGACGTCTAAGAGAGAAACAAGATCCCGGATCATGTTCCATATATACGAGCAATTAACGTATCAACTGCAAACTGTCAAGGGATAGACAGGCTTCAAGGGCATTGCCACTAGTCCCGAAGTGGCCTAGTGGCAGCCACAAATAGAAGCAAACGTGGCCCTGAGGCGTGACCTGCCAAGACCTGATTGGCCCGATGATCCCTGCGCCTCTTCTCAAGGAGGCTGGTGCCGTGTGTCGGCGAGGCTGTATTTGCGATGATCATGTTAGATTAAAAGGCACCTGCCTCCCCTTTCTCCATCATTCATCATACTCACTCTTCATCCATCTCTGTACTATTTTCTTCTCGAACACCCCCCAACACAACATCATCATGGGAAAAGCCGGTCGCATGGCGTGTATCTTCACGCCCTATGTCTTGACCATCGCGTCATTGATTTGCATTATTATGGTGGGATTGGGTTGCACAAATGCCAGCTCAAGTACCTTGAACAACCTGTACTTCCTTCGCGTAAGTGATCTACTGCTTTCGAGATTCTGGGCCCATCTAATCCTTATCTTTTATAGCTTGATATTTCAAACATCACGGCAAGCTCAGAAACAACAACAGAGATCGAGAATGCCCTCAGCGATGCTGGCATCACCTCCGTCACCGTCGACGATCTCACAAGTGCCATCGAAACCATCGAGAACGAATCGGGTCTCGCCGACTACTACGACATTGGTCTCTGGGGTTACTGTGAGGGCGACATCTCTGGTAGCAAGAAGAACATCACCTCCTGCTCTAAGCCTAAGGCCGAGTTCTACTTCGACCCTCTTTCCCTTTTCGGCCTGGAGAACACCAACGCCGAAAGCGCCCTGGGCACAGATGCTAAGAAGATCATGAAGGTGTACAAGGCCGTTTCCAAGTGGATGTTCATCGCCTACCTGGTCGCCTTCATCGCCACCTGCGCTCAGATCCTGGTTGGTATCTTCGCCATCTGTAGTCGCTGGGGTAGCTGCGTCACTACCATAGTCTCAATCGTCTCCTTCCTCTTCACTCTCGGAGCATCTCTCACATCGACAATCATGTTCTCCATCGCAAAGGGCTCCCTCGGCACAGCCGCAAAGGCCTACGGCGTCAAGGTCTCCATGGGCACAAACATCTATGCCGCAACCTGGCTCGCCGTGGTTTTCTCTCTGGCCGGTACCCTCTTCTGGATGTTTAGCACCTGCTGCTGCTCCGGCCGTTCCCCCTACGGCCACAAGGACCGTGGCATCAACCGTGGCTCTGTTACCGCCGAGAAGGCTCCTTACACCTACGAGCCCATCGGCGCCGGCCACGCTCCCTTCGGCAGCCAGCCTTACGCTCCCCAGGGCCACAACACTGCCTACCCTCCTCCTCTCGCTCACAACGACATCCCCATGACCAACCAGCGTCAAAACGCTTACGAGCCTTTCCGTCATGTTTAAGCAACAAAAAGACTACGAGTGTGTTTTGAATGTACAACTTGAAGCGTTTTTAGACTGGCGATACCAAGGCGTTTACCATGGTTTTTTGCATGCCTTTTATGACCACTTTCCTTTGGTTTCTTTTGATGATTATTATGCCTTTTGCACAGAATGACTACGGTCTTCTCTGAATCACTTGCATTATGTACATTGCTCTCGACCTCTATGGAGGAATGATTAGTTCTTGGGTTTTTGGATCTCATTATACAACATTATGTTATACAACCTCTGTTTCAACCTGCAGTACAATCTCGGTAGATCTCTCACTCCAAAATCTCATTTCCACCGTGCTAGCCATAAGGCTAGCCATTCTCCTCAGTGGGTCTCGCTAGCTTCAACGCTATTGTGAAATAGCACAATGGTCCTTGCAAGCCTTGATGTTTGGAAAACCCCGAGGCCAAAAGATAGACTACAGTAGAAATACATGTTCAATGCTCGAGCCTTGTCCTGCTCATTTCAAGCTCCACACGGGCTGGAATTGAACTTAAAGCTGATTACCGTCGATCTCCATTTCGCTAATTTTCATCGTTTCATGAACAGTGCCCTGGGATTTTAAGAGACCAGAAAAATTTGGCGTGGAAAATGGACTATTTGACTTGGTTATACATTGATATTTTTTATCAGGAGTGTATTGCTCGTTATTGGAAGTCTCCACGTTGTATTGGAGCTGATCACGACTGATAAAGGTTAATAGCTTGTAATCTGCCGACAACGTTCAATAGTTTTGAGGCTAACGTTAACTGTGGCACGCGGAAAAGATATTGTACAGAAAAAAAAAAACATTTGGCAATAATATGGCCACCTTCCTCTTCCCCAGTAGAGCGTATCAATAAAAGATCAAATGGTATCCGCCGGTGTACATACTGCCCCATCGGGTATTTGCCGGCCCAGCGCCAGAGGCTAATAAAAGCAGAAAGAGACAAAAATACAATTGGAGAACTGAAAGTAGAAAGTGTGGTATCAAATTGATCCAGGGCTTTGTTCACTTTTGTAGGTAGGCCGGCAGATGACGCCCTTTTCATCGAGTTGGATCTTCGCCCCGCCACGGCGATTGAGTTCTTGGAGAACATTCTGGTCTTCTCGAGCCCAGCGCTTGAAGGGCGTGTTGGGATCATCCGACCAGACGGGGCCAGTGGGGAAGATGTTCCTGAGAGATCGGAACCAGGGTCGTGGTCTTTGCGCCTCTTGTTGGACATCTTCAGTAGAAGTGGCAACTTCGGCAGGTGCCTTCGTCGAGGCTGTCGGGAGAGAGACATGAGAGCTGTGGCGATCCTCGCTGTCATCGCCAAGTTCGATGCTGGCGGTTCTGTGGTGGGTATTATCTACCTCCTGAGAGTCATCGGCTTCGCTCATATCAACATCGCTCATTTCAGGTTTGACCTGTGTGTCGTCTTCATCATGCTGCGTTGAATTCCCCCACTGTTCTGAGCTGGGAAGCACAGGATTTTGACCATCACTACTCGTCGTAGGAGCTTGAGAGTCCAGCACTTCAGTGCTGGGAACATCTTGTTCCAATTTGACTTGTACTGCGGGCTGTGTTGCAGCCGATACATCTGTTTTGGAGCTAGGACCATCGAAAACACCACTGGCACTGGTGGTATCAAACGAACGAGTGTGAAGGTCAGATAGTTTGTCCACAAGACTCGCTGTGAAAGAAGGGTTTGTAAATTTCCCTTGGGTATGAGCAGGGCATGGGGGCGGCTGATTTGAAGATGTCGTTGAATCCGGCGGAGCAAACTGAGATGCGGTCACATTAACCGCACGAGTGGTCAGGCTTCGTTTCTTGTGCCGGGGCCTTGAAAAGTTTGAGCAGAAGAAGTCTTCGTATTTCAATATCTTTGAATCTTGTGACGCGCACTCTTCCACGTGATGCTGATACTCTTCGAGATTCATGATAACAAAGTCGTCCCACAGGAATGATCGTTTCAGAGCACCGTTTTCTCTAAGTCCTTGTAGCTTCGCGCACATCTCGATAAAATGTGCAAAGTCTCCAAAATATAACGGATAGTCGTTACAGAATTTCTCGTAAAACATCAATGCTTGGGCAGTCTGATCAGGCTTGTCAATAAAGCTCTGACGCCGTGCCACCAGCTCGCCATTTGGACTTTGAAACGCCATCCGAGTATCAATGCCTTTAGTTTGCTTGGTTTTGGGAGGCTTTGATGGTGATTCTGCATCAGGAGCGGTCCAGCCGGATGAATCACCCAGAGACGTGCCTGGGAAGTACGTCGTGCCATCGAGAGAGGACATTTCTCTCATAAAATTCTGGCTGAGTTCATTAAGTTGGGACATGGGCTGCGGGTGAGAGCTAGCAAAGGACAAAGGGTTGGCAGAGGGCTGTGAGCCGAACATAGATGAGTCCCACTCGCGCTGAGCAGTCTTTGACGAATCGAGCACAAATTCTGTGTGAGACTTGGGCGTCTCTTGGGAAGTCGTATGCGAGGCGCTGGTCTGAATCTGAGTACCCAGCACGTCTACCCGAAGGGATTCACCTTCGATTGGCAAAGACGGGGTTTGTACCTCTTGAGAAGGGTCACTTTGCGTGGAGGTTTCTTGCGAGTGGTAGGTCGCGAGAATTCGAGACTGAGAGGATGTCTTGGCAGCTTGGGATGATGGTTGGGTGCTTGAAAGCTCCGGTTCAACTGCTTCATTACCTTCCTCGCGGAGTGAATGAGTTGTTTGGACGGCAGGCGTCTCGACGACTTGAACGCCTTTCCCAAGGGTGCTTGGCTTGCCAAGGATTCTTGGAAGCAATAGACCCGAGCTATTGCCCGAGCTGCCAATTTGCTGCTCAGGCTGACTGCTCGGTGGAATGCTTGCCCCTAGACCGTAAGGGACAGATGTCTCCATCTCGTCCTCATCACTTTCATCGCCACTTGACTCAAGGGAAAGGGATTCCGGGGCAGCTGGAGGGCTTCCTGAGCGCATTCCACCCTGTGCTTCTGGAATTTGATTTGATGTTTGTTCCGCATTTTCAATCCTTGAACCAGAATTATTGTGCTCATGAGATGGGTCATCCCCAGAATCTTGAGGCTGGAATTCAGTTTCCCTCGAAATTATTGTTGATTCATCAGGGGCTTGGGACTGACGCTGCGCTACAGTATCTGGAACAATCTGAGAGGCGGCAGCCTCCCGCGCAGACCGAGAAGTAGCTCGAGACCCATTCACCATGTCTACGTCACTATCATTCGCAATTTGATAGGCGCTAGATTGAGTACCGCTTGGCGTGGTGCCTTCCTTGATATTCCTGGATTTCGTGGGAGAGGGGCTGTCAGGCGGAACCTTTTCGGAGGCTTCAGACCAGCCAGAGAGAGGTTCTGAGCTTTGACTACTGATCTCCGACTCAGCGACGGATTCAGATCTGTAGGTATCTTGCGGGGTTGGGATTGGATTTTCAATTCTCCGATCTTCCTTCTCCGCCAGTAATTTTCTTCTTTGAGCAACATCGTTCCATCTCGATAAGAGTCTGGGCGGTACGTGACACAGCGGCGCAGATTCGCTTGAGACCTGTTGAATCCACACAAGTGGCTCGAAGAGATCGGTCTGCTCTTTGGGGATATGAACATCATTCGCCGGTATCTTTGTCATTCCATCCCATGGATCTGGCAACAGGTCATGAACGGGCAAATCCGGTACCTCGGAAAGCACTGACTTGGGCGCAGGCTCATTCAGGACCTTTTTGGTCCCATTCAGGTTTGCTTTTGTCGTATCTTCAGTATCAATACGCTGTCGTTTGTTCGATGGTGCCTGAATTACCGACTTTCGTTGCGTCTGGGAATCTGTGTTATCATAGGATGCCTGTAAGGACACATCCATGCTATCACGTTGTCTTTTCTTTGAGAGATCATGGTTTTGTTGGACATCCCCATTCGCAGTCGCGTCGCGATCAACGAGACCAGTTGAAGAAGACGAGAGTTGCCTCTCAATGGCTAATGGCTCAAGAGTATCATTGCAGGTATTGGGACGGAGTGAATTGGCATCGGATGGGTCGGTGCATGCAGCATCAGCTGATGTACTCCACGGTTTGTACGTGAAGGGTGTTCCTGATTCAATCGGCGTTCTCCCGTTCTGTGAAGGGGACTGCCTGCTATGGCTATCACCTAGCGACGGGCTGTGAGAGTCTGGTTTGGTTTTATTCGGGCCATCAGAAGGCTTCAATAGCTGAAGCATCGCCTCCTTATTGAGAGAAACGCGAGTCTCTTTAGAATTGTATCTCTGTGCATCGTAGTTGGTATTGGACAGAACTTGAGAGAAAAGCTGTGATCCCATCGGTTCAATCTGTGAGCCAGGCGGCACTGGCTGGTCAAACTGAGGAGCTGAAGGCACAGCCAAGGCAACATCTTCTTGACCATTAGGCCTAGCATCAGCTGAACCTGTCTGCGTTCTCCGACATGCCTCTTTCATAAGGCATTTGATAGCCGGCGCCTTCTTGAGCTTCGGTTTAGGAGGTTCCCCCTTTGTGACCTCATTCCAACGTATTCGAAAGCGATTGACGCGAAGTTCGATATCAGAGGATTTTGTCGAGTACAGAAGAGCCAGCTTTACATCAAGAAGGTCAATAAGCTGCCTTTTGGGTCCATATTTGATCGTAGATGGGCAAGGGGAGGTAGCCTCATGCTCATTAAGCGAGTCGCGCGAGAAGATGGCATCTATATGATTCATGGAATCCGTCAACGTAGCGCGGTCACCCTCCTCTCCTTGGCCCCACTAATAGACACGAGATAAGTTAGTCGCAAGTGACTTTGAGATATTGAGTGGATTTAAACCTTTTCAATTATGGCTGACATGACAAGCCCGCGTATACTGAAGTTGAGACAACCCTCATGGTCTTCCACTTGGATTCCATCGTAACTGTTTCGGCCGAGGTAGAACAAGAGACATTGTTCGGCCAACGCGGCCAGCCAGGGACTAACTGGATTCATCGTGCGAATCCAGTCTCGTGACGAAGGTAGAGCTGTGTCATAGCTGAGAGTAAAGAATTGGCATTTGATGTAGTCATATCGTGAAGCTGCCGTAATACAGCAAAAATTGCCAGTCGATAAGACGCGAAGCGCGCCCCAGCTGACTCATCCCCACCACGTCATTTCACAGCTTCGAGTGCGGAGAGATCTACGACTTTTTTGACATCTACAGCTTTTCCTCGCCCGGACCTAGGGGTTTTAGCGCCCTTGAGCGCTCGATCTTCTTCCAAATTATACTATCGCACTTTTGCCTCGAATGACCGGCTACCAACCGTGCCCATCTCCTGTGTGGGGATGATCTGAGAACTTTCTGCCTAATTTGGACCTCATTCTGCGACCCTTTGGATACACCACCATGGAGTCGCAACAGTCCCAAGGCTCACGCAGCCCGTCCATGTCGTCCATGTCACTTCCCCTCGGCCGACGTCGGTCCCGCAGCTCGATGGCAACGACCCAGACTGAGCGAGAATCGATGAATACAGCTCTCGATCACATACATAATGCAGCTTATCAATCCGAATCACTCACTCTGTTCGAAGAGTTTACCAGCCCCCCGCTACCGTCCTCAGTATCTGACGAGAAAGGCTTATCCGAAGAGCTGCAAGGTGGACTAAGCGGCCTATACAGTCGATTTAGGACTTCCGTGGGAGGAGTGAGGGATATCGTCAGTGGCGGAAAGCCTACAGACAAGCATGCGGCTGAAACATCCACGGCCAAGAGTCCTGCGTCTGAGCGCTCGCTGGTCAAGCCTGCCTCAGAAGCAGCCAGTAGCTCGGTTGATCACCTACCGTCACAGCCCACCTCTTTGCAAGGATCAAGACTTCAGTCGCCTGTTGTAGCAAGCTTCCAATCTCAGCAAGATCCCGTACCACCGACAGCAACGGGGAGAAGATCAAGGATATCCTCTAAAAGTGGCAGCGTATCTTCAAAGACATCCATTCCCCCTTCCCCTGGGATCAAGCCTGGTATTGCGCCGTTGACGAAGGCGACTGGAACCGCCGTTGCCGCAGAACCAACCATCACCCAACGACATGTCAACGTTATGGGAGAGCCCCATCACTCAAGAAGTAGCTCCGTTAATGTCCCGTTCCAAGCTCCATTTTCAGGAGTTCACAGCGCAGAGTCAACAAGCATCGGCAGCAAGGATGGCGCTGTGGACCTTTCTATGAGTCAGACGTCCTCCTTGTTGAACCAGAACCTTTCCAATTCGCCGGTGCTATCTGGAAAGATACACGACAGCCATGAGGACCAGGGCCAACCTAACCCCAAAGAATTACATGTCTCGGCCACTCACACTTCAGACAATCAGTCTCGAAAATCAGTCTCTACTGATTCACAAAGACCGCCTGAAAATGCATCACAAACTGCCATGCTTAGAAGTAATAAGCTGGCCGAGCCAATCCAGGACCATGTGTTTCAGCGCTTGGGAGACAGATCGAATTCGCGGACATCTTCTCGTTATGACGAGTCGCGAGCTTCAATATCTGCCTCCACTAGTCTCTCAAGACTTTCTTCCCGTGATGAATCGACGTATCACCCAGAACAGTCTTCCACCAAGCCAGCGACTGTCTCTCGCGAAGGCCCGGATGCCAATGAGCCACCCAAGATCATTTTCCCAGATCAAGCAAGTGGCAAAAAGATCCCAGCCCGACCTGGGCGACTTCCTGGCTATGATATGTCACGAATGTCCACGGCAGGGACCATGACCACGATGTCCTCGTTGCCTCCGTTGAAAACAAAGATCGATCAGGCTACCAGTAAGCCCTCGCAACCAAGCCGTCAACTGACTGCCGGTAGTGATGGTGTTCTATCTCAGTTAAGAAGTAAATTGCTTAGCAAAGACTTCTGGATGCGCGACGAGAATGCCAAAGACTGCTTCCACTGTGGCGATCCTTTTACCACATTCCGCCGAAAACACCATTGTCGAACCTGCGGTCAAATTTTTGATTCAAAATGTACTCTGCTCATTTCAGGGGCGCGGTTTGGCCAACCTGGTAGCATCCGAGTCTGTAACCCTTGCGAAAAAATGATCAATGCCCATGATGATGATTCTTCTGAGTTCTCGGATAGTGAGCAAAGCCCCATAGTTGCCAACCCGCGGGTTGCTGAACTCGGCTGGGGCAATAATACAAGGGCACCAGCAGATGACGATGATTCATCCTCTATCATATCCCAGTCAATTGATCATGTTCTCAGAACCCCAACAATGGCCATACCGGCCACACGGCGTGCTGGTGAGGGTCACAACCGCCGGTCGGCGGTCCTTGAAATCAACCCTGATCGCCCGTTGGCACGACCTACTTCTTCGCGGTCACTGCGGTCCTCACTTGGTGCAAGACCGCATTCTATGAGCCACAAGCGTCATCATTCTCGTCAGCAGTACATTCGGGGCTTCAAGACACATGAAGACCGAGCACCTTTCCAACGCCGACATGCAGATGACTCCGGCTTTGAATCCCGGTTACCTGCTTTTCACAAAGATAACATCATTGACCCTGATCTGGCTCAATATCTTTCTGATGATGCATCAAGTGGCGACGAGCAACCTAGCCTTTTATCTGCCGTTTCTGAGGGCGCTCTGTCTAAAAGTGGTGACGGCGAGAGAGCCTCCTTTGGCGGGCTGCTAGCCTCGCTGAAAAAGAGCCGCTCTGCTTTTGGGGACCGAAGTACTCCTAGCATGAATAAAGACCCGGATGAAGCCAGTATCACCAGCTCTAGAGCTGTGAATCTTCCCCGTTCATCTCGTCGTCGGAACCTGAGCGTGGCAAGCAGTATGCACCGCCATTCGCCAAGGACGTCAAAGGACATGCTCCATGATGTCTCTTTGCCACCGGCTCCTTTGCCTCTCAATCTCAAAAATGCTGGGTTTAAGATGACCCGGAGCTCATCAATGAGAGGCCATGGAGCACCGCCAGTTGAACTGAACCGAGTGAGCCTAGAGCATGTCAGAAAGCTTCTCCATCAACTTCTTGTGGAGTCCGCCATACCTAGCGGTGATAGTTGGGAGAATGCCCTAATACCAATCTTGTTGAAGGCGGCAGATGAAGTCGACCCAGATGTACAACGAGGAGATGACATGGATATCCGTCACTACGTCAAATTGAAGAAAATCCCCGGTGGTAGGCCTGGGGATACTGCTTACGTATCCGGTCTCGTCTTTACAAAAAACTTGGCCCTGAAAAGCATGCCAAGAAGCATCCCACGTCCAAACATCTTGATTATAACCTTCCCTCTCGAATATGCTCGTCAGCAACAACACTTCATGAGCCTCGAGCCTCTCATTAGACAAGAGCGTGAATTTTTGGAGAACCTTGCCAGTCGAATCGCAGCATTGCACCCAAATTTGCTTTTGGTCGAAAAGAATGTTTCTGGCCTGGCGCTTGAACTCCTCGAGAAAGCCGGTATTGCAACTGCGTACAATGTGAAGCCATCTGTTCTTGAGGCTGTATCGAGATGTACACAGACTAGGATTGTCACATCCATGGACAAGCTATTGACAACCACGTTGCATAGTGATTGCAGCAGCTTTGACGTGAAGACCTATGTCCACAGCGGTCGGAAGAAGACCTATATGTATATCTCTGGCTGCCCGAAAGAGCTCGGTTGTACCATTGTCCTGCGCGGCGGCGATGACGAAGTTCTTGGGAAAGTGAAGAGGATCACTGAGTTCATGATCTACGTTGTTTACAATCTTCGATTGGAAACCTGCGTCATGCGAGATGAATTCGCACAGATACCGACCTCACCAACAGAAGAGCAGGTGATAGCGGAGAAAGACAAAAAAATCACGTCACAGGCTACTAACGAGAGTGAGACTCAGAATGAAACCGACGAGAAGATTGGCGATGCCTCTGACAGCCAAATCCTCGTCCCACCTGATGCCACGCAAGTCCCAGACGATATTCCAATGCCGAATTATTATGACGATATAGTCCAAGATCATCAGACCAAGATTCTTTCTGCCTCACCTTTCGTCAAATTTGAACCTCCATATCTTCTGATGCGTACCCGAGAAATGGAACGCAGACTCGCCTATCTGAAACGCCTCCGTGACCAAGATGGCAACTCTGACGAAGTCATAGATGAAAAGGCCAAGCCGCAAAAGTTCGTTCTTATCACCCCAGAAATGGTTCATCAATCACCGCGAGACGCTCCAGCAAAGATCAAGGAAGTGTTGCGTGCTGCTCATGATGCGGAGTATGACCGAGCGCTGTATCACTATCAAACTCAAAAGCGCCAGTGGGAGGCTTATGTTGCGGGAAACGCCAACATGTTTGATCCCTATTCACACCAGAACCTCGTCGTTCTATACAGCCTCGTGTGCACAACAACCTCAGTGCCTTGTTCTGGACCGGACGTCTTTGCTCTAGAGTTCTACAATGAGCATGGCGACGACGTTATTTTTGAGTCCGACCTCACAATTGGGCAGTATGTTGAAGACCTCTGCCACTCAGCCAATGCTGTTTGCACCGTCAATGGCTGCGAGAAACGAATGTTTGAACATCATCGTCAGTATGTTCATGGTGATGCGCAAATCAGTGTGCTGGTTCAGCCCTATCCATCCAAATTGCCTGGTCTTCAGGATATTGTGTTGATGTGGAGTTGTTGCAAGATCTGCGGCAATGAAACTCAAGTGACCCCAATGTCGGAGAGCACGTGGAAGTACTCCTTCGGAAAATACTTGGAGCTATCCTTTTGGGGCAGAAATTTGCATGCTCGTGCCGGGGTTTGCCCCCACGACCTACAGCGAGATTATATACGCTATTTCGGCTTCAAAGATGTTGCTTTGCGAGTACAGTATGATCCCATTCGTCTCCTTGAGATCATCGTTCCTCGCCCACGTGTCACTTGGAAGGTGGACAATGACCTGAAGTTGAGAAACGAAGTCTATCTCCGTACAGAGCAGCGTATCAAATGTTTCATGGCATCTGTCAATTCTCGTTTGAAGGGCATCAATGTCGACAGTGTTGTTCCTGAGTTGGTAGACAGCTGCAAGCTGGAGATTGAATCCTTGATCAAAAAGGGTCATGAAGATCACAATACCTTGATCTGGCACCTGCAAGACAAATACACAGGCTCTCGCTATTGGGAGATCATACCGCTGAATGAGGTGCTTCGTGCGGTGCAAGAAAAGGTTGTGGAATGGGACACCACCTTTGCTGATTTCGAGAAGAACTTCTTCCCTTCTGAAAAGGATATCAAGCACATGGCAACCCTACAGCTCAAAAAGATATTCCTTGACAAGGACGCCACATCAGTCTCCCCAGAAGATCCTCTGCGAGCTCCAACCGATGCGGATGATGAAATCGATGAAGAAGTCGATAGGCCACGGATGATGAGGCGCATGACACTTTCCCCGGAAAAGGCACAGAATGTACTGGTCTCGGTTGTTGAAGAACATGCTGGCAAAAAGCACCGTGAGGAGTTCCCGGGAACTGAGATACCCTCCCATCCAGAATCAACCGAAGATGGATTGTCAGTCGACGCAGTCAATGGCAAAAGGTCTTCCCCGCAAGATGAAGCTGTGTCACAGGAAGAAGTCCGCCATCTTGACTTAGCCGTTCCTTCAGGTCAATTGGAACGGGGCCCGGTTGATACCAATCTCAGTTCAAACCACCCGTTGCCCGACCCCGATTTTCCTGCGATGGAAATTACCGACGGATCGTCGGAATCGCCATCACCAAAAACGTCTGTATTCCCCAAAGCAAAATATAGCGGAAAAGAAGATAGCGAAACCACCCTGCCAAGCACCCCAATACGTCGACCTTCAGCGATCCCCCGTCCTACCGAAGCAGCGTTTCGACGCTCTGGCAAAGCACGGTCTCCTCCGCTCTTGCGTGCTCAATCCCAGCCCGCGAACATTGCGAGGGACAGGAATATCAGCAGCATTGCACTCCCAAGCCTGAAAATGGCAACCACCAACCCAATTGAACTTGACAAACCTGGAGGGGAGTCCCCCAAGTCGGACAAGAAGTTGAGCGACCGTTTGGGCTTGAGTGCCCTTAAAAATGCTCGGTTTGCTTCAGGTCACTCTCTTATCCCACGGTCCACTCCAGGTAAGAGGGGAAGCTCGCGCGTTTCCAACCTTGCAAGGCATTTTGAACAGTTGAGCCGAGAATTCGAGAAAGAACGACAGCGCGAGAGACGTCAACGAGCTGCCCGAGGAACTTACTCACGTGCGTTCCCATTGGCGTCCTCGAAGCCCATCGTGGAAGTCTATCGGAACGTCAGAGAGGCTGTGGAAGAGCGCGAGCCTCCGGTTGACGGCGAGGAATCTTCGCCCCCTGCCCCGCGGATCCCAATGGATGACTTGAGCCGTAAAAGCGATGAATTTGTCAATGAGACACCTCTTGAAGAGCATCACAAACATCCTTTGCCAAAGCACTCACCCACTGAGCCTACCGAGGCAGAAACGGAGCATCGTCCTGATGCCCAGCTGTTCTCTGATGCCGAGCCAGACGATGGCCAAAGTGATGAGGATCGAACCATGACTGAGGACCTTCATCCGGTAGATTCACACGAAGAAACCAAGAACTCGGCAGAAGACGAATCATTGGATTTCAAGGATATGCCCAAACATGAGCGTACTACACTTTTGAAGATGTTGACGAACTTCTGGTCTGAGCGCTCTGCGAGTGGATGGGCATCCCTTGATTATCCCCTCAGTGTTATGGATCACGTTTTTGCCGATTGTGATATCATCGTGCGCGAGGATGAGCCGAGTTCTCTGGTAGCCTTTGCATTGGACTCGTCTGACTACAAAGAAAAGCTTTCAAGCATTCAGCAACGGTATGACGAGATGGAGGAAGATCAACCAGAGCCCAAGGGTGAGATGGAGGCCGTGAATGAAGCACGCGTTGAACACGCTCTCTTGCGACCTACAGGCACACACCTCAAGTACCAATTCCAAGAAGGCCAAGCCAAGATGCTTTGCAAGGTGTTCTATGCGGAACAATTCGATGCATTACGCAAGAAGTGTGGTGTAGCAGATCGAATCGTCGAGTCGTTGTCCCGATGCGCAAAATGGGACTCAAAGGGTGGCAAGACCAAATCATTATTCTTGAAGACGCTTGACGATCGTTTCATTCTCAAATCACTTTCGCCAATCGAAACACAGGCCTTCCTCAAGTTTGCTCCCGCGTACTTCCAAATCATGTCCGAAGCGTTGTTCCATGAACTGCCATCTGCGATCGCCAAGATGTTTGGCTTCTATCAGGTCATCATTAAGAACCCCGTTACCGGAACCGAGTTTAACTGGTTCTTGCTTCTGATGGAGAACCTGTTCTACGATCGTGTCCCTACTCGCATCTTCGATCTCAAGGGCTCCATGCGAAACCGCAAAGTGCAGAGCACCGGTGAACGGGATGAGGTCCTTCTGGACGAAAACATGGTAGATTTCATTTATGAGACACCACTCTTCGCCCGTGAGCATTCGAAGAAACTTCTCGGTCAAAGCGTATGGAACGACACTCTCTTCCTTGGTCGTCAAGACGTCATGGACTACTCGCTCATGGTTGCCATTGATGAAAGCCGCGACGAGCTGGTTGTCGGCATCATCGACTGCATCCGTACCTACACCTGGGACAAAAAACTCGAGTCCTGGATTAAGGATAAGGGCTTCGGTGGTGGTGGCCGCAACCGACCAACAGTCACTAGTCCCAGGGAATACAAGGGTCGTTTCCGTGAGGCGATGGCCAGATATGTGCTCCAAGCTCCAAGGTATGTTACTTCATATTTTTCTCCACATAACATAACACTGATTTCTCCAGCTGCTGGCACCAATTACAACCAAATTCGATGCATCGATACGCACAGGGCGAGAACCAAGCCACCGAAACCGAAGTGGACGACGGCTTCTTGGAAGACCCCAATTTCTAGTTCACATACGATTACCATTTCGTCAACCATACAATAATGATTTATGATTTGATGATGCATCCATGTCCAGATTTGCTTTGATGGACATTTGACATGTCTGTTTACACACGCTATGCCAGGTGCATTCTACAATAACATTACAAAGACGACCTTGTTCCCAACTATTTTTGCACCCACATCATATCTGATTTACGAGCGAATCCACATGAAGCGGTGCAGTGGATCATTGTGTTTCATTAGATCTTACTCTTGCATGAATATGCATATGACATTCCTTCAAATATTAGCGTCTGATAGTCAATTTGAATCGCTTCTTTATTACCGCTCTGTCTTATCCAAAGAAGGATGCATGCACATGCATCTACATGGACACTAAAGGATATTTGACAATTATGTGCCCCTCGTTCGGAGTAGAACACTTGTTCAGAGATCAATGTATATAGCCTCCCATGCGGCAAATTACTCGAGACCCAGTCTTTGTCTTTATCGCTTCTGCCGCCGCCGTTGCATCAACTGCATACTACATGATATAGACCAATCCTTCTTGGGTACCCACAGACCCCTGGCACAGCCTGCTCCATCCCTTCTCGATTCTTTCACCGGATACACCCCGGCCAAGCGAAGCCTGAATATCAGGTGTGATATCATGGCTGACACGCAACCAGTCCTCCCCCACAGGCTCAACATGGTCATAATAATTCTGCGCGCTAGTTAATTCAACAGCGGAATCGCGTACACCGGAAGTATTGAACCGGATCTTCCCAATTTTCTGCATCGACTCGCGGTTTTCCTTGATATCGTCGGGGGAGGAGACCTGCTCGTAAGGAAATTGTTGAGTATTCGCCCATAAACATCTTTTTTTTTAAGACATACCTTCTGCTCCGACCCAACCTGCACTATCATAGTTTTGATAATCTCAAGAACTGGGCTTCCCTTACCACCCTTAAGCAACCGCTGCAGCGTTCCACTCCGTGCACCAAAATCCACAAAGACGACCCTCCTTGGCTTCAATCTTGCAATCCATTCTAGCGACTCAGTAACCTGGTCATATTGCACAGACTTGTACGGGACGGTCACGTTCAGTTTCACTGCTCTAGGCTCCAATACCTCTGGCGTTGATGAGACCTGTGAAAATCCCACGGGTCCCTCCTCCCCAGGACTCCGCTGGAACACATGGTACGCGGGCAGTCTTGCTCGACGCAGAGAGACCGATCACGACAGCGGTGGAGATATCCGCATCCTCGGCGGTCCATGAGAGATTCATGCCAAGCGGGTGAATAGCTGGTCGCTCCACTGGACTTGAGGTAAAGGTGTGTCAGCTGAGAAGATATCCCGTTGACCAGGTTGGACGCCAGAGTGACATCCACGACATGCGCTTAAGCGCCTCTTTACTGAAGAGTGACGAGATCTTTATATTGATATTCGGTGTAGTCTTTTCAACTTCAGGGAGATTTACCTGCCCTTCTTCTAAGTAGGCATTGTACATGGTCATGAGGCGCTGGCGGGACTCGCTGGGCTCAGTCCAGTGGCCCTCGACCTCGGCAGGCTGGAGTCTGAGTGAGACAGGGATGTTTGCCGTCGGCTAGAAACCCCATAACAGAGTGCCCGGGCTTATTTCTGTTCTAGATTCTGTTACGACACCGATGCCCCATGTTGGGACAATACCCCAGGATTTCTGGTCCTTGTATGGTGCAGGGAGCTCTGCGGGAACAAGGGATGTATCCCACCAATGCAGGACATCTCCGCCACGGGCATAGCTGAGATTTAGTTGAAGTGAGGGAGATTAGCAGCGGTTGAACGCAAACACTAGCAGCGGCAAGGCTGTGGCTGTTGTATCTAGGGTGATCAAGTGTTGTCACTGCATGTTTCTGGTGGTTTACTTTGGATACAACGTGAACCTCCATGGTGTAATTGTCGAATATATGTATACTTAACAGACTGTCGTCCTAGAATTGGGAGAAACCCAGGAGAGGGGTCAGATGGCAGATTGAAATAGTAGAACTACAAGGAGGCCAAACGCCGAGGAGTCCTGACTGGTGGCATAGACAGTTGGTGATGAACATAATAATACCTTCAGTTACTGTTTTCAGGACTCAATATATAATGAACAAAGCAGTGGGGAAACTAGGAGGACATCTTTATTTACAAAGTGGCCAGAATTAAGGACGAACGGCAACAGCCCATATGCAGGGAAACGTTGAATCAACCACTAGGTTGAGAGCCAGTATAGTCGCCTTGGAAGTCAAACTACTATTGAACCGTTTTACAGAGAGAAAATGAGAAAGTCAATGAGGAGTCTCGTGCCGTAGCGGCCTAGATCGATGCTCTGCCATTAACATCAAATATACTCTTGATTTTGTAATACAAAAGCTAGTAATTTGAAGATATTTATGCCGTGTACACTTACCTCTAGCATACCTAGCATACCTTTCTCTTGATAGCACTCTATAGACTCCGACTGATGAAAAGTGGTTCCTGGACCGAAGTACTTGAGGTCAAATACTTCTGTCACACCACCGTATAGGGTCCATCGACACCTAACTTGGCCAGTTCGCTGATGCTAGTTACAGCTGTTCTGGTCTGACCCCCTAAAACCACCACTTCATTTACTCTTCTACTTAGGATGTTTGTGAAATCCATTGTTTTGTCAGGATTACACTCGATATTAGTCATGGTTAAGTTCAACATTCTAACTTCGATCATCTCACGTATCGACCACCACTTTCCACCAGAGGTTCTTCTCTTACCTTAAATCAAGTGACTCAGCCTAAATCCTTGCGCTAGAATAGTTGGCCTCTATATCCTATGTGCCCTTCTTTGACGCAATGCATCATTTCAAACTCTACTATCATTGGAGCGCGTAGTATGAAGATAACAGGTCAAACGGAAGACAGAGGAACACGCAAGCTACGGACTGGTGGAAATACACAGTAAACAAACCTAAAGCAACAATAAGGACGAAGGACCGTAAGCCCTAATCCCCCAATCACACAACCGCAATTCATAATGACCTCCCATGGAGTCATCGGCAAAAACCGGGACGCGAACACGGGATATTCGGGAAATCCATTCAGCCATTGGATGAACAGTAAAGCTCTCCTTTTGCTACTTTCCTTCTCAATCTTTTCTTTAAACTCTTGACTTTGCCTGCGCATATACACACTCACACGTTCACCTGCAAGGGAGCCGTTGAGTTGTGCGCGCTGCAGGGTGTCGGGTGAGATCGTCACATTCTCGGGTTAACGGTGCCTCGGTCACACCAGGCCACTTCTCGGGTCCCCGCATTTTGCGTTTTCGTCGAGTTTTCGCTTCTTCTCTTTTCTTTTCTTTTTTTTTTTTTCTTCTTTGCTTATTCCTGGGTTTGCGTGCAGATGCGCTTTTGCGAGATTCAGCGCTGGATCCAGTGTACAGTATCGGCGCTGCAGATGCTCGGCACGCGACAGATCGCGACAGAAGCGCGACTCTATGAGACTCGGAAAGAGATCAGATCAGATCAGATTGGATCCGATTAAGGTCTTCGGACTTCAGACTCAGATTTCACTAACCTGGAGACACTAACCTTCCAGGAAACTACTGAATCTACTCATCGGAGATCATTGAAAACACTGAGAACATTTGAAATTCGTTTCATTTACATGAGCAATGCATTAACCTTCCAAAGGACGAGCCATGGTCCAGACCACAGCGAAGAAGAAACTTGGCTTCGAAACAAGAAAAGAGGTATGTATCCCATCCGCACACCGGCGGTAAACAAACAACGGATCATAAAGCTGACCATCTACTAGATGATTTTACTCTTTACTCCATGGACAGACCGAGGTTCTCCTCGGCGGGCACCACACGAACGGTGTTGGTGTGGCCCATACCGCCGCGCCATCCCTGGACACAGACGATGGGGTCGCCCTTGTTGACGATACCGAGCTTGAGACCGTGGTTGATGGCCCACTTGAGACGGCGGTCGACATCCTCCTGCCAGATCTTGACGTTGAAGTCGGGCTTGGTCTCGGGGAAGTAGAAGGGCCAGACACCGCGGTACAGGTGAGAGTACTGGAAAACTTGTCAGCAGGAAACGATACCCGGCTTTTCGACTTGAACTTACGCGGGAAGCGGTGGCGTTTCGGGTGACCATGAGGATAGGGCAGACGGGACGGTACTTGGACAGAAGGCGGGCGGTTTTGCCGCTGTGATCTTATCAGCATCATATCATGAATGACCTGGTTACGGGACTTACCTGGTGGTCAGGACGACAATGGCACCGGCGTTCAGCTCCAGAGAGGCACTGACGGCAGCCATGGCAATGGACTCGGAGGTTTCAGTGGGGCGGGGAGCGAGGTTGCGGAGCTCATCGAACACGTTGAAGTGAGGGATGGCGACCTCGGCCAACAGACAGGTCTCGGACATCATCTTGACGGCCTCGCAAGGGTAGTTACCCTTGGCGGTCTCACCAGACAGCATGACACAGTCAGCACCGTCGAGAACGGCGTTGGCAACATCGGAAACCTCAGCACGAGTGGGGCGGGGGTTGTATGTCATGGACTCGAGCATTTGAGTGGCACAGATGACGGGCTTGCCCTTGATGTTACACTTGGCGATCATCATCTTCTGGGCGATGAACACCTTGGGGGCGGGGATCTCAATACCAAGGTCACCACGGGCAACCATGACACCGTCGGTCTCCTCGAGAATCTCATCGAAGTTGTTGACACCCTGCTGGTTCTCGATCTTGGCGATAATCTGAATCTCCTTGCCGTCCTCGCCGAGGATCTCACGGATGTGCTTGATGTCGCTGCCGCGACGGATGAATGAGGCAAACACCATGTCGACCTTGTTCTTAACACCGAAACGGAGATCGGCAATATCCTTCTCCGACAGAGCAGGGAGGTCTACGTCAGTGCCGGGAAGGTTGACACCCTTGCGGGAGGAGATGTTGCCGTTGTTCAGACACTTAACCTTGAGGGTCTGATCGTCAACAACCTCAACAACCTCGAAGGACAGGATACCGTCATCGACATAGATGAGCTTGCCAGCAGAGATCACCTTGGTGATGTTCTTGTAGTCAAGGTACCTATCGTCTGTCAGTCCACGCCACAAATCGAAGCAATCGAGTCCAGCTACGCCAAACATCAAATCCAATCTGCCATCGAAGGAGAGAATCTTACATGTTCTTGTCGTCACTGGCGGTGGCGTATTGCTCATCGGTGGTGATGTTGAGGATGGTGCCCTCCTTGATAGGGATATCCGCGTCACCGACGGTGTTACCGGTACGAATCTCGGGGCCCTTGGTATCGAGGGCAATGGCGAGAGGACGGCCAGTCTGGACACGGGCAGCCTCACGGGCGTTGTCAATGACAGATTGGTGGTACTGTGAGCATGTCAGCAATTGTCCGATAAGCACTTTGGATTGCAGATACTGACTTCGTATGAGCCGTGGGAGAAGTTCATGCGAACAACGTTGAGACCAACTGTTACTGGGTCAGTTTACCTCCTACAAAAAAAAACAGCTTAACCCCATCAAAAAGGATTGCCGTACCTTTGCGGAGAGCATTGATCTTCTCGGCGGAGTTTGTCTTGGGACCTGTTATCGATAGCCTGTCAGCGGGGTATTCTTGTCCGGAATTTTTTTTGTCTCTCACAGGTTCAAACTGGAGGGTGAGTATATGGATTGACATACCAATGGTACCGATGATGGAGGTACGGCGGAAGTTCTTCGCAGGCACCATCTCGGTGTTAAGCTTGGAGTGCCACTCCAGCTTCATGCGGTTGCTCAGGTGGTCGAGGGAGCTAGTGGCCGCCATTTTGATGTGATGAACAAGAAGTTCTTTTAGGGAAATGGAGGAAAAGGTGAGAGCTGATCAAATTGAGGATCAGAATGGATGGAGAAGAAAGAATGAGAGGGGAAGAGAAAACGGAAGTTGGGTGAGGGGCGGGAGGGAAAATGTTGGCCGCCGGTGTGAACATCTCCGGCCGCATCCCAATACTTTTTTTGGTCTCTACTAGTGGTCTTGGACCGTAATCTACCCTATCAATTTACACATTTACTTGATTTACTCGGTACTTTTTTCTCATCTCAATTATCTACTCTTGTAGCTCTACACCGAAATACGTGCGGAGGTCGGTAGCGGGCGGGATGCCCGTTTAGGCAGAAAAAAAAATATATCTGTTAACTCCAGACCGCAAAAAGCGGAGGACGGAGTGCCCCGTGCTGTTCTTCGCGCAGTACATTGGAGTCCCCCTTGGACTATCGAATAAACGTGACAAATACAGGCACTTAATTGATCGAGCCAAAACGGTTCTCGGTGGGAGAGCTTATCGTCCGAATCAGGACTAGCGTCTTGGGGAGTAGAAGTCACCCTGCCACCGTTGGCTATTATGTCAGCATGATCTTCCCAGCCTCATCTCCAGCCACACTAAGCGTCATGTGAATTTACACGTGACCGCTTCGATCATGCCTGTCCCCATGACAGCTTGGATCGCACTCTCTCTTGTGTATCTCCAATTCTGGGTGACGGTCAAATTCCTCTATTCCACAGAATTGATCTCTACTCTTCATGATGGTGAGAAATCCCTGCTGGTCTATCTCTGGCAGCCGAGGTTCCCGATCCACTTGGGCATGAAGCATGAAGCATGACTGACTCTGACTCTTTGTTGCTACCTAGTTCGGCCGTCTCACCCACTACGCATTTGATGCGGTTCTCTGTAAGTGGTTTTCTCTATACCGCACTCTATACCGCACTCTATACCGCATGCATAGAATGCAGACTAATCCAAATTCCAGTCTCCGCCTTCCTGGCAGGTGTCAAGCGATCCACAGGCCTAACGTAAATATACACTCTCCCCCCCCCGCCCACGATCTCCCTCCTTTGGACCCAGTATTTCCCTCCGTTATATCCGGACACGTGGAAACTATATCAAGAACCTTGGACTAACTCTGTCACCCCGCGCACCCCATCCTTGGGTAGTGTGCGCGTGGGAACTTCACAGCCCCAGCGTTGACTCAGACAAAATCTCAGACAACAAGGAAGTCCAGAAATGGATCAATAACTACCTCGGTGTCGGCGAGTGGGTAATGGACCAATCCGTTGCCGTCATGGGTTCCTCCGCCTGGTTCGAGCGCCGCCGATGATTTGCACAAAACATACTCAACTCAACCCCCCAGAAGCAACCGATACTTTTCAAAATCTGAGGATGGTGTGGCATGGGTCGCTGAGCGAGCAGAATTGTGTATTCGCTGCTCCTGCTCTACTCCACCCGATGGGATGTGACGATATAAGTTTGTAAATATTGCGGACGGTGTCTATCCTTGACCTTGGGCTTGTTCGCGCCCAAAGGTTGAATTGACGAGTGATGACCGATTATTATCTACGCTCCACTTTTCGACCGATGCTATGAGGTCTGGCGTCCTGGCTTTGAACAGCTTGTTTTTCGATACCTTTTGTCTTTGTGCCTATTCTTTATCAAACAAATCCATGAGGTTAGCAGACATCTCGTTCTCGGTCTTATTAGTATCTTCCGGTGTTGGTTTAAACACTGGCTGGGTTCCGACTTGGTGCTTCGGGCTGTGGGCTTCTGCGATGGGCTTGTGTATCTAGGTAGGTAGGTATAGGGGTGTAGCTAGAATTAAGCTCTGCCGATATTGCTGTGGAAATACAGCGTGCTCGAGGTGGTGGTCTCGGTGACTCCTAAATTCGTTTCCTAGGCGGATATGATACTAGACTGATGTCACACCCATCGTTCAACCTCGTTCAAAAATGATGACCATAATTAATGGAGCAGCTCGAACATGATTCGTTCAAGCAAATGCAATGCAATCGGTCAGGGGTATGTAAAAAATAAAAGAAGGTCCAAAGCACGACAAACATCTCAAAAGGTCGCTCAGGTCTTCAAAAGACCATCAATATCCACACGTCGGTAGTAGGAGATATGGCCCATTTCCTCCCAATAGTGGCCAATAAAGTCGGGAGACATAAGAATTAACTGGGATTTTATATAGCAGTCTGTTGAGATTATGTTAGAAAAGCCATTCTTGGAAAGAAGCATCGCTTACCATCTCGGAACCCTAGTCCCGCTACATGTCCCTCGCAATGGACAATACGGGAACCCGCAAAAGGCTCGTCCGTCGTTACTCGAATCAAACCTTTGGGGCCAATGTCCTCCGCGATAAATGAGTACTGGCCTCGAGGAACGTTGGGATCACCTGTGAGCTTGATGGCTTCCAGGCGACCTTGTTGCACGATCTCTGTAGAATCTGCGGTCTCATCTGGATCCTCGCTTTCGGAAATTGGATCTACTTGACGAAACAGAAGAAACTCACACCCATGAGCTGAATAGTCGCCGACCCATATTCCCTGGTATGGCTTCTTCTTTGTGGGGGTGTAAAGGCTCGGGTCAAGAGTTGAATATGTAACAGTGGCCTCTCTTGGGCCCGAGGAGAACACATGCCGGTAATTCGCCCATTTTCTCAGACGAAAAGCATACTCCGACAGCTCCGAAATATACTTTGGAACCTGGGGGCACCCCGGTTCTTCTGGGTGATTTCTGAGGTCACGACTTACTCGTGAATCGCTGGGGATGATTGAGGGTGGCCAGAAGTCATCGGAACTTGGTTTCGTATTGGAGCAGAATGAGATCGCACTGTATACATGTTGTGCCTCCAAAGCCATTGGCATCCGACGCTCCGCGGACAAATAACCTAAAGCTTGAATTGGCGCTGTCGAAGAGGACGGTTCCGGGTCTTTGAGGAATAAAACAGGATCGTCCAGCCACAAATGAATCCGGGGATCGAAAGATTGAATTATAACATCTGGGTTTGCCTCCCAGACATCGAATGAGGGAGTGCCACGCTCTGCGAGAATGCGGTATGCTTCAACCACGCCTCGGCGGTTATCATATCGAGCCAAGATTAAGGAACCCGTGTTCTCATTGTCCGCGAACCAGACCTTGTGTTGCGGTATAAACCAGCAGGGATGGTACGCAAGATATAGACGACGGAAGGATTGAAAAACGCCTGGATGCTCAATGGGGTGCGGGATTCTTGCGTTAACAAGCCCAGCCCACAGCAGATCGCTGGATCCATGATCGACAAGAGCTCGGCAAGTGGCTGAGGCACGGGCGAGATCCGGTGCTGAGAGATAAGAGAGGATCCAGTGGATGATTTCAGCGGGCAACTCTAGAAACCAGGATGGCGACCGTGATGGCCGTTCATCGGCCAGTACATAAATAGATGAATCATCGGAAACGAGGTCACTTTGGTACTGGAAACAAACAAGTGAGGTTAGCTATGGTTTCTGGACACAATGTCGGACATATGTATATAACAAGCATACCGTGCCAGATGACGTGTCGTCTTCCATCTTCGAGTGGTCTCAAGAGCACAATATAGATGTTAGAGCGCCAATATCACAGACGGCATCACCGAGAAGACCAGATGGGAAACATGGCAGGGAGGAACGTATCCAAGTTTATGTGCCACAGTAGAGCTCGATAAGAAGATAAGAGAAAAAGGCCCACTTTGTCATATCTGTGGGGTAACTCACCATACAAGTGCCGTGGGATCGGAGGACTTGGACGTGTAGACTGACTATTTTGATAACAGGGTCTGTTACCAGATATATTACAGCTGCATCAGAGGCTCAAGATACAGTCACGTGTTTGTATGACATCACTTGCGGTGATTTCAGCATCGCTATATCTACAGATGCCACTTTAGAACATCATCTGGACCTTAGTTACAACGTAGGATAGATTGGAGAGAAGACATAATACAGGTACCAACAGCCTTGACATTCAGACAATTACAAAGAAGCAAAAGCTAAGTCACATGGACAAAGTATGTCGGCCTGAGGCTTTAACTCACATGATCGCCTAAAGAAGCAGATTGTTTACGCCGGATTAGCAAAGACCAATCCAGGCACGCGCCTGCTGCCTGCCTCGCCCCACACTTTGTTTGTTTACAACATTTGTGATCTATACAATTGTCTGCTATAAAGGGGCGGACTTGTAACTTCGCATCTGTGTGAAACATTTCTATTTGTGAGAAATTTCATTCATTGCAAATTATCCCACATTTCAAACATGGATATCACTCGCTCAGCAAGAAAACGGAGGAATAGTTCTGTCTCAAACTCAAGAGATCAATCTCCAGTCTCACACCGAACACGACAAAGCCTAACAGCGGTATCCTCGGATGCCAATTGTATCCAACAAAAGCCAGTTGCTGTTACACCAAAGAAGTCAAGAAAAAGAGTTCGGTTTTCCGACCCCGGTCCTCGGTTGCTGCAAGATGCAGATATCGGATCCACCGGCTTATCGCCAGCTTTGCGGCGTACATCCTTCCAGGGGCGGGGTGCATCATCAGGATCAGGAGATCGCACACCTAGCCGCGCAGCACGCCGCAGGTCCGCTCCCACACCACGGTTTCAGCGGTCTTATGACCCGGTTGAGCCATTTGATGAAAAATGCACGGAGCGGAGGATTCAATTTACCCCACTGCGTCAGATTTTGGATACACGCACCCAAAGACGAATTCGTCGGATTGGATTGAGCGATGAGATCAATGATATCCAGCGTGAGAAGCGTGAAACAAGCAACTATGAGAAGACTATGCGCAATCTCATCCAGGAGCGAGACGCACTGAAGAATCAACTGAGATCTATGAAGCAAAATGGAACGGGCTATGAAGACGAATCCTCGGCGGCAGAGGCCTTCTGGATGACGCCGGAAACACTTTGTGATGATGTATCTGTGACTTCCAATGATAGCCCGCATGACGCTATTCAGGCCAACGGTGACGATGATATTTTCATGCTTAATGATACTGCCATAATTGTGTCTAGTTCTCCTGATTTCCGTGGCATTCGGGACTGCAACCCACCGGTCACGGATACATTGATGCTCGAGGAGGCTTCAACGATACATTTATCTGCAGAAGCATCCGACACCGTGACCCTTGCCATTGACCTGGAGACTGCCAGGAAAGAAAAAAGAATCCTTTTTGATGCCTGTCGATCGCGTTTCTCTGGACTCAATGAGCCCGCAATGGACAACTTGCTGCGCCAGTCATCTCCGCCCCCAGACTTGTTCGAAAACATTCTGGGAATCTTGGGAAATGCCTTATCTCGTGCTTCCGATGCCGCTGTGGCTCTTGAGGGAGTCAGCCAAGAATGCTCCGGCCTTGGATTCTCTGGCGAGGGAGTAAATGCCGTTATCGCTGATATGCGCTCTCATTTCCGCTCAGCACGTCTTGATCTGGAGCGTGCTATTCCAGGCGAAACTGCCAATGTCAGTCTTGAGGATGGAAAAGGGACTTTGAGTGCCTTGGTGAGGCGCGTTGAGTCCCTAGCAAAAGATCTGGGAACAGAGCGTAGCTACCATCACGGCTCCCTTGATCGCGAAAAGGCCATCCGAGGTCAATTCGACGCTCTACTACACCGATACGAAGCAGCTGCAAACAAAATCAACAGTCTCGAGGACTCAATCGCATCTTCCGCGGGCGACATGCTCCACACACGAATGCGAATGCAAGATCTCGAGCGCGAAGGCCAAGAACAGGCCGTTGGGATTGACAGATTAAGCACTGCTCTCGACAAATATCATGACGAAGTAAAGGGTCTCGAAGAACTCATCGACAATCTTGAAAAGGAGAACACCGCCGTGAAGGAGGACTACGTTTGGCAGATATCCAATCTCAAGAAGCAAGTTGCCTGTGAGCATTCCAAGCGTCTTACTGCCGAAGCTTCCGCTTCCGAGAACAACGCCCGCATCAGCGAGTTGGAAAAGACCGTTGAGCACAATCACATTCGCACCTGTGACTTGATGGCTCAGGTTGAGATTCTCGAAAAGGAACACCAAAAGGCCGTGGAGGCTCTGGATCAAAGTAACAGCGAGCTCCCAAACCATGCAGCGGAAACAGGTACTCTGAATGTTCGCATCTCGGACCTCTCCACGTCATTAGATGGGGCCAAATCCGAGGTACAGCGTCTCCGCCTAATCAACACAGGCCTCGAAGAGCAACTTCAACAAGAAATCGAGGCTCGCAATGAGGTCCTCGATAAATGGGCCGCAGACCAAGCACACTCATTTGCCAACATGAAAGAGACGATCAATGCAGAGCGCCGGAGGGCCAAGGTGCGCGCAGCCAACTGGGAATTGAAATCTGACGGTCTCATGTCTGATGCCACAACAATGGACTGTGGAAGCGAGCCTATCACTCCTGTCGGCATGACACGTTTTGTGGACATCGAGTTTGGCCGGGGCAAGGGCCGCCGACGCATGGATAGTGGCATTGGGATTCTCACTGAGGAGGAACTCCTGAAGGACGATGGTGCATCAGACCTACGGCACGGTTTTGACTCTGATATTGATCTACCTACATCTGATTTCGTGTAATCTGTATTATATACTCTAACCTTCACTTTCGCTTCACTTTCATTTGTTATATTGTGGCACTGTTGGAACCACCAGCTTCATATCTCATCATATACATATCAACTAATGAAGGGCAAATTTTGACTCTTCCTTTTTGTTCTAAACCCACCTCTTGTCGATTTTCTGGGGCTCGATGGCTTTTGTTTTATAGGCGGGAGTAAAGGCTGAGATGCATCTTACCTTGGCGTTTGTGACATCTCTCTCCATACTAAGAGACAAGTTTACAAATCTAGCTGGAAATTTTCCGTGTTTGACCACGGCCTTGGCTATAAATTCGTTTCGTTGACCGTTGCCTTGATTCCTCTGCCTTTCTTTATTTTCATATTATTTTCTACCATTCCCCGACTTTTTTCACGTTTTGCTGTGGTCAGATGTGCCGGGCAAGCCCATTGGGTCGCAATATACTCCATACTTATTCGTGAAAGGCGCTAACATCAATCAGAAGGATCCGTACAGCCCCCACCAGATCCTAGAAGCAACAATCAGAAGTCGCCGGTGATTTGCTATACATCAATCCCCGCCCTTTGCCTGCAGCTAGAACTACAGGGCAATAATCGGCAGCTGAGCCAAGGTACAAGACTGGAGATCATTTCCTTACTGGGAGCTAGTAAGGCTGTACGGGATCACCCTTGAGGCCGCGTGGGTAATGGCAAATGGTAGAAATTCCAACACCAGATTTTCACTAGGCGAAACTAAGCAACACTGTCAAGATCAAGATCCATAGATCAGTAGCCCCCACGAAAATTGAACAAGATGGCCAACAGGTAAAAGCAGCTTTGCCGATGATTCTGGTGTATTGCTCAATAAGTAATTACTCTCCAACTTCTCACACCCCACCATCAGTTCTCCGGGGTTGAATTACTTCATAGCCCCCATCAAGGAACCGTTCATAGTATAGTATACTTGTGTATTGAGGATGTTTGCGTCAATGGACGTGTTTTTAACCTTTCAGAAAGGTATAAAGGACCTCTTAAGGCCCGGTGTTGAATTTCTCTATCCATCAACAATTACTTCCATTCCAGGACTCCACAACAACAATTCATCTACCAACGGTCACAATGTTCATTCAAAAGCTCGCCCCCGCCTTCCTCGCTGTTGTGGCTAGTCTACCAGCTACTTTGGCAGGCACCTGCGCCGTCGTGGGCGAAGTCCGCGATATTCATGGCGGAGGATCACAGGATGTCCCAGCCACTACCGGGAATGGTACAAAGCTTACCTACGACAGTCAAAGGGTTTTCACGGCGACACTACATTCTGGACTGGCGATGACGGGGACCTTGAAGGTGATGCCACTCTAGCTTCGCCAGTCGCATGGACTGCTCATTGCTCTTTTGGTAGTATCATGTTAGTCTTTCAGTTGCTCTGCCTTCCTCTGCGAGCCTTTTTCCCAACGAATATACTCATCTATCACGTACAGCTCATGCTCTGCTGATTACCAAGGCCAGAAAGGTCTCAAGGGCGTGATGGGTGACAGATTTGACCAGAAATACCACTCTTCCACTGTCACTTTCGACTGCTAAATGTCGGTGGCCACGCCTGTGACTGCTTATTTTGGTATCTGAAGTTTGAGGGGGTGTGGGATCTTGCCGTGTCATCTCCTCCGTTTGCAATTATCAATATAGCTTCATAAAGAATTCAAGGGATCATTTCTATACCAGAATCTACTGTTCAACATCGTGTACAAGAATTATTGGATTTTGGGTATATCCATAGTGTCTTTTTCATAATCATAATGGAAAAAACAACAGGCTTCAATTGAATAACAATTAGACCCCATCCGACAGACATTACAGCATTACAGTTCGCTGCCTACACGTGCATATACATATGCACTTCTATTTCTTTCTTCAGTGACACATTTTGCCGAAATTACCGATGATTTCTTCCATCTTGTATCTGCGGGGAATTGTCGGCTACAGCCGTTCCGGAGATACGACCTATATATACTCTTCAACGAGTTTGCGAGCGCTTAGCCGTATCCAGCGCTGATCACTCCCAAAAAGCCTTATGGTTACTATTTCAAGTTGCATCCAATCTTAAATGAAAGAGGAGTAAGCTCGTATACTTAAGCCCGGCTGTCCACATTCATACTCCTAGACATCAATTTCCCCAAACACGATGAAACTCCAACTACCAACCACTATTTCCCTCCTAGCACTCCTCGCCTCAACTTGCATTGCTTCAGACCGCATCCTCAAGCATGATACTCCCGGCTCAGTTGGCCTTCTACCTCAACCCCTCCAGCAAATGCAATTGAATCTAAGCCAATATACCCTCCCAGCCAACTACGGGTCTCACAGCTATAACGAAATCCATCCAATTCAACCAGGAGGCACAGTAATAGTCGGCCACAAATCCACAATAGTGAGCGCTTTCTCTTTCGGAAACGCAAGTCTATACGCAGACTCCAATGGCACCTTACTACCTCCATCCGAGTGGATTCCAACAGAAATGGACACAATCTACGACATGGCTAGCCTGACAAAGATCTTCACGGCAGTGGCAGTATTGCGCGCCATCGATGATGGAAAATTAGACTTGAACCGAACCGTCGCGTCTTACATGCCTGAATTCGCAACAAATGGGAAGGATAACATCACTGTTCTCATGCTGTTGACCCATACCAGCGGATTCCCGCCAGATCCTCTACCTGGCCTGTATGATTCGAGCTATAAGACTAAGCAACAACGTATTGACGCAATAATCAAGCAAAAGCTTGCCAATCCTCCTGGTTCTATATATACATACTCCGATCTGAACTTTATGAACCTACGCTTCTTACTGGAGAAGGTCACTGGGGCTCCTTTTGAAGAGATTATTCATTCATTCACCAAGGACCTGGGTATGAAAAGTACATTCTTCAACAAGGGGAACGACCAGTCGCATTCTTTCCCCTATTACTCGCGCATGGCACCCACGGAATATCAAATCGAAGTCCTTGGAGACTCCGAGCCGCATCGTCCTCAGCCCGTCCGAGGAACTGTCCACGATGAAAATGCCTGGGCGTTGGATGGCGTGAGCGGCCATGCGGGTCTCTTCTCCACGGCTGGGGATGTAGCGATCCTTTGTCAGATGATCTTGAATAACGGGACGTATGGTGGCAAGCGGATCTTAAGTCCCGAAAAGGTTGATTTGATGTTCACGGATTTTAATACGAAGTTTCCAGGTGATGCCCATAGTGTTGGCTTGGAACTTGATCAGTTTTATTTCTCTGGGCCGATGGCTAATATTTCGGCTGGTGGGCATACTGGGTTTACGGGTACTACGCTTGTTGTTGATCGGGCTTCGAATACTTTTATGGTTATGATGGCGCATCATGTTCATCCGAATCGGAATTGGGCGAGTAATAATATCGTGAGAGAAGCGGTGGGGTATTGGGTTGCGAGATCTCTTGGGAAGAATGTTTCTTTCCCGGCTTAGAGAGGGTGAGGTACAAGAAGAAGCCAACATAACGGTTGGAAAATGATAGTTGAAGTGATTAACGTATTGCGGTAGAAGGCAGAAAGTACTCATCGCATACAGGTGAAATTGATCGGTATCTTGAAGATTAGAAGAATTCAATATCAATTAATATGAAACAGCCACGCATCAGAATATCCTGTCACGCTTTCTATAGGTATAAACAAATGGTATCACTCTAATAACAAAGGCATTCAAGAACAAAATACGAAAGACAGGGCCAAGCTAAATCAAGAATGAACTGCTCGCTGGCTAGTTTCCTCGTTAGCTACCTTCAGCGACTCAGGCTCAGGCTCCAAATGCTGCTTATGTCCAGGCCGAGCAAAGATAGCACCAAAGAAGTTGAAAATGTTGGTGGTTCGAAGGATCATTGTATAGAAAAGTGTGAGCCCAATCACAAAGATTTCCTCCTGAGCAGCCTGGTCATGCGCTTTGGGGCCATCGAACTCAATCTTTCCGACCTTAGAAACAGCCCATTGGTTGGCCGAGAATCTAGCAACAGGATTTTGATTCTCATCAACGCAGACGAAATCCCACGTCTTGAATCCGTAGTCGCTAGTCCAGGTCATGGTGACTGGAGTATCGGTATCGGAGAAATTGAGGGAGCGGTGGGTGTAGACTGTTTGCCAGCGCTTCTGTGCTAACAGGGAGCCCTTTTGGCCGTGGAGGTTGTAGTAGGCATTAATCGAGACCATTTGGAGCTTGCCTGTGCCGACGACTTCTTCGTCGGAGGCTCTTTTCACGATCATGCTTTCTGATTTTGGGAGCATGTTCCATGGAAAGCTGACGATGTATTGGGGGCCTTCTTCTGGTTTGTCGAGGTCGGAGATCATGGCTTTCCATTTCTTCCATGTCATGTCCACTTTGAAGGTAGGGTTGGAAGTAGTCTGTCGAGGCATATCTTGTTGAGACATATCGGACGGAAGACGATTTGTGAGGATTGGTTAAAAAAGCTTGAAGGCCTGCGATTGAGGGTTGAATTTTCTGCTTCTATTTTGAAGACGTGGACCTACACACCTTTTATATACTCAAGATCCTCAAATGTCTGCATCACAGCCCTGAGGCGCAGAGTCTTGGCGGCCTCTTAACCTCCCGCTGCGCTAACCGCTTTGGGTGCCACTGGCCGCTGTCCCAATCAATTGCAGCTCTCGGTATTTTTCCGAAAGGCGATGATGTCAAATTTAAGCCTGAGATTGGGGGCCAAATTATAGCATTGCCCCAATGCGCCAGATACAGCCAAAGTCTGCAAAATGGCCATGTTGATAAAGTTTAGTTTAAGCACTGGGCTTGGCGCTATACTTGATTTTGACGATGACGTTGGTGGGCGTAACTACCTCCGACTCTTGATTTAAACAATTCAACTCTCTTCATTCTAATAAACCACATCGAACATACTCACTAGATCCCAAAGATGGCCGACGAAGAAACAAACGCCCATAAATATCGCCTGAGGGTGGCAGCAGGACCAGAATACGAGCCCAACACTCACCAAGTGGTCCCCGTAAACGGCGAGACACTTCGAATCGAAAATGAGCATGCAATAATCAGTCTCTGCGTACGAATCCAAGACTACACAGGTATCAAACATCGGCCTACTCCTCTAATCAAAACGAACAAACCCTAACCCAAACAGGCTACCCCGAGGGCTCAGCATCTACAAGCCCATATTTCGAACATCCACTACACTTAAAAGACCAATACTCAATATCCTTCTCAATTATCTTCAAAGAGCCCGTAAATGGCAACAACCTTATCTTCGGCAATGACTTCGACAGACCAATCCGCGACATCCTCCCACCAGGCTTCAAAACAGCCCTGCGCATGGTGAAATGGACTATCGACCCCAGTCTAGATGGTGATGCGTATGCCGATAAGCCATATCTGTTTAGTCCCGCGCTGGCTACGTTTAACTTTCTCCGCATTGGGGAGAAGATGAGCAAATCGGATGAGGTGCCGACTCTTCATAATGAGGTTGTTGAAGAGGGCGCTGATGGGGAAGAGGCCACTGAAACGCGGCAGGAGTGGCCTGATGCGGGTTCCAGAAAGAAGTTCTTCCAGGATGAGGCTAAGAGGAAGGAGTTTGATTTTGAGGCTGGGAGGTTGTACATGGTTGATTTTGGGAATCCATATTTGGCTTTTAGTGGTGAATTACACTACGTTGATGATGGTTGGGTTGGATTTTGGCTAATTGGTGTATAGATCTCTCGGTTCGACTTCCTGGTATTACTATTCATGCTATGAAATATGTTAGTGATAAGGATCATGACTTGCGCTATGTCCTTAAGGATAGGACAACGGGGCGGGTGTACCTTGTTATTGTGTTTACGGTTGTCTTGCGTGATATCGCGCCGGATCAAGGGTACACTCAGACTGATGGCAAAGGCAACTCGGGAAGATTTGACTGGGAATCGGAGCCATCGGCCGCTGATGTTGAGTGACGGGCTAGATTCACTGAAGAGTGATAGATATCATTTAAACAATTTTGACCTCCTTGCTAATCAACTGCAAACTATGGGTTTATACAAGTTTCTTTTACAGCCTCTTCAGGACGTCGTCCAAGACTTGCTGGGTAGTAGCCTTGCCGCCCATGTCGGGGGTAAGGAACTTGCCGTCATCAAGGTTACCGTCAACAGCAGTGTAGATCTTGGCAGCAGCGTTAGCCTCACCGAGGAACTCGAGCATCAAGGCAACACTGCGGAAAGTAGCAATGGGGTTGGAGATGCCGAGACCCTCGATGTCGGGGGCAGAGCCGTGGCAAGGCTCACCAATAGCGAAGTTGTCACCGACGTTAGCACTGGGAACGAGACCAAGGGAGCCGACAAGGGCAGCGGCACCGTCAGACAGGATGTCACCGTACAGGTTAGGGGCAACAATGACATCGTAGTACTCGGGCTGGCGGAAGAGCTTGTAGACCATGGAGTCGACAATCTGTTCCTCGACGTGGATGGAGGAGAACTTCTCGGCGGAGAGGGCCTTGCGGGCAGTTTCACGGAAGAGACCGTCGGTCTGGGAGAGGACGTTGGACTTGTGGGTAATGGTCACCATGGGCTTGGTGTGGGCGGAGGTGCCGGGGGCAGCGGCGCGGATGGCCTGACGGCTGAGAGCGATCTCACCGGCGATGGTGGCAATGCGGGAAGAAGCACGCTCGGAGATACGCTTGATAGCCTCGGCGACCTTGCCGTCGGGGCCCTCGATGGTGCGCTCCTCCTTCACGTAGAGGTCCTCGGTGTTCTCACGAACAGTGACCAGGTCAATGGGGTTGCCGCGGCTGCTGCCGACGGTTGTCTTAACAGGGCGGACGTTGGCGAACAAGTCGAGCTTCTTGCGGAGAGCGACAATGGGGGAGGAGTAGCCGGCGACCTTGGTGCTGGGGGAGCTGTTGATAGCGTTAGGCGATTCGCGCTTTGCAATGGCATCCGTGCTTACCTGACGGCACCAAAGAGAGCACCATCACACTCCTTCTTCAGGGTGTCGACGGTCTTGTCGGGGAGAGCAGTTCCTGTCTTCTGGAAAGTGTCGAAACCAGCATCGAGGTCGACGAAGCTGAACTTGAGGTTCAGGGACGAAGGAAGAGACTCAAGCACCTTACGGCCGGCCTATATCACAGCAATAAACATTCAGTCAGCCAATTGGTCTGTCTTTGAGTCGAGAGAGCTACCCACCGGGATGACCTCCCGTCCGATACCGTCTCCGGGGATGAGACCTATATGATCCTATTAGCCAATTGGGGAGCATTGAGATCGCGGAACCATCGAATTGTACCAATGCGAAGTGTACGGGCAGCAGCAGCCATTTTGATAGACTTATTGGAGAGTTGCTTCCTGGAATCGACAGTCGCCGTCATCGGAGCTTTTCGTTTTGTATGCGGGCTCGGATAATCATTGATCCAGACATACTCCGGGGTCCGGAGTAGATGTCGTGATGGATCTACGAGGGCTCTAGGCTTCAGTTACCCTGACTGTCAAGTAATTGGAGTAGGAAATATTGTTCAAATCACAGTTTCAATTTGTCTTTGGCCAAAAAAGTGGATGTACAGGAGCAGGTCAGCCTCAAAACCACAGGCTATGGATGTGCATATGGATTGCCTAAACGAGTCATTGAGCGCGAGCATGAAAGTGAATAACCTTCAATTAGGTGCCACATATCTAGCGGCTCGCTCAGCGTCGGATCATATTTTGTTTTCCCTCTAAATTTGCCATCAGTTGCTAGCCATTAAGCTCAACTTTTTCGGGTCTCGAGCCAAGCAAATACACGCTAAGCCTAAATAGGTCACTTCTCGCGATGTGGGTCCGCAAGTATAGAGTCAGGGAATACGACAGAGATTGAAGCCCCAAGGATAAGAGAAAGTATTTAAACAGACTAGAAGCCCTTGAATAGGCACCTGGCATACGCAATCACATATCTCAGCTTCATCAAGTATCCAGCTTGACTCTTTGAGACAGCTCACCATGGCACTCAACATCTTATCTCGTTCCTCAAACTCGCCGATCTCAACTGGAAAGCGTAGTATTGCCATTGCAGAGATCGTTATATATTCCATTATACACATTGCCCAATTCAGCACAAGATTCATGCAAGAGCGACGGTACTGGCATCACAACAAAAATAAGAGCATTGGACGTTGTGTTCTCTACTCTTGGTGGAGCATGGTTGGACTCTTGTCACAGGGTAAGTAAATCTTGTGTCCCACATTCTGAGATCCAACACTATAACACTATCACAGTCCGCATAGCTGGCTCATCCCTCGTCCTATCCACCTCACGCCCAGACAAACCAATGCTCGTCGCCGAATCCGTCTTGCAAAGCGTAGGCCTCTCGCCTCTTTTGTTCGAAGTGAGTTTGATCATGCTGCGATGGTATGTCAAATATAAAGAAATCCCCGATACTTTTTGATAAATGCTAACAATTCATTCTTCAGTGGACAATCCGGAGAATCTGGCCCCGGCAACTCAAAATGGTCCAAATGGACACGATTCGCCCTGCATTTCTTCCGTTTCCCGATTTTCATCGCTATCGTCCTGGCAGTTGTGGGCGCTTGTATCAACATGCATGCACTAGGAGAAGCCGGCTCGGTTGTTCTTGTCGTCACATTCGCTTATGTGTGCTGTCTTGTCGCTTGGCTTGCATTTAAATCGCGGACAATTCTTCCTGAGTCTGGGCACCGTGCTGCACTTGTGACGGTGTTCACTCTTCCCTTCCTCTTAGTGCGGATTGTCTACTTCCTTTTGTTGGAATATGGTCCTCCCAGGTTCAACCCGGCGACTGGTGATATTGGAATTTTGGTTGGCATGGGGCTTTTGATGGAAATTATTGTTGTCATTTTGCTTTTGGCAGCTCGTGGTGTGGTAGAGCCTGTTATGCCGGCTTTTATCGCTAAGCATATCGTTTATGACGACTTGGAATCGCCAAGCAATTGAGGTCTGAGTGTGCCCAGTTGAAATGGTTGATGGTCAGGGTATTATCTGTTCGTAAAGATTCAATTTTATATAATTTGCAAGTTTAAAGAATTGTTTTGTAGTTTTCTGGCTGGGCGGCTGCGTATATTTTTGAGAACTGCCCCAGGCGGTTCAAGATCCATGATCTTGTCACTGGATCGGCAATTTCGAAAGCCACGCGAAGAGGGAACCCCATTCGATAGGGTCCCATTATTCCCACACTAGCGTACTCAACTGATTTGCAAATTTGGTCTCGAAAATAGACGACCATGGCTGCGTGTTCCCCCGGTTGACAGCACGTTTTCAGTATCTCATGTATAACCACCATGTAAGAGTAGTAGGCACAGTAAATGGTCGCCTGGTTCACATCTTTGTATGTGAGAATGACGGGGTATAGTTCATCTCCTGTTGAAGAGAGAATTTCTAATGGCGGTGGTGCGATTTGAGAAAACTGCTCGTACCAAATAGCCAGTTTGGTCTGCATCTCGAGAGCTTTGGAGAGAACTTGGGTTATCGTTTGTAAGGCAGCTGTACTGGTCACATCCACATGTCTCAAGCTATAGAGCTTATGCGCAAGGCTCGGTGCATGTGTGAAATATGCAAAGAAAAGCTCGATACTGTGGTGAAGATCTGATGGCATATCGGACGTGAATTGTTGCCGCATCTTCTCATGCCACTCATCCGATGCCAAAAAGCATTCCTCGCCTGAGAACATTGAGTGCATTACCTGTCGTATTATGAGTATACTGCAAGGTATATCCATGTTTCAAATGAATGGAAGGACATACAATTAGCCCTCGTGAGGCTTTCAGTAGTGAATAATCAAGCGCATTGGAATACCTGTCTGGTCCTCGAATCTTGACCAACTGACTGAGGCCTTTGGCATGTTTCATCCATGACTCTGGATCATCAGTGTCAGTGAATAGCTATGTATGATCAGCATGTATTCCTGTTGGGCAAATCTGACCAGGCAAGTTACCTCATACATGCAGAGCAATACTACCGCACAAAATACATGAGTCGATAAGCTTTCAGCCGGGGTTTCTAACGACCTTCGTAGCCCACGCAACGCTTCCCCGTAAGCTGATCGGGCATATGAGACCATTTGGGAGTTCTCAGCAAGGCGTCCAAAATGATGTGCCGTGAAGGATCTGATTGTAGCATCCAATACCCGATTTTGTCCATAGATAGATGGAAGGAACCCGAACCAGCGGGTCACAACATGGGCCGGACTAGGAGTGATAGGTTGAGAAAAATCATCGATAAGAACATACAGGTGTTGCATCACATTCACATCTGGTGATATTAGAGAGGCTGGCTCCTCTCTAGGAATCAGATCCTGACAGGCAGAGTCAAGTTCAATTTCTGAACTGGAGGTTGCACTCTTGGGTGCTACATCCTTTCTGTCGCTTGCTGGACGACGTCTATCCCGATATGGCTTTCCAATGATAAATTTGAAGCCTTTATCATACCCAGGACATGGCTGGCCATATGTTTCGCATCTGGCACACCCAGGAAGTCTTTGGTCACACTGTGGCGTATCAGTAACTTAACATAGAAGTCGCTCTATTTCCAAGACACTCACCTTCACCCGGCGCTTTACACAGCGTAAGCAGCCATTGCTGCGAGGCACACCGACCATAGTCGATCATGATCAAGGAGATAGATGCTAAGGAGTGATAGATCCCGAATACGAGAACACGGTGTTATCACGTGATTATGATCAGACTGGTCTCTCATTGGTCAGATCAACAATAGTAAAAGTTGACGTATATGTTGATAACTATGAAGATGTTATAGACTAGACGTATTCTAGAAGAAATTGCCTCTGCATGGTTGTGGTACTGTGGGAAGGGTATGCACGTAAGCCCTTAGCTTTGGCCTTAACTGGTCATTTTCCAAACATGAACAATTCAATGATCAAGACAATATGTACAACATGTGCAATATCAATTGCCGGTGTTTATGCTCTCGATCATCTAGATCTCTACATACCTGAGCCACGCGGGAGATCTGATACCCCGCATAGTCCCGTAGATCGCAAATTCGATATAGAAAATATGGTCATTCACACATACACTAAGCATGTTCGAGCTTAATGTTAAAGATGGAATCCATGGTATGGGTAGAATTAAGGTAACGGTTCGGCCCTGTAGACGTGTGGACCAAAGCCACCAAGTCACCTGTGATCTTGCCTCAGGCAATATTTCCCCTTACTGAATCATATCATATTGCAATGTGTCCAGACGTGTTTCGGATGTTTCGGGACTCCTTAGGTGGCATCTCCGTAAGTGAAGCCCCTGAAACTCCAGGCGATCAATTCGCGCTAGTGTGGACTAGCGCGATGTATGTAATAGTTTCCCTTCTGCTCATTCTGTTCTCACCTTCATTCATCGTGTTGAACCCTTCTGGGGACATGCAGTGCGATCTGCAGCTTACCGATTAAACGTCACTGTTCCACTGTTTCTCCTCCCCCGATTTTACCCCTGTGTGCAGACGCGTTCCGTGACCCCCCTCATTACACATGCCCTTGCTCGAGCCTGAGCCTGAGCAAAATGTCCGATAGCAACCCCCATCACCCTGGCGTACGCAGCTTGCTGGCCAAGTTCGAAGGCCAAAGTCCGATCACCTCCCCGCCCTCCCGTGGCAGATCTCCTGCCGCCTCAGACACCTCGGGGACAGCTCGACAGTTGTCCAGGGTCCGCGCCAGCTTCGTGAACGTTGAAGGGGCCATACAATCCAACCCAGCATCGCCATTGAGGAAAACAAGTGGACGGAGTGATAGCCCTGGCATATTTGGACCGAAAATCAATTCGGAGGATGTGCAGTCGGGTCGGCAGAACATGGCTTCTCCTACCCCAGCCAGTCCGGTAGAGCACACCCAGAACGCGACTTTGGCCCAGATCATGGCAGAAGGTCGACCGGAACCCCTTCAATCGAAGCCCCAACTGGATAGCACCACTCAGGAGCCTGCTGCGCACTCTGAGACTACACCCCCGTCGCAAGACGCGCCGAAGGCAGGGACTGCCTCCGCCAAATCCAAGTCGACGTCCTCCGAGACCCACTCGCAAGATACCGACGCGTCAACCAAGAGAAAGCCGTCTACTGTTAGATCTACGGCTAACAAGCCATCGACTACTCCCACATCGACTGGCGGACAGCGATCCCAAGCTCCCACCTCCAAGCCCTCAGCCCGCGAAGTGGCCAAAGAGCGGTCCAACTCTCTCGCCCACAAGCCAAGCCGTGTCTCCTTGAATCCCATGACGACAACACGGCCAATACGAGGCGCAACCCCTTTGGAATCTCCAAAGCCATCCATTACAATGAACAAATCTACCCGTCAATCTACAACCATGCAACCACCCCCTAAGCCAGCAACCGCTGGAGCAAGCACTCGCACTGCCAACACTCTTACGAGAAAGCCTTCAACCCTCAGAAGTGCCGCTGGAGCTCAGCAGCAGGCGACTCCATCGACAGGTGTTCGCAGACAGTCGTCTCGCGCCTCGCTGCCCGCCCAGCCAGCCAACGAACGGCCCAGTTCCCGAACCAGTGATGTCCACTCTAACAAGCCAGTCAACGAGGGCTTCCTTGCGAGAATGATGCGACCCACTGCTAGCTCCGCTAACAAGTCACATGAGAAGACGGACGCAAAGCCTGCCCCCAAGACTACATCGGCTCCCAAGGCCCCCAGGCAGTCCATCGGTGGCAGGGTCCCCGAACGCACTGCTTCCCAATCAAAGCCCAAGGCTACCACTCTGCGACCTCAGAGTGAGAAGTCTCAGGCTGCGAATAAGGCGACTGTTCGTGACCACCCAATTCCTCAAAAGAAGCAGGAAAGTGAGAAGGAGAATATTGTTGAGCCTACCCCAGCCAGTCCCAAGAAGCCTGTCACTGTTGAGAAGGCCCAGCTTGCTGTTGTGGAGCAGCCCGAGGCTATCGCTAAGCCAGTTGAGGAGGTCGTTGTTTCTGTTCAGACTGAGAAGCCCGCCGAGAAGGCTGCCTCTACCATCGAGCCAACCGAGAAGTCGGCTGAGGTGTCTGAGCCTGCTGTTGAGGCCCTAGCTGAGCCCATCGATTCTGGAGTCAAGGTTGAGACCAATACTGAAGTGGAAGCACCAGTTCGGGTGCAACCAGTTGCTGAGGCTGAAATTCCCGTCAAGGCTGAAGTTGAGGCTCCTGTAGAGACTATTGAGCCGATTCCCGAGGCTGTCGAAGAGGAGCAGACCGTCGAGACTACCACTACCCCCGAGGTGGCAGATGCCACCCCAGCTCAGGTCGACGAGACTATCGAAGAGCCCAAGGCCTCAGCCCCTATCGGGGTTGAAGCCACTGGGCAGATGACAGTCTTCCCTGGGCCAGAACTAGACCAGGAGCCCGAATCCAAGGTTGAGGTTCCCGAGAAAGACGAGACTGTCTCAGCCAAGGACACTATTGTTCCAGAGACTTCAGATCCCGAAGCGAAGTCGGCAGATGTGAAGCGTACCGAGACGAAGCCCGCCACTGAAGCCGAATCTAGCAACGTCGCCCTCGATATCACTACACTGGCTCTGAATTAAGTGGATGTCTCAGTAGCACCACTCATAGAAATGCTACACTCCGCTTATTGCATTCCTGGTCACTTTTGAAATCATTTTAATCTGTTTGATTATCCTCCCTGGCTTTCTCTTCTTGCCCACTGTGGACCTCTTTTCTCTTTCGAGGCTTGCCCTCATTTTGTCAAACATTCATCTCGCCAGGGGCTTAATCTTCTCCATTCTAGCATCATCTCATCTTTCCATGTTTTGAGCTGTCTAGTTCTTCCTTCTTCCTTATTGCATTCTCTGTACCGATTTTGTGAGCACATCATTCTTAGCGCTTAAGGGCATTACATGTATTGAATTTAGCATCTTGATTTGTCAATACAGCGGGGTTCAAAGCTTTACTAGAAAACGCTTGTTTCATTTGCACGTAACCCACGCAGGGCATAGATTATGCTAGCTAACGGCAATACAACACAGTCACAAATTTTTTCACAATGCTATGAAGTTTTAGGCAATTTCTATATCCGCGAAGAAAGTGTACTATACCATACAATCTATGCGTCCTAACCTAGCCTCCTTTTTTCAACCTCCTTTCTATCTCTTTTCGAGTGCATCGGGTGAATCAATTGAATCGTATAAATGTAGGGAGTGTAAAAGGAATTGTGACCATTGTTAAAGAGACTAAACGCTGCAGCATGATCATGACCAGCAATGACCAATACGAAAAACAAAGATGTAATCCAAGCTTCAACTCATCACAACAGAGAAAAAGGAAAAAGGAAACTTCACAGCCTCTTCTCAAGCTTCTTAAAGAACCGATTAACACCACTCTCTAATCGCTCCGCCTTATCCTCCAACTTCCTCGGTCTCTGCCCAGGGTTCTTCATAGCCTTCTGCGCATACTTCTGATAATGAGACCCAGCCTCCGCCTCCGTAGGCCGATAAGCCTGACTATGGATGTCATACTCCGACGCCCCGGGCTGTCTCTGCTGTTGACTGGGGGTCTTATCATATGAGTAGTTCGAGAATCCACCCATAGGAACCGGTACCGAAGCCTGCTGTTGTTGTTGCTGCTGTTGGATTTGTTGCTGCTGTTGGATTTGTTGCTGCTGTAACGGTTGCGGCTGAATCGGAGCAGAAGGCTGCGACGAACCCCCATAAACCTGCTGACCATACAAATGAGCATTAGGATCCTGAGGCGGCGGCGCGAAAGACATAGAACCCTGTCGTTGCGGGCTGGCATTTACATCCTGGGACTGAGTCGGTTGCTGTACTGGCGGTGCAAAAGACAACGAGCCTGATCTCTGTGGACTAGCACTAGCATTCCATTGCTGGTTACCCGTGCCAGCAAGGAAAGATTGCGAGTATGACGGTACAGGTAAGCCAGGGCTTTGGATGGAAGAGTGGGACGAGAACGAGCTTGTATGCTGCAAGCCTGCGCTAGGTGGTGGGGAGGCGTAGCCTGGTGTTCCCATTGTTGTTGATGTTGGAGGGCCGGCGTAGGAAAGTCCCGGGGTTGAGTTTGAGGGTGGCGGTGATGCGAATCCGCCTACGCCTCCTACGCCGCCGATTACTTGATGTGGGGGTGTGTAGGGGACACCGTTGTCGGCTGCTACTGCGGCTGCTAGGCCTGTGCCGTCCATGCCATCTTCTGGAGGAGGGGTCTTCTCGCGATGTTTGATCGGTTCTGGGGCTGCTGGAGCTGCTGGGTTATATGGCAGCGGGGCGAAGCTTGCTGGATCTTTTGACTCCTCTGCTGGGGAGGGGCCATTGCTTTGGGTTTGATCTGCTAGTGGGCCGCTTGGGGGAGGTGGGGGGAAGCTGGTTGTTTGGGGAATTCCTGGGCCTTGGGGTGGTTGAGATGCTGTTGTTTGGGAATCAGATCTAGAGTTGCGAGTCTGGCCGTTCTGGTAGGCTGGATCTGAGACGGCGACATTCTCTAGTTGTTGGACCACTGAGCTTAGGGGCTGTTCTGGTTGGGGAGCTGGCTCTCTGTCTGTTTCGACTTGGGTCTTGGGAAGGACTAGTTCCGCTGTGTCCAGGAATTGGGTTGCATCTTCTTGGCCCCAGAAGTAGATATCTAGTGTATGGAGACGAGGAAAGTCTCTAAAGTCATTTGGATCATCTCGCGGATCCCCACTAGGCAGACGCCATTCATGTCGAGGTGAAGCTGGTGAATATGCCTGTTGTTGGGATGGGTTCGGGTGTGCATCGACAGTTAGGGTACAGAGTGTTGGGAATTGAGACGAGTGTCGAATGTGTACATGATTAAAATCCCCGCAAAATGCATCCTGCTCTGGAGATCCAGGATTATTGGCTATCTCAATTCGGGCTTTGTTCTGAGCGGCGTCGTTGTAGACATATAGATATGAGCCTTTGTCAAAACGGTGGTGGTATGGCGAAGGTCTCCGGGTTGGCTCCTTGAAATAGTAGTGAATATCGGCGAACCTGTTTATACTGTATTAGAACAAATCCAAAGTCTTCTGCTTCCTCTGTGGGAGATTCAGTCCGACTTACACTGTTACTAGACGCTCTTCGCCCGCTAATGGTGGCATGATGTTTAGGTATACGCGAAACGACAAGTGTAGGAAAAGAAAGACATATCCTATTAAAATATTTATAGCTTCGAGACTGAGGGGTAAACTACATGCATGTTGGGCGCTTAGAAGGTGTGATGAAACGGTACTAGTGACCTGGGCATCACACACATCCACAGCGGGCGGTAAAGTAACGGATACCTAGCCACAACCATCGCCCGGAACTACCGTTTCTCCGAAAATTTCCATCCCGAATAATCGCAACAAGCAAGTCGGCGCTGCATCACCGACCTCCTGTCTTCGATTACCCGGACAATTGCACGTCAAGCTTTGTCCAAGCCGGTCATCCCTTTCGTGCATCTGGGATTCCCCCTTCTACAACTCCAATAAAAGCCTACAACCCACCACAACACCTTCTTTATCCTCTGAACGGCCGCCGGTAGGGCCCAATTGCTACTATCAAAATGTCTCTCGTCAACCTCGCCGCCGTGTGCTCGCACCTGAACAATGCCACCAAGGCCCGCCTCGCCATCACCTCCATCCCCAACAGCAACCTCCACCTAAAGCTCTCCCTCGCCCTCCAAAACTCCGGCTACATCTCCTCCGTAGTCCGCGGAGGCCCGACACCACCTCCTGCCCATGCCATCCTGGGCTACCCAGCTGCCAATGATACCTCCGAAGGAATTGAGCCAATCACCCGCGATAACATCGCCTCAAGGCGGTTGTGGCTTGGTCTCAAGTACTGGCAGAACGAGTCCGTCCTGGGCAAGGTCAAGATGGTCAGCAAGCCCACCCGCCGGGTGAATATCGATGTCGAGGGTCTCCGTCTGGTTGTCTGTGGCAAGGAAGCTGGGGGTGTGGCTGGCCTTCGCTCGCCCGGTGAGAGTCTGTACCTCTCCACGGACAAGGGCATTCTGGAGGCACGTGAATGTGTTGAGAAGAAGCTCGGTGGGCTGGTTCTGTGCCGTGTGCTATAAGTGTGCGATTTTTCAGCGGATTCACCTTTCCCAAATGCCCGTTGGGGAGTTTCTTTTCTTTTCTCTGTCTTCTTTCGCATTTACTTTGGAGTTTTGTTGGTTAGTCGCAGCGATGGCTCTTGCCGAGATTCATCCTCTGTGACTGTTTGGGTTAATACCTAGTTCGAGGATCTGTATATTAGATGTCTGCGTGTATTTTGCATTCTGTGTACTCTGCTAGTTGGGCAGCTGTCCTCAATGTGACATTAGTGTATAGATTATGACTTGAAATATGTCCGTGCTCTCCTTTTATAACTATAGTGTTTACTACAGCCATATTATGTGGTGGTCCCTACAGAGTACTTGATGTGTAGCCAGGCTATGGGTGTTGCTGTTCGAATCCGGTCTTTACCATGCAGGCATGCATTTCAGGAAGTGTAGAATAGACACCCCATGTTGCTAAAAAGACAACCCCCTCTAGAAATTTGTAGATCATTTTTGTTTCTTTCCCCTTCTGAGCTGACCCGCTGACTTGTGCTTTCCATCACATCTCACTCGCTCCATATTTTTGGCCCACATCTCGGGCATTTCACTTCAATTCTCTATCAATTTACCTCGTCAGTAAGGTATATCAACCGAACTCTTCAAAATACCATAGCCCAGTTGCTACATCATGGCTGGACCACAGCCTAAGCGTGCGGGTGCCAACACTGCTGGCGAATCTCATGTTGATAGGGCTGGAAGCGCGCCTTCTGTGCCCCCCCCCCCCCCCCCCCCCCCCCCCCACAAATATCAGTAGAAGAAGTGACCCGGCTTGTGAAGCCCCTCAATCACGGTCATATCATCGGCATTGTTAGCAAAGCGGCGCAAATCCACCCGGATATCAACGATGTCATTCGCGTCATGCGCGAGAAAGAACAGAGTCGCGTCCTCAGCGGCTGCTCAAGCGATGTCAGGATGATGAGGTGAGCCATAAGGTGCAGAAGCAGCTCCAAGGAAGCTACAACCTTTTCTCCTACTCCATGCTGAAAATCGTCGGTTCCATGAGAACAAAGGAAATCCGCGCAATTAGTGAGAATGTTTCAAGCTCTAAAGCTCTGTTGCCAAGGCTAAGAGAGTTATTAGATCTGGCAGAGGGTAATTGTATTGTTTGAGCGATTGCAAGAGGTTCTCTAGGCATTTGATGATACTTTTGAAGAGGGAGAGGAAGATGAAGACGAAGACAAAGACGAACGCAGCAAAAACCATGACCCAAATGGTAACTTCGTTGATCCCACTTGGGAAAACAGATAGGATGGTGATGATGCTCCTATTTAAGAGGCAATTTAGTAGTAGAAGAGATATCAATATGCACTGAATGCTGAAACCCACAAATCGCTGGAAGGTCTCCCTTGTATCACGTTATGCTTCGGGGGATATTCTGATGTCGGCTATGACGAGATCAACTCTTCCCTCATCGATAACATCAAAATTCTCACAATGAGCGACTCATTCTCCAAGGTCCTGGTCTCTGGTGGCACTGGTTTTGTAGGTTCGGCCATTGTACGGGCTCTTGCTCAAAAATACCCGGACGTTGCCATCATCGTCATCGACCAGAGCCCTCCACGGCCCCAGCACGTTCTACCAGACAACATCTCGTGTATTCAGCTTGATATAACCTCATCCGAGGCTGTAATTAATGCCTTTAGGGCCACAAAGCCAAATGTCGTTGTCCATACTGGGGGACTCATCCCAGGCCTGGCCGAGCGGTTCGGGCGCCAACTTGAGCAGAAGACATGGAAGACCAACTTCGAAGGAACACAAAATATGCTCAGCGCAGCTCAGCAGACCGGTGTCATTGCTTTTGTCTACACGAGCACTTGTTGTGTGGTGACTGATGATACGAGCAATCCTCATCCCAACATCACAGAGGAATGGCCATCCGCAGTCAGGTCTACCATCTATGGTGAATCCAAGGTTGGCATTCCCCGGTTATCCGCCTCCATGTTATGCCGGATTTGTGACAAGAAAGTACTAATGAACGTCTGATAGGCTGCGGCAGAAGCACTTGTTCTCAATGCCTCTAGCAGCAAACTGGCGACATGTGCCCTTCGGCCATCGGTGCTTTGTGGACCAGGTGATTGCCAGCTGCTCCCGCCGATCCACGCATGTATTTCCAAATACGAGACCCCGTTTCTCATCGGGGATGGACTCAATTTGTGGGATATCACCCACGTCAGCAATGTCGCCGATGCCCACATCCTAGCAATAGAGAATCTGGTATCAACTCGCACTGCTGCCGGGGAATCCTTTTTCATCCAAAATAACGAACCTATCACATTTCGGGATTTATGTCTGGCGATATGGGCACATTTTGGGCACATCCCCCCAATCGAATTGCGGATCCCTGAGAGCCTGGCACATTTTGCCGGACTGGCGTGTGAGACAGTCACCCGGGTGATGGGGACAAGGACAACCCTGAGCCGTGGGACTGTTCGAGATGCATGTGCCATTCGATATGCCAGTGGCGAGAAAGCTAAAGAGATACTGGGTTACGAGGCCCGTATGGGCATTGAAGAAGGTATCCGTTTAAGCTGTGAAGTAAGTGGGCATCACAAGCACAGAGCAATCACATTGCTTACCGGGAACCAGGATTATGCTTCTCGTCTGGGAGTCAAGTTACCGGCCGAAAACACCACCCGGAAAATATGGCCAATGTGAGGTTGATGAAGATCAAGATAGAGTTTCTGACTGCAAAACGGCCGGATTGATACCCTGGAGATAACACGATCATTATGACTTCCTTTCCTAAAGTGAGGGGGCAATGATTTTCATGGCTTCCCTGGCCAGGATGTTGTTGATAACAATGCCCGGTCCATACTCGAGCACAGACATTGGGCTGTTGGGCTCCAATGCTCCATTAACCACGGGTAGCTGAGCTCTCCACAATTGGGGATGTTCATCTCTGAGAATCTTTGAAGCAGAGAGAGACATGGTCCATGCGGCTTATTGGCATTGGGCCTCAAATCAGCCCGAGTGCCCAACGCAGATTAACTGCGCGTCACGGGATTTGCCTCAGCCTCAGGTCATGACATGTCTACCTTCGCCGCAGATCTCACCCTCTCTGCAACATTTGGGTAGCCAATATCCCAGAGGCACCCCAGTCCCTGCACTTCCTACCCAATATCCCTCTTGCTGCCCAAGACTTTACCCCGATGTGACTGGCAAACCAGGGTGAAAGTGGCGTGGGACCCAGGATGTTGAGGATTGCCCACTAATCTGTGAAGATCGAGGCTTTGGATCATGTCTGCCGTCCCACCAGTGTTATGCCTATGCACCAACGGAAACGCCCACAGCGTCTCGCCTACCAACGAGCGTGCACACCGGTTCCATACTCGATCGATCGAGATCTTCAACGACACTGGTGTTTGACAATGGTGGTTCCCTGTATATGTTACGCAATTGGCCTCCACGGCTTCAACAGTGCCCAGGCAACAAAGGCCTCATCTCCCTAGATTACATCTCCACCAACGCCACTGGCGTAAAGCCATTTAGCGCGGCTCTCAATCCACTTCTGCTGCCGTTGCATAAACCTTGACTCGCTTTGGTTCCCCCCTTTGTCAGGCACGCGCATCTGCTCAGCCCGGGTTGGATGATTTTCCTGTGGACTATATTTATAACTAGCCCTTTTCTCATCGTGGATTCGTCCGGCTCTTCCATCAAATCTCTTTCTTAATACCTTCAAGCAGTATCTTCGAGTTTTATATTAGGCTGCTGTAAAGCCTTGTCTCAAGTTCTTCATGCTACCCATCCTTCCCCATCCATTGACGGCTGGATCAGCAAGCCTGAACCCGTTCTCTTTCCCAGCAAGTATTGGTTCTTGTGCAAGTTCAATCAACTCCAAATTGGATACTTGGTCTCGCCATAGGTCAGCAAAACCAGCTATCGACATTCCCTTCCTTATTCCTGCGCCAGCTATATTGGAACCCGATGCTTATACTCCGTAGCAGCACCATGGATCAACATCCTGTTTATGGACCCCCGGCGACCTCCCCCGTCGTCTACCAACAAAGGTATTTTTTCGTCATCATTTCACCCATCCAATCCTACATTTGTGTTCGACAAACTACACCCATTACGGTTGCTAAATGGTAGAAGGTCGCCAACAACTCCCCGCGGATATGGCTACAGAGACGACCGTCATATGTCCGTAGGATCTATGGATTTTGATCCTTCCCGCTACCATGGAGCCCCAGTCCCTATGGACGCCCACAGCCACATGATGAGCCCACCTATGGGAAGAGTGTCCTATCCTGCCGGACAGCCAGTACCTCCACCCCGGAACTATGAATGGAGCCACCCGGCTCACCTGCCTCAGGAATCACTCAGGCGAGACCTCGGAAAAATGCCTACCTCGGAGAGCCCAGAGTATGTCATGGAAAGAAACAGCCGGCGAGCTGCCGATAAGTCCAGAGGAAGCCCACACTATTACTCCCAGAGACGGACTTCCAACCGGGATGAATTTGATGGCCCACATCAGTTCCTGGAGCCCCCCGCCCAGCAGGTCATCGCAGCCCAGGACAAGGAGCTCCCCGAGCTCCCTACTAATCTTGATGCCTCAGAGCAAGACAGCATTCTCCACAAAGTCAACGACCGTCTATCCCGATGCGCCTATGACTTCATCGCAAAGTATCAGTTCCGCGTTCCAATCGAACAGGACAAAAGACCTGTCAAGGTTCCCTCGGACCGCGAGTGGACCGAGTGGGTGCACCTCTTGAAGCGCCTGGCTACAACACGCCGCATCCCCGCTCATCTCTTGTACAACCGCCAAATCAAGCAGCTCATCACCGTGCTGGAGAACTCCCTAGAGATGCGCCACGCTGCCAAGCACCAGTCCAGACCGGTCAAGGATGACCGCAACGTGCTGCAGCTCATCTCTGCAGGAATCCAGGTCGCCAAGATCCTGAAGGATTCCAGCGCCATGCAGTTCCTCGATTGTCTTTATGTTGACACCGAGAAGCTGATTCTGGATCGACGGGGCCGTCGTGTGAGATTCGCCAGCACTTGAATCCACTGGATGGAAGATGGCCGTTCTAAAAAAAATATGTCCCTGGTTGGATGCCACGTTTTTAATGACTCCGTTGAGCGCCGCGCCCCCCTTGGATTGCGCTGCCATTCTGCTTTCTTTCTCTTTTGACCACTCCCCTGGATCATGTCCCATTGTCCACGTGAAACCCCCACCCTCGGAGGAAATGTACCCCGGATTATCAGTGAATCCCACTCAGGATGTATTCCCAGGCAGAGCTATCCAGCTCAGATATTTGAAGGATGGAATTCCCACGTCTGGCAGAAAAATAATCAGGACCTGCAATCGGCAGAGAGGCAGGTCCTTCGTTTTCTACCCAGCGCCAGTCACGGGAAGTTGATGTATGTTTTAAATGAATCAAGATTGGTGGTCAGACTTTACCGCCATAATGCGTTATGCCAATTTCAGCAACATGTTTTTGTCAGTGTCTGACAATCCCTCGACCGTTCGCTCAACTTTTTCTACTCAATCGTGTCCTGGTCACACCGTACGGTTCCATTGGTTGTTTCGGCGAGAGTCTCCCGGGCAATTGATTCGTTTCAGCCCAATGACGGGCTTCGGGCAGAAGCCGAGGTTGAGGCACGGTTCCGGATGTCTTCTTTTGTATACGTATGATTTTTCAGTCACGTTCGATGTGTTTATGTTTATGTTTATGTTTTATGTATCTAATTGTATCCCTCGGGTGGTCAATTGTTTTCAGTCGTCTACTAATGGATGGATTATTCAGGTTGTCATGCATTGCTCTTCTATGCCACATTCAGAACGGCCATGGCGGCTGACTTCAATGCAATTGCGGTCAATTGAGTCCAAATTGAACATAGTTAAAAGACAAGAAGCAAAGTAACCAAGAAAAAGCTAGGGCTTCGGGAAGGATAGAGAGATCAAAAACACAAAAAAATGGTTTCCCTGGGAATCGAACCCAGAACCTTTCCGGAACACTTGCTTGGAGCAATTGTTAACGGAAAATCATAACCGCTAGACCAGGAAACCAGTTGGTATCAGAAATGAGCATCTCTGACACTATGATCGAAGAAGATGATTGACTAGAGCAAACAAAGTATTGCACCCCGGGGAGACGACTTCATTCCTATCCTAACTCGAAGCAGACTAATTGCTAATGAAAATAATTTTTCTAGCCAAAGCACTTAGCATCGGGCTGTTTGTGCATCAATTGCGATCGAGTTTCATATTTCTAACGTGCGAGGCTGTCAAGTACTACGGTTATGTATATCGTTCAGACACTGTCGCCATGAAGGTATCATAATATTAACAAACCGGGATAAAAACCGAGAGCCGCTAAACTGACTAATAATGTACACACGCAGTTCGAATAAAATATCCTAAAAGCTAGCCATCTCAATCCAGCTAGCCACAAAGGCCAGACGACGTCCCCGATCGGCAGCCATACGGCGCGAAAACTCCTCAAAGCTGAGTCTTGCACCGCTACCACCACGCTCCTTGGCTTCACGCTCGATCTGGTCCAAGTAGGCCCACCGGGCCAGAGTCTTGGGTGAAGGTCGACGCGGGGCGGCAGATTCAGGAGCCTGGTCACTGACCCGGTGCGGGGGTGGGAGTGGTTGCATGGGGGATGGGGGAAGCTTCGGGGCTGTGGCCTCGGCTTCTGGGGAGGAGTGGGGGGATGCTGGGGCAGGAAGGGAGGTTGTGCCGCGGGGCTCGAGGCGGAGTTGAGCGGGGAGGTCAGGGTTTGTGCTTGTGGTTGGGGACGATTCCGAATCCGAGTCTGACATGTCGGACTCTGGCTGGAAGACATCAGCACGGAAAGAGATGCCAGGATGAGGTGCATCTGTGTCCGGGCGATGTTGTGGGAGAGTTGGGTCGTAGACTGGCGCTGTGTCCTCGACAGCTGAACTGGATGGATCGGCATCGGATGTTTGAGAGATGGTTTCATCGTCAGATTGAGATGAGGAGGCGGATATAGAATCGGATTCAAAAGATTTTTCCCGCCAATCGTGGGTTTCTTGATCAGGATTGTTGAGATGGGTTGGTCGTATGTCATCGTCCTCGTCGTTGTCGTTGTGCTCATCATCATCCGAGGCAGTGCCCTCGAACGAAGGAGGAGCCAACACTGGCGCTGTGTTGCGAGACTCAAAGACTGGGCTTTGGACTGCGTATCCAGCGCGCTGAAGTAGATCATCAAGTGGCTGAGTGACAGTGGCTTCTTCAAGCTCTTCCTCAGTAGGTATATCCTCCTTGATGGTTCGTTTCTGAGGTCCCTCCTTGGCTGCTAGTTCGATCTCGCGCGCCCAGACCTTGCGATCGGCGCGGGTGCGGTGAACCTCCATCATCAGATCCTCTCGTGGCTTGAACAGAATATCAAGAAGCTCATTGAATCCCTGCTGCGTGACTTGATACAGAATCTCCTTGCCAACGTCTCTCTCGACCTCTGGAATTTCAAAGCCACCCCATCGTTCACCGACAGGGATGCTTCGTGACGAAGTCGATGGGTTGGATCGAATGTCATAGTCGTCAGTCAGATCATCCTGGAATCGTACCTTGGATGATGATCGGGAACGGGGAGAAGGAGGGTGGGAGTCGACTTCCTCTAGATCGTCTTCATCACTTGAGTCATCGATAGCTGGATCTCTTTCATAGCCCTCAGGAGCAACGGCACCATCTTCCTCATCCGTGTAGAAAGCTCGGCGCCTCCAGCGTTCGTCAATTCCATGGCGACGAGTCTCATCCACCCGTCTTTGATCATCATCGCGCATCCTATGGTAAACAGCAGTAGCAACACGAGCTCGGTCAATTGGATCAGTGATCTCCCGAGGAGGAATATAGGATCCAAGGGCTTCGACGATGTCTTCTTCATGGACATGCTCAGCTGGTGGCCAGGTGCCACTAGCTACCGAAGAGCTAGACTGATCCGACCCGCTCTCGCTAGCACGGTCGTCATCATCATCGTTCTCCTCGTCGTTATCGCCTTCATTCTCATCTACATCTGCATCACCTGGACGGTGCGCAGAGTCGGTAGGTGCCAGGCGAAGTGTAGATGGGAACATTGGCCGCACTCTACCAAATTGCTCTCGGACAGCTGCGTCGCCCACAACTGAGTGTCGATCACCATTATCAGCACCATCCTGTCGCAAAATTCCTTCGTTGTCCATAATTTCCATGTCCCCATCTGGGTTCATGCGCTTGCCTTCACCAATACGTGAACGTTCACCGGAAGGAATGCTGCCAGGGAATGCAGAACTGATGGGCTGGCTACCGAGGACCACATCACGGGCACCGCCTTCCAAGAAATCGTCTTCCATGCCCGCAACCATGTCTCTGGTAAGCTCCCTGCTCAGTGCATAGTACGCCCTGAAAACTCGAAGGAAGTCCTTTCGCTCGACGAAACCATCTCCGTCAATGTCATAACCCCGGAATACACGTCGTAGTCTCTCATCGTTGCTCTTGTTGTTGAGACTAGCCAAACCCTTGAGGAATTCTTCAAACCCAATGAGGTTGTCGCCATTGGTATCGTAAAATGCAAACATTCGGTCGTAAATGAGACTCGGAGGAGGTGGTCGGATAGATGTGTTTGGTACAAAGCATCGGTCAAAGGTTTTGCGGTCAATGGCCATGTACAGCTTGTTGGGGTCATCTGCCCACTCATAATTCGCCAAACAGCGGAACTGATCCCAGAGTGCATCGAGCTCCGTATTTTCGAAACTGGTGTCTTTCATAAGACGCTTCGCGAGAGGACGTGGAAGGCTACGCGGGAGCATGGAAGGCTTTCCAGGGTACCACACAGGCTGAGATTGGCGAGGGTTTCCAAGGAAAGGAGCTGGGATGCGCACTTTGTAGAACAAATGGGTCTTGATGTGCACCTGCATGGCCTCGCACGTCTCACAGAGATCGTAATCAATGCAATTCGCACAGCGGTATCTGATCCCCTGAATCGGCATAGCGCCGCAGCTGTTGCAAGTAACTCCACGATGAATGTAGCCGTCTCTCCTCGCCTGATCTTCGGCAATATGGTAAAGTAAATTCAGCAGATTTTGGCCTTCGCGCGTAGGCGAGGCATCGTTGTTTCCATCTCGCCACGAGAAAACGCTCTGGTCATCTCCTACCGTTTCCGCACCGTCAGTATTCTGGGGGGGCGCAGACACATCGGGGAAGGTAGAAGTGGAAAGGGTGACCCGTTCTCCATTCTGCCGGCGCCGACGTAGCTCCTCCCCATAGTTCTGATCCCCGTTGAACCGTAAAAGCGCCCGTTCAATGCCCGCTCGGGAGATACCACGTTGTTGGAGCTGTTCCGTCAAGTATGTTCTTTCGGGACTATCCTCTACAAGGACATGTGCGGATGGGAAGTCGAGCGCAAGGAAAGATTCAAGAAAAGTATCCTCCATCATTTCGCGCATGCGCTCTGCGTGAGCAGGCGGGACGCCGACTTCCTCCATAAGCTGGTCGCGAGTTGCGAGCAGCGATGGCAGAAGACCGCTTTCCACACGCCGGCCATCTTCTGTCTCAATCCGGAACGTTCCGTAAACGCCGTTTTGGCGCTCTAGTTGTTCGAGGTGGGTGATGGCTCGGTAGGACGGGGTTTCAATGATTGCAAGCTCTTCGGCTTCGGTTCGTCTGCTGCGGCGTACAGCACCTCGACGTCGGAGCGAGGATTGGGGAGCTTGCCCGACAATACTGTTGTGGACATAGAGGATTGCATAGGCAGCAGCGACGCCCGTAAAGAGGTAGAGAATGGGGCGATATCGAGTTAGTGAGACCGGCCCCGAGTGCGCTTGGGACATTGCGGAGGTTGAGCGGAGGAAGAGCTATCAGAAGCTGCGCGGAGAATGTCAGGAAAACAAGGCGAGGCTCATCCTGGGCCCCAACACCTCAAACTAATCTGATCCGCAAAGAAAAACAATCAATAGCTCTGATGTGAAGTTACTAGTCAAGAGTGCATTTGAAACGTTGCCGAAGCGCGGAGCTAAGCTTAGTAATCTATACTTCTGGCGACGACAAAGAATGAGATGGAA